ATTGTCGAGCAGCATATGCATTGCAAATATGTCTGGGTCTGGAAGGATGCAACTTGTCATGCTGAGTCTGAATAGTACAAAAATCTGTGTTGCAAGATTACCAAAAGGTGCCCACTTCTTTAACAAGTTTAGCGGCAGTTTGTCATGCAAGAAAGACATGATAGAGACTTCGCAGAACCTGTCATGCTAGGTCCCGCATCGCAGACGTCATGGGGCATGGAAAATATGCATGACAAGTTTGTATGTTTCCAGACCCAGACATCTTGGCATTTGATACAGCACCTCGACTGACGATCTGGAGAAGCAGTTGCGCCAGGTTTTGACGTATCAAATGTAAAAATGTCTGGGTCTGGAAGATTGCCAGGTTTGTCATGCACATTTTGCATGACTCCTGATGTCAGTGATGCATGCCCTGGTATGACAGATTTTGTGACGGCTTCCTGATGCCTATACCGCATGACAAATGCTCTTTCCGTGTAGCAAAACTTGGACTCTCTTGGCTGCTCATGCAATACAGATTTTTTTAGAATCCAAAATCAACATGACAAGTTGGATTCTTCCAGACCCAGACATTTTTACAGTTGATATGACGGCCGCGGGGATGGAGGAGGACGAGAACAAGAACAACTTTCTATTACAGTGAAAAGTGCCCCCCCACCCCTAAATTGCAAAAATTTGTGATGCGAAGTTTCCAAATGAAAACTTTTTGCCATGCATGAAAGGAGTATGAATCTTTCTGATGCAGAATGTAGTCGTGTATCCTATCGCTTGCATGACAAGTGCCGCTCTTGCTGGGGTCTTTTGCAATACAAATTTTTGCTATTCACGATTGCAAACATGTGACGCTGATAGATGCAAGAGGGCGAATGTTTCATTTGGAAAGGTTTGCAATACAAATGCTCCCAAGTTCGGGGGTGGGGGCATTTTTCATTGTAATACTTTCTTCCTGGAAGTGGGAGAATCGCGGAGGATCAGGAGCAGTTAGACGAATTGGCGGAGTTAGACGAGAACGACCCCAGCGCGCGGATTCGGCAACGCTTGCACCAATTGCACACCAAGCAGTTGAAGGCCTTCGAATTGTCCTGGAAGGCGAAAAAGGAACTCTTGGTCGCTCGGTACCGAAAGTTCGCGGCCAAACACGGAGGGGAACTCGTTTCTGTTGTGGAAGTTGGACCTGCGACTGGTGAAGGAACACATGACGCGGGTGCTGGAACTACGGCGACGGCGTCTCCTGCAACTGCGGCTCATAATGATGCCATGCTCTCACGCCCTGCAGCGGAAACAAGCCAAAGAACACCGCCTGATTTACAGGTAGCTTCAGGAGGATTACGCGGCGCCAGCCCCCCGGTTGCGGATTATACTGTCGTGGATTATACCTCATTTTCAAGTCCGCGGCCGGTCAGCGGACAAAAAGCGGGGCCGAAGCGGAGAAAAAGAGCAAAGCAGGCCGAAGCGGACAAAAAGCGACACGCAGAGGCGAAAGAAGCAGCCGAACGGGAGAGGAAGCGTATTCAAACCCTGTTCGACCTGCACAAAGCCGATGAGGGGCTGGCGAAATTGCTCGAGGAGTTTGAAGAAAACAAAGAACTGCAATTGCAAAAATTTCTCCGAAACCACAAGCAGGAGCTGATCCGCGCCCAGCAGTTCCGGAAATCCATTGTCGAGAAGGTTACGACTTCCGCAAATTTTGCCTCGAAATCCGTGGAAAAGAGCGTCGCATTGCAGGCAAGGTCGGGAAGTGGCGGTGTTGATAGCGACGGAGCACTGCAGAATGCCGGTCCTTCCGTAGAAATGGTGCAAACCAACATCATGAAAAAGCAGAAGATCCACATCGGGCTGCACGGGTGCTCGGCTGAATTATTAGCGATTCTCCGTTGGAAATCTGAACAGACAGATGAGGAACTGACCCGGCCGACAACGAGTAAGGCGATGCAGAAAAGACTGCAGCGGAAGCGAGACCAGCACAAGATGGATAGGATTCTCAATGGTAGTGGAGCGGATGACTTTTCCAGTACAGGTGGACTCTTCGGAGGTACTAGCGGTGCTACTAATGGAAACAACGCGCAGCAGCGCTTTGTGGCTATGCGAGACCACAATTTGATGCACGACTCAACATCCTCTGGAAATAAAAGCAAGCAGCTCAACCGGGACTTTGGGGCGGTGTTTGCGATGACACCTACGATGATGTTGGATCTGGAATCGAATCCCGAAGGAGGGATGAATTATGCGAATAAGGCTACCAGTCAACATCTCGGCGGCATTCCGACTCTGGACGACGCACAGCTTCTGGCGGCGACGAACGGATTGAATCTCGGTAGTAGCGGAGCTCTATCCGGTCAGAACCAGAACAGCGGTATCGCAGATGCGCAATATGCACTGCAAAAGCATCGTACTAGTATAAATTGCATTACAGATTGACGTAGCATTACAAATTAAATTTGTAGTGCGGATTTGCCTTGAGAAAAACGTTTGTAATGCATAAACGCAATTAGTACGAATACGATACTTTTGCACAGGATGCACAAGACTTGATCGCCATGTACCACAACCACTTAAATCACGCTGACGAAGATTCCCAGCCAGAGAACGATGGCACGTATCAAGTGCAAAAATGTCTGCTGGGTCTGGAAGGACAAAAAAAACTTGTGATGCGCATTTCAGAAGATCACACGATATTAAAAATCTCTGATGCATGGACAGCATCAGCAAAAGTTTTACCCAAATACTCTTGTCGCCAAAACACCCGGGGCGATCTTTTATGCGGATTAGGAACAATTGAGAAGCCGTCTCAATAAATTTTGTGTTGCCATGCCAGTATATATTCCGGACGTTCATCTGGAGCACGAGCGCTATCCAGAACCCGCATGACATCAAACTTCTGCAGAGGACTCTTCCAGAGGACCCAGACACACATTTGCAATGCATAGCACGGCGCAGTACACCATGGAAAAATTGGAGAACAACATGCAATTTCAGGCGGCAGTTTTGCAGGCAGATTTGGACGATTTTGACGAGTCAGATTTGTTCGCGGAATTGCACTTCACGAACGTGCAGTGGAAGCCCGCCTCGGAAAAGTCCAGGGACACGTTGGGCCGCAAAATGAAGGAGTTCATGACCATGATTGAGGAGAGACGGAGGGACAATCCAGAAGTCGCGGGAGGTGCGGCACAACAAGCCACCCCCGCTGGTGCCTCCGGGTTTTTGCAACGAGTCTCTTCTCGCACGAGTTCGGGCTCCGGTGCTGGCGCACCAGCACATCTTGCCGTGCCAGAGCAGCAACAGGCAGGGGGCATCTATCCTGAGAAAAAAGTGTTTCACTGTAAGGATTTTGCAGGTTTAGCATCACAAGTTTGTTCTACATGACAGCGAACACTTGCCATGCCAGGTTCCTAATGGAAAACGCAGGTAAAAACCCACTGTCTTGCATGTGTAGCAAGACAAACACTTGTGAGATACATTTTCTGCATTACAAGTTTACAGTGAAACACTTTTTTCTCACGATAGCATCAGTCCAGCAAACAGTGAGCAGAATTTAGCGCACCTGTCCGCGCAGGCTATGCATTGCAAATATGTCTGGGTCTGGAAGGATGCAGAGGTTTGTGTTGCAGCTTTGGCATGACCCAGAAGGTCTACCATGCACACCCTAGCATCGCAGGTTTCGATAAGGTCTCTTAATGCGTAATCCGCATGATGAAGCCCTTCTTTCGGTGGCGAGAAGTGTGCAACTTTTGGCTTCCATGCATGACAGATCTTTGTGTGATGTGAAGTGCGCATCACAAGTTCGCAGTTTTCCAGACCCAGACATATTTGGAATGCACACAGGCCAGTCTGGAGCAAATGAAGAAAGAAATGTTCGAATACACCTGGAAACACACACTATCTCCAACTCTATGGGAAGCAAATATGTCTGGGTCTGGAAATTTGTGATGCTGAAGTTTGGATAAGACTGCCGCTCTCAAGTGCAGCCAAGCATGACAAGCATACTTGACGCCGTCTGATGCGTAGCACGCATGACAAACTGCGTTTTTGCAGGACGAAAAAGTAGCGCCTTTCTCGCTGGCTGTGCATTACAGATTTTTCAGGAATGCAAGACATGCAATACAAGTTCCACTCTTCCAGACCCAGACATTTTTGCAATCCATAAACTCTAGAAGCCAACGATTTTCTCACCACGCACCGGCAAAACAGCCGATCCGTGGCGGAACACTACAAGCTCGTTCCGGAAGACATCCGATCAGCGAGTCGGGCTGCTTTCCCGTACGACCCGGACTTCCGACTGGAGTTATCAAATGCAAATATGTCTTTCTGGAAAGTGGGAACTTGTAATGCTGGTCTTACATTCCTGAAAAATCTGTATTGCATGGCCAGCGATAGTACAAGCCGTGCCGTCTTCTGTCGTCCAAAAACGCAGTTTCTCATGCAGACAGCGTATGAGAAACCGTTCTGCAATTTTGTCATGCTTGGCTGCATTCGGCAGCGTTTTCATCATGAACAGTTCAGCATCACAGGTTTCCAGACCCAGACATATTTGCAATGCATAGAAGTTCCCGGTGAACCAAAAACTGAACCCGGAAAGCGCACTCAGCCGGTACATTCAGAGTGGCGATTGGATCGTCGATAGTGCGCTATCAACTGTAAAAACGTCTGGGTCTGGAAGATTCTGACACTTGTCATGCACGTTTTGCATGAGCCATGATGTCTGTGATGCATCCCCTAGCAATACAGATTTTTTGAGGGCTTCTTGATGCGTATTCCGCATGACAAATGCCTTCTCAGCGTAGCAAAAATTGTCTTTCCTTTGGTACTCATGCAATACAAATTTTTTTGGAATCCAAATGCAGCATCACAAGTTGCATTCTTCCAGCCCCAGACATATTTGCATTTGATATGCGCCGGGGGACATCAATCATGGCATAGGCTCCAATGTCGATGATTCAACCGAACAGCCGCAACAAAGCTTCATCCAGAAGCGGACAGTCGAGATTCTGGGTCGAGTGGTGACGGCCAAGTCGGTGAAGACGGGGAGCAGTCACGATATCGCGGGGGACTTGTACTTCTGGGTCACGCACACCAGTCGGGAGATGAAGGAGAGGAGTGCTGAATCCAATTCCAAACACAACAAAAACCACATCACGGTGCACCTGCACTTCATCACGGAATCGGATTTGCGGCAGGAATTAACCAGGTTTGACAAGTACGAAAACTTCCATCAGATGCTGCTGGACGTTGCAACTTATGGATTGTAAAAATGTCTGGGTCTGGAAGGTTGGAACTTGTAATGCTAGCTTTCCATACCTAGAAAATCTGTTTTGCATATTTACCAACAAAAGTCGCAGCCTCTTTTGTCATGCAAAAACGCAGTTTCTCATGCGGATTGCCTACGAGAAAGAATTGTGGGAAGTTGTCATGCCGGACTGCATTCGGAAGTATTTTCATCATGCACATTTTAGCATCACAAGTTTCCAGACCCAGACATTTTTGCATTTCATACAACTTTTCTCGGCTCGGATAAGCAGGCGGTCTACGACACGGAGCACATTGGCATGCAGGAGATCTTTGACCTGGACTACACGAACTTCAACACTGTGGACCACGTAGAAAGCCACCGAGGAGAGCTGCATCAAACTGGCGGTGCGGATCGAACGAGCGGCGCACCTCAAAGGAAAACTCCTGCATCAATTCCGACCACGTTCCGTAAAACGAGTAGCGAGATGGAGTTCCGAGAGAAGCGGAAACAGCGGTTTTTGGAGTACGTTGGCGTCTTAGACTACGTCAATTTCCCGGATTGGGCGGTGAACGAACTGCGCATTGCGCTGAACTTAGCTGATGCAGAAGAAGTGATGAAAAAGGAGGGCGCAGTCCTGCTCGACAAGCCGAGCGTCAAGCGGGAGGAGCGGGAGAAGAGGATCAAGGAATTGAGGGAGCAGATTGCAGAACTAACTGCACCGGCGAAGGAACAGCAGCAGGAGCAACCGGGTGGCTTCTCATTATTTGGAAGTTTATTTCAACGCCCTTCCCCCACCGCTGCAGGCAGCGAAGGCGCCACCGCTGTGCCGGAACAAGCTGCTGCAGTATCGCCTACTGCGGAAGAAGAGGAAAAATCTGCAAAGCTTGACAAGTTGAAGAAAGACCTGGAAAACGCCCTCTCTGGTGAACAACTACCCGAGGAGAATCCACTGCCGACCCACGAGGAAGTGGTGCAGAGTGTCAAAATGAAAAATCCCCCCCTCCCCATATCGAAACGAAGTTTCTGATGCTGGATTTGCGTACACGAATCAGGTCTGTCGTGCTGGAGAGGACTGCAGGCATATGCCAAGCCTGTGTCGAGAGGTTTTGACGTAGGGGACTAGCATGGCAGATGTCGGCTCTGTAAGCCCAACAGCATCACAAACCGCCGGCATAATGCGGCGGACTCTCTGGCTTTGCCTTCCCGCAAGACAGACAGGATTTGTGGCCTCAAATCTGCGTCACAAATTTTCAGACGAATGCGTTTTCAATATGGGGAGGGGGGATTTTTCCTCACAATACAGAGTGTCAAGCACTACACGGACGACTTTTTGTTGGAAGAGAAAATCGAGCGGTTGCAGGCGGTTACGTTCCTGATGCAGCTGAAGCAAACGCAATTACTGCAGCAAACGGAAAAGAAGATGAAGCAGAAGAAATACGAGGTGGAAGCGGCCATGACCATGTGGTCGGACCACCAGCACTGGTTCCCAACGAGCACTTCGGGCACGATGGTGACAGGCACGAATGCAGTCACGTCGAGTGTCTCTTCCCTGAATCCTGATCTCACCGGGTCCTTCGCGCCCTCCACGTTTTCCCTCGCGTTCCTGGAAGAGGGACTGACGGAACTGGTCGCGGCGAAATCAAAGGTTTCTGGGGTTTCCTTATCCAGTGGGGGGAATATAATGTCCGGGTGTGGAACATTTTGATTTTTGCAAAAGTTGTTGCATATGACGTCAGGGCCGTCGAGTTTGTGAGATGCATGTGGCGAACAAGCGGGGTCATCGCTGGTAGTGTGTATTGCAAAAATAATGGTGCGACTACTTCTTTATGCGGAATATGCAACAATCACAGGGCAGTACCCCGAAACATTGTCACGCGTGCTGCCTTGCTACTGCAGTCAGTACTTGGTAGATCCGTAGAGTTGCTCTTTCTAAAGTTGTTCTTGCTAAATCCTAAACCCCAAACTGACAGTTTGGGGTTTAGGATTTAGGACATGTTTAGGAAACGAAAACAAATTTCCGTTTCCTGGCCCAAAGGACATGATATTTGCATTTCATATTCCTCTCCGGAATTCGACTTTGGTACGTCGAAGATGTCACAATTGCAGGAATCTCTGTTGCAGGAGACGCAGCTGCAGTGGCGCACGTACCAGACGGTGTATGACAACAGCAAGATATCAAATGTAGAAATGTCTGGGTCTGGAAGAATTGGAACTTGTGATGCTAACTCTGGTCTGTAAAAAAATCTGTATTGCATGACCAGCAAGAGGAGTCTAGTTTGTGCTACGCGGCGGGGAGAGCGTTTGTCATGCGGAGCAGCCATCAGGAAGCCCTCTAAAAATCTGTGATGCTACGTCGTGCATTACAGACATCCTGGGTCATGCAAAACATGCATGACAAGTCTCAGAATCTTCCAGACCCAGACATTTTTACATTTGATACAAGGTAAATCTGAACGACGCGGTGTACTCGCAGTCCAAAACCGCCAATGCCTATCAAAATGAAAAATCTTCCCTCCCCATATCAAAACAGAATTTCTGATGTTGGATTTGTGTACACAACTGCGCTTTGTATTGCAAGAAGGCATTGCGGCCAGATACCCAGCCTAGGCAGAGGCGTCTGGGTCTAGTTGTTCAGCATGGCAAACAGCTCCCCTTTAGGCCAAACAGCATGACAAACGGCTTCCATAATGGGGCGGCAGCTTCTGCCCTGGTCTTCTTGCAACACAAAGGCGATTTGTGACCTCAAATCAGCAACACAAATTTTCGGAAACATACATTTTCAATATGGGGAGGGGGAGTTTTTCCTTTCGATAATGCCTTCACGCTGACCAAGGCGGTCGCGGTACCGCTCGCCATTGACGGCACCAAGCGGCTGAAGGCCCAGCTCGAGAAGCTGCAGCAAAGAGCGGCGGAGAAAATGAAGAAAGCTGCGGAGCTGGAGAAGCTGCAGAAAGCAGCGGAGCTGGAGAAGCAGAGGACCATGCCGGGGCAAATATGCCGTGCAAAAGCATCGTATTCGTACTCGTATAGATGCAAGTCTTGCATTACAAATCTTTTTATAAGGCAAATCCGCATGACAAATTCCATTGCTCATGCTAAGGAAACTTGTATTGCAATTTATACTAGTACGAGGCTTTTGCAATGCATAGCAAAGTGGGGACGTCGACATGCCGCCGGCCGACGGGCAGCAGCAACTCCAACTTATGGATTGCAAAAATGTCTGGGTCTGGAAGAATGCAACTTGTGACGCTATTTTTCAAATCTAAAAAAATCTGTATTGCATGAGCAGCAAGAGGCGTCCAGTTTTTGGTCCGCGGAGAGGGCATTTGTCATGCGGGATAGGCATCAAGATACCCGCAAAAAATCTGTCATGCTAGGTCATGCATTACAGGCATCATAGCTCATGCGAAATATGCATGACAAACCTGGAAATCTTACAGACCCAGACATTTTTGCATTTGATACAACTCCAACTTCTGCCACAAGCAGTCCAGGCTGATCTGGACGACGCTGCAACACCGACGCAGTCCCGAGCAGCTCCAGCACAATCGCCGCGGCCAAGCTTTTCCAAACAGGCCGCTGCTGCCACGCAATGGGAGCTGGAGCAGCAACGCAGGAAGGCAAAGCGGGATATCAAATGTAAAAATGTCTGGGTCTGGAAGAATGGAAGGCTTGTCATGCTTGTCTGGCATGACCCATGATGCTTGTAACGCATGACCCAGCATCACAGATTTTTGGAAAGCTTCCTGATGCCATTTCCGCATGACAAATGACCTCCTCGCGTAGCACAAATGTGGCTCCTCTTGCTGGTCATGCAATACACATTTTTTTAGAGTCCAAAGTTAGCATCACAAGTTCCAACTTTCCAGACCCAGACACTTTTACAGTTGATACGGGATGACATGCAGCCACCCGAGTACGAGGAGATTTTGTCGGCCGCGCACTTATCAACTGCAAAAATGTCTGGGTCTGGAAGATTGCCAGGTTTGTCATGCATATTTTGCATGACCTATGATGTCCGTGATGCATGCCCTAGCATCACATATTTTTAGAGGACTTTGCGAATCGCAAATTGCAATGCCTCTACCGCATGAGAAATGCCCTCTCCGCATAGCACAAACTGGAACGCTCTTGCTGGTCATGCAATGCACATTTTTTTAGAATCCAGAGACAGCATTACAAGTTTAGAATCTTCCAGACCCGGACACTTTTGCAATCCATACCACTACTTTCGCGACAAGGTCGCTCCCGAAGTAGAAAATTTGCCGTGGTTGAAGCATGGGGACGCTGAAATTTTCCCCGCGAACACCCGCCATCCAGATGATCCCCTGGGCCGAGGACTTCCAGCACAGAAAATCAACTATCAAATGCAAATATGTCTGGGTCTGGAAGAGTGAGCGATTTGTCATCTAGCTTTTCCATGACCCGTGAGGTCTGGAATGCAGGACCTAGCATGACAGATTCTGTGCGATCTCTCTCGTGCCTGTCCTGCATGAGAAACTCCCTCCCGACTTGGTCAAAACTGGACGGCTTTTGGTAATCCTGCAACACAGATTTTTGCATGCTTCAGATTTAGCATGACAAGTTGCATTCTTCCAGACCCAGACATTTTTACATTTGATATCAACGGACTCGACTCGATGAAAACGTTCAACGACGTGATCGAGCTATGCATTGCAAAACCAAAAGTATCGCACTCGCATATAATAATTGCATCACTAGTTTGCTTAGCATGAGAAAGAAATTTTGTAATGCGGATTTACCTTAAGAGAAATTTAATGCATGACTGCAATTACTACGAGTGCGATTATACTTTGGCAGTTCATACGAGCCCAACATCAGCAAATTGGCAGACCTGGTCATTACCAAGAAGTTTCCGTGGTATAAGCAGGACGCAGAGGTACAGAAACTCGTGGTCACGCATTACGATCCTCCCCCGAGTGCAGAAAATCCTAAGGCGGGCCAGAAGCAGCGGTTCAGCAGCGACTGGACCGAGCTCGCAAAGCACCTTATCAACCGTAAAAGTGTCTGGGTCTGGAAGAATCCAACTTGTCATGCTGATTTTGGATTCTAGAAAAATCTGTATTGCATGAGCGGCAAAGAGAGTCCAAGTTTTGCTACACGGAAAGAGCATTTGTCATGCAGTATAGGCATCAGCAGGAAGCCCTCACAAAATCTGTGATGCTAGGGCATGCATCACAGACATCAGGAGTCATGCAAAACGTGCATGACAAGCCTGGCAATCTTCCAGGCCCAGACATTTTTACATTTGATACACCTCAAGTCCTACGACGAGACCATTAAGAAAATACACGAACTCCGACAAAAACGGATGGAGAAGTACAAAAACTTTGCAACTGCGAATAAAAGCAAGCAGACCCACGAGTATGAAATAGCGAAAAAGGAAGAGGAGGCCCGAAAGGAAGCGCAGGAAAAGGAAGCCCAGCAGAAAGCCGCGGACGAGGAAGCAAAGCAAAGAAAAGCCAACACACCAAAAGCGGGCGAGTTCACGGACACAAAGGAAGCCCAGACACCGGCGAATAGCGCTCACGAGGTGGGGACGAAGCCGCCAAGCTTTGGGATGGACCTGCAACCGGGTGAGGCGGGTGCAACTACGCCTGCAAAAGCTGGATCGACGAGCCCGCGGGGGGGTTTGCAACAGAAAGAATCGGATAAGAACAACCCACCTGTTCAGGGTAGCGATTGTGATGAAGATTCCGACGGCAGCACGGCCTCCGGCCCAGCCAGCGAACTCGCAGTTGAGAGTTCATGCGCCAGCAGTGATGACGAAGAATTGTGTCGCCGAACCCTCGCCTCCCGCCGCAACGCGAATTTGCGCTGCACCTACACCAGCCAGAGTGTGGGTTTCGAAAATGTCGCGCGCACGTGCATCAATCACGCGGAGACGCTGGGCGAGCGGGCCGCGGATTCCTTCCGTCAAGCCTGCAATCGACGGCAGAGAGAGCGAAGCCAGGGTTTGGCGGTTGCATATGGAGCAGCTGGAAGTGGTCAGCAACTGAACCCTGATGCGATGGAGGTGGATTATGCCTCCGGCGGACTGGCACACCAATATGCTGGCACGACGACAGGCACTCCATTTGGCCGCCGAGGTACAGGCCGGGCTGTTGCAGGGTCTCCGGAAGATGAGGACTCCGACGCTGCGAACGACTCTGATTTGGATGAAAACGAGGACGGTAGGAACTCCGCAAACCAAAACGAGGAAGCCGCGATGGCAAGTGCGCAGCAGCGAGGACACCTGAACGACGCCGAAAAAATTACGACTATGGTTTTGATGCACAATGACAAGCTGCTGCCCGACCACGATATGTTTGGGCACTCCAAGTACAGCATTGCGGATAAATCGATTGCGCAGTACAATGACGATCACCAACTCATCGCACAGGCGCTGATGATCGAGACGAAAAGGGATGAAGAAGAAGATGACAGAGCGCTGGAGAAGTTGAAAAACGACCTGGAGACGCCCCTCCTGCACATTCATTTTCATCTCACCCAACTCCGCACGGGTATGGAGGAAGTGCAACAGAAGGGAGGCCTGCGGGTCACAAACGAAGGTGGTGGCGAAGTGGAGAAAAAGTCCGTGCGAGCGGTTTACCTGGAGGAGGAACTGCACAACATTCATAGCAAATGGAACGAGTACCTGTACAAGATGCGCAACAGTGCGCAGGAGTTTATCAAGTACCTCCGCTACCAGGCGGATAAGGGCGCGGACAGTATGACCATTCTGTTCACCGACCTGACCGAAGACAGCATGCGCAAGATGCTCATGCTCTTCGGGGACGACGACGGGAGCTGGAGTCTATGCATTGCAAAAGTATCGTACTAGTATGAATTGCATTACAAATTTTGGCAAGAAGGAAAGCGGAGTTTGTAATGCTGCTTTGCCTTAGGAAAAAAATTTGTCATGCATATTTGCAATTAGTACGAGTACGATACTTTTGCACAGGATAGAGTCGGTCCTTGTACAAGGTCGCCACGTACCAGGGTGCAAATATGTCTGGGTCTGGAAGAGTGCATGCTTGTCATGCTTGTCTGACATGACTCTTAAATCTGTCATGCACGTTACCCAACAAGAGCCCCACTTTTCTGTCATGCAGAAACGCAGTTTGTCATGCAGAATAGGCAACACCTAGAAGCTCGGAATAAACTTGTCATGCTGAGCCAGCACTTGCGGCCTCCTCACGATACGCCACCCAGCATCACAAATTTCCAGACCCAAACATATTTGCAATGCATACCACGTACCAGGGCGCGCTGCGCGAGGAGCCACTGCAGCTGCAGCCGGACGGCCTGACCACGTTGCGGCAGCGTTGGCAGCTCAACTCCAAGGCCACACAGCTGAATTTCGCTGGGGCCGGGCAAGCAGAGACCTCGAGCCACAACTCCGCCCGTGCGGAGGCCGCGCGTTTGGAGAGCGAGGGAAAAATGAGCTTCGACCAGGATGCGAAGCGGCAAAAGCAGCAGCGGCTGCAAAACCGACGGAAATCTACGAGTGGAAAAATAAACTCCTCGGGCCAATTGCTCCAGGAACACCACCAGAACCAACTATCAAATGCAAATATGTCTGGGTCTTCAAGAGTGCCAGATTTGTCATGCTAGGTAGTCTGGCATGACACGGAGCTCTGTATTGCGTGGGTAGCAACAGCTGCTCTTGTCTGTCATGCAAAAAATCTGCTTGTCATGCGGAATACGCAACGCGGAGCCATTACGGTGTCGTGCTTTACAGCCATGTAATATGTCATGCTTGGCGGTGCATAATTACAGTGTGTTTTCTATTCACTGACATGCATCACAACTTTCCAGACCCAGACTACGTGTTTGCAGTTGATACCAGCTCGAGCAGTACAATTTTGTCCTCTCTGAATTTGAGCGGCGGGGCATTGAATTTTTGCTGAAAATCGGCGAAAAACCCATCTTCCCGATCGTGAACTTCGCGCTGGTCGCGGGTATCGTCGCGCTGGACACCTTTGCGGCCGTCGCGATCTGTCCCAAGTTGCTGAGCGCGCGGTTCGTGGCTGAGGCGATGTCAGACAGCATGGTGCTCTACCGCATGTGGACCTCGCACACCTTCCAGGGGTGGCACGTTTACGGGCTGAAGAAAGGCGTGTCAATGCTGCAGATGAACGCCATGCGGTACCACCGCGACCCAACGACCATGATATGAGAGTGCACAACTCCCCCTCCCCCTCATTCGCGTTGCGTGAACAGCAACGCAAGCGCTGGCAAACAAAAACATGCCGCTTTTGCATGACAAATTCCTGAGAGGATTGTAGTGCTGTTTTGGCCTACTTCGGAAGTTGTCATGCACAAGGTGCTTCTAACAGGCAGAAGATAGTTAGATTTGGGATTTTGCATGACAAATGAGGGCGAGGCGGTGGAGTTGTTCACTGTCATACATGAAATTCGGCCACCTCAAGGAGGAATGGACCACCTGGCGCCAAAACGTAGCGCATCGCGGCCTGTTTCAGAACATTTGGCAGACGGGGATACGCGGGTTTGAGCATATCGAAAGGAAAAATCCCCCCTCCCTATATCGAAATGGAAATCTGTGATGCGGGATTTGTGTACACAAATCAGGTTTGTATTGCAGGATGGCACTGCGGCCACATCCCCAGGCTAGGTAGGGGCGTATCGGTCTAGTTGTTCAGCATGGCAAACGGCTCCCCTTTAGGCCCAGCAGCATGACAAATCGCCTCCATAATGGGGGCGAAGCTTTTGCCCTTGTCTTCTTGCAAGACAGACGCGATTTGTGGCCTCAAATCAGCAACGCAAATCGTCGGAGACATATCTTTTCGATATGGGGAGGGCGGATTTTTCCTTTCGATAGAGCACTCGCTGGAGTCTTCCGCGGGAATGGGCGACAAGACCACCATATGCATTGCAAAAGTATCGTACTCCTACTCGTATAAAAATAAATACATGACAAATTTTCTCAGCATGAGAAATAAAATTTGTCATGCTGATTTACCTTACGAATAATATTTGTAATGCAAGACCTGCGTTTATACGAGTACGATACTTTTGCACAGGATACACCACTCCGGCGACCACCAAGACATGGGGCCAGACTATTCGCGACGCCTGGGACGACTATCCTGATTAAAAACGTCCCCACAACAGAGTCAAGATGGGGAATCTGCTAGACAGATCAACCAGCTTTGGGTGTTTGGCATGACAAGTTTGTCCTCGTAGTGTAATCCTGTTTAGCTAGTTCAGAAGCATCACAGACCTAGCATAGAAGCATGCTGATTCTAGCATAGCAAATAACTCCAAAACACAAATAGAAAATGCTTCTCAATGGGCTCCGCATGAGAGACTTTTTTGGCATGCAGAATTGCATCACAACTACGGGGCGGGGACGTTTTTGCGTGGGATAACGACCCCTACGCAGCCATGAACCAGGTAAAGACTACGGCGGTGGCGGGTCTCGAGTATCAAATGCAAATATGTCTGGGTCTGGAAATTTGTGATGCTAAAATGTGCATGATGAAAACAGTTCCTCATGCAGGAAAGCATGACAAGGCTGCACACTGCTTTATCATACGAACTCCGCATGAGAATAAATTGCGTTTTTGTACAACCACGTGCGAGGCTGCCACTTTTGTTGGTCATGCAACACAAATTTCACAGGAATGCAAGACCAGCATTACAAGTTCCAACTTTCCAGACCCGGACATATTTGCATTTGATATCGAGCAGGCCAAGCAGAAAGCTTCGGACACGTACACCACCTACGTGAGCCCGTACACCACCATGGTGACTGATAAACTTATCAAAAGGAAAAATCCCCCCTTCCTAATCCTATACTACAAAGGTATATTTTTGGAAATTTGCGAAGGTGATTTGTGGTCACAAATCGTGTCTGTCTTGCAAGAAGGCAGCCCCGCAGTCTCCGCCGCATTGTGCAGGCGGTTTGTCATGCTGTTGGGCCTACTACAGCGCGGCCGTTTATCGTGCTAAGTGCCTAGGCCAAAACCTCTCTACTTACCCTTAGTATCGGCCTGCAGTGCTATCCAGAAAGACCGATCTGATTTGTGTACACAAATCCAGCATCAGAAGTTTCGTTTTGATATGGGGCGGGGGGATTTTTCCTTACGATAAAACTGAAGGACTATTTTCCGACCGTGATGAGCCTCGCCCCCGAAGGCGCCACCGTGGCGGTAACGGAAATCGTGCTATCAACTGTAAAAGTGTCTGGGTCTGGAAGAATCCAACTTGTCATGCTGATTTTGGATTCTGAAAAAATCTGTATTGCATGAGCAGCAAAGAGAGTCCAAGTTTTGCTACACGGAAAGAGCATTTGTCATGCGGTATAGGCATCAGGAAGCCCTCACAAAGTCTGTGATGTTAGGGCATGCATCACAGCCATCAGGAGTCATGCAAATTGTGCATGACAAACCTGGCAATCTTCCAGACCCAGACACTTTTACATTTGATACGTGCAGGAAGGGGCGGATGACGCGATGGTAGTATGACAGTGCACAACTCCCCCCCCTTCTCATTTGTCATGCAAAATACCCAATCCACCCATTGGCTCTTAGCACTGTTTGCATGACAAGTTCTGGTTGCCCAACTAGCACTACACTCCAGTGCAAATTTGTCATGCAAAACCGGCATTCTTGCTTAGTACCCTTAGGTTCGTTTGTATTGCCGTTCATGCGATACAAATGAGGAGGAGGGGGAGTTGTGCACTGTCATAGGTAGCGGGTACCATCCACAAGTCCGGTGATCTGCTCGGAAACCTTATCCTGAGTAAAAACGTACCCACACCAGAGTCAGGATGAGGATTTTGCAACACAAACCTAGGAGTTTTGTGAGTCACGCATGACAAGTTGCGCTATGCAGCGTAGTGCAGGTTAGCAAGTGCAGCCGCATCACAGATTCATCTGCTCATCCTGTTCACAGCATCACAAATTCCAAAACACGATTGGAAATGGCTCTCATGCGGATGCGCATTGCAAGTCTTCCTGTCTTTGCAAATCTGCATTACAACTCTGGTGTGGGTACGTTTTTCCTCAGGATAAACCTGATGAACTCGCTGAAACATCACGTAGGAATATCAAATGCAAAAATGTCTGGGTCTGGAAACTTGTGATGCTGAGTGGCGTAGCATGAGGAGGCCACGAGTGCTGGCTCAGCATGACAAATTTCTGAGCTTGTAGATGTTGCCTATTCTGCATGACAAACAGCGTCTCCGCATGACAGAAAAGCGCGGCTCTTGGGCAACGTGCATGACAGATTTAAGAGTCATGCCAGAGAAGCATGACAAACATTCACTCTTCCAGACCCAGACATTTTTACAGTTGATAAGGAAGGTTTGCAAACAAGATTGCCAGCCACCTGGCAACCAACGCCCCGCGCACCTACGCGGCCACTTCGAGCGCGGTGGCAATTGGGTCCGTGGTGGCGCAGCACACCGTTATGGATTGCAAAAATGTCTGGGTCTGGAAACTTGGAATGCTAAAAGTGAATGATAGACGTACTGCAATACGCAGCTATGCATAACAAAATTTTTGGCTGCCATGTCTTACGTATTCCGCATGGCAAACTGCGTTTTTGCATGACAGGCAAGAGGGCCTTTTCGTGCCTATGCAACACAGATTCTCGAGTCATGCCAGACAAGCATGACAAACTCCCATTCTTCCAGACCCAGACATATTTGCATTTGATAACCGTGGCCAGCGCGCAATTCCAGACCATGGCCTTCGACGTCGCCTCCGACGTGATTCAGCGACGGTATGCTGTGTCGAAGCGTCCCCAACCCATACGTCAAGATGGCAAATCTGCAACACAAATCTCCAAGTTTTCTGAGTTCTGCATGACAAGTTTCAATCTGCAGTGTAGTGCTGGTTAGCAAGCAAAGCCGCATGAGGAAGCCATTTATTTCTCATCCTGTTTACAGTATTACATATGGCACACCACGATTGGAAATGCCTCTCATGGAGATGCGCATTCCCAACGATCCTGTCATTGCGCAACTGCATGACAACGCTGGGGTGGGGACGTATTTGCTGAGGATAGACGGCTAGCTGCGGCCATCATGCCGACGGTGCTGAAAATCGAGTCGCAGCTCAGCATATGGATTGCAAAAATGTCCGGGTCTGGAAGAATGCTGGAGTTTGTCATGCAGATTTTGCATGGCCCATGAGGTCTGTGATGCATGCCCGAGCATCAGAGATTTTGCGAGCGCTTTCTGATGCTCATACCGTGTGAGAAATACCCTCCTCTCCGCGAGGCACAAACTGCACTTCTTTTGCTGTTCATGCAATACAGATTCTATGTAGATTCCAAAAGTAGCATGACAAGTTGCATTCTTCCAGACCCAGACATTTTTACATTTGATACAGCAAGGCGTTTGACGCCTCGTTTTGCAAAATCTTTGGGCAGGAGTATTGGCTTATCACACAGAAAAAAGCTGGCAGGGCACATCTGTAATGCAAAAATAAATACACAAAAAAACCTGTATTGCATGTCGGAAGCAGCATGCTATGGGGCCACCCATGACAAATTTTTGTGTGTATTTGTTTTTGCATTACAAATATGCCCTGCCAGCTTTTTTCTGTGGGATATGGCTCCAGGCCGCCCGCGGCTCGGGCGGCCAGGACCATAGTGACCAATCTACATTGAATCGAGGCACAATTGCAACTTCCCGGGGGCAGCAAGCCTTCGCTGCGTCGAAGATGGATGCTTTTTTTGTGAAGCTCCTGGCCGTTTTCGGGAACAAGATTGAGCGGGTGACCGCCTTTCTGCAGAAGAGCATCTTTGCCGTGATGGGCGGCGCCTCGGCCGCCGCCGGGCTTGGCGGGTCCGTCGCGGGCACCATGGTGGGCCGAAACAACCTGCAGACCATGCAAGACTGGGTTGCCGCCGGCTTCGTTCTCACCTCCACAGCGGGGATGGTTGGACACAACGCCTACTACGACATGTCTTCCACAAATATCGCAAGAAAAAACTGTTTCACTGTAAAGTTGTGATGCATGAAATGGAACACAGAAGAAGTATTTGTCTTGCTACACATGCAAGAAAGTGTATTTTTAGCTGGGTCTCCTCTTAGGAAGCTTGCATGGCACATTTTCTCTGTCATGTAGAGCGAACTTGTCATGCAAAACCTGCAAAATCCTTTCAGTGAAACACTTTTTTCGTACGATAACAGACCACCACCGTGCCACAGAACGGCGAGCCAGTCCGACGGCGACGCAATTTCTGTCCGCGGTGGCGGTCGGGGGGTCGTTGGTAAGGCTCGGCACCGAAATTCTATCCTATGTGAAAACGTCCCCACCCCATAGTTCTCATGCTAGTCTGCATGCTGAAAATGTTTCTCATGCGGATCCCCATGGGAAGCATTTATTTCTAGTGGTGTTGCGGAATTTGTCATGCTCCAATCAGAATGATATGCTAGATCTGTGATGCTGCTGAAGTAGCTAAACAGGATTACACTACGAAAACAGACTTGTCATGCGCAACAGCCAAAAATGGTGGATTTGTGTAGCAGGTTTGCCATTTTGACTCTGGGGCGGGGACGTTTTTACACAGGATAGATTCACGGGCAAATTCAGTCCGCCACGCGGCAATTCGAAGCTATGGTGGACAAACAGACGGACATCCAGACCCTTCTGGCAAATATCAAATGCAAAAATGTCTGGGTCTGGCAAGTTGGAACTTGTAATGCTAGTCTTGCATTCCTGTGAAATTTGTATTGCGTGACCAACATCAAAAGTGGCAGCCTGCTCTCACGTCATACAAAAACGCAGTTTCTCATGCGGAGTTCGTACGATAAAGCGTTGTGCAGACTTGTCATGCTTTCCTGCGTGAGGAAGTGTTTTCGTTATGCACAGTTTAGCATCACAAATTTCCAGACCCAGTAGACATATTTGCATTTGATAGCAAAGAGTGTGCTGCAACAGAGCCACGCGGCGGCGAACAGCGGCGATAATACCCATTTCGCTAGTGGTCAACGAACGGGCGTCGACCAGAAACAGACGAAGATCACTCGGCGCGAGCTGCAGCAATTTTGGCAGAGCGCGGAGGGCAAGTATCTGCAGAAGCAGTGGGATCGAAACTTTTCGAACAGCGAGCAGCTGGGGTTAATTCTCGAATCGCAGAACCAGCAGACTACCACCGTGATGGACACGATTGTGGAAGAAATGGAGAAAATTCGTGCCAGACGTGAGCATATGCATTGCAAATATGTCTGGGTCTGGAGGAATACAAACTTGTGATGCGCATTTCAGAACACAGAAAAATCTCTCATGCATAGGTAGCAAAAGCTGCCCACTTTCTGTCACCAAAATGGGGGATTACTATCTAAACTGCAGCAGCTGGTCAAAAATGCATGCGAGGGGTATGTTCGGGGGTATGTTCGGGGGTGTGTCAGGGGTATGCAAATGGCAGTCAATCACGACCTGAATACAAATTTTTGGCGAAAAAGCAACAGGTGGGGTATAAACATACCCCAGACACACCCCAGACACACCCCAGACATACCCCAGACAGACCCCCGAACACACCCCAGGCAAAAAGTCCGAACATACCCCAGACACACCCCGGACACACCCCGGGCAGACTTTCCGACACACCCCGGGCAGACTTTCGGACACACGCCGGACACACTTTGGGACCTCGCCACGCGAGATGCGCAATGCCGGCCTCCAGTTTGTCACGCGAGCCGCCAGCCTGTCGAGCTTACCGGGCCCCGTGGGCAAGGCCCAGGGGCGAAAGGCGCCCTCGGTCAGCGCGGGGACCCAATCCCCGCGTCATGACCTGGGGGCCAGCTTCCTTTGGGCGCTTCCCGGACACCGTACGGCCCAGGGGCAAAAGCTCCAGGTCAGCGCGGGGACGCGGTCCCCGCGTCATGACCTAGGGGCCAGCTTTGGGCGCTTCCCGGAAACTAACCGCGCGGCCCAGTGGCAAAAGCCCTAGGCCAGCGCGGGGACTCGGTCCCCGCGTCATGACCTAGGGGCCGGCTTTGGGCGCTTCCCGGAAACTAGCCGCACGGCCGAGGAGCAAAAGCCCTAGGTCAGCGCGGGGACTCGGTCCCCGCGTCATGACCTAGGGGCCAGCTTTGGGCGCTTCCCGGAAACTAACCGCACGGCCCAGGGGCAAAAGCCCTAGGTCAGCGCGGGGACTCGGTCCCCGCGTCATGACCTAGGGGCCAGCTTTGGGCGCTTCCCGGAAACTAACCGCACGGCCCAGGGGCAAAAGCCCTAGGTCAGCGCGGGGACTCGGTCCCCGCGTCATGACCTAGGGGCCAGCTTTGGGCGCTTCCCGGAAACTAACCGCACGGCCCAGGGGCAAAAGCCCTAGGTCAGCGCGGGGACTCGGTCCCCGCGTCATGACCTAGGGGCCAGCTTTGGGCGCTTCCCGGAAACTAACCGCACGGCCCAGGGGCAAAAGCCCTAGGTCAGCGCGGGGACTCGGTCCCCGCGTCATGACCTAGGGGCCAGCTTTGGGCGCTTCCCGGAAACTAACCGCACGGCCCAGGGGCAAAAGCCCTAGGTCAGCGCGGGGACTCGGTCCCCGCGTCATGACCTAGGGGCCAGCTTTGGGCGCTTCCCGGAAACCAACCGCACGGCCCAGGGGCGAAAGCCCTAGGTCAGCGCGGGGACGCGGTCCCCGCGTCATGACCTAGGGGCCAGCTACACATCCGGCGCCAGCTTCTTCCTTTGTGTTCTCTTTGTTCGCGGTAGGCCAACGGGCCTAGTGTGGGCAAGCCGAGGGGCTCCGTCCGCAGATCTGCCGCGGATCAGGGGGCGCAGGCCACACAGAGACACCGGGCTGCAGGGGCCTGCCTGCCCAGTGCCAGCCACCACAACCCCCGAACTCGTCCCAGACAATTGCCGGAAGGTCGCCGCACGGGGACTCTGTCCCCGTGCTCGGACCTTGTTTCTCATGCAGATTCAGCATTGCGGAAGCTTCTCGAAACCTGTAATGCTAGAGCTTCCATGCCAGACCTTCTGCGTCATGCAAAAACAGCATGACTCTTTCAGACCCAGACACTTTTGCATTCGATAGAGCAGTACCGTTTGCAAATCCACCAAGCGTACATCGAGAAGAAAGTGGCGCAGCGGCTCCAGATGACCTCGTTTTCGGCCAGCGGCTCCGTGAAGCAGCGGGAGCAGGAACAGGAGCGAGTGAAAAAACAGGTCGAAGAGGAGCTGTTAGCGGTGTACGAAAAGCAGGAGCAGCACCAGATTCAGATGCAAAACTTTGTTCTGGAAAAAATCGAAGAAAAGTGCGACGCCTACCGGGAGGGGTTGCCAACCATGCGGGAAAACTTTTACCACGGCATGAAAAAGGCGTTTTTCGACAAGGTCTCGAATAAGGTAAATCACGATGTTGTCGAGCCAGCGGTGAGCGGATTTCTGCAGATATCAAAAGGAAAAATCCGTCCTCCCCATATCCAAACGAAGTTTGTGATGCTGGATTTGAGTACACAAATCAGATTCGTCTTGCTGGAGAGGACAACTGCAGACCCATATCAAGCCTGAGTAGAGAGGCTTTTACCTAGACGCTCAGCATGAAAAACGTCCGTGCTGTAGGCCTAACGGCATGACAAACCGCCTGCGTAATGCGGCGGAGCCGGTGGAGTTGCCGTCTTGCAAGACAGACGCGAGTTGTGGTCACAAATCAGCAACCCAAATTTTCGAAAATCTACCCCATCAATATATATGGGGAGGAGGGATTTTTCCTTGCGATAGCAGAACTCCTTTGACCGCGACGCGGCAGCGGTGATTCAGATTAACAGCGACGGCGACAGTATCACAGGAAAAAAGTGTTACAGTTTACACATTTGTTGTTGTAATTTCAGCATCACAAAGTTGCTCTGCATCCTAAAGAAAACTTGTAATGCGCAGTAGACTAGAAAGGAAACCACGCATGAAATGAGGCTGGCAAGCATTTCCTGCATGACAGAGGTTGCCTGTCTTGCTCCTTGTCTTGCATCTTCAGAGTGTGTATTACTGTAACACTTTTTTCTCACGATAGACAGCATCGGCATCGAGGGTCCGCTGCGAACCGGCGCTTACGTCGACAGCACTGGCGGCTCCGGAACTACAGCATTAACCACGTCTTCCAGCGGATTTTTCGTCGGCCTAGGATCTTCACATCGAAAAAGTGACAATCTGCAAGGTGGATCATTACACCAGCAAGCAGCGCTTTCCCAAAGAAACCTGCAGATCGTGGAGAGAGATTTCCTCGACTTGGCTGGCGGTAACATATGACAGTGCACAACTCCCACGCCCCTCATTTGTCATGCAAAATCCCAAATCCAGTCGCAGCCTTGTGGCACTGTTTGCATGACAAATTCCGGAAGCCCAAGAAACAGTACTACATGAGGCACATAGATTTGTCATGCAGAGGCTCCAAGTGCGCTGGTGTTTGTATTGCTGTTCATGCCATACAAATGAGGGCAAGGGGGAGTTGTGCACTGTCATACAACACGGCACAGTTCCAGTACGGGTTGTCGAATGACGAGGAGGAAGATATCAAATGTAAAAATGTCTGGGTCTGGAAGATTGCAACTTGTCATGCTAAATCTGAAGCATGCAAAAATCTGTGTTGCATGATTACCAAAAATCGCCCAGTTTGGACCAAGTCGGAAGGGAGTTTCTCATTCAGGATAGGCATGAGAGAGATCACACGGAATCTGTCATGCTAGGTCCTGCATTCCAGACCTCATGGGTCATGGAAAAGATGCATGACAAATCGCGTATTCTTCCAGATCCAGACATTTTTGCATTTGATAGAAGAAGGTGTTGAACAACAAACGGGTGAAAATTCATCTGATGAATCCGCTCTACTCATGCGGAAGTTGGAGCGGCAAACCGCGAGCCTCGTGGAGAGACAAGCGGAATTGGAACAGCCGGGGGCTGTGATGGCGCCCGAGTCGGTGCGCAAGAATGCGGCGAGGGCGTCTATGCAGCTGAAGTGGGCGAATGAATTCTACGACGAGTCATCGAATAAAGATGACCTACGCGGAAGTGAAGACCATGATCAAAGGTCGCTGCTCCTGCAAAGAGCTATCTTCAACAAACTCTTCTTGCTTTCGACAGCAGGGGAAGCAGGACCTGCTGGGGATAAAAAGGAAGAAGAAAAGACAATGAATGTTGGAAGATTGTCCTGGACTCGTCTCGTCGATCTGTACACGGAAGTGCTGGACACGCTAGTCGTGTCTACTAGTCATGCCCCTTTAATAACATCCCTGGATGCGAACACCAAGGTGCAGCAGCTGCAGATCTTCCTTCAGGATGTCTACGCGAAGGGGGAAAAATTTACGGAGACGACAGAACTACCATCCGTCAAGCAGACCACGCCGGAGCACCATGGAAATAAGAACAATAAGATTTCCTATGTCATCGAGATCGCAGATGACGAAAATTCAGCACCAGCAGGCCGCGTCATTTCAAGTGCCGCAAAGACGAGCGCTGGCGTAACTTCTGGTGTAGGTTCTGTGGCAGGAACAAATGTGCTGTCTTCTGCGACGTCAACCTCCCCGACCATGACAGTAGGAAGTCCGGCGGCACAACTGCAAACAGGAACGACGGCTGGCGCTGATAGTGGAAGTACATCAAAGCCTATCGTCTGCAAGCTGCACCCCGTGCAGTTGGTCTTCGCGCTCTGGAAGGCGGTGCGGGTTACAGAAATGCTGTTAGAGAACAAGCGGACCCGGCTCGCGGGGGAAAAAAAGCACATCAACGCCCAGAACAGTGACAATTATTCCGACGTTGAAGATGAACAAGGTCAATTTTTGGACGGCAGTGGGATTTATTCCAGCAGCTTTATCCTGTGCAAAAGTACCGTACTCGTATTGCAATCATTGCATTACAAATCTTGTTCTTAAGGTAAATCAGCATCACAAATTTTATTTCTCATGCTGAGGAAATTTGTAATGCATGTATAAGTACGAGTACGATACTTTTGCAATGCATAGGCTTCAACTCCAAGCGATTGTGGGACAGGTTTCTAGCGCGAACCAGAAACATCAAGGCAGATACGATTTCTTTGAGGAAAGACATCAAGTCAGCCGGAGGTCTACTTCGGGGAAGTGGTACTCCGGAAAGTAGCCCCACGCTCGCGTCCCCCACCTCGCGCGGCCGGGCAAATTCCGGCCGCAACCTGCGCCGGTCCGGCACATCGTCTCTGGGTGGCGCTCTCTTTGGATCACCGAGCGAGTCCTTCTTCACCCACTCGAATCTTTTTGCACACGGTAATTTTGCAAGAGGATCCTCCTCTGGTGCTCCTAAAGTAAGCAGTGGTAACGACACCCCCACCATGCCTGATTTTGAGAAGATGCAGTTGGAAGGGTTGAAATTGCACACGGTCCTGGAGCTGGACGAACAGAAGATGCTGGAGCGATTTGACGTGAAAGTCCAGGATTTACGCAAACTTGATCCAACACACTTGCTGCTCTTATCGAGCAGCAGCTCCGGACGAGGTGCCACTAGTGCTGGTACAAGTCATGCCGCATTGCCCTCTGGTGCAGCTGCTCACTTGAACACGAAGCCTATCAACTGCAAAAATGTCTGGGTCTGGAAGAATGCCAGTCTTGTCATGCAGGTTTTCCATGACCCATGAGGTCTGGTATGTAGGACATAGCATGACAGATTCTGTGAGAGTTCTATCATGCCTATCCTGCATGAGAAACTGCCACTCGATTAGGTCAAAACTGGACAGCTTTTGGTAATGATGCAACACAGATTTTTACATGATTCAGATTTAGCATGAAAAGTTGCTTTGTTCCAGACCCAGACATTTTTGCAATCCACAAAGCAAGCAGAGCAGCACTTCAGTTTGACGCAGAAGGGCTACCTTTCGGATTATGCATTGCAAAAATGTCTGGGTCTGGAAGATTTGTCATGCTTGTCTGGCATGACTAGGAATTCTGTCATGCGTAGATGCAAAAAGATCGTCTTGTCGGTGATGCAAAAGTGCAGCCTGCCATGCGGACCATGCAACGCAGAGCAGCCCAAAAACCTGTCATGCTTGGCCACGTATTACAGTGCGCTCATTATTCCCTGGTTTGCATCACAAGTTTCCACACCGAGACATATTTGCATTTGATACGGTTATCGCCGGTGCAATCTCCAGATCGGCCAACAGTATCGCTACTTCGGGCAACAGCAATACGAATATTAAGCCAACGAGTACAGCAAGCGTTACCACGCTACAAAAATCCGCTGCGTCCCGTGCAGCTCACCGTGCTTTCCTGAAGCGCGCACGCGGTCTGGTCTCCTTCCGCAGCCGGGTGGGAGGCGCGCCTAGTACCTCATCGCGAGGTGCTGGCGGGATGAGCACCTTGCAGTCCTCTGGCGGCGCGCGAACAAGCGCAGGAGGGGCGCAGCAACTACACACAACCGGTGCAACTGGTGTTCCTTCCATTTCGGAACTTACAGCTTTGCAGCTGCAATCCACAATCGTACCGGCCGGCTACTTATCAAATGTAAAAATGTCTGGGTCTGGAAGAATGCAACTTGTCATGCTAAATCTGAAGCGTGCAAAAATCTGTGTTGCGTGCTTACCAAAAGCTGCCCACTTTTGACCTACTCGAGAGGCAGTTCTCATGCAGTGATGGAGCGCGCACAGAATCTGTCATGCTATGCCCTACATGCTAGATCTCATGGGTCATGGAAAACCTGCGTGACAAGTCCTTGTGTTCCGGCTACTCCGGATCGCAATCGATGGAGGGCGGGACCTGCACCGGCGACAGGCGCTACCCAACCAACCAACCAAGTCTGGCACTCTTCCAGACCCAGACGCTTTTACATTTGATACTACTTTGATGCGGAACACCTCCAAACCGCGAGAAATAAGAACGTCGTGAGTAGGGCCCACGACGAGGACCAAAGCCGCTCGTCTATCGCAAAGAAAAATCCCCCCTCCCCATATTGAAAACGCACGACCCGTCTGAAAATTTGTGATGCACATTTGTGACCTCAAATCTTGTCTGTCTTGCAAGAAAGCAAGTCCAGAGAGCCTCCTGCAGGTTGCAGGCGGTTTGTGATGCTGTTGGGCTTAGAGCATACACGTTTTTCATGCTAGGCGCCTACGTCAAAACCTCTCGGCCGAGGCTTGGCATATGCCTGCAGTCCTCTACTGCAAGACAGGTCTGATTTGTGTACGGAAATCCAGCATCAGAAACTTCGTTTCGATATGGGGAGGGGGGATTTTTCCTCTTGATATCTTCTTCAACCTCTACATTGAACCCCACGAACGGGGGCACTTTGGTTTTGCGTTTGGCGCTATGAATTGCAAAAATGTCTCGGTCTGGAAGATTGGAACTTGTCATGCTGTTTTTGGACTGTGAAAAAATTTGTATTGCATGACCAGCACGAGCGGTACAGTTTGTGCTGCACGGACAGGGCATTTGTCATGCGGAAGGTGCATCAGGAAGACCTCTAAAAGTCTGCGATGCCAATTCATGCATTACAGGCATCATGGGTCATGAAAACTATGCATGACAAATCAATCTTGCATTCTTCCAGACCCAGACGTTTTTGCATTTGATAGGCGCGCGACGAGGTGCAGCAGAGCCAGAAAAACCGAAACTTGATCTTCAGCACAGCTGGCGGCATCCGCCAGACCTCCCAACCCGGCACGACCGCAGACCGGCTCTTCGAGAGTCCGACGAATGTGCACCTGGTCGCGTCGCTGGAGTCCTTCGCGGCTTTGAGACTGCAGGGACTGATCCTGTCGAGCAAGAGCCCGAGCAGTGGGGAAATGTTGAGTACGAATGGTGTCGTCTTCGGCGAAGGCAAGGAAAACACAGGGTTAAAAAGACTGAATCCGGCGCCGATGTTATCCTGAGCAAAAACGTCCCCACCCCATAGTCAACATGGGAAATCAGCTAGACAAGTCTCCAAGTTTTGGGAGTTGCGCATGCCAGGTTTGCCTCTGCAGTGTAGTTCTGGTTAATAGCAAGGGAAGCCGTATTAGAAAGCCACTTTCTCATCCTGTTTACAGCATTACAAATTCCAAAACACGATTGGAAATGCTTCTCATGGAGCTGCGCATTACAAATCGATTCCTGTCCTTGGCCTTGCGCATTTGCATTACAGCTCCGGGGTGGGGACGTTTTTACACAGGATAGATGTTGTTGCGGGACTTCTGTTTGAGAAACTACAAATTCGTCCCGCCGGCACCGAGGCTAAGTAGTCCACCGGAAACTAGGTCTAGAAGCCTCTACGATCCCTCGAGTTCCCCGTCCGCTGCAAGCGGAGAAGAGCACCGGGACAGTTGGAATAAAGGAAGACAAGGCGTGAACCTTGATCAAGTGAAAGGCGGCGGCCGCTACGGTCAAGAACTATGGTGGGCCTACGCCTGTGAACTGCTGCAGTACGATGCGCATGGGCATACCGCCGAGTATTTGACGAGCCTGAAGCAACGGAGCAGCGTCGGCGCGGCGCCAGCCGCGTCGGATTTCCCGGGGGCGGCAGTTCGGGAAGGCGAGGGCGGGGCTCTTGAGGGCTCTGCTTCAGCCGAAGCGCGGCGGAAGAAAGAGGAAAAGGAGAAGAACAAGAAAAAAGAAAAAACAAAGAGGTCTTCGCCCTTCGACCGGTGGCTGGAAAAGAGCCTGAGAAGCACGAAAGCCTCGAAGAGCCACGCGCAGCTGAAGGGTCTCTTCAAGAGCCGGAATGACAAGCTGCAGATGGAGGTGTACGCCGCGATTCGCCGGGCGTCCATGAACCGAAACAACAAGCTGCAACGGCTTCTGCGCGAGAGCAGCGACGTGGACACGCCCATGGGAGTTGAAAATGCTGAACAACCTAGTACTAGTGCGGCTGGTACGACTACAACCGGCTTAGCGCATCTACAACTTCCTGGTGTCAATACTATCACGCCAACAAAGTTGTTTCAGAACTGGGAACTGAGGATCTCCGACTTGGAAAGTAAGCGCAATCCAGGGCGGGGGGCCACCCCGCCCGGCGCATTGTCCGTGTTCAGTCTGTTCTACAAGCAGACCACACGACCAGATGAATCAGCTGTTGTGTCGCTGCAGCAAGAAGACGAAAACGTGTTTGACAGTATCCAGCAAAGCCAGGAAGCGATCTCCACGCGCGGCAGTGGCGCAGCGTCTTTGCCGTTGGTGGCACTCATGAATAAGCCTCCCGCTCTTCCAACAGTAGGGCAGGGAGAAGTTCTCGGTGGTTCATCCGGAGGAGATGCTGGCGGTACATCAACCGGTGCAGCTCCAGGAGGTGAAACTGAAATTACATCGAGCAAGACGCTGTCGATCTTCCCCGCACAGGCGGGGGACATTCTGGCGAAGATTTCCAAGGTGGTGCAAGAAACCCTCGAGCAACAACTGCTCGTCAGTACCAGCACGGGGCTGCACAACCGTGCCGGGTACCTCGCGGCCGAGGGCAAAGAGCTGACGGAAAGCCTCGCTAGCAAGGAGGATTTCAAGATCGAAGCGCCGCAGATTTACAAGCGGCTTTCAGACTGGCAGAAAGAAAAGCAGTATCGAGAAACTACGCCCGAGTACGCACAGAAACAAGAGCAAAAGGCTATGAAATTGAAGGAGATCCGGATGCACCTGGCAAACGTGCGGAAAGAGGGGCACGCGATGCAGCAAATTCTGCAGGACTACACGACCGGGGTGGTCAAAACGACAAAGCGCATTGAGTCGGGGCTGCACTCGGCTTTCGCCGACGTCGAGCAGGACCTGCAGCAGTCGATCGGCAAAGAATACTACGTGGATCACACAGCCGCGAACCCGCGTGACCTCCGGGGCTCTGCGCGAATGACGGAAATGCGCGGGTTTGTGGAGCAATTGCTGGATAATTCTCTGGCACTGAACCTGAAACACGTGTTTGGTACAACTTCTAGAGCTTCGGTGGAGTGGTCGCAGCGGCTGGAGCAGCTGGAAAAGGTCCACAGCTGCGACGTTGACGCCCTTTTGCGCGACTACACGGACACCAGCGCAACCACATTCCAGTTGAACGAGGCGGCGCTGTTAAAGCCGCACGAGCTGTCCGGCGGAGAGGCCTTCGTTCTCGCCAGAACTAGTACGACTGGAGAAGAACAAGTTGTTAGTGGGCAGCTGGGTAGAAGTACTACAACTTCTATGCCCGCCGCAAAAATCACCAAGCTCTTCCGCCCGGGAAAACTGCTGACGTATTTTCGTGCGAAACTGGCCGAGCCGGTGCAGCAGGTGCTGGATGACCGAGTGAACAAGCAGTTAAGGAGGCTGAAAAAACAGATCGGGCACTTGGACGTCGAGCTGAAGGAAAAGCTGCCGGCGGAGCTGAGTGCAAAGATCGACGAACAGAAGCAAATCTTGCGAAACGAGGTGTCCGGCGTCAAGGCCCAAAAGTTGAGGGTGACGATCACGCAATTGAAAACCAGGCTGGCCGAGGAGTGGTCTAGCGCCAGAAATAATCCCCACAAATACGAACTAACTGTCTTAAAGACCGACATCGACACGATCTGGAGGGATTCGCCGCTCAAGGACTTCGAGGTCGCAGCTGAGCGTGATGATTTCACCGATCTGGTCGAGGATGTGCGGAAGAAGATGCATGAGCGATATACTGCAGAAATTGAATCGCTAAAGTCGCCTGAAACTAAGGAGAAATATAAGGAAAAGAATAAGAAACATATCCTCGTCGTCGCCGAGCAAACCCTGGCCAGCCTCAGCGGCCCTTTGGCAAAATCGCTGAAAACCGAGGACACAAGCTTCAATCCCAAAGCCCATTCAAGCATCAAGAGAGTGATGGACAAACAGGAGGCGTACGAGGAGCAGCGCAGTCTGCTGGAGAGTATAAAATGTAAAAATGTCTGGGTCAGGAAGAATCCGAACTTCTGATGCTGCATTTGGATTCCAAAAAAATCTGTATTGCATGACCAGCAAAGGGAATGCAATTTTGGCTAAGCGGAGAGGGCATTTGTCATGCGGAATAGGTATCACGAAGCCCTCAAAAAGTCTGTGATGCTAGGGCATGCATCACAGACATCATGGCCCATGCAATACGTGCATGACAAGTCTCAGAATCTTCCAGACCCAGACACTTTTGCCTTTGATAGAGAGCGAAAGGAAGCAGTTTCAAGAATTGAAAACGGAACTCGAGCAACTGTTGTCCAGCTTTGGGCGGTGGCTGTACCCCTTCGGCGGGAACGCCGCCGCCAGTCAGTTGCGGCAGATCGTGACCTTGGGAAAGGACAAGATCCACGAAAAAGTCCGGGAATTGAAGAAAGACCTGAAGAAACTGCAGCAGCAAAGTGAAAGTCCGGGTGGTGGTGCCGCGTCCTCGGGTACTACAACAACCGGCACCTCGACGGCAGCCCAACAAGTGGTCGAGGAGGAAAAGAAAGAAACGGAGCCTATCCTGATTAAAAACGTGCCGCCCACACCAGAGGCATGGTGGGAAATCTGCTAGACAAATCAACCAGCTTTGGTTGTTTGGCATGACAAGTTTGCCCACCTAGTGTAATCCTGTTTCGCTAGTTCAGAAGCATCACAGATCTCGCGTAGCATGCTGATTCTAGCGTCACAAATTCCACAACGCGAATAGAAAATGGCTCGCATGGAAGTCCGCATGAGAAACTTTTTCGGCATGCAGATCTGCATGACAACTCTGGGGTGGGGACATTTTTACTCAGGATAGAGCTCACGCTGGAGATGTGGACCGACTTGCAGGAGCAGTTCGCACAGCACATCTTCGCAGGGGAGCATGCGGAGCTGATTTCCATGGAAAAGGTAAATGAAGCCGACGACGGGGAGCCGGGAGGACGGGACGAGATGAACCGGGCGGAGCGACTGCAACCGAAAGCGAACACGAAATTCGATGCGTACGACACGACCAACGGGCGGCTTGCGGGCTATACCGAGGCGGAATTTGTGACGGCCGTGGAGTTATGAATTGCAAATATGTCTGGGTCTGGAAGGCTACAACTTGTGATGCTGCACTTGGATTCTACAAAGCTCTGTATTGCATGAAGAGCAAAAGAGGTCCAGTTTTTGCCACGGCGAGAGGGCATTTCTCATGCGGTAAAGACATAAGGAAGCCCTCACAAAATCTGTGATGCTGGGGCATGCATCACACATCGATCAGGTTCAGGAGTCATGCAGAATGTGCCTGACAAACCTTGCATCCTTCCAGACCCAGACATTTTTGCATTTGATAGGAGTCGCTGCGCGCGAAAGTGTACGAGCTGCTGGAAAAGAAGGGCCAAGCCGTATTGAAAGGAAAAACTCCCCCTCCCCATATTGAAAAGGTATGTCAACAAAAATTTGTGTTCCGGATTTGAGGTTACAAATCACATCTGTCTTGCAAGAAGACAAGGGCAGAAGCTTCCGCCCCATTATGGAAGCGATTTGTCATGCTGTTAGGCCTAAAGGGGAGCCGTTTGCCATGCTGAACAACTAGACCCATACGCCCCTACCTAGCCTGGGGATCTGGCCGCCATGCCTCTCTGCAATACAAAGCTGATCTGTGGCCACAAATCAGCATTACAGATTTCCGTTTCAGCATCACAAATTTCCGTTTTGATATGGGGAGGGGGGATCTTTCCTTTCGATAAGCCGTTCTCGAAAAACGGGTCCAAGCGGTGAACAAAGAACTGACGGCCGCCCGGGAACTGCTACACCAAGCGACCGGTAACGGCAGCCGGGATATGATGAGGAAGAATGATCCCTCCTCGTTGATGCCCTGCTATGGTGCTCAATTATTATAGGCGACTTGTGATACTCATGCTTTGTTTGGGTGCGGCGCAAGTAAAAGTCGCTTGGTATTCTTGCATAAAAGACAAGCGACTGCTTGTTTTCATTGCATTTTATACGCGAGTTTCCTTCCGTTCCTGTTTTATTGTCATGCCGAAAGAACGGGCAGAGTTCTAGTTGCTACACAGGCGAAGCCGAAGTATCTCTATCTGCGTAGGCCGCTGCCGCTGGCTTGCTGCAATACAAAGTCGTGACTTCTTGTACTACACACATCACATCCGCATCACACATTCTCCAGCATGTCACTGGGTCGAGGGGGAGGATTGTTCTTGCTGATACGGGACGCAGCAGCCACCTCCACTTCCAGGTCGTCTACCACGAGCAGGTCCATCAAGACCGAAAAGAATGAGAAGAAGCTTGACAGTTTAAAGCTCCAGCTCGAATCCTTCAAAACGGACCTGCTGGGCCCAGTGGCGCACGAGCTCCACACGGTTCTCTCGAAGGAAGACCTCGCTTCATCGTCAACGCCTGCGAAAAATGCAGCGGTAGGTGCATCGCACCCCGCTACAACTACTTCCACACTTACCACTGCGGGCAACGTGCCGGTGAAGCCGGTTTCGCAGCAACTGGGCAATGTGATCGCGGTGCGGTTCTTTGAGCACCTCGTCAAGCCCGTGCTGGCCAACTTTCTGAAGGCGAAGAAGCACCAGGAGGAGGTACAGGGCATGCTCTCCGTGGACGAATCCCTGTATGAACTGCAAAAGTATCGTACTCGTATAAATGCATTACAAATTTTCTCAGCATGAGAAATAAAATTTGTCATGCGGATTTGCCTTAAGAAAAAGATTTGTAATGCAAGACTTGCATTTATACGAGTACGATACTTTTGCACAGGATACCCTGCAGGAGCTGGCAAAATTCGGCGACTTCAACCGCATTCGCCACAGCGAGAACGCCGTGCAACTGCTATTGAATGTAAAAATGTCTGGGTCGGGAAGATTGCAACTTGTCATGCTAAATCCGAATCATGCAGACATCTGTGTTGCATGAGTGCCAAAAGCTGCCCACTTTCGACCAAGTTGGGAGGGAGTTTCTCATGCAGGAGAGGCATGACAGAGACCTCACAGACTCTGTCTTGCTAGGTCCCGCATTCCAGACCTAACGAGTCATGGAAAACCTGCATTACAACTTCCAACCTTCCAGACCCAGACATTTTTACGCTTGATAACTGCCCAACGAGAACTATTTGAACGCTATCATCCCGCCGGTGTTACTCTGCACGCCGGGTCGTGCCAGTGGTACGGCGGGCCAGGGACAGGCAACGCACCAGACGGGCGACTTCTGCCAACATCCACCTACTTCGTCGTCCACTGCTGCCCACGGGCAGCTACAGCAACAGGAATTATGCAGTGCAGAAGTATCGTACTCGTACTAATTGCAAACACGCATGACAGATCTTCTTCCTAAGGCAAAACAGCATTAGAAATTCCATTTCTAATCCTGAGAGAATGTGTGATGCTATTTATACGTAGTACGTTACTACTTTTGCAGTTCATAGGATTTCATCTTCCGGAATTTGTATGAAAAATGAACGAGATTTTTACCCCCAAGGACGAGCGCGAGACAAATTATTGGATTGGAAAGCAAAAATACGGCTTTGCATGATTATGGATTTTCTTGGTCAAACCCATCTGTGATGCCGGTCGGCCAATGCATTTCTATTACACGCGTCGATGATGTAGCTCTGGAGCCGCCTGGATGAATCGTTTAAACAAGCATTTCCCATTAATTTGTCGACGTAGTAGTCGAAATGAAATATGCCCGATTTTATTTTCCCCTTGTTGATATTATGTTGGAAAAAAAAAAATCTCAAGGAAATTCTACCGACGGCCTAAGGAGATTCTCCCTCAAGGAGATTCCCCCCCATAAAATTTAGATTATGAACTGGCGTCGAGCTTCATGCTCATATTAGCATAGAAAGAAATAGTAGACCAAGACGAGCGCTGGCGCCCGTGCAAGATGAAGGGATGAGCGTGGGCCAAACTACGTGCGCGCTGACCGTTGCCACCAAGAGCCCCCGGCCCGCCTGCGCACCGGGGGCGGAAGACTTTTTGGTCCTGCCCTTCGCCCGCCTGCCCCGCCCGTGTGGCGCCAGCCTTGCTGCAGCATCAGCCCAGGCTTCGCTCCGTCCTTACATACAAAACGCGCGCAGGCGCGCAGCAGCTCTCCTCTTGATTGGCTCCCGGCGGCGCGGTGCTGGCGGCATTTCTTTTGTTCGGTGTTTGCGTCTTTGAAACTGAACAGAACGCGACAGCTTCTACTTTTGCGCGCGACCCAGTCGCCAATGGTTAGCAAAAAAGCAAAGAACTTTTCGCGTTGCGCGCGTGCCCCTGCCTGTGGGTCCCTTTGTAGCCGGTTCGGCTGTGCGGTTTGCATGGCCGACAGCAAGAGCCGGCTTTTTCTACTCGCATGTAGTCCCGGGCCTTGCAGAGCAAAGACCTTGCTCCGCACACGAGCAGCGCGCGCTGCGTCCCCTCTTTCTTTGCGCCGACGGCGCTGCGCTTCAAATTCCTGCACCGTCGCGGTCGCAACGGCTTTTTTTATTTCGCGCGCGCGCCGCACCCGCTCACGCTCTGCCCGTCGTTGCTTCGCACCGACGGCCCTGCGCCTTCGTTCGCGGACCTTCAAAATTGCCTCCGCCCGCGCGCAGCACGTGCTCCGTTCCTCGTCGTTGTTTCGCGCCGACGGCTTTGCGCTTTTTTTCACGTGCGCACGGCAAAAATTTTAGTCGCGCGCGTGCCGCGCGCGTTCCACACTGCGTTGCGCCGCGCCGAGGCCCTTGCGCTTTCATTCTTGCATGGGCGGCCGGCCGACAAAAAAAAACTTCTTTCGCGCGCGCGGCGCGCGCTCCACCCTTCGCTGCTTCGCGCCAGCGCCCTTGCAGTTGCCTGAACGGGTACCCGACAGAAATCTTTCGCACACACGCCGCACCCTTCTCTGCTTCGCGTCAGCGGCCTTGCAGTTTGTTTCCTGCGTGGGTGCCACACAAAATTTTTTTGCGTGCGCGCCACACCTTCACCCCTGCAGTTTCTTGCACGGGGGCCCGACAAAAATTTTTTTCGCGCGCGCGGTGCGTGTGCCCCATCCCTTGTCGCTTCGCGCCAGCGCCCTTGCAGTTTTATTCTCACACGGGTGGTCAGAAAAAAATCGCGCGCGCTGCGCGCGCGCCATTTTTCGTTGCGCCGCGCCAGTGACCTTGTACTTTCTTGCGCGGGTGGCGGATTTTTTTCGGGCGCGCGCTGCGCGCGCTGCATCCTTCGACTCGTCGTGCCAGCGCACGCGCAGTTTCTATCTTGCACGGATACCCGACAAAAATTTTTCTCGCGCACGCGCTGCCCTGCGCGCGCTTCGTCCGCCACTGTTTCGCGCCAACGGTCCGGCGGCTTCTATTTTGCGCGGGCGGCCAAAAAAATTTTTGTTTGCAGCGCGCGCTGCGCGCGCCCCTTCCTTCGTTGCTTCGCACCAATGCCCTGGCGGTTTCTATTTTGGACGAGCGACCAAAAAATTTTTTTTTCCCGCGCGCGCTGCGCGCGCGTCATACTTTGTTGCTTCGCGCCAACGCCCTGGCGGTTTCTACCTTGCACGGCTGGCCGGCAAAAATTTTCTCTCGCGCGCGCGCTGCGCGCGCTCCAACCTGCACTGCCTCGCGCCAACGCCCTCGCCGTTTCTTGCGCGGGCGGCTGACTGACAAAAAGTTGGCTCGCGCGCGGCGCGCACTGCTCCATCCTTCGCTGCTTCGCGCCGGCACCCCTGCAGTTTCTATCTCGCACGGGCGACCGACAAATATTTTTTTGGCGCGCGCCTGCGCGCGCGCCGTCCTCCGCTTCACTGCACTGCTTTGACCTGGCGCCCTTCTAGTTTCTTGCACGGGTGGCCGACACAATTTTTTTCGCGCGCCTGCCGCGGGCGTGCCCTTCTTCTTCGTTGCCCTACGCCGAGGGCCATACGCGTTCGCTCGCGGCTGGCCGGCGAAAATTCTTTCCACGGGGGCGCGTTTTTGCTTCTTGGGTGTGGGCATTTGGAGTGCTGTACTCGGGCTACCCCGGGTCGTGGGTCCACGGGTTTGCTGCCGAGTCACCATCTCAGTGTGTGGCTGGGGTGCCGGTCGCCGCAAGTTGCAGGGCCTGCTGTTCCGGCCGTTAAAAAGGGCCCGATTTGGCGGGGCGCCCTTGAAATCGCGCCAGATGAACAGCCCGGGGCGCGCTGCTCTTGCAATCACGCTGGAGTTGCTGAGGGGTGGCCTCCCTTTCAAATTGCGCGCAAGCATGCAGCGCCTGAGCGGCTGCCGGGCGCCTGGCCCTTGGTTGGGGTTGAGCTTTTGTTGTGCGACTTGCCTGGCGCGATTTGTGTTTCGTTTGAGGTCGATTCTAGTTGGTCGTGGGGGTGGTTTGCCTTTGAGGTCGCTTCGGAGCGGGTGCGGGGTGATCTGCCTCTGATGCGCTGTGGTGCGAACGGCTGAGAGGCGAGTTGCCGGTAAAGCGGTCGAGGGACGACTTGCTTTTCGTTGCGACCCAGCACCGGCCACATCGCGCAAAATGGCCGTGAAATTGCGGCCGTTCTTCGGGCTTTATAGGGCAGCGCACTTGATGTTGATGTGAGGTTGCATGGGGCAAACCGCCCTCGAGCGCGGCGCCATAGTCAGCAGGGCGCCCGGGAAAGGCTTCGTAGGGCCTTGCGCCCTTGAGCTTGCGTCTGCGTCGGGCCGCATAGGGCAGTGCGCCCGCCCTTGAAGGTGCGGCTTGGGCCGCAGAGGGCGCCGCGCCCCTGGCATTGCACTGCGCCCGGGCGTCCAAGGGCGATAAGTTCTGCTTTTGTGGTTTTCTGGCGGGCTATGAGAATCTCCTTGGCAAGGAGATTCTCCCACGTTCGGGGAGAATCTCCTTGCCAAGGAGATTCTCCTTGGGAGAAGGGGAGCGAGACAGCGGGAGGAAGTGAAGGAAATAGAAGGAAATGAAGGAAAAGGAAGCAAATGATGGAAAAGGAAGCAAATGAAGGAAAAAGAAAGAAAAGAAAAAAAAAGAAAGAAGAAAAAAATGGAAAATTAGGAGAGAGGAGGAGGGGAGGGAGGAGATTCTCCTGGGGGTCCAGGAGAATCTCCTTGGGCCAAGGAGATTCTCCGAGATTTTCCTTGAAGCTTGCCCATCCGTGCAAGATTTGCATCTTCTCATTGCTTTCCCTTCAATTGTCTTGTCGCATGATCGGAGACCTTCTTTCGTGGGAGGTCTTTGCAGCTTTTTTGTTTCGATACTTTGATTCACAACACCATGCTGTTCAGCTCGGCGACGGGGCAGCAGCAGAACTTGGTGAAAATCGAGTTCCAGTTTTTGACGCAGTTTTCCAACCTGAACCTGGGTCTGCAGCACGAGAATGCTGTTGCGAACCACCTGTTGCACAGCTTGGCAAAGCCGAACTTTGGCGTCGCCGGGGAGCTGCGAGACGTCGGCGCAGGAGGTTTAGCATATCCTACAGAAAATACTGGATGTGGCATAGCGTTTTACTAGTTAAGCGTACTACTTGTTGGCTTAGCGAGAAAAATAACAAAGTGGTTTCTATCTCATGCATATTTAGGACGACGAACATCGAGAAGCATACCAGAATAGATACATTTTTATTCTCTCTCCGCACGCGAATTCAAATTGGCTTGCGGTGAAGGTGCAACACAGAAATAAGTTTGTAGAAAGTCGCTTTTGCAGCTACTTATTTGCTCATGACAAATTTGAAACAGAAATTGGATTTTGCCTATGCCACATCCAGTTTTCCGAAGAATAGGACGCCCAGTATGAAGAAAATTTCCGCGGCAGTCACGTTAGCGGGGCGACTGGCGGAAAACTCCGGGAGCGGGGAGCCCGCTTTTCAAGACTTTTTGTTTCAGCCGGAGAATGGAGCGGCCAAACGAATCAAGGACATCTACGAAAATGGGCCAGAAAACTACGACCGAGACAACATTCGGCAAAACGAAGTGGGCCAGAAACTCCTTCACGAACTATGGAACAGAAAAAAGCTAGCATATGCGATGCTTCTTTATTGTCATGCAAAAGTGTTGATTTAACGTACACAAAGTCGAAAAGAAACTTTTTTTCTGACCAAGCTGCAGCTACCCGTGAGATACATAAAATGCTGCTTATGCTTTTTGCACAACGATTTAAGAATCAAAGCGAGAAGGACGTGAATTTGTCTACATAGAGATCTGTCCTATTATGCTTGCTCTTTTCCACCGCATAACCTCAGCTCGTCGCGCTGCGTCCTGCCGACGAAAGCGAGGCGTCGCCCTCCATCTGTCATGCTGACCAGGAAGAAGGTTTGAATGCTTTCGAAACCGCGCGGAACGGCTTTGCCTTTTTTACTAGGCAGGACCTAGCGTTGACCAAAATCGACCAGCAAGCGCAAGTATCGACTGCAAATAAGATATGACGATCTGAGTCTGAAGGTGTGGAATATCATGACATTTACACAGCAAAACTTGCACGGACAGCCACGTAGAGTGAGAAGATTGTTGTGCGGAGGAACACGATGAACAACAACTCGCAATTACAACGACGTGTTGCGCGTGCCAGTCCATGACAGATCTTTGTTTTTCTTCGTATCGGGCATGACAAAAGCATGGCGTTCTTGATCTTGCGCTTGCCTCGCCACATGCATGATGAGTGATTTTCCAATGCAAGCAGTACCTACAATTCTACATCCGATTCTCAGACCCAGATCGTCGCTATTTTTTGCAATCCATAGTAACCTGGAATGACGGGCGGGACTGCTGCTGTGTTCAAGGGAGATCAACTTGAGCACACCGCTGCAGGTAGATGTGTTGATGTTGATGTTCAAGTTTCATTTACAATGTATCGACATGCGTTTAGTAGAAAGAAAACGCATGACAAATGACCTCCTGCACGCTTTCTTGTACTTTTATGACCGCATTTGATTGTTGTACGTGTGCCAAAAAATGACATGCCGTTGGTCGTGTATTTACTTCAAAATCACATAAATATTATCAAATGTAAAAATGTCTGGGTCTGGAAGATTCTAAACTTGTAATGCTGTTTCTGGATTCTAAAAAAATTTGTATTGCATGACCAGCAAAAGGACTCCAGTTTGTGCTACGTGGAGAGGGCATTTGTCATGCAGTAGAGGCATCACAAGGTCCTCTAAAAATCTGTGATGCTAGGGCATGCATCACAGACATCATGGGTCATTCAAAATATGCATGACAAACCTGGCAATCTTCCAGACCCAGACATTTTTACATTTGATAAATATGAATCAGATTCAATTCATTTCGTTCCTTATCAGGTTCCGAAGAGGACGCGACGCATAGAGATGACACAGGGCGCGACGGAGGGGCCTCGCAAGAGCCGTCCGCTCAGGGTAAAGAAAATTACGTGGTTTTTGGTTGTTTGAAGCAACGCTTGCTTTGGCTTTCATGTGCTTCTAGAACCCTCAAAATATAATTCCGTGCAATACGAACCGACCGTGCGCGTCCAGCGATACGAACTGGTGGGGGGGCAGAACATGAGAGATCTCATCTATCCAGACGAAGTAAGTACCGAACACACGGAAGAACTCTAATCGTCCACTGTAATAAATACTGTTTCAGGTGAACAACATCAAGGAGCCCAGGGACATCATGATCGCGCTGGGCGTCGCGGTTCCGGTAGTTCGAGAATTAAAGCGGGTATAATTTCTGAAATTTGCGAAGAGAGACACAAGAACTTCTCCTGACTTCATACATTGACTTCTACTACTATCGACGTTCACTATGTATTGATGACTCTTGGACTTTTTCGATTTCCCCGCCTGGATGACTCGACGTTTGGCATGATGATTCCAACACTTCTTCGAAAAATTTTCTCTATTCAATAAACCAGACTCGTCGTCGCGAAAAAAGAACCTCGAGCAGCACAAGACCGACGCCGCTCTGGCCTACCGAGAATACCAGGTGCAGGCACTGAAGCCGTACGAGAAACGCCACTTCCTGTTGCGCCACGAGCGCTTCATGCAGAAAATCTATCACCGGGGAAAAACTGTAGTTTCACTGTGAACATTCGCAACGGCAGCTACAGCTTCAGAATGCTCTATTGCAATAAAAGTTTGCTTGGAATACTTGCACATGATAGTGCGCAGCTTCGCAAATGATAAACGACGGCTACATCGTATTGAAATAGTGGCGTTCCTCACTGCATGAATTCCAAGCAAGATACGAAGTTGCGATTGATGTGTATTTTTGCATGCTAATTGTGAAATACGAGTCAGGAATTGTAGCGAAGCCGAAACTACAGTTTTTGTCGTGCATAGCGTCGTCGAGAAGCTTAACGCTGGCACGAGCCAGGACCGTCAGGGATCCAGAAAGGTGAAAGACCCAGCACAGCTATGGAACGAAAAAACGATTGCATCACAACCTACCATCACGACCGGGGTTTCGGTTTTATTGTATTTGCATTGCGACCTCGTATCGACTGTCGGACGGTATTTACGGTTCTTTGCCGGTCATCGGAAGAAGTAGTTCATCTTGTGTTCTGACTGGAGAAAGAAACAAGGATACATTTATATTCGGCAGGAGGTATTTTTTGTAGACCTTATTTCTGCTATGATAATGTGGAACTTCGTTACAGCATGCGTCTCACATTTAGCAGTAGCGCCGACTAGAGATTTGCCTGATGAGTTGTGTGCATCCGTGATGCAGGCGTTTTTGCCCTGCATAAGCCATCAAGCTAATGGAACGGATTCTGGCGCGCCTCGTATCGTACAGGAAAATTACACTGAGGCAAAGAATTTGCAGCCGCTTGCACTACTTGGTTTCAAGATGCATCAAGTTAGTAGCCGATATTTCGATCGTGCATGATGTAAGAGTCACTTCTATCTTCATAGCGTGCGGCACCTTGAGGAAGACTCACATGAAATTTTCCCCTCCCATAGCTTGAGCACGCGTTGCTGTCCTGTGGGCAGCCGAAGGACTCCAGTTCTTTTGCGAGACTGGGTAGAAAATTATCGGTTATGGCACCGATTCACCACGTGCCGGCGTGGAACAGCGGAACTTCTGGAAACGGCAGCATCGAAGGACGAGGCAGTACTTTTCAACCGGCGGGCCGTACGGGTCCCGCCCCGGCGAGTGCAACATCGCGTCAGCGGGCACAAGAACCCGAAAGTGGAGCAGGTGATGAAGATCTTCAAGTGGCTGGGCTGCTGGTTATGCATTGCAAATTATATGTGTGGGTCTGGATTTGTGATGCGAAATTTGAAGGACAACAAGGATTTGTGATGCACAAATACGACTGGCAGTTTTTTTGTCGTGGTGTGAAACTCAGTTTGTCATGCATGACACGGTAGGACTCGCAACATCATCCGATAAATTTCAACTTGTGATGCATTCATGCCGGGCAAAACATCGTGCTGTCATGCAAAAATCAGCAACGCAAATTCGTTGCATCTACAACTTTCCAGACCCAGACTACATATTTGCAGTTAATACTGGCAGAAGATATGCAAAAACTCAGCACCGCTTGACAAGTTGCATCCTTTTCCACGCGGCTAAAGCGGGTGGCTTCGATATCCTGAGTAAAAACGTACCCACACCACAGTCAGGATGGGGAATCGGCTAGACAAATCCACAAGCTTTGGCTGTTTTGCATGACAAATTTGGATTCGTAGTGTAGTCCTGTTTGAGCTAGCTCAGCAGCATCACAGATCTAGCATACCATGCTGATTGGAGCATGACAAATTGCAAAACGCGATTGGAGAATGCTTCTCATGGGGCTCCGCATGAGAAACATTTTAAGCATGCAGATTTGCATGACAACTATGGTGTGGGGACGTTTTTACACTTGATATTCGAAATTCTATGGGAAGAAAAAGTATCATCATAAAATGAAGTAGACTGTGACTGTGTTGCATTCTTTGCACGACAAACTTGACACTGTGTGGCATGATGGCAGGTATTTTCTCGTCAGCAAGGTACACGAATCGCGACTGGATTCCGCTATACTGTAGACCCTGATTCGATGGTCATGCATGTGTCTGCCCAGCATCAGATCCATGAGAGACATTTTTGCCTGGCAGAATAAATGCAACACAGTAACAGTTGTTGGACAACAACTGCTATGATGCTGTTTTTTTCTTGCAGAAACTTCGAAACTTTTTCAAAAAGTTGTACTCGAAGAAATAATAAATTCTTCTCCCACCGGTATCAGTATGAAAAATCCCCCTTTCTCAATAGCGCCCAACCAGAGATTCTCTGTGATGCTAGATTTGTCGTGATGAATTCGAATTGATTTGTGTTGCATAATTAACCCGCGTGCTGTATCGTGCTGTGCCGCTATCTTGTCTTGAGCAAGAACCTTTAGTGTTGTTTCTCAAACCAGCAGACACGCTTGTTAGGCCGAGCACTTGGAGCGGAACAAAAAGCGGAAACCCATATCCGCTTGATAGATAATCTGTCACCTACAGCTACAGCCCACCCGCCTTGATGCATGACAATGTGATTTCCGGCAGCAAACAATAATGTCTGCCAGCAATCACATCGCGCAATAGAAATAGGCAGTCAACATTGCAGTAAGGACAGGGGGGATTTTTCCTTACCATAACCGCTTTCCACGCCGTAGGAGAAGGATGTAAAAAAACGACGGGGACATCTACAACATGCGGAAATTTTGTCGACCCTTCGAAGTAAAGAAACGACCCTTGGAAAGCTGCTAGTAGAAAAATGAAAATTAGTGATCGTGTAAGAACATCCACCAAAATATAACGAGGCCACCTACGGCCGTAAGTATCATCAAATTGCACCTGCAACTATTGCTAGGGAAAAAAACCACTTTTTCTAGGAAAAAAAGAGCTCTGAAACCGAATAACTACAAGGTATGACTGTATGTTTCGCACTAGATTTTGATTTATGTACCACTTGAACTTCTATGAAACTGTATCCGTACCGCTAGCCAGAAGCGATATATGACGATTGATATATAACGAAACTGAGGAAAGCCAAATCTCGTCGTGTCTCCATGTATCCTCTTTTTGGTCCTACACTTTACTACTGTATTTTACGGAAAGATAGGAAAAACGTTTTTCCGCAATGGGTAGCTTTATGATCTTCTGACTGCCCCGACGGCAAATTTGTCGTTGGTGCGGACAGATGAATATGATAGTTGATCTGTTGCAACAACTCATGAAGAAGGAGGGGCTCTCTCTATCTTTCAGCTCATTTGGGCGTTCGACGAATAAATGAAGACGGTTGTTTTTACATCAACTTACTATAATATTGAAAAGGAACAGCACCGCGTCGTGCCTGGTCTAGGTAGAACAGCACGAGGAGGTTTTCCGATTCTGTAACCAGCGAGAATAAGATAGAAATATCAAACTTAAAGATAGAAATAGCAAACTTTGTCGATACAGACCATAAGAACAATTTCCGTACATAAAGTGGATATTCAGTCTCAGAGGCATAGGCACAGACGCCGCCTACAGTATTACCATTGACAAAGGGCACGGGGGCATGGTATTTTAGCTCGTTCTCCAACATATAGTGATTACGCGCCGCTGCATCATCTGTATCTTCTATTGCCACTTACTTTATTGTGTCATTGTGTATGTGACGGTTTTGAAGATAAAATATAGCAAGAAGCGCCCTAGAGTGCATCTGTTACGTTTCCAGCACCTGTTCGGCGCACCAGAGACAGAGTGAAATATGCGTTGCCAAGCAATGAAGGGAAAGAATGAGTGCATAAAGTGCAACGTTGATAAGTCGCTTGGGCTTGAGAAGACGTACACGTATTAAGGGAAAAATAATGATGGCTCCTCGAGATCAATCTAGGTCCGCTATACAGCCTATTCTTGATGAACGTCGCAAACTCTTTGCAACTTTCCGACGGGAAGACAAAATTATTTTCTGTGTTCATATGGCGAGAAGTACCGTGGCCCAACTCTTCCTTCAAGTTTTCTTCATCAGTGACACTGATGCAAGAGAAACAGGGCCGAGAATGTGGCGGCAGGTGCTTGCAGTACGACAGGCCCCATCTGTGTGCGCAAATTCAGCGTCAGAAGATTTGTTTTTGGTCTGGCTTTGAAATTCGGCTAGTTCATTAGACAATCTTCGAGGCGAGTGAGAATCCTAGAAGAAACAAACCCGTTGAGGAACGACAGAGAGAAAAACCCGCAGAATAATGCGCATGACTGTGGTTCCGACACAGCTGCCAGCGTTGCCGTTAGTGCGAGAGATGAATCTAGGAACGACCGACAATAGATATCATCTAGAACAACTTTTGATGGTTCGAGAGCGAGCCTCCGGATTCCGTGATTGTGAATCGCTGAAATGTATTTAGACTTCCGTAGCGATTTGACTCAAGTTGTGTTGTCGGTGTTTGTAACAATCGCACTCCATCACTTCGCAGCGGCCGCCTTTTCGCAAAGAATAATTCCAGCAAGGCCAAGCATGTTCCGCAGTCGCGAAGGTCTTCGCATTGTTCTCTTCTGTGCGCAGTTGCTTCTGTGCTCATGTATGCCCGCGGACGATGAAGCAGCACCTTTTTCAGATCCACCGCCACCTCCGGTACCCGACTCCGACCTGAATCCGGACGATCTCGACTCGGTCCCGGATCCGGACCCTGGAATGAAGAGCGACATTGTCCAGGCTGGAAGGATTCGCCGGGAAATCCTCGAACCCGTAGAAGAACAACTCCGCGACGTGTTGCTTTTACGGGTGGATGACAGCTACCAAGTGGACGACGAATTTGCTAAACCGCTTGCGCAAGTCGAGCAGGATGAACAAGTCGAGCAAGGTGAGCAAGTCAAGCAAGTTAAGCAAGTCGAGCAAGGTGAGCAAGTCGAGGAAGTTGAGCAAGCAAGGGACTACGTCGAGGCAAGTCGAGCAGAAGCTATCAGCAAATTCCTAGACCAATACGACCAATACACGAAGACCAACGAGGAGTACTCCAAAAAAGCAAAGGAGGACAAACCGGACAAGGGGTTGCAGAACGGCAAAGACCGTCTCCGGTTCCTATTGAAGCGCACTCTGGATTTCGAACTCCCCGGCATCGTGAGTGACTTTAACCAACCGGAGTACCTCCTGAGCAGCAGCAGCATCGACGCACTGGTGACAGCGCAGAAGAAGATCACGGGCGACACAGACCTTCATCTTCTAAAGAAAAAAATATCTGGGCGGGCACAGTCAGCGAACAAAAATTTGTATGATTTCTTTATTTCTTTCTTTCTGTTCTTGCCCGGGCATGGCTTCAATTGTTTCAAGGCCCTGCAGTCCAGCTCAGTTTCACGATCTCCATCACTTCTCGTGGATGTGGATCACTATGAGATGACAAAACTACAACAGCAATTTCTGCATCTATGGAAAAACGCATTCTACTACAGAAACAGGTTTGTAATAAAAAACGAATAAAGGTATAAATTCTTCGATGGCCTGCTCGCGGGGCTCGTTTCTGTTTCTCAGAAACACGATATGGAACCGGAAGAACTCGAAAACTTGCGTGACATCTTCCAGAAGTATATGAAATCCATGGCGAAGTTCCTCCGCATTAAATTTCGGGAAGCTGTCCGACAAAACCTACACGACGGTGCAGACATCAGTGAACTCAACACGGAATGGGGCGCCGAAACCAAGGACCTCACCGAAATAACAATAGAAGTGAGCGCGATTCAGATCACGGGTCCCGAAAGTTTCCCCATCTCAGCAGCTGATGGGCAGGTCACTGGGCATGACGGCACTGGTGCAAATCGGGTCGCGGCGGTCATCGACGGCGCCGGTGGATCCAGTAGCAGTACATCCACGTCAGAAGCAAGGCAGCACATCCCAGAAACAATTGCGCAGCACCCTGTTCCGGAACAACAAAACGCATGGCGGGATGGCAAAGAGCGCGCCGAACTTCCCTTCATGGCCAAGGCGAACGATCGCAACGGTCCAGACACGGAAAAAACTGAAAAACGCGTCGTCCAGAAGGACTACACGCAAAAAACCCAAGAAGTCGCTTCTTCCGTGGACACATCAAAAGCTGAGACCACAAACCGGCTCCGCAGCCAAGAGCAGCAAATCCATGCTCCGTTCGGCTTGTTCTGGAACTACGCCCAAGAATTGAAAACCCTCGGGACGGGCTTCATTCACCACCTGACGCAGAAATTTTTAAGCCAGTGCGAATCTGTCGTCTCGATGTCGGTTTGCATTGCGTTCGACGCATGGGGTGTTTGAAATTGTGATGCTGGATGAAGTACTTATGCGTCTGAGGATGGACCAGTAGTTTTTGTCATGCAAAAAAATTGTCCGGCTTCTCGTGTCAAGCATTGCATGCCGACGTCGAAGCTTCCGATCTTGCGCAGCATATCTCCCCGCTCCGATCAACTCGTACCCGACGTTCGCTGCGGTGCTGGCGATTGTCTGTACTACACAGTACTGGTCATTTTCTTTTTCATTTTGTTCTGCATGACAAAAAATCTTCTCCATGCGAACTCGTGCATGACAAACAATTTAAAAGCCTACTCAGGTACCGTCGGCTGCGTACTCGTGATCCTGATCCTGTGCTCAAAGTTGCTGTCTTTGTGCTGCGCGTTCCAACAGCGAGACGGTTCCACGAAAAAGCGGCTCAAGCGAGCGCAAGAACGGATCAAGGATGCCGCGAATACGAGCATTGGTGGGGAGGCGGAGGATGGAATCAGTGCGAGAATGCACATCGGTATCACTCTACGAATGGTGAACAATGGATGAATCGCAATAATTAGATATAGTAGGTTACTGCCGTCGTGAGCTGTGTGACAATGTTTGCTACGCGTAAGAACTTGTGATGCGGTCAATCTCTTCCTCGCGCATCATGAAAAGCAGTGCAGCTGCATGTTGTAGTTCTACTTCGACACGACACTTTCCGAGGTAAAAACAACTCGTCGAGTACGAAGAATTACGGGACACTGGAGAAGGACGAGGAGATGGGACTGGGGGAAAGCGACGAGTGCGAAAGCTCCCGAGGTGACGATGAAGACTCGGAGTCTGCCGGAGTGGACCAAACGAGTTCGACTTTACCATCTGTGAATATGTCTGGGTCTGAAAGATTGCAGATGGGTGGCATGCTATTTTTACGGATCGAGCAGGTGCAGGACCAGGAGGAATTCAGGTATGTAAACCCTAGCAAAGCTGGTTTTGCAAAATGACTAGGTTTCTCAATGGCTAATGACCCGCATGACAAGTCTCGTCTTTTGGTTTCAGCAGAGAGGGGGCAGCTTGCGCTGGCCAAGCATCACCGCCCTTTGCGTGATCGTCTGAAATTATCATGCGTCACAAGCTTGCACCTTTGCCGACCCAGACGTATTTGTACCGCATAAAAATCGAACAAAGACGACAACTCGGGGGAAGGCCGTTATCCGTTGGGTATTTCAAATTCTGACCCAAGCCAAATATAACGCAGCTCCCTCACGAACGCGTACAACGCGAGTCGTATTTTTCAATCTGCATAATGTTAATGCAAGTATGCCTCGTAATATTATCGATGGGGCTGAAGAGAGTGGGTGGAAGAATGGGACGTACATTTGTTTCCAAATGGAAGCTTGTGGCGTGATAGGAGATTTGGCTTGTGTCAGGGTGAGAAATCCTTTCGCTGGGATAATGCGGACGGGGAGATTGCGGGGTCGAACGTGTAGAGGTTCTTTCTGTCTGCAAGAAATTTTAGTTTTACGCTACAAAGTAGAGAAACCAAAATAAAATGAAAGAAGACGAAGAAGAATAAGACTTCAAGTGACTCATGCACCGAGACGAGTGCAGGGCGGTCAGTCTCAGTGACCACGACAACTTCCTTCACATTTAGAATTGCAGATGCAGGAGCCAGGAGGCATTTATTATCGCACAACAAGCAACTGACGAAAAAAACAACAGTATGCAGTTCTACGACTTGCAGAAAATACTAAGAAATAGACCACCTGCACTCTGAACATTGTTACACTTTTATCAAAGCAAACTTCAAAAAATATCGTACTCTTGTGCCTACCCAGAACGAAATCGAATATAGCAGAGTCGGCTTCTCCTGCGGGGGTTTATTGTATACATAGATACACAGCGGGCATCAGCAACATCAACGTGGCACTTTTACATGCATATACCGCGGCCCACCGAATTTCCATACCCGGCGGCAATATATTTATATGCATCTGCTACGCCAGCAGCTCCTCGTCTGGTACACTGACTTGTTGGTGTATCGTACGATCGTGGAGCTTGCAAGATGTTCTAGCTACTACTGCTTCTTTGCAGACAATAGAAGTGCCCCGAATTGGGTGGAGACTAGACACAATCTTCAGCAGAATTGATCTGCACGAACTGATATTTCAACTTTTTTTCCAGCACTACTTGTAAATATGTACGACCACTGACACAATAAGTATAAAATTTCAGTAGAGTCACCCGTCGAATGATTAAAAAGCCTTTCACTTTTTTCAAACTTTTTAGTCTTATATCGAAGTCCGCAAAATCGACAAAACTAAACTGCAATACTTTTTACTTGACGCTACTTTAGCAGAAAACAGTTTTTCCTTTCGTACAGACACGTACTCAAGTTTTTTCATGCGTTTTATCATTGCGTACCCAATTGAAGCATCGAAGCAAATTCCAAGAATTTGTCAGGTTTTTTGATTGATTTCCAATACCAAGAAGCAGATCAGGCCGTTGTCGTCGTCCTCGCAGGAGGACGACGAGATCGAGAAAATAGGATATTACAGGAAGGGCAATGACCACTCAGACCACATTTTTAAAGGTTTCTTGCACATCGAGCAGATAATTCCTTGTTCCGTTCCTCATGTAGTATTTGTCAAGAAGTTGACTGTATGTACCAGGAGGCATGATACTCCATGAATGCAATAGAGGTATTCGACAACATACACATCCGATCAGGGAAAACAAAAATCATAACCTCAATGATTTGTACAGAAAGTAAAGTGGAGGTGGACAACTCCACGATACAAAAAACCAAAACGAAGTAAACCAGATGCTGGCCACCAGGTGGGCGTCGAGATTTTGCGCACAATAGCAACTGGTGTTCGACGACGCCAACGTTGACTGGCGGTCTTCGGTCAGCGTGAGCAAATTTTTCGAGAACAAGGATCCTTAGTGTGGGACATTAAAAATTGTGCACGAGAAAGATGATGAGACGAAAAACTGCAAAGGTACACTTGATCTTCTACTAGAACAGATCGCTCTTGGTACGAAGATGGCGTAGGAGTAGACGAGACTCGAATAGCTTCGCCCGCTCGGTGTGACATCGCAAACTTGCGCTAGAAGGAGCATTCTTCACAAAGTTCACCTCCCGCCGCGGGACGCGCACGCTTTGCGTATCACCTGGGAACAACATTGCTGCGTCTCGCGCTGCATCCCCCCGCGGCCTAGTGGATGCGTTTTCAAAGCATGTCGAGCCGGAAACGCGGCTAGAGACGCCTTCGCAGTGCGTTTCTGGTTGGAAATCTAGCAAGCGACGCCGTCGCAGTGCATTTCTAGCTGGAAACCCACCTAGCGACGCCGTCTCAGGGCGTTTCTAGCTAGAAAGCCAGCTAGCGACGCCGCCCCGGTGTGTGTCCAGCAGGGAATCCAGCTAGCAATGCCGTCCCAGCGCCTTTCTAGCTGAAAGGAAATACGGCCGGAAAGGCAGCGGCAGCGTGTTTCCGGCTAGAGATCCAGGCGGAAAGGCATCGCCAGCGCGTTCCCAGAACGAAATCCAGCGGGAGAGGCATCGCCAAAGCGCCCCCGGCTGGAAGAAATTCAGCCGGCCGCGTCTTTGCAGAGTATTTCTAGCGTGAAATGGAGCCGGGGGCGCCTTTTCTTTCAGAGCATTCCTAGCGGGAAACCCAGATGGAGGCGCGTTTTTTTCTAGCCGGGAGGAAATCCAGCAGGGAGGCAGTGCATTACCTAAAGAGGCATCCGCAAGCAACGCGCCTCCAGCTGGAAATCCATCGAGGGCGCCTCTTCGATGAGTATCCAGCTGGAGACGCCGTGGCAATGGAAATCCAGCTTGCTGGAAACGCCTTTTCGAGGGAAATCCAGATGGAAACGCATCGAGAAGGCTTTTTCAGCGCTTTCCCGCCCGACCTTTTCAAAGTGTTGGAAGCTGGATTTCTAGTAGAAGACGGCTTTCGATTTCTAGCTTGGAATCCAGGCGCGGGGAACAGTTTGAAAAGGCATCCGCGGCGCATTGTTAGCTGGGATTCCAGGTCAAGGCGCCTCAAGGTGTTGCCAGGTGGATAGATTTGCGGGCGGAGATGCCTCGGGGCATTTCCAGCTGTCAAGAATCGCAAGGCAGCTGATTTCTCTTCGGTTTTCCGGGGTTTCTTCCCGCGTTAGCAAAACTCTTCTGGCTACCCGGGGAAAGGCTTGCCTAGAAGGATACTGGGTAGGTATTGGGAAGCTATCGGGAAGGGGTGGCAGAGCTGGAGCTCTTCTCGGGTTGTTGTGCTTAGCGCGGCTCTTCAGGCTACCCGGGGCAAGGATCTTCTAGTAGGGTGGCGGGAGGGTGTTCATTGGGATAGTGGAAATGTGTTGGGAATTTGTTTTTTTTTTCCCGAGTTGCTGCGTTTAGCACAGTTATTCTGGCTACCCGGGGCATGGGTTTTCTAGTAGAATGCCTGGAAGGTATTGATGGAGGCATCCATCTGCGCCATCGTTGCACGCCTTCCAGGTGCAGCGTCCGTGGCTGCGGTTGCCGCCTTCCGTCTCCGTCGGCTGCTCGCGATGTCTCCGTGCCCGCGATCAGCTGAAGCTTTTTTTCCTTAGGGATTTCATTAAGAAAGTGACACGCGAGCGCGCGGATCCGATTGACCCCCTACGTCACTCCCCCCCGCCCCTTCGAGATGATGACACTGGGCCCCAATCTGTATGAGTAGTTTTTATTTTTGGGATGAAGACTTACATGCGGGGGGCCCTCGCCCCCCCCCGCGCCCCCCCCCGCCCTTTCGATATGATGACACTGCGCCCCAATCCGTATGAATAGTTTTTATTTTTGGGATGAAGACTTACATGCGGGGGGCCCCCGCCCCCCCCCGCGCCCCCCCCGCCCTTTCGATATGATGATATTGCGCCCCAATCTGTATGAAAAGTTTTAGATCTAAGATTATAGCTTTAAGATCTAAGATCATGACTTTTGACATTGCGCCCCGATCTGTGGGAATGCTTTTAAGATCTAAGACGATAAGAGCCAAGATTATGGCTTTTGAGATGAAGACTCACATGCGGGGGGCCCTCGCCCCCCCCCCGCGCCCCCCCCGCCCCTTCGACGTGATGTTATTGGGCCCCAATCTGTATGAGTAGTTTTTATTTTTGAGATGAAGAACTACATGCGGGGGGCCCTCGCCCCCCCCCCCCGCGCCCCCCCCGCCCTTTCGATCTGATGACATTGCGCCCCAATCTGTATGAAAAATTTTTAGTTCTAAGATTATAACTTTAAGATCTAAGATCATGACTTTTGAGACGCTTGATCATAGCTTTAAGATCTAAGATTCATTATGAGACGCTTTAAGATTCAGATTAGATGACTTTGAGACGCTTTTTAGAATCTAAGATGATGACTTTTGAAATGAAGACTCCAGAACTCTGAGATAGATTTAAGATTTCTTAAGATTTGGGATTGAGATAAGATTTGACAATAAGATTGGCGATTCGAATAAGATTTGAGCGTGAGCTAAGATCTAAGATTCAGATTGAGATTGAGATTGCGACTTGATGTGAAATTGAATTATTCAATTTGAATTATTCATGAAGTTGAGTTATTCAATTTGAATTATTCACGAAATTGAATTATTCAATTTGAATTATTCAGAAAATTGAATTATTCGCGAGTCTTGCGATAAAATTGTAGATATGACTATCAATCACGCGGCGTTATGTATTTGTTTCTACATTGTTGTAAAGGTCGGTTGAAACACTCAGATCCCCGATTTTTCGTGTCAGAACCTCAGGTCTTGGTCCACGGTTCCAGCAGCTCGTAGTGGTCTTTCCTCAACATGATTTCCTATCCATGTTCCTTTAGCTCGAAGAGGTCTCCAGATAGTTAGCGCTGCGCAGCGTGCGGCATTCGCGCTGACTCACGGCATAGTGCCAGATCTTCTCCGCTGCTCAGCCTCAGGCGCAGAAGTAGCAGGTCCATGTAGTTCTGCAAAGTGACGATGATACCAAGGTGGAACTAAAGCACGAAGCTTCTGCTCTGGGATCAAAAAGGTGCTGACTTTTAGTTGTAGCTCATCGAAACGCGGAAGTCTTCTATTTCTTCAAAAAAAGTAAGCAATCTGATATTGTAATAATCATCCTGTGTTGCAAATTCAATTAACTATCTTGCTCTCTGAAATAGCGTTGTATGAGTTCTGTAATGCGCAATTCTATATTGAAAAGGAAAAAGCAGAGAATCTAGATTTCAAGATTTTCTTTGTCAGCAGGATAAATTTTTAATCTTTATCCATTCAAAAAGCAAAAGTGTCTTCGTCTAAGTTTCAGCATCGGTTTTTATTTTTTTCTCCCTCTGATCGATCTGTTCTTGAAATCACAATCTATTTCTGACCTTCGCATACTTTTTTCATCCTCAAATCCACCCTTCCGTGCCCAGATTCGCATTGCCACCTCGGTCGTCCCAAAGCCACCCGGTCCACCCGTTGGCCGCGTCGTGTCGGTTGACCTGGGGATTTTGTGGGGGACGAGTACCGGGACCAGCGTGGTATTGTTGCTTGCATTCCATGCCATGCAGCGCCGAAAGGATAAAGAGTAGAATTATACCTGTTCGGGGGGGCCCCTCCAAGGGGCGCCCCCTTCCCTGTCTCGCGGAGGTGCGTACCGCTTTGCCCCGCCGTAGCGTGCAGTCGGTCGTCTCGGGCGCCGATCCAGTCGTGATGAGCTTCGACCGCTTCCGGTATATTGGGCCAGAGGTGGCGAAGCTCGGGTGGGGCGTGGTCAATGTCGTTTGTCTGGGCCGGAGGGACTCGCTCTCCGTGGGTGTGGGGCAACGGGAGGGTTTTCTCTGGTGGTCGGCGAAAGACCTGTGTGGTCGGTGGTGAAAGAGCAGCGGCAGGCAACGGGACACATGACAGACGGCATTGGAATGCTAGAAGACCCTATTGCAGCAACGGAATTACAAAAATACCTGTTCGGGCACCCTCCCCCTGAGGGTGCCCGGGTCGGTGTCTCGCGTGGGTTCGTCGGTTTTGATAGCTCTGGAGGCGTGTAGCGTCCACTTGTCCAGCTGCTGGGATACACCTCCTGGTGGGGATGGGGGAGCTGCGCTTGGATTCGGGTGTTCGCCGTCCACGACGCGTGTGGCCAACCGGCATACTGCATGTAGTGGCTGTGCCATGGGTCGGACGGGTGGACCTGAGCGGTTGATGGGGGAGCAGCGACGGGAACAATGCTGACTTTTAGTTGTAACTTATCGAAACGAGGAAGCTGCCAGTCGTAACAATGATCATCGTCAACATTATCTCCTGCTTTTTGCTGCAGTAGATGTATGAATAACAGACCACGAAAGATCTCTTTATTATAGAACGATGTGTAACGGTAAGATCCTTCTCCACCGGTGACTACAGGTGACTCGGACCTGAATTCTGTTGAAGCGTGACGATCTCCTCTCTCTAGAAGATGTGACCTCCCCGTCAGAAGATCTCGTCCAGTATTTTGGAGTACCGATGTATTAAAGGGCTAAGCAGCACGTTCGCGGTAACTGATAGTTTTGCACCTCCACGTCGAGCATGTCCTAAAAAAGCAAGCTTGTGCTGAAGGTGCATTCAAAAAAAATGAAGCCTACTTTTTTAGTGTAGCTGGAACTATGGAGCAGACAACTACAGAGTAAAACGAACCCGCCAAAAAAGATAAAGAACGCACAATCTATCAACAGGCTTCTCTCGTGTTGTTGTCCTGTAGTCACAAAGAATTTTGTACTATTGGGACTTACAATACATCCTACTTACTCAGCACAAATACATTGTGCTTCTTTTTCTCCTTCCCACTACCGGAAGCAATCCCATTTTGTCGACGCAGCATTTGTAGTTCGTTGACGCAGCATTTGTAGTTCGTATATCTATCACATAGAATCAAGACACAACAGCAGCCACCCTCAAAAACCTTTTTGTCGTTCCAGGAACCTTTCTTGGGTCGGCGCAGTAAGTCCTTCGTCGATACAACTGAAGAAAATTTCAGCGAGTTCTATGTATCCCGCTAGCGTTTTAGACTTAGAGGATGGAAAAGCTTGATGTCCCAAAATATTTTTCCACTTTCAACTTTTACTCCGAAGTAGAGGAGGCTTCCATTTTTACACCTCTCTACATTTTTTGCCGCACTGATTATTTTTGTACGCCGTTGTACCAAAGTAAGCAGGGCAGCAAAGAGGATACATTGAAAAATACCGGTAGTTGTAATAATCACAACCAGGGTTATCTCTTGTCAATACTAACTCTTGTGATGTAGGTCGTGACTTATCACATTACAACCCCCCTATTTGTACTTCCACATTTGTTCCGGTCGCAGAAGTACTAATATCCTCGTACTTTTGAAGTACGTAACTGAGAAGACATTTCCTGTCGATATTTTGACTTTCCACCTATCTTAACGAGCCGTACGCGAAAAACAGCTACGCCACAAAAAATAACAAAATGGATCTCTTTCCTACGACAAAGCTGGCGCGGATGACCGCGCAGAACAAGGGCGCGGTTGTTACTGCCCTGGCACTCTGGGCCTTCCTACTCAACAGCATCACGACCGGGTTGTTCATGCTCGATAAAAATGCGCACGAGTGGGGAGCGAACTTGTGTCTGGTTGCTGCAAAAAAAATGCAGGTGGACACTGATAGCGATGATGATGTTGAAGAGATAGTCCGTAGTCCAGGCGGAGGCGCTGCAGCGGACTCTTCGATGCGGGGAACAACTGGTGCGCCGATGATTTTCTTTCCGACTGCCGGCGACGCAAGCAAATCGGAAGAGCACCGCCGTGAGGAACGGGAGACGAACAATCGCAACAAGGCGTGGTGTATGAACTGCAAAAGTATCGCACCTCAGCATGAGAAATGAAATTTGTAATGCGGATTTACCTTAACAAAACGATTTGTAGTGCATGACTGCAATACGAGTACGATAATTTTGCACAGGATATCGTGGGAGCAGGACGACTCCGATCCCCTGATCCAAGAAGTTTTATCAGATGCAAATATGTCTGGTTCTGGGAGCTTGCGAGATTTGTCATGCGGAGTGCGCAACTCTGAACCACGGAAAAACTTGTCATCCTGGGGAACGCATTACAGTGTGCTCAATATAATTCCCTTCGTTGCGTCACAAGTTGTTTCCAGGCCCAGACACATTGGCAACGCATAAGTTGACGCGGACGAGGATGTTTTCTCGAATACGGGCGGCCACTCGAGGACGTCCTATTATGTCGACGAGGAAGCCGAAGAGGATGATGACGACCCGTTTGCCGGTATCAAGTGGGGCGCGGATATCATATGTAAAAACGTCCCCACCCCAGAGTCAAGTTTGGAACTTGGCATCACAAATCCAGAAGTCTTGGGAGCCACGCATGACAAGTTACACTTCGTAGCGTAGTGCATGTTAGCAAGGGCAACAGCATCACAAATCCATCTGCTTATCCTGTTTACAGCATCACAAATTCCAGAACACGATTGGATATGCCTCTCATGGGGTTGCGCATTACAAATCTTCCTGTGACTGCAAATCTGCATGACAACTATGGGTTGGGGACGTTTTTATGCAGGATAGCGGATGATGAGTCCTCAGATGAGGAGGAGGATCCTATACAGCAAAGCCGCCGTCCGATGTCACCGAAACAGGCCCCGAGCAGCAAACCGGCATCTTCATCTTCACCCTCGAACGTAGCTGGCTCCAGTGCAGCGACTCCGCAGGGCCCGAGCAGAGCTCCGGAAGTCGTTCTCCCGGAAAATGTCGTCGTTGAAAGGGTAGAACCGAGCCAATTCGAAAACGGCCCGCCGACCATGCACGTAACCTTGCGATCGATTTCGGGCACCTGTGACTACCATGAACAGCTGGCTAATCAGGAGATGAATCTGGACATGGGGCAAATGACTCAGCCGAACGCAATGGACAACATTCTTCCCGCTTCCGGTGGCGCGGACTCCTCTGCGTCCTCTGCCGACAACATGGTGCTTTGCGATGCGGTCACCAACCAGAAGATTCACAAGCTAAAGATCGAGATTCCGATTGATGACGAGAAGTTGGGTGACGGCCTGCTCAACGAGGACGACGCTAGCACGCACGACGGCGGCGATGGTGATTCGCACAAAGATATCAAAAGGGAAACTCTCCCCTCCCCATGTCGAAATGGAAATCTGTGATGCGGGATTTGTGTACACAAATCGGCTTTGTCTTGCAGTAGAAGACTGCAGGCAGATACAGAGCCAGAGTAGCGGCGTTTTGATGTAGGCGCCTCGCAAGGCAGGCATATCCTCCATACAGGCCACGCAGCATGACAAATTTCCTGCGGGACGCGGCGGGGTTTTTGGATTTGCCTTCTTGCAATACAGAGACCATTTGTCGTCTCAAATCAGCATCACAAATTTTCAGAAGTATCCCGCTTTGGTATGGGGAGGGGGGATTTTTCCTCGCAATAAAAGACACGGACAGCAGCTTTTCGGATCATGGAGACGACAAGGCGGACGCGGACGACGCGGGCCAGCCGGTATCGCAAGAAAAAAGTGTTACAGTTACACATTGTGTTGCAGGCCAAGCAAGACAGACAAGCTCTGTCATGCCGGATATGCATAGGAGCCTCTTTTCATGGGTGGTTTCCCGTAGGATTTCTGCATTACAAGTTTTCTCTCTCATGCAGAGAAATTTGTGTTGCTGAATTCACTACAAATGTGTAACTGTAACACTTTTTTCCTGTGATAGCCGGAGGAAGACGCCTACTACACCTCTGACACAGACGAGGAAGAAACCGCGCGGAGTATGCGAAACCAGGTGGTGTATCTGTACCAGATGAAGAAGAAGGCGTCTGTTCCTGACCAGGCAAGTGGTGACCACTTAGCGTACACCGAGTTCCGGAAATTTGCCGTGAAGGACAAGTCGCAAGTGCACAAGACGGACATTGTCGGCGCTTTCCAGAGTTGCGCGGCAACCGCCGGGTCGACCCCACGCAGGCAGATTACCAAATGCAAATATGTCTGGGTCTGGACCAGGATACAGCGTTTGTCATGCTTGTCTGGCATGACTGAAGAGTTTGTGATGCGTGTCCGCAAAATAAACGCAGGTTGTGATGCGGAAAACGCAAGGCCAAGCCGTGCAAATACTTATTTCTCATGCTTGGCTGTGCATTGCAGAGCATTATCTATTCACGACTATGCATTGCAAGTTTCCAGACCCAGACCTATTTGCAATCCATACAGACCTTTTTGATGCTGATGAACCCGATGTTGAATTGGAATCACGTTTCCGGGTATGACATTGCACAATTCCCCCTCATTTGTCATGCGTAATACCAATTCCACGCCTTGTTCTTATTTGGCACCAAATGCATGACAAGTTCAAGTTCTCGTTGCCCCAGCAACCGCACTACAGTCCGTACGTGAAAGATTTCTCATGCGGCAGCCACATTTGTGCCATTGCTTGTGAAATGCAAATGCGGGTTATGCTATCCAAATGAGGGGAAGGGAAAGTTGTGTACTCTCATACCGGGTACCGGAAAAAGCAGCTGATGAAAGATTTGAACGGCAACAGTGAAAGGAACAAGCCTCCTATCCAAGAAAAAAACATTGTAGGTGTAACTTTTTTGGAGGAACCGCATTACAAATTTTTCTGGCATGACAGCAAAAACCTGTCATGCGCAGATAGTACGCGAAAACGCCCTTTAATGGACCCTAAGATGCATGCCAAGCATGACAGACGCAATCATCTTGCATGTTGCGCATCACAAATTTAGACTAACAACGTTTTTTTCTTGGAGACCTCCTACCCTCGGGCTCTCGACGGTGCTAGCGTTTGCGCAGTCGGGAAAGCTGAACACGTATCCCGAGAAAAAACTGTTACAGTTACACACTCTGATGGAAGACAAGCAAGACAGACAACCTCTGTCATGCAGGAAATAATGCATGCCAGCCTCATTTCATTTGTGTTTTCCCTTAGAGTCTGCACATCACAGGTTTTCGTTGCCATGTCGAGCAACTTTGTAATGCAGAAACTCCAAGAACAAATGTGTAACAAACTGTAACACTTTTTTCCTGCGATAATACGCCCGAGGACTTCGAACTGCAGACGAGTTTGGAAGGCAAGCTGCAGTGGACCGAAATTTTCCTCGAGCACGACTCTGTCGCAGAGATTTTCTATGAAAACGCCCACGGCGGACGGGCCGACGGCACCGTCTTCAAAATCGAGGCCTGGGACTACCAACTGAAAAAACCGGACCCGGCAGCTCTGGCGCAGGGTGGGATATGAACTGCAAATATGTCTGGGTCTGGAAGACTGCAAGTTTCTCATGCTTGTCTGGCATGACTCATAAATCTGTAATGCATGAGCAGGAAGATGGCGTCTTGCCTGTCATGCAAAAACGCAGTTTGCCATGCGGAAAACGAAATACAGTAGTAGTTGAAAAATTTGTCATGCTTGGCTGCGTATTGCAGTCCAGCCACCAGTCACATTTTAGCATCACAAGCTTCCAGAGGACCCAGACATATTTGCATTTGATATAGGAGTGGCGGCTGCGACGAGGAGGAAATGGACGACGAAGACGCTAACATGAACGAGCAAGAACAGCTATCAAAATGAAAAATCCCCCTTCCCCATATCAAAATGGAAACTCCTGATGCTGATTCGCGTACACAAATCCAACTTGTCTTGCGGTAAGGCACTGCGGCCATATCCGCAGCCTAGGTGGGAGCGCTCAGGTCTAGTTGTTTAGCATTGCAAACGGCTACCCTCTAGGACCAACAGCATGCCAAATCGCTTCCACAATTGGGCGGATGCCTCTGCACTTGTCTTCTTGCAAGACGAACCTGATTTGTGGTCACAAATCAGCAACACAAATTTTCGGACACATACCTTTTCAATATGGGGAGAGGGGATTTTTGCTCGCAAGAACAGCAGGAGAACAGGTTTCTCGCGGCTTCTCGTGGTGGCCCTACCTGCTCTAATTTGAGCAAGCGGCGGTCCGTCTTTGACGAAGAGTTTGAGAACGACGAGCAGGATGATAATAAGAGGAAAAACGTCCGCACCCCAGAGTTGTCATTCATAAAATCTGCATGTCAAAAAAGATTCTCATGCGGAGCCCCATCAAAAGAAGCGTTTTCTAGTTGTGCTCTGGGATTTGTGATTTTATAATCAGCGTGATATGCTAGGTCTGTGATGCTGCGGCACTAGCTAAACAGGATTACACTACGAGGACAAACTTGTCATGCGAAACAACCGAAGCTGGTTGATTTGTCTGGCAGATTTCCCATCTTGACTCTGGTGTGGGGACGTTTTTCCCTACGATAGATGAGCCGATGGACGCTGCGGCGCCGCCGCCCCCGCCGCGCCTGCACCGCCAGCAGCGCACCTGGTACTTCCAGGCCGGCAGCCACGCGGAAGCGCAGGCCTGGGTCACCACTTTGCAGCAGCGCATTTTCCAGGCCAAGATCACGATGAATGAAAAGAAAGAGTTGATTGACATCGCGGCGGGCTTTGGGAGCGGAAAGAACCCGCTCAGGACCTACTTTTCCCAGCTGCTGCAGGACAACTTGATTGAGAATCTATGAACTGCAAAAGTATCGTACTAGTAGTAATTGCAATACAAATTAGCTCAGCATGACAAATGGAATTTGTCATGCTGTTTTGCATTGGGATGCAGATTTGTAATGCATAACTGCGATTACTACGAGTACGATACTTTTGCACAGGATAGAATCCCGTGTTCCACAATCAGAAATTGACATCTCTCGAGTCTAACGCCTACATGAGACAGATCCCAGCCAAGTTGAAGAGCGCCATTCCCGGAAATTTCCTCGGAGAGTGGTACTGGCTAAACGACTATGCATTGCAAATATGTCTGGGTCTGGAAATCGATCGAACTTGTAATGCTAGTCCGACATCATTCGTGTAAAATCTGTATTGCATGACAGCTTAACAAAACGACGCCTCCTTTTGTCATGCAAAAGCGCAGTTTCTCATGCGGACTGCGAATGAGAAAGTCGATTCCGCAAACTTGTCATGCTTGGCTGCGCAACTGGGAAGTATTTCAGTCATGCACATTTCAGCATCACAAGTTTATTCCTGACAAATCCAGGGATATTTGCAGTTGATAAAGACTCCCCCGGGATCCGCGGCGAGGTTTTCCCGCGCCTGGATATCCCACAGAAAAAAGCTGGCAGGGCATATTTGTAATGCAAAAATAAACACACAGAGAGATCTGTGGTCATGGGCGGCCTCATAGCATGCTATTTAGGAACGCAATACCAATTTTTTTGTCTATTTATTTTTGCACTACAAATATGACCTGCCAGTTTTTTTCTGGGTGATACTGGAGACCCCGGACGCAGGGGGGAAGATCGATGGCACCAATTATGCTCTGCAAAAGTATCGTACTCGTAGTAATTTTTGCTATTATGCACCATGACAAATCTCCTTACTAAGGTGCAACAGCATTACAGATTTCATTTGTAAAAATGCTAAGCCAATTTGTGATGCAATTCCTACTAGTACGATGCTTTTGCAGTTCATACCGATCCGCACAAGTACATGTTAGATATCTTCGCTCGGGTGGACATCGACGAGGGAGCGTACGACTATCTGCCGCCTATCCCAGAAAAGACAGCAGGCAGGGCAAATTTGTAATGCAAAAATAAATACACAGAAAACTCTGTCATGGGGGGCCCCGACGTGACATGCTGTTTAGGATATGGAGTTACAGATTTTTTTGTGTATTTATTTTTGCATTACAAATGTGACCTCCCTGCTTGTTTCCGTGTGATACCGCCCGAGGAATACCAAAGCAAGACGCTTCCGCAGGGGAAAAAGCCTTTACCGAAGCCGACTATCAACTGCAAAAATGTCTGGGTCTGGAAACTTGTAATGCTGCGTTGGGAACAGTGAATGCTCTGTAATGCACAGGCAAGCATGAGAGATATCGGCGCTCCTTTGTGTGGCGTTTTTCGCATGACAAACTGCGTCTTTGCATGACAGGCAAAAGGGTCTCTTCTTGGACACGCATCACAAGCTTTTTGGTCATGTCAGACAAGCATGACAAATCTCGCAATCTTCCAGACCCAGACACTTTTGCATTTGATACCGACCCTGGTGCAGCGAATCCTTTTGGAGCCGGATACGGAGTATGAACTGCAAAAGTACTGTACTCGTATAAATGCATTACAAATTTTCTCAGCATGAGAAATGAAATTTGTCATGCTGATTTACCTTAAGAAAAATATCTGTAATGCAAGACTTGCACTTATACGAATACGATACTTTTGCACAGGATACGGAGTTCCGACAGATCAAGGATCCGCTACAGAGCGGAGCGGCGCTCACACGCGACTTGCAGTTCACGGTCACTGGTGACAAGAAAACGGGGACGACCATCGTCGACCCGGCGTCGGGACTCGAAATTGAAAAAGAGCACGGACAAATCTTAGAGATCGCGTTCTGGCACTACCCGGATCTGCACGTTTCCAGTGACGACGTGACGCAGATGCGAGAGGCTTTGCGATCGCAGATGAACGCGGACGACGGCACTCGTCTTGTCGCGAATTTTTTCAAGGCCCGACGGGTGCGGCGCAAGCTGCACTTCGTGATGCCCAACAAGCTATGGATTGCAAAAATGTCTGGGTCTGGAAGATTGCTGAGGTTTGTGATGCTGTGTCTGCTTGACACAGAAGGTGTGCCATGCAAGGCCTAGCATCACAGGCTTTGAGACGGTTTCCCTATGCTTAATCCGCATGAGAAACACCTTCATTCGGCGACAGGAAAAGGAGCTCCCTTTGCTGTCTAAGCACGACAGATTTTTGTGTGATCCAAGTACGCATCACAAGTTTGCATCCTTCCAGACCCAGACATATTTGCATTTGATACAAGCAGCTGGCCTATTGGTGGCGTGTGGAGCTGGAAAATCGCCGGAGGGTTTTGTACGAAAAAACCGGCGTATTCCGAGGAAAAATATCCCCTCCCCACATCGAAAAGGAAATTTGTGAAGCTGATTTGTGACCACAAATCAGCTTTGTGTTGCGTACAAGGCAAACGGCACCCATGTGGCGCATTGTACAGCGAGTCTGTCATGCGTTTTCGCCTATGGCAGGCTTGTTTCTCATGCTCAGCTGCTAGTCGGATGCGTAGTACTTACACACATGGGCTTAGAATATACCTAAAAGCTCTTGCTGCAATACACAGTTCATATGTGTACACAAATCCAGCAACACAAATTGTCTTTTGAGTATGAGGTGGGGGATTTTTCCACTCTGATACGGCGACGCCTTTGACCAGCCGAGCGTCACGACGGGCGATTTTGACACGAAAGTCGCGCCAGCGCTCCTGAATTTTGCGGAGGTGCCGATTGACCAAATGCCGCAGGACACGGTAGAGCTGCGGAATGTGCCGGAGAGCGCGCGGCAACGGCGGCTGGACCCCTGGGTCGAGGACCACGTGAGGTTCGATCTGGAGAAGGAAAAGCGACACTTGCGCGCCGTCCGCGTGTTGTTTGATGACGACTTTGACGAGGCGGCGCAGAGCAACTTCGACGCAAAGCCAGTCGAGTCCATGATGGAAGACGAGCAGGAGGACGAGGACAATCTTTTGAAACAACAGCTGGCCGCCAAGCAAGAGCTGCTTGACTACTACCGTGCCACGCACAAGTATCCCAGGAAAAAAGTGTTACATTTACACATTTGTAGTCAATTCAGCAACACAAATTTCTCTGCATGAGAAAGAAAACTCGTAATACAGAAATCCTACGGGAAAACACCAATGACCCTAAACGAGGCTTCTATGCGTATCCGGCATGACAGAGCTGGTCTGTCTTGCTTGGGCTGCAACACAATGTGTAACTGTAACACTTTTTTCTTGCGATAACAAGTTCCGCGTGACGGAGGCCCACTGGACAGACGTGTACGCGAAACTATCAACTGCAAATATGTCTGGTTCCGGAAGGATCCAATTTTGTGATGCTGTCTTTGGATTCTAAAAAAATCTGTATTGCATGACCAGCAAAAGGAGTCCAGTTTGTGCTGCGTGGAGAGAGCAACATTTCTCATGCGGAATAGGCATCAGGGAGCCCTCTAAATAAAATCTGTGAAGATGCTAGGGGATGCGTTACAGGCTTCGTGGGTGATGCAGATTGCAGATCACAATACAGGGCCACCCTCGTTTTCACCTCCAGGGGGGGCGCGGGGACCTCGCTTGCCATCTAGTTTGGTCTCGCGAAAGTTCCAGCCCATGGGCTCACGCACATCCGAGATCGGGGGGGTGGGAGGGGGTCTCCAAGCCAGAAAAAAAACCCTCCCGAGCGGAAATAGGGAATTGAAGGTGCAGAATATGCATTACAAACCTGGCAGTCTTGCTCCAGACCCAGACATATTTGCAGTGCATACAAACAGGAGCGGTACGACATCTCTGCCACGCAACTGGCAGCTTCGGGGCAGTATCCTGTGCAAAAGTATCGTACTCGTATTGCAATCATGCATTACAAATTTTTATCTTAAGGCAAATCCGCATTACAAATTTTATCTCTCATGCTGAGGAAATTTGTAATGCATTTATACGAGTGCGATACTTTTGCAGTTCATAGGCAGTCCGTGGCGCTGATGTTCCCCCCGCACGAGCCCCGGATCCACTATTTCACGAAGAAATTCGAGAACAAGGCGTACGCGATAGGGTACAACTACGACAATTACGATCCGAGCTCGGGCTTCTACACCGCGTCGACCTTGGCGAACGGCAACATTCAGTTCAGCTACCCGGAAAAACAGCCGGTGTGGCACACGGGCGTGCTGGAACTCAAATTTCACAGCAGCGGCGATGACTCTACTTCCTCCGAGCTGAACGACAAGCTCCATCAGTTGACCCAGGAGGCCGCCAACCACGAGATCCTGGGAAACAGAATCGCTGCAGCTCCAGAGGCGGCGCCGCGTCCGGCAGGTTGGGGACTCAGAAGCATGTTCGGCGGCGGCGGGGGTAGCGGCGCCGCTGCAGGAACGAAGCGCAGTGCGTCCCGCTCGCTGTCCCCGACGGCCACCTCCCCGGCGACGAGGCCCCGCGGGGACCACCCGACAGTACACAACGCGAAAATTGTCGGGAACCAACTGGTGGTCAAGTTGCTAAAAAGGCACGACGTGAACGATCAAAGCAAGGAGGAGCTGCGGATCTTCCTGGAAAAGGACACGAAAATCGATATCCTGAGCAAAATCGTCCCCACCCCAGAGTCAAGATGGGAAAGCTGCTACACAAATCAGCCAGCTTTGGTTGTTGCGCATGACAAGCTTTGCCTCGCAGTGTAATGCTGTTTAGTGAGTGCAGCAGCATCACAGATCTAGCACATCATGCCTATTGGAGCATGACAAATTCCGAAACACGACTAGAAAATGCTTGTCATGGGGCTGCGCATGGGAAACATTTTCAGCATGCAGATTTGCATGACAACCATGGGATGGGGACGCTTTTACTCAGGATAATCGAGACCCGCGCCTTTGCCGACGGTGTCAGCGTGGAGGAGCAAAAACGAAGACAAGCGCTGATGGATGCCAACGACTACCGGTCGGGCAATTTTTGCGTGCTGCGCATCGAAACGTGGGACTACAGTGCGAAGCAGGTCTTCCAGGACGCCGATAGAGAGATGAAGAAACTGACAATTCCAGAAGGTGTCGACTACAAGGCGCAAAAGCAGTTCCAGATTCCCGCCCAGGGCATGCTATTCGCGGAGAATGTGAACGCCGCCGCGCAGTACCAGCGCGTCGACACCGTGATCCAGATGAAGCAAAAGGCCACCTACGATTTCGAGGCGATGGATTGTCGTGAGGCGCGCGTGTGGAAGATGCACCTGACGGCGAGGAAGAGCTTGGACGCGCTGATCTTCAATGAGGACGTTCTAATCGGGACTAGCGACGACCGCATGGGGGACCACGAACCGACCACGGCCAAAACCGTGGGCGGGCGCCTCGCGATATCAAGAAGAAAAATCCCCCCTTGTTCCCATATCAAAACAGAAATCTGTGATGCAGATTTGTGGTCACAAGTCAGCTTTTTCATGCCAGAAGGCAAAAGATGCGGGCGGTCGTGCTGGCTGGCGTGGGAAACAAGCCTTGCATCTTCAGCATGACAGGAGGCAACTGGAAGTGGGAAACAGCATGACAAATTGCCTGCGATTCAGGCCAGAGCTGCGTCTCTTGGCCTTATAGCAATACAAGTCGACTTGTGTAGTCAAATACAGCATCGCAAGTTTCGTTTTCGATATGGGGAGGGGGCATTTTTCGTTTTGATACGCGACCGCGAGAAGTCAGCAGTTGGCGCGGTCCGTCATCACCACGGCGTTTATGTAATGCAAATATGTCTCGGTCGGGAAGAATGCAGGAGTTTGTCATGCAGATTTTGCACGATCCACAAGGTCTGTAATGCATGCCCTAGCATCAGAGATTCTGCGAGGGCTTTCTGATGCTCATACCGCATGAGAAACGCCCTTCCTGATAGCAAAAATTGAACCTCTTTTGCTGCTCATGCAATACAGATTTTATGGAGAATCCGAAGGTAGCATCACAAGTTGCATCCTTCCAGACCCAGACATATATTTGCACTGGATAGCATTCCAAATCAAGCAGAAAGAGATCCAGAAGCGGAAAGAGGACGCGATGCGCTCCAAAACGCTGCGGGGAAAAATTCGAAACTTCTTCTCAAGCCTGAAGCAGGGCGCGAAACGGCTGGTCCGGTCCGCGATTAACAGTGTGAAGCGCATGGGCAGTATCGCAAGAAAAAAGTGTTACAGTTACACATTGTGTTGCAGGCCAAGCAAAACAGACAATCTCTGTCATGCCGGATATGCATAGGAGCCTCGTTTCATAGGTGTTTTCTCGTAGGATTTCTGCATTACAAGTTTTCTCCCTCATCCAGAGAAATTTGTGTTGCTGAATTGACGTACAAATGTGTAACTGTAACACTTTTTTCGTGGGATAGGCAGCTACTGGAAGGCGTACTGGAATGAGCAAGGCGAGGAGTCGGTGCACAGCTACGTGTCGAACCTGATGGAGGAAGAAGAGGCAGGCGGCACGAAAGACATATCAAATGTATATAAAGGTCTGGGTCTGGAAGAATGAAACTTGTCATGCGAAATCTGAAGCATGCAAAAATCTGTGTTGCATGATTACCAAAAGTCGCCCAGTTTTGACCAAGTCGGGAGGGAGTTTCTCATGCAGGATAGGCATGAGAGAGTTCGCACAGAATCTGTCATGCTAGATCCTCCATTCCAGACCTCATGGGTCATGGAAAAGCTGCATGACAAGCCGCGCAATCTTCCAGACCCAGACATTTTTGCATTTGATAAAACATGACCTTTGACAATGTGGGTAATTTGATGAAAGAGGTGCTGCCCGATCAAGAGATGACAAAAGTGCAGAAAGAAGAATATGAAAAAAAGCTTGCCAGCATCCGGGCCTTCACCAACGGCGCGAAAGGCTTGTACGGCCTCGGCAAGGAGACGGTGGACATGGTGTACACAGATTTGAAGGAGTATGGGATTCTCAAACGTTACATAATTCTCGACCGTTTTACGTGAATTTGTCATGCGAAACTAGCATCATTATCGACACGATCAAGCCGCTTCGCATGACAAATTTACGATAAAGGGCTCTCCTTCTGTGCGGAATTTGTTATGCTACAGGTGCAGCCTCCCCCCTTTCGCTTTTGTTATTCTTGCATTACAAGTTATTCATGTAGCAGTTCAGAATGTAACCGTTGAGAATGCCATAGGGAGCAGAAGGCGAGAAACCCGGGTGTGGAGCCGACGATCGATTGGCAAAAGTTCAACCCGATGGACAAGGAAAGCTTGAAAAAGGTGGAGCGTGGGGTCCAGATGGCGGACCTCCTGAAAAAAAACGTGCATACCCTGGAGCAGCTAGACATGAATGACAAGAAAAATCTGCTCTCCGTATTGACGATTGGAACGATCAAAAATGCCGTGAAAGCAGTCCACACCGCCGCGTGCAAAACCTATTGTGCTTTCACGGGAAAGGAGTTTGTCCCATATCAACTGCAAAAGTGTCCGATACTGGAAGGATTTAACTTCTGATGCTGTCTTCGGAGTCTAAAAAAATCTGCGTTGCATGGCCAGCAAGGGGAGTCGATTTTGTGCAGTACACGGAGAGGGCATTTGTCATGCAGTATGCGCGTCAGAAAGCCCGCAAGAAGTTTGTGATGCTAGGGCATGCATCACTACAGACATCATGGGTGATGCAAAATGACAAGTCTTGCACTCTTCCAGAGCACCCCGACATGTTTGCACTCGATATCCCCCACGATCGTACCAAGGAGGGTGGTGGAGCCAACCCGAGCCTGCGTCCCCGGCCGAAGCGGCGCGCGGGGAAAAAGGCGAAGGGAAGCGCGCGGTCGTTCGACGACCTATGCATTGCAAATGTGGCTGGGTCTGGAAGAATGCAGGTTTGTCATGCTTGTCTGGCATGATTCTCAAGTCTGTCATGTACATTACCCAAGAGCCCCATTTTTCTGTCATGCCGAAGCTCACTTTGCCATGCGGAAAAGCCAAGACTGTAGCACCTCCAAAACTTGTCATGCTTGCCGGTCAATTGAGGCGTCGTCGTCTTTCTCAACCAGCATCACAAGTTTCCATGCCCGGACATATTTGCAATCCATACGATCTGTCGATCAACGATTTGATCAAAGCGCTGGGCAAGACGTATCAAATGCAAATATTTCTGGGTCTGGAAGGTTGCAACTTGTGATGCGCATTCCAGAGCACGCAAAAACCTGTCTTGCACAAACAGCAAAAGCTGTGTATTTTTGGCAATGGTGAGAGCGAATTTCTCATGCAGGGTAGGCAACGTGAAGCTCTCAAAGAACCTGCGATGCTGGTCCTGCATGCCAGACACTCTGGGTCATGCAAAGCGTGCATTGCAAACGTCTGCATTCATCCAGACCCAGACATATTTGCATTGCATAAAACCACGGATGTGGCGATCTCGGGCGCCCAGGCCGCGGGCGCGATTTTGCGCACCGGAGACAGCGAAGCGATATTCGAGTCAGCGAAATTTCTGGACACGGCGATGGCAAAGTGCCGGGACATTGCGAGCGGCGGACGCGCGGCCTCGGACGACGACGTGCAGGGCGGCTGCGATTTGGACGACGACAGCACCTGGAAGCGCAACATGCGGTACGCCGGCGAAGTCTTTGGCTTCACGTTTTTTCTGCAGAAGACCGAGTCCCGGGAAGGTGCCATGAATCACCGACCGGTGAAGCGTACCGTGCAGGACTTTTCGAGGGTGTTGAACAGTATTTCCAAGCTGTACGTGATCGTGTCCCACTGGCCGCCGTGGAAAACCGAAGAAAGCCGCCAGCTCACCTCCCTGGACGGGAGAAATCGGCCGCTGGACTCGTCTAAATACGAGGTCGATGAGGAAAATTTTGACCTGGACACCTTGCTCGCCGCCGCGCGGAACGACGACGAAGAACATTACAAGACGCACCAGGTGGATTTCATGAGCTTTCTGTTCAATTCTAAAACCAACCCCGCGATATCGCATTTGCAAACGTCCCGCCCACCCCATAATTGTAATGCAAATCTGCATGCTGAAAATGTTTCTCATGCGGAAACCCATGCAAGGCATTTTTCTCTAGGCGTGTTTAGGAATTTGTGATGCTCCAATCAGCATGATATTCTAGATCTCTGATGCTGCGAAACTACCTCAAAGTCAAACAGCACTACACTACGAGTCCAAGTTTGTCATTCCAAACAGCCAAAGCTTGTGGATTTGTCTAGCCGATTCTCCATCTTGGCCTATTATAGGGTGGGGACGTTTTTACATAGGATACGCGAGCTTGTTTCACAATCTGCAGGAAGAAATTCCGCACCGCGTCCTGATCACGCTAGCGCAGCTGGTGGAGACCGTGGTGGAATTCGAGCAGCTGCGGTCGGACGAAAATTACCGTGGTTGGTTCAAAAAGATGGAAAACAAGATCAAGAAAGGCGCCAGCGCCGTTGGCGGCGGGCTGAATCGCATGAAAGAGTGCGTTATCCAGTGCAAAAATGTTTGGGGCTGGAAGAGTTCAACTTGTGATGCTGCATTTGCATTCGGAAAAAATCTGTATTGCCTGAGCAGCAAATAAAGGAGTCCAACTTTTGTTACGCGGAGAGGGCATTTGTCATGGGGGATAGGCAACATCAAGAAGCTCTCACAAAATCTGTGATGCTAGGGCATGCCTCACAGACATCCCGGCTCATGCAAAACGTGCATAAGCAAGTGTTGCAATCTCCCAGACCCAGACATATTTGCAATGGATATGTGTGAAGCGAAAACTCGGGTTTCAACAGAAGAACCAAAGCGGAGCCACCGGCTCACAGAACAACGCCCAGCAAATATCCTGAGTAAAAACGTACCCACACTAGAGTCAGGATGGAGATTTTGCAACACAAACCTAGGAGTTTTGTGAGTCACGCATGACAAGTTGCACTCTGCAGTGTAGTGCAGGTTAGCAAGTGCAGCCGCATCACAGATTCATCTGCTCATCCTGTTCACAGCATCACAAATTCCAAAACACGATTAGAAATGGCTCTCATGGGGATGCGCATTACAGGTCTTCCTGTCTTTGCAAATCTGCATTACAACTCTGGTGTGGGTACGTTTTTACTCAGGATAGCAAATTGTTGTGTACGACTCGAATCGGGTGAAAAACGCTGTCGTCGCTGTCTACAGCAAGGTGAAGGTATCGCAAGAAAAAACTGTTTCACTGTAAACTTGTAATGCACAAAAGGCATCTCACAACTGTTTGTCTTGCCACACATGCAAGAGAGTGGATTTTTGGCTGTGTTTTCCATTAGACACCTTGCATGGCAAATTTTCTCCGTCATGTAGCTAGAGCAAACCTGTGATGCAAAACCTGCAAAACCCCTTTACAGTGAAACAGTTTTTTCGTACGATGGAAGGCTGCTGCTGCAAACGTGGGTGGTTTTTTCAAGAAAGCGGCCCACACGCTCGGACTGGCAAAAGGCTGGGACTTTTTGAAAAAACAGTTCTGCGGCTTCATGGATTTTGACGCGGTGTTCGAGTTACGCCACCACTTGCAGCGGGTCCTCTATCCTGAGGAAAAACGTCCCAACCCCAGAGTCAAGATGGGAATTTCGCAACACAGATCCAGAAGTTTTGAGTGTCGCGCATGACAAATTTGGGTCGGTAGTGTAGTGGTTTTTGGCTAGTAATGCCACATCACAAATCTAGCGTCTGATCCTGATTTGAGCATGACAAAGTCCCAGACAGAATGAGGAAATGCTTCTCATGGGGCTGCGCATGAGAAACATTTTACGCATGCAGATTTGCATGACAACTCTGGGGTGCGGACGTTTTTACACAGGATTTGCTCATCATTTTGTTTTCCTCGCAAAACATCTTCGCGAACAAAGCCCGGAAGTCGTTGCTGACCATCCTGAAGGTGTGGGTTGACCCCGACGCATTTAATCAATTGCTGGGCCAAAAATATTTGGAGATGGAGGGCCGTGCTGTGGACCGAGTCGATTGCTTTGTGAACGCAGATATCAAAACGCAAATCCAGAAGCTCCGCAGTATCGCCGGGCCTGACCACGAAAAGTATGGATTGCAATATATGTCTGGGTCTAGAAGGTGGCAACTTGTCATGGTAAATCGGAAGCATGCAAAAATCTGTGTTGCATGAGCGACAAAAGCTGTCCACTTTTGGTGAAGTTGGGAGGTGGGAGTTTCTCATGCAAGATAAGCATGGCAAGTTTTAAATAATGTGGCTGAAATAATTGCGCCACCCTCATCGTGAGGATTTTTTCCTTTTTGGGGGTCACATATAATCCAGGGGTGTAATGGCAGAATGAGTGCACTTCTCTCGTCCCCCCTCACATCACCACCTCGCGGGTAAAAGGGAAGCGCGCCGTCTTTGTCCTCCACCACTGCAGAACTTCTTTGTGACGACGGGGCGACAAACGATGTGAGGAGCTACACCTAGACTGATTACCGAGGGCGTCCCGGCGTAGCAGACTCCGGATCCACCGGGCGCTTCATTGTTAGGTCCGCGAGCATGCTGTTCGTCGTTATCTTTCTTTGCTTTCTCCTTTTGCAGCACCAGCGGGTCATGGGCGGTCGCAGAGACCCGACCAGGATCCGCAGACCCCACCGAGCTTGCAACCAACCGGTAACGCCAGGCGATTGGGTCTTTGTACTGACGCAGAACTGCCAGCGGGCAAACTTTCGGTACTTGGAGGGCGTTGACCAGTCGGCGCCCCTCCAGCAGGTGCAACAGGCGGAGAAGGTCCGCGGTGTGTTCCAGCACATCGTGGCGAACAAGGCGAAGGTCTCACTCCTGTCCGATGTAACTTGGAGCGGAGCACGTGGTGCACACTTGAAGCGGTACGAGTTCACCAACGGCCAGCACTACGTTTACGGAGGAGGAAGAGTGGCCATCGTCTTGCACAAGTCCATTCTGTTCGCAGCGGATGGAAAATCTCTCATCAAGCCGGTCGTCAAGTTTTTCGGCCCCCGCATTATGGCGCTCTTCATACGCGGGACATGGTTTGCGGTGGGATACCAGCCAAGCGACACGGTTGCGGACTTCGCAGAACTGGACCAGTTCTTGCTATGGCGCGAAAAGCTTTTGTTTGCGACAGGGACCAGCAGCATCATCTTCGGCGGCGACTTCAACTCAGCAATTTCCCAGTTGCCACGGGGCCCAGAGGATGAAGAAGCAGGAGCTGCGGCGGCGATCGGCTCGGCCGTGCTGCTGGAACCCCCCGCGAACCCCCGTCCGGGACACAACAACATGCGGTTTGCAATCGATAACATGTTGTGTATTCCGGACACCTTTAAGTCCATCCACAGGCGAGGCACGTGGAGACATCCGGCAACCGGGCGATGGTACGAGATTGACTATTTCTACACATCGCGGCAGGTTCAGTTCGGAAACGTGAAGACCATCCAGCCCAAATTTCTCACCGACCACCGCGGCAAGCGCATGGCAGTCAAGTTAGGCCTTTCGCAGAAGGACAAGCGCGAAATCCGGCACCGAGTAATGACAATTACGCCGTCCCCACCATATGAAGCGCTCCGGCGCGACGAGACAGCGCAGACGGCTTTTGCAGCGGAGACGGATGCCAACCTTCGGAAAGAGCAGCAAGACGGAAGCAGTAGCTTGGCCACCAGGTGGGAAACGTTCACGACAGTAGTAGCGAACAGCGCGACGGCGGTAGTTCCGGCAAATCAGGAGAGGGGTGCGCAGCAGTATCCCCCTTGGCTGAATGTCCGGAAATTCCGCGAGTACAAGAACGAGAAAGAGGACCTACTGTATTCCCGATTTTTAGCAGCGGACGCGAACGAGCGGCAGCAGTACAACAGACGGCTGCGCGTGATCGAGAAGGACTACCGAGCTGCTGAGAAGTTGGATTTTGAAGATTACATCGACCGCATTGCAGACGAGTGCCAGGCGGAGTATGGCCAGTGCGGCAGAATCGACTACGCAAGGTTGCGGCGCACGGGTGTAATTTTTGAACCAACGGCGGGAGCAAGGGTGAGACAGGCGATCCCGTTCACCGTAGAGGACGCGAAGAAACACTTCAGCAGGCTGATGCTGCGACCGGCGGACGTTCCGCAAGGATTTCAGGAGGCCCTGGAGAGAAACCTGGACCAGCTCCCGGAGTCTGCGGACCCGATGTGGGGCATACCCGACGAAGGCGAAGTTGCGCATTGCGTCAAGCAGATGAAGGACTGCGCGTTGGGAGTGGACCAGATCCACATTGCCCACATCAAGCACCTCGGCGACGACTCTTGGGATTTTCTAGTGAAGTTGGTGCAGGATTGTTTCAGAACGAGAACGATTCCGGATGCGGCGCACTTGGTGCGCATGAATGCCCTCCACAAGGGGAAGAACCTAAATCCGCGGCTGTTAGACAACTACCGCGCCATTGCGGTGGCGACCTTTCTATCGAAATTGTGCGAGACCATTTTGCAGAAGAGGCTCAAGCACTACCTCGAGCGGATCGGTTTCTACCGGGAGACGGCGACGCAGCGCGGATTTCGGTCAGATTGCTCGACGGCGGACTTGGTGATGATGTTGCAGTTCATAGCGGACCAGACGAGGACAGTCGTGCGGGAGTCGATCTTGGACGAGTTAGTACTGGTTTTGATTGACTTCAAGAAGGCATTTCCGAGCGTGATTCGGGAGCTTGTATACCGCATTCTGCGGCGTGCGGGCGTTCCGAGCACAGACGTGGAATTTCTAGCGCACTTACACGACAAAGCAACGTTTTACATCATGGTGGACCGCGAGCCGTCTGAAGAGTGGAAAGCAACGCGCGGGATGAAAGAAGGAGGCCCATCCAGCCCCGACGGCTACGGAATCTTGAGCGAGATTATGTATCGGGAGCTGGCGCGCAGGCTAAACGGCATAAAGTTAGCAACGACGGGCGATTTTTTGTCGAAGCTTGCGGCGTTTACGGATGAGCAGAACATCAACCCCGCAGCGGTGCGCAAGGTGGTCGCCTTGCTTTTTGCAGATGATGCAACGCTTCCGACGACACTACGGGAGGCGCCAATGGTTGAGAGCACGATCAAGGACGTGGCGACTACTTTCGGCCAGGAGGTGCACCCGGACAAGACGGAGCGGCTTCTACTACAGGGACCACACTTCCACTACCCCGGCCCAAAACAAAAGGATGGGACGCCACCAGTACCACCCGGATTCGAGGAAAAAGTAAAAATTGTAGGATGCGAACTGTCCACGTACCACAGTGCAGGAGTGTGCCTCGAGCGGCACTTGAAGAAGGCACGCGGAGCGTGGGCGGAGTGGAGACCGATTCTACTACGGGCGCGCGGACGGATCAACTACTACAAGCGAGGCAGCCTGATCAAGTCCAATGTGCTTTCGCATGTCTACTACAACGCGGCAGTGCGGCTGTGGAACGAGCGCAGTTATCAGGAAATAAATGTCCTCATCAATAAGATGCTGCGAACCATCACAGGCACTGCGATTCCGGGAATGGTTGGGGTGGCAAACAACTACACACTACGGAGAAGGTTCGGCATTCAAAGTGCGCGAACAGCGATCGAGAGGATCACTATCGACTACCTGGGGCACAAACTCCGGATGGGAAGAGACGAGCCAGGCGAAGGCCTAGAAAAGGGAAACACGTACCGCGCTCGCTTCCCGGACGGGCGCACCGACCACCACCTGATCTACGGCAGATTGATCACGATTTCGGCGGGTGCGCAAGGCAACAGGCGGATGCAGCGCAGAACGCTAGCGAAGCAGTGGCTAGAAGTCATGGGGCGCGCACAACTCCGACCTGACATGACACGGAAGCAGTGGAACGAGGCGGCTACGCTCTACATTCGCAAGATTGAAGAGCAAGAGCGCCTGGCAGCGTACGCGGCGGACGGCGCCGGAAACGTCGAGAAGCGGCGCGACGAACTGCTTGCCGGCCATGGTGTCAACGCTGGCGCCAGCGAGATACGGCTGCGGAAGAACGTGCACGAGGAGGGCGAGCTGATCGCCAGCCACAGCGTGATCTCGCAGTACCAGTGCCCGCACTGTCTTGTGCGTTTTCCAGACGGCGGCAGCGGCTTCAAGTCGCACAAGACTAAGTGTGGGAAGGTCGATTATAGTGATGTTAATTTTGACGATGTTGTTTGTATTCGAACTTACGCAGCAGGACGCACGCAGTTGCCATGGGGCAATCGTTGGCATTGTAAGAAGTGCGGCACTACTGGCACTGAAGGTAAGGCCACTAGCGGGCAGGGGGTCAAGTGTGCATTGAAATTGACGCTGCATGCACAGACATGCGACCCCGCCCAGAAGAAGGGGCGTAGGCAGGACGAGGTCCTGCAGTATCTGGCTGATCTGCAGGCGTTTGATGCTCTCAACCCCTTGGTCAATTAAGTTCGATCTATGTTGATTTCTGTGTTCTGTTTGTCTCTCTCTCCGATCAACCGTAGTGCGTGTGTTGGTGACTAATGAAGATGTTGATTTTTGTGCGCCGAAAAGTAAGCAAGTTCTGACGCGTGGCGCACACACCCACGCTCGTAGTGGCGCACATACCCACTACGGCTACACAGTGGCGCACACACCCACTCCCTGTAGCCTGTCCAGGTTTCTGCCCTTTGTTTGTTTCTCTCGTTTGCACTGGCAAAAGTTTTAACCTGCTGCTTTGCTTTATTTGTGCTGTAACATTTTGCATTCCCTCCTACGCTTTAGTCAGATTTCCGTTTGTGCAGCTTTTTGAAAAAACTTGTTTTGTATCTGGACGCACGGTGGTACGACAAAAAAATTTGTCTTTGTGCCAAGGCAAAAAAAAGATGCAGCGTCGTGTTGAGCGCATCGAAAAAGAGCGCTGCCTGATGGTGCAGTTCAACCACCCGGAGATCCGCTGGCCGCGGAAAGACAACTCCCCCAACGGCGACTTCCTGCAGAACTTCGACAAGGAGCAGAAGAAGACGTTCTTGCGTCTGATGGGTACTCATTTCCAGGGTGCCCAGCCGTCGGCCAAGCAGATGGAGTACCAGACCAAGGACGACGGTACCACCGAGCTCAAGGAGCTCCAGGACGACTGGACCGACGCCCAGAAAGCCGATTTCGCCGCCAAGAAGGATGCTTTTGTGGACTTGTGGCGTTCGATCTCGGACGCCCCGGAACTGGTTGAGTACATCAACTGGAAGAACAACAACTGGATCCAGATCGTGTTTCACCTCGGCGAGCACCACAGCAAGGTGATGGATCTGGCCCGTGTCGTCGACAACAATCCCTTCCGCAAGTACTTCAGTCGTAGTCTGAAGTTGAAACCGATGCAGATGGGCAAGCCGAAGGAATACGACAACGGTGGCCATGCCAATGGTAACGGCAACGTGAAAAAGAAGGGCGGCAAGAAGGGCAAGGGCAAGGGCAAGGGCGGCAAGAAGGGCAACGGAGGGAAGCAGCAGTAGTGGCACCGTCTTTCGACTTGTGTCACAACGCCAGTGCTGTTCTTCATCATCATCTACGCCTTCACCGACACACACAACCACGCGATAACGACGCACAGCAAGCACGACAGTCCTGTGCGAGCCTACTCTGGGGCTCATGTTTGAAGAAGATGATGCGTGATGAAAGACACGCATGAGCTTTAGTAGTGCACTCCATTCACGTTCTGGAAAAATGGAAAAAACACTGATGGTGCTGCCTGGCACCACTTCAGCCAGGAGCACGAGCTGCTTGACACCTCCAGTCAAGAGCTAAGTACGATCGACAGACGATCTCTGACAAACGTGCCTCGCACGGTAAACAGACTGTAAGTGTGCAAATCAAATCAAATCAAATCAAATCAGAGACCTCGCAGAGTCTGTCATGCTAGGTCCCGCATTCCAGACCTCAGGGGTCATGCAAAATCTGCATGACAAGTTTACACTCTTCCAGACCCAGACATTTTTGCACTTGATAAAAAGCACATGGACGCAATGATGGCCGGGGTCTCGACCGGTGTGACGTTGCTGGTCACGAACGTGGTGCAGGACGACAGTATGACAGGAGCTGCTTCGAGAACAAGTGATGTGGCCAACAAGTTCCAAAAGAAAGCTTTCGATGCCTTTCTCGGCGGCTTTGTTTCCCTGGTGTGGGGGAAGATGGTCGCGACGGAGGCCTACAAGTCGTTAATGAACATTCTTGACATATCCTGAGTAAAAGCGTCCCCACACCATACATTGTTGTCAAGCAGATTTGCAGTCACAGGAAGATTTGTAATGCGCATCCCCATGAGAGGCATTTCCAATCGTGTTCTGGAATTTGTGATGCTGTAAACAGGATCAGCAGGTGGATTTGTGATGCTGTTGTCCTTGCTAACATGCACTACTACACTACGGAGTGCAATTTGTCACACGTCCGTGGCTCCCAAAACTCTTGGATTTGTGTTGCTAAAAGTTCCCAACTTGACTCTGGGGTCGTGGGGACGTTTTCACATATGATATGACAAGGCGCAAGCAGCAAGGCATACCGGCGAGGAGAAGTTGAGAGCTGCGATTGCAGGCCAGGAGGCCCTGGAGAGAGACTGCCCCATGGTAAACAATGTGATGCTGCAGCAAATGGGTCTGTCGCAGGAGGTTTCGGTGCGAACCCAGGCGTTGCAGCAGTGGGAAGAACACATCTTAAATCCTATCCTTTGTAAAAACGTCCCCACCCCAGAGTTGTAATGCAAATGCGCAATGACAGGAACATTTGCAATGCGCATCCCCATGAGAGGTATTTCCACTCGTTGTTTGGCATTTGTAATGCTGTAAACAGGATGAGAAATTGGCTTTCTCATGCGGCTTGCCTTGCTATGCACCACTATACTACAGACGGAAACTTGTCATGCACAACTCCCAAAGCTTGCCGATTTGTCTAGCAGATTTCCCATCTTGACTCTGGTGTGGGGACGTTTTTACTCAGGATAAATCCCGCTCGCGAGATCATTCACGAGGGGACAACCCAGTTTGTCAAGACGCTGTACCCGACCGGCGTTGCCATCCCGGGCATGATATGAAGTGCAAATATGTCTGGGTCTGGACACCTGTGATGCTGAGTTGCGCATGATTGAAGCGCTTGCAATGACAGCCAGGCATGACAAGCTTTTCAGAGGCCTGTTGATGCCTAGCACGCATTACAAATCGCGTTTTTGCATGACAAAGGAAGCTTTTCTTTTGCTGCTCATGCAACACAGATTTTCCACGAATACAAGATACGCATTACAAGATCCACTCTTCCAGACCCTGACAGATTTGCACTTCATACGTGACTGCCCAAGAGACGAAGCAGAAGGTGGACGAACTCATCAACCAGATGAAGCACGCGGTGCTGGCAAAACTGGAGCTCAATGTGAACGAGGAAGTGAGTAACCGTTTCCCACTTCAACGAGATCTTCCATCGAACAACGTGTTTAAGACGGCAGAGCAAGTCGAGGACTGGCACGCAGAGAACCCGGGGTTTTTGCAAGGCAGTTTGGACACGGCCCTGGCCACTATGCCGACCCCGGTGTCAAAATTGTTGTCGACACGGGAAGACTTCCGCGTCACCGAGGCGCTGCAACAGCTCTCGAGTTTTGTGTCCGGCGATGATGCAGGCGAGGAAGAACGGTCCTGCGGGGAGTCGATGCTGCTGATTTTCGACTGGATGGGCAAGAAGCTTCCGGAGGGGGAGAATGGCAAATGCAACCCGGTGGTGGAAGCGATGCGAAGTACGGTCGACTACATGAAAGACAGCCACCTGCTGGGAGTTGTGAAAATCACATATACCTTTTCCCTCTTCTCCAAGCGGTCGCGGCAATTACTGTACGTTCTGGAAGAAGACAAAGCGGCGAAACTGGTGTTCGACCAACAAGACCATGTGACCGAGCACCAACACAAGACCGGCATCCGGCAGGACGGCACAGAGATGAAGCTCTCAGCCTGGGACTCGTGGCTCTTATCTATCAAAATGAAAAAAGCCCCCACCCCATATCGAATGGGAAATCTGTGATGCAGGATTTGTGTACACAAATGCGCGCTATCTTGCAATACGGAATCGCAGCCAGATCCGCACCCTAGAGAGGGACGTTTGGGTCTAGGCCTACGGCTGTCCTCTAGGCCCAACAGCATGCCAAAGCGCTTCCATAATGGCGCGGAAGCCTCTGCATTTGTCTTCTTGCAAGACAGACGTGATTTGTGGTCTCAAATCAGCAAGACAAATTTTCGGAAGCGTACCTGTTCGATATGGGGAGGGGGGTTTTTTCCTCTCAATACTATCGACCGTGAACCCACACACGAGTAATTTGCAGGTGCTAACCAAGAAGGATGGTAGTGGAACGCAGTACATCCCGACCGCGTTCAAACTGGAATATGCGTACTCCCAGCTGAAGAGGACTGTGTTTTACTTGAACACGATGCAGACTTGGATGTTTGGATCCGAAACGAACCACTTTGACACGAAAAAAATGCTGCGGGACCGCATGCGCGCCAGCGGCAAGGATGTCGAGGAAGATGAGTCCGGTGACTTTATCCTATGTAAAAACGTCCCCACCCCAGAGTTGTCATGCAGATCTGCACGGTAAAAATGCTTCTCATGCGGAGTCCCATGAGAGGCATTTTTTAGTGGTCTTTGGCAATTTGTTATGCTCCAATCGGCATGATGTGCTACATCTGTGCTGCGGCTTAACTAGCTAAGTAAACAGGATTACACTATGGCGCCAGATTTGTCATGCAGAACTCAAAAAACTTTGGGATTTGTGTTGCAGACTTCTCATCTTGACTATGGTGTGGGGATGTTTTTGCACAGGATAGACTTGATTGTGAAAGACGAAAACATGTTCGTCGCCTGGAAGTCGATCGTGAGAGGCTTGGAAAATATCCAGCAAAAAAACTGTGCAAGTGTACCTTTGTAGGAAAAACAGCAACACAAGTTCGCTTTGCATTACAGGGAAAAGAACCTGTCATGCGCAGCTAGTACGTGGAAACACGTATGAGAGTAGCCTATGACACACATCCAGCATGACAAGTGTAACAGTTTTGCATTTTCTGCATCACAGACTTACACTCACATAGTTTTTTGCTTGCATAGAAAAGACCGCGGAGGATACGGAAGAGAAGATCAAGTCCAGAGAGTACCGGAACCGGAAGGGCTTAGCCGATATCAACGATGCGGATGATTTCATAGACTATTTGGAACACCATATCGCAAGAAAAAACTGTTTCACTGTGAACTTGTGATGCAGAGAACGAAACACCAAAGTGTTTGTCTTGCTACACCTGCAATACCATGGATTTTTAAGCGTCTTTTCGCTTGGGAAACGCGCATGGCAAATTTTCAGTGTCATGTGTAACAAACTTGTGATGCAGATCTTGCAAAACCATCACAGTGAAACAGTTTTTTCGTGGGATACACCACGTGGTGACGAAGAAGGCGAAGCAGTTCTTCTTCGAAGACTTGCTACTCCCCACGGACTCCGAGTGGCACGGGCAACTGTATCAAATGCAAATATGTCTGGGTCTGGAACAATCCGAACTTGTGATGCTGCATTTGGATTCTAAAAAAATCTGTATTGCATGAGCAGCAAAAGGAATGCAATTCTTGCTACGCGGAGAGTGCATTTGTCATGCGGAATAGGCATCAAGAGGCCCTCAAGAAATCTGTGATGCTAGGGCATGCATCACAGACGTCATGGCTCATGCAAAACGTGCATGACAAGTCTCAGAATCTTCCAGACTCAGATGACATATTTGCAATGCATAAACTGGTGATCCCGACGAAATCCGGGGTCCATTTGCTCAACGTCATGATTATGCGCACCGTGATGAACAGTGTGGTGGCCGAGATTCTCCACAGGTGGATGGACCTCATCAAGGGCTCGCCGGCCGGCATCTCCAGGCGCGATGAACAATACGCTTCGGTGGCCGGCCTGAGCCAGGCGACAGGTGGGTTCTTCACAGAAGAACTGGTGAACAAAGTTTTCACCCACGTGAATCGCGAGTTGCGGGAAAACGCAAAGTGGGAATATTTCCGGTCGGACTCCTTTAAGCGGTACGTCGCGGACCCCATGGAGAAGGTGGAGCGAGTGCGGCGCAGCATCGTCGCGTTCGTGCAGCGCAACGCGAAGCCTATCCTGAGCAAAAAACGTCAACACCCCGTATTCAAGGTGGGAAACCTGCTAGACAAATCAGCAAGCTTTGGTTGTTGCGCATGACAAATTTAGACTCGCGCTTTACTTTGTCGTCTTTAGCCAGTGCAGCAACATCACAGATCTCGCATATCATGCCGATTTGAGCATCACAAATCTCAAAGCACCAAAAGCAAATGCTTCTCATGGGTCTCCGCATGAGAACAAACGTTTCTGGCATGCAAACTTGCATCACAACTCTGGGATGGGAGCGTTTTTGCTCAGGATACAGCCACTGCAAACGTTACCCCCGCAGCAGACCGCGATCAAAGTGTCCTACTCGCTCGACCTGACGCGAAACAAATTGCTGCAGGAGGAGGCGTTTAAGGGGTTCGCGATCACCTTCGCGGCGATTTTGCAGGAGAACAGCACGAAGGACAAGGAGCTAGCCCTCTTCGGGCCGGAGTACAAGGACCACCCCTTGCAGATCTTCTTCCGCTTGGTGTGTGGCTTCGCGGGAATGGATAATTTTCCCCAGATGATGGCCGGGTTCTTCGGTGGTGTTACTGCGGCTGCCCAAGCGGCGGGAGTTGGAGCGGCAGGAGGTCCGGAGCCGTATTCGGCAGAGCGGGACGTGTTCGGGTGAAGAAGTAAATCTTCAGGAACAGCTAAGCAGACCATAAGCGTCGTGGGGCCCAGGACCACGTGTACAAGACACGTGAGTAAACACGTTTTAGTACCCTGCTCTACCACGGCTTCATATTACTTAACTCGATTTTATGCAATAAACATCCAATGACAAAAACCAAAATATCGTGAAAAGTTCAATACCAGCAGCAGCTGAGGTCCGTATCCTTAGCTTGACCTGCGAAGTTACCTACAAGGTCAACCAAAAGAAAAAATGAAAAAAAGTGTCGCGCTTTGATAATTTCGACAAAATTTTTTCCCCAAGCTTTTCCACCCCTCAGCTTAGTGTAGAATTCGGTGAGATTCTAACGCGCTAGAGAATCACCACCATAGATGTAGAATGCAAGGCTACATGTTGATACAAAAAATGTAGAAGAGTTTTAGCATGAGGATAAGCAGTCACGCACGCCTACTATACTCAATCAACGATTTATTTGAACCGAAGAGACGACTTTGACTCATCGGTCCGATCGCGGGCAGCTCCCAACACAGCGATTCATATTCACCCATTGCCGCTTTTGCTTTTTGAGCGAGATTTATACAAAAGTTATGTCGCAGAGTATTTCCACAGAAGATGTCTATGGGAAGCCGTTTTCCCCGGGCGTTTTCTTGGCATGACCACAAGGACGAGAACAGAAAGCAGTGGTGACGGGACGTAAGTACAACAACTACGCATGTCGAGTACAACGCATACCACATTTGCTGCACGCCGCGAACTCACAACAGAAGAGGGAATATAGTGCCCGTCTTTTCAAACATCATGATATAGTTCGATCTGATTGCCAGAAAGAAAGTCACCCGTCCTTTTTCGCCTTCAATGAACTTCTGAGCAACTACCGCAGGCATAAATAATGACAACATCATAGAAGTATTTGTAGGAGGATGATGCGGAGGCTTCGACACATCTAGCGCTTTAGCAGAAATGGAAGATACTTGCAACGATTGTTGCACCGAATTTTCATACACAACTCGATGTAGTTTTTGCCATGATGAAAGAACGCGCATGAGAAAGATGCTTTTTCAGGAGCCCAAGAAGCAAGAAGCACACGGACAGTCAGAGAAGCTTTAAATCTGCTCGCAGAAGATGCAGAAGCACTCGCCACCTGGCGTTGGCCCATTACGGCCCCTGATGTTATGCTAGTACTACTTATGAGAGCACTCCGGACCGCGTGTTTCGTGAAAAAAGCACAAAAAGATCAAGACCGATGAACGGCACGCTCAACACAGGGGTTCTTGTTCCTAGCACGCTCCGGAAGATGGTGTCCGATGAACACGGCACAGATGAAAAGATGATCGAATGAAGAAGTCTTTGCACTGGATTAGCGTGTGCCGTGTGGTGGTCCTTGTGAAGGATCTTGTTTCATGGACGAGGAAGCAAGTGGGAGTTAATAGTAGTGAGCTCTCAACATCAAGTGACGAAGCACGGTGAGGACTCAGATCTCTGCAGATCAAGTGCCCCAGCTGCTCTCGCCGGCATTCAATAAGTAGGTAGAACTACAGATCTCATCTTTTCTCTCTGGCAACGCGTGGTGCTATTGATCCCAAATTGTATTATACGTGATGTGCAGCACAGATCGCCGCTGTCTTGTAGCCGACGTGCTCGAAAATCTGTTGGGCGTGCTCAACCTGTAGTACCTGAGCTACAGTGGGATGAACGCTCTACTTGCAGTATTAATCCGCCTCTCCGCCTCCCCTAGTACACGCTGGCACACCATCACAGCTCGATAAATATGCGTGGTGGGTACGGCTCACGATAAACCTGAATGTGAAGACAATCTTCGTGACCACTAACCCCAGTCCTGACTGTATCTGAAGCGCAACATTTCATCTAGGAAAATCATACAAAATTCGCTTTTGTTTCATAGATAGAGATAGCAAGAGAAAACATATTCGAGGTGGAGTTGTGTACAGAACAAAAATACTTTACTTAGAACAGATTTATTCCACATGTAGTAACCCCAACGCACCAACTTTCTTACAGGCACAAGTTACTTCTATCCACAAGCTACGACTAACAACCTCGTTAATCTAGACCCAAAAAAAATACATATGTTGGGCCAGAGGCGGAAAGCCATATTTTTGTCTTGATGGAAAAGTAGTAGAGCACACAGTTGCGCACTCATCACATTTTCACATAAACGCCTACACGCACACGATTAATAGTATTAGTAACTGACTTTCGATACAATTTTCAACAGAAAAAGAACCAGATATATACAGGAGCGAGTTGTTCCTACCACCTCGTCTCAACCATGCGTGCTCAACCCTGGACGCGCAGCCCCACAGCCCCGCAGGTGGCGGCGGTCTGTAGACAGTGGGTCGCATACCGGGGGCGCCGGTTGATATAGGTGCTCCTCCGTCCGCGTGTGTGACTTCGATGAAGCCGCCTGCGGGTGTTGGGGTGGGGTCGTGCGTTCGCGACGTCGTTGTTGCGCCCTTTCGCGGTTCGTGACTTCTTCGTTGCAGCTTTTGCGTTGACGTTTGGTTGTGTCATCACGACGTGACCAGACCTCTCGCGCAGGGGTATCAGGAGTGCTGACTCGGAAGGAGAGCTGAGTTGCGTTGCCTACCGGCACTGCAACTCCGTCCTTCGCTCCTCGGCGTCGGTCCGCCGGTGTTCATTGCTTAGGCAGTGAGCACAGTCGAAGGGGTTCAGCGGTTGGTGTGGGGGCGAGGGGTAGTCAGCTGTCCGTCTTCGCGCAGTCTTGATTGCTTCTTCTCCTGTAGCGGACTTCTCTGTTGTTGTTCGATTCATCCAGCGTGCCTGGGAGCGCTTTGCCGATCTGATGAAGCAAAATTCTTCGGGCTGAAGCATCACGTTCACGTCGCCGCGCTTTGCGCTGTCTTCGCCTGGTAACAAGCCCGTGGAACTTTCCCGGGCAGACATTCACTAGACACACCCGGGAGCAAACCCCCACAGCTTCGCCCGGTCCCCTCACTTCGCTGCAGGGATTACGCGCCGGCACTGTTCCACGATTTCGCTACCTAGCTCCGCAGCCCCGCGCGCCCGGCTCTCTGTCCCTGACAGCTCCGGGCCGCCCCGGCATTTAGTCACATTTGGGGAACGCGTCCGGCGGCCCATGTCGTGTCCCACGGCTTGGCCCACCTTTACGTCCGGGACGTGGCTCTGTGGGGTTCGAGAGCCTGGCTTGCGTGGCTTGCTCACTGTAACTCGCTGTGCCGGCCGGGTTTTCTGTTTGCTGCCAGTGTGACCGTCGCAGGGCATCGTGCGATTCGGTCTGAGGCGCGCTCTGTCTCACAACTTGCGCTTCTATTCAGTTGCGCGCGCCTTCATCCTATGGGTGAATTGCGCAGTGAAGGCGAAATTATATATACAGGAGCGAGTTGTCACCACCACCTCGTCTCAACCACGCGTGCTATCTATCTTCGGCACCCCGTAGGCTTGGTCTTCGCCTTCAGCCCGCGGGCTTGCCTGCGCCTCTGCGAAATCCCCGGCCGCCATACCCCCCGGGGGGGCGACTTTCGGGGAGCCCCGGCCGGGCGGACGCTTCCAAGCGGCGCCCCGCCCCGTGCTGCCCCCACGGGGGGGTCTTCAACACCTCTTCGGGAAGTCTCCGGCACTGCTCGAGGGGCCTTCGATACCCCTTGCGTGGGGCCTCGGGCGTCGCGAACTTGATGCAGGGCATTTCCGCTTCCATCCCGCCAGGCCCCGCGGCGTGCCTTCGGGGCGCCTCGGGGGGCGGGCGCCTTCCCGCGGCGCCCCTTCGAGTGGTACCTACGAACGCCTCCAAGCGGCGCCCCCCCTCGCGCTCCTCCCCTTGAGGTGGTCTGCAGGACCCCTCGGTGGGAGCGAGTTGTTACTACCACCTCGTCTCAACCACACGTACTATCAACTTAAGGGCTTCGCTCGTTCGCCATTTTGATAGCATCCCTCTCCGTTCTCCGAAGGAGAATCGAACGCGATGGATAAAGTATACCATGTGAATCCGCATTTAATCTTTTCCACATCTTGTTCTCGTCGTGTAAAATAAAGTATTTTTACCGCGGCGGTAAAAAAAATAAATTCCTATACTCTCACTGCACGCGGCGATGCAAAACTTTCTCGCAAGAACCCTGCTTCTGCTGCTCGCCAGCAGCAGTGGCAATGAGAAAACCGCCTTGGCCCTGGCAGCTGTCGTGAACGAACAGAAACATCTCGGCGACGGCATTTCCATCCAGAGCATCACCACGGATGATTGCTTCAACTGCAGCGGCGATCCGATTGTCAACTTGCGGTTGGTTTCGCGAAAGGATCGCAACAAGGAGTATCTGCTGAACCTGAAAATCCCGACCTCTATTACAGTGAAAAATTTCCCCACCCCCAAAGTTGCAAAAATTTGTGATGCGAAGTTTCCAAATGAAAACTTTTTGTCATGCATGAAAGGAGTATGAATCTTTCTGATGCAGATTCTAGGCGTGTATCGCATTGCTTGCATGACAAGCGCCGCTCTTGCTGGGGTCCTTTGCAATACAGATTTTTGCTATTCACGATTGGAAACCTGTGATGCTGATAGATGCACGAGGGCGAATGTTTCATTTGCATAGGTTTGCAATACAAATCCTGCCAAGTTCGGGGATGGGGCATTTTTCATTGTAATAACCTCCGACCGAAATCTAGATGATCTGGATGAAGTCGAGACGCAGGCTATCCTGAGTAAAAACGTGCCCACACCAGAGTTGTAATGCAGATTTGCAAAGACAGTAAGACTTGTAATGCGCATCCCCATGAGAGCCATTTCCAAGCGTGTTTTGGAATTTGTGATGCTGTGAACAGGATGAGCAGATGAATCTGTGATGCGGCTGCACTTGCTAACCTGCACTACACTGCGGAGTGCAACTTGTCATGCGTGACTCCCAAAGCTCCTAGGTTTGTGTTGCAAAATCCCCATCCTGACTCTGGTGTGGGGACGTTTTTACTCAGGATACAGGCGCCGGGATCGGAGCATGGGGACCTGGAGGGGGACCCCTGCAGAGATGACCTGGAAGAAGATGACGAGGAAGACGACGAAGCTTTCCTACCCGTCGGCTCGTGGGCTATGCCACCGCAGTTCCTCGATGGTGGTACTGCCCAGGAAGTAGAACGTAGTGGTGCCCAGGAAGAAGCAGACGAAGAAGAGGATCCAGCAGTCGCCGACGCCGCCGACTCTCTCTCCGCCCTGTCGGTGAGCGATGACGCCCTTGCGGAACGAGAACGAACGGAAGGTCGTGGAGCTGCTGCAGAAGAAGAAGATGCCGTTGAAATCACCGCAGATGATTTGGTAGTGGAGGAAAGAACGCCTGAGAGCGAGACCGGACCAGGGAAAGAAAAAGTTCTCGCAGATTACCATTTTTTTCACATGACAAAACCGCTCGTCTGTGAAGATATGAACGATGCTAGTCCTACTACTTCCGAGGAGGACGTAGATTTGTTCTCTACTTACTCCGAGTTCTCGCTCTTTCCCATCACTTCCCAATCCCAAATTCACCGGGGGGAGGTGCTTTTGACTCCGTACGGAACCGGGTCCAGCCTCGCGGAGCGGAGCGGCTCGTGGCAGGCAACGTTTGTCATGCTGCTGCAGCCGATGTATAAGTGGACGAATTGGCGGACGGATCTTGGGGACGTCGAGAGAGGCAACAGCATTAAGTCCGCGTTGCAGAAGAACGTCGTGACCACTTTAGCTTTCGCGAAAACAGGGCTAACGCTGGCGGAGGAGCAGGAGTATATTGCACGGCAGGCGGCTAGTGGCGCAGCTACTGGAATATCAAATGATGTGGCCGGTGCGGAGGTAAGTCGTCGCCTCGAGTGGAAGGAGCTGTTTCTGGAGCATGACTCCACTATGCAAAAAAAAACACTGTGCAAGTGTAAATCTGTGATGCAGAAAATGCAAAACAGTTACACTTGTCATGCTGGATGTGCATCAGAGGCTATTTTCATATGTGTTTTCGCGTACTAGCTACGCATGACAGGTTTTCTCTGTCATGCAAAGCAAATCTGTGATACTATTCCTGCAATAAAAAAGTTACTACACTTACACACTTTTTTTCTTGGATATCCACAGTGGAGAGTGTAGTCCTCCCAACATCTGCCGGCGCCCCCCGATATTTGTTCAAAGTAACCGTCTGGAGCTACGGGAATTTGCGGGCGCAGGGGCGGTACGAGATGATTTTGGAAGAGATGAGACTGCAAAGGGGCCGCGAAGATGAGCTGCAAGAATCAGACTACTGGGATTCGGAAGAGGAGGATAACGAAGCCAAGGAAGCTCACGACAGAGCAAATCAGAGACCGCAGGGTCGTGGCCCGTCGGCCACAGCTGAGCCAGCAGATGAACTACAGGCCGAACTTGATTATTTGCTGAAAAAAAAGCTCCGCGTGAATCAACAGCTGGTATGTCGAGAGTAGCGCACAACTCCCCTCTCTTCCTCATTTTCGTTCAAAAGGCATGATGTCTTGTCTAGAAGCAACACAAACAACCTGCAGGACGAGAGTGCCACTTGTGCACTAGGCAAGTCAAAAACTCCCGTGCTGTGTTCGAGTTTGGGCTTCCCTTGTCGCTATAACACGGACAATAAAAGGCCCAGAACTGAATGAATCAACTTCCTTGCTTTGCATTTTACAAATGAGAAGGAGCAGCAGCAGTTGAGCACTCGCATAGGGGGAGCGCGATGCAAAGGAGTTTCAGCGGAGCGACCGCATTCGCCCGAACACTGGAGCTTACCGGACCAAAGTCGACTACTTGTTTGAGACGCAGTCCGCGGAGGAGCGAGATCACTGGGTGACTTTGATTCAGCAAAGGATTCTGCAAGCGAAACTGACGCTGGTGGATGATTGTGTGAGCAACCCAGACAAAGCCAACTGGATTCCGGCGTATAAGACCTACTGGAAAGACATGCAGGATGACTATGAGATTTTTCCGAAAATAGAAACAAGTGGAGGAAAAACCGGTAGCGCAGCAGTCACTGCTCGTGGAAAAGAAGATGAAAACGGTAATAATTCTCTTTTCACCGACCATGTAGTCCAGTTACACCAGTTGGTTCCGCCAAAAAGTTGGTGGAATTTGCCCGCTAGAGATCAAAACCTGGACAACCCCCAAATCTTCGGCGCGTGGCTGTTCCGGCCGCAGCAGCACGCCATTATTCGCCAGGGCGAGCTGTTTTGGCTGAACGCGATGGAGAATCCGTACGAAGATAGAAACGCGGACCAGGTCACGAACGCGCATCTCTCAGTCGGGTTGGTGTACGGAATTTTGGCGGAGAACACTCTGGGGATTGCGAAACTGGACGAGAATATAAGTCGGCGCGGCGAGACGGGTAGCGGGGAAGGAAAGTTTGACTTCTACACAAACCTCCTCCAGCAAATCCCGCTGGAATCTACCACAAAGGTCCGCCTGCTCCCCGACCCCTTTATGACCACCGGGCCGCTTTTCAGTGGTACTTCTAGCGGTAGAACTTCTGTGGCGGGAGGTACTATGCAACAGAATTCGGGGTCCCTTTTCACTGTGAAAGATACTGTGACGACGGCCTCGAAAACGGCTGCGAATAAAGCGCCGACGTCCACTGGGTCATCCGTAACAAACCTCCCGAGAAACAAACAAGTAGATCCGCCCCACAAGCTGCAGATTTTGGAAATTCACTTTTACCACTACCCGGACATTCACATGCCCTTCGAGAAACGACCTGGGGACACCTCGGACCCGGTTTCGCCGAAGCCAAAGCGGTCGTATGACGACCCCGAGGACCGGCGACGCGGGACTTTGAAGCAGGTGCACCTGAACCACAGCAAGATCCGGACGAAATTGCAGTTCGCTTGCCGGAGTGAACTCGCTTGCAGAAGTGTCCTGAGTAAAAACATCCCCACACCAGAGTCAGGATGGGGACTTTGCAATACAAACCTAGAACTTTTGGGGGTCACGCATCACAAGTTGCAGTCCGTAGTGTAGTGCAGGCTCGCAAGGCCAGCTGCATCAGAAATCCATCTGCTCATCCTGTTCACAGCATTACAAATTCCAAAACACGACTAAAAATGCTTCTCCTGGCGATGCGCATTACAAATGTTCCTGTGCTTGCAAATCTGCATGACAACTCTGGTGTGGGGACATTTTTCCTCAGGATACGAAACTGGTATGAGGACTTGCAGCAACGGGTAGACTTGCACAAGACAAGCAATGAGAGATATCAAACGCAAAAATGTCTGGATCTGAAAATATGCAACTTGTGATGCCGCGTCTGCATTATCTAAAAATCTGTATTGCACGAACAGCAAAAGAGGTCTGGTTTTGGCCACGGCGAGAGGGCATTATTTCTCATGCGGTATACGCAACACCAACATCAGAAAGCCCTCACAAGATCTGTGATGCTAGGGCATGCATTGCAGACATCAGGAGTCACGCAAAATGTGCATGACAAACCTTGCATCCTTCCAGACCCAGACACTTTTGCATTTGATAAGAGAGCACAGGGAGGAAGTAGAGCACTGGCCAGGAAGAGCCCACCGGCCGACGCGAGTCCAGCAGCCGGTCTTGCAGGAGAGCAGGAGCAACCGGAGGAAACGGCACAAGCGGCCTTGGGGCGTGAAGTTTCCAGCGATTTTGCTGCCACTGCGCGACTTCAGAACAGGTACTTTCCCTGGATCCCTATTGAAACCCACTTGCGGCCGCCAATTAAGGTCTGGAGCTTGGAGAGACGAGGGGATCATGATCGGCAAGTCGATTTCGAAAAAAAAATTCCTTGGCTTTCCGTTTTGGATCTGGAGAACAAAATCGATGGGGGCAAACGAAAAGACTTTGTTGAAGACGAAAGAACCAACCGATCTTCCGACGGAGCGGGAGGTTACCGTGCGCTCATCTCAAATTCTTTCCTGCACATGCAGTCCAGCGTGCGGGTGAAAATACAGCGGCAAAGCAGAGCAACTCTATCGAAAGGAAAAATCCCCCCTCCCCATATCAAAACGGAATTTCTGATGCTGGATTTGTGTACACAAATCAGCTTTGTATTGCAGAGAGGCATTGCGGCCAGATCCCCAGGGAAGGACGGGGCGCATGGGTCTAGTTTTTCAGCATGGCAAACGGCTCCCCTTTAGGCCCAACAGCATGACAAATCGCTTCCCTCATGGGGCGGAAGCTTCTGCCCTTGTCTTCTTGCGTCGACAAATGCGATTTGTGACCGCAAAGCAGCAACACAAATTTGCGGAAGCGTAGCTTTTCATTCAATAATATGGGGAGGGGGGATTTTTCCTTATCATAAAGTCTTTGGGATATTTTCTCATCTGATGGTAGCTTTAGCTACGCGGTCTTGATCGGTGACACTTTGGCCATCGCTGCTGACCTATTCCACAGAAAAAAGCAGGCGGGCCACATTTGTAATGCGAAAATACATACTCAGAAAGGTCTGTCATGGGCGGACCCATCGCGTGCTGTTTTTTAGGATATGCAGTACAGATTTTTTTGCGTGTTCGCTTTTGCATTACAAACTAAGGCCATGGCGCGGGGACAGAGTCCCCGCGCTGCGACCTTGCGGCGAAGAAGAGCCGCACGCGGTCGCTTTTCTTGCCCATGATGCGGAGGGTTTTTCTTTGTTTGAGACAGACAGGGGCGGGTCTGGCGCCCGTGGAGTCGGCGCCGCGCCCCATGGGGTCTGGCGCCCGTGGAGTCGGCGCCGCGCCCCATGGGGGCGGTCAGGTGGAAAACGCCCGGGCGGTCCCGGCCTCTAAAGTCCTTCTAATAAATTTTCCCGGTTTTGCTGTAAAGAAGACGCAAGACTGTCGAGGAGATTGGAGGCCGTCCAGGGGGGTCGAGGAGATTCGAGCCTGACAAGGAGACTCGAGGCCGTCAAGGAGATTCGAGGCTGTCAAGGAGATTGGAGGCTGTCAAGGAGATGCAAGACTGTCAAGGAGATTCGAGGCTGTCAAGGAGATTGGAGGCTGTCAAGGAGATTCGAGGCTGTCAAGGAGATTGGAAGCTGTCAAGGAGATGCAAGATTGTCAAGGAGATTCGGCGCTGTCAAGGAGATGCAAGACTGTCAAGGAGATTGGAGGCTGTCAAGGAGATTCGAGGCTGTCAAGGAGATTGGAGGCTGTCAAGGAGATTCGAGGCTGTCAAGGAGATTGGAGGCTGTCAAGGAGATTCGAGGCTGTCAAGGAGATTGGAGGCTGTCAAGGAGATTCGAGGCTGTCAAGGAGATTGGAGGCTGTCAAGGAGATTCGAGGCTGTCAAGGAGATTGGAGGCTGTCAAGGAGATTCGAGGCTGTCAAGGAGATTGGAGGCTGTCAAGGAGATTCGAGGCTGTCAAGGAGATTGGAGGCTGTCAAGGAGATTCGAGGCTGTCAAGGAGATTGGAGGCTGTCAAGGAGATTCGAGGCTGTCAAGGAGATTGGAGGCTGTCAAGGAGATTCGAGGCTGTCAAGGAGATTGGAGGCTGTCAAGGAGATTCGAGGCTGTCAAGGAGATTGGAGGCTGTCAAGGAGATTCGAGGCTGTCAAGGAGATTGGAGGCTGTCAAGGAGATTCGAGGCTGTCAAGGAGATTGGAGGCTGTCAAGGAGATTCGAGGCTGTCAAGGAGATTGGAGGCTGTCAAGGAGATTCGAGGCTGTCAAGGAGATTGGAGGCTGTCAAGGAGATTCGAGGCTGTCAAGGAGATTGGAGGCTGTCAAGGAGATTCGAGGCTGTCAAGGAGATTGGAGGCTGTCAAGGAGATTCGAGGCTGTCAAGGAGATTGGAGGCTGTCAAGGAGATTCGAGGCTGTCAAGGAGATTGGAGGCTGTCAAGGAGATTCGAGGCTGTCAAGGAGATTGGAGGCTGTCAAGGAGATTCGAGGCTGTCAAGGAGATTGGAGGCTGTCAAGGAGATTCGAGGCTGTCAAGGAGATTGGAGGCTGTCAAGGAGATTCGAGGCTGTCAAGGAGATTGGAGGCTGTCAAGGAGATTCGAGGCTGTCAAGGAGATTGGAGGCTGTCAAGGAGATTCGAGGCTGTCAAGGAGATTGGAGGCTGTCAAGGAGATTCGAGGCTGTCAAGGAGATTGGAGGCTGTCAAGGAGATTCGAGGCTGTCAAGGAGATTGGAGGCTGTCAAGGAGATTCGAGGCTGTCAAGGAGATTGGAGGCTGTCAAGGAGATTCGAGGCTGTCAAGGAGATTGGAGGCTGTCAAGGAGATTCGAGGCTGTCAAGGAGATTGGAGGCTGTCAAGGAGATTCGAGGCTGTCAAGGAGATTGGAGGCTGTCAAGGAGATTCGAGGCTGTCAAGGAGATTGGAGGCTGTCAAGGAGATTCGAGGCTGTCAAGGAGATTGGAGGCTGTCAAGGAGATTCGAGGCTGTCAAGGAGATTGGAGGCTGTCAAGGAGATTCGAGGCTGTCAAGGAGATTGGAGGCTGTCAAGGAGATTCGAGGCTGTCAAGGAGATTGGAGGCTGTCAAGGAGATTCGAGGCTGTCAAGGAGATTGGAGGCTGTCAAGGAGATTCGAGGCTGTCAAGGAGATTGGAGGCTGTCAAGGAGATTCGAGGCTGTCAAGGAGATTGGAGGCTGTCAAGGAGATTCGAGGCTGTCAAGGAGATTGGAGGCTGTCAAGGAGATTCGAGGCTGTCAAGGAGATTGGAGGCTGTCAAGGAGATTCGAGGCTGTCAAGGAGATTGGAGGCTGTCAAGGAGATTCGAGGCTGTCAAGGAGATTGGAGGCTGTCAAGGAGATTCGAGGCTGTCAAGGAGATTGGAGGCTGTCAAGGAGATTCGAGGCTGTCAAGGAGATTGGAGGCTGTCAAGGAGATTCGAGGCTGTCAAGGAGATTGGAGGCTGTCAAGGAGATTCGAGGCTGTCAAGGAGATTGGAGGCTGTCAAGGAGATTCGAGGCTGTCAAGGAGATTGGAGGCTGTCAAGGAGATTCGAGGCTGTCAAGGAGATTGGAGGCTGTCAAGGAGATTCGAGGCTGTCAAGGAGATTGGAGGCTGTCAAGGAGATTCGAGGCTGTCAAGGAGATTGGAGGCTGTCAAGGAGATTCGAGGCTGTCAAGGAGATTGGAGGCTGTCAAGGAGATTCGAGGCTGTCAAGGAGATTGGAGGCTGTCAAGGAGATTCGAGGCTGTCAAGGAGATTGGAGGCTGTCAAGGAGATTCGAGGCTGTCAAGGAGATTGGAGGCTGTCAAGGAGATTCGAGGCTGTCAAGGAGATTGGAGGCTGTCAAGGAGATTCGAGGCTGTCAAGGAGATTGGAGGCTGTCAAGGAGATTCGAGGCTGTCAAGGAGATTGGAGGCTGTCAAGGAGATTCGAGGCTGTCAAGGAGATTGGAGGCTGTCAAGGAGATTCGAGGCTGTCAAGGAGATTGGAGGCTGTCAAGGAGATTCGAGGCTGTCAAGGAGATTGGAGGCTGTCAAGGAGATTCGAGGCTGTCAAGGAGATTGGAGGCTGTCAAGGAGATTCGAGGCTGTCAAGGAGATTGGAGGCTGTCAAGGAGATTCGAGGCTGTCAAGGAGATTGGAGGCTGTCAAGGAGATTCGAGGCTGTCAAGGAGGTTGGAGGCTGTCAAGGAGATTCGAGGCTGTCAAGGAGATTGGAGGCTGTCAAGGAGATGCAAGACTGTCAAGGAGATTGGAGGCTGTCAAGGAGATTCGAGGCTGTCAAGGAGATTGGAGGCTGTCAAGGAGATTCGAGGCTGTCAAGGAGATTGGAGGCTGTCAAGGAGATTCGAGGCTGTCAAGGAGATTGGAGGCTGTCAAGGAGATTCGAGGCTGTCAAGGAGATTGGAGGCTGTCAAGGAGATTCGAGGCTGTCAAGGAGATTGGAGGCTGTCAAGGAGATTCGAGGCTGTCAAGGAGATTGGAGGCTGTCAAGGAGATTCGAGGCTGTCAAGGAGATTGGAGGCTGTCAAGGAGATTCGAGGCTGTCAAGGAGATTGGAGGCTGTCAAGGAGATTCGAGGCTGTCAAGGAGATTGGAGGCTGTCAAGGAGATTCGAGGCTGTCAAGGAGATTGGAGGCTGTCAAGGAGATTCGAGGCTGTCAAGGAGATTGGAGGCTGTCAAGGAGATTCGAGGCTGTCAAGGAGATTGGAGGCTGTCAAGGAGATTCGAGGCTGTCAAGGAGATTGGAGGCTGTCAAGGAGATGCAAGACTGTCAAGGAGATGCAAGACTGTCAAGGAGATTCGAGGCTGTCAAGGAGATTGGAGGCTGTCAAGGAGATGCAAGACTGTCAAGGAGATTGGAGGCTGTCAAGGAGATTCGAGGCTGTCAAGGAGATTGGAGGCTGTCAAGGAGATTCGAGGCTGTCAAGGAGATTCGAGGCTGTCAAGGAGATCCGACGGCCGTAGGCTAGGCCGGAGCCCACAGGCGGGCGGGGGGGCCTTGCTCGCAGCCGCCCCCCGCCCCGTGTTGCCTCTGTTTTGCGACGTAGCCCGCAGCCCGCACGAAGGCAAGCCCTCTGGCTCTGGCCTTGCTCCTTGCCTTATTTAGGTCGCCCCGCCCCGTGGTTTTTAGTTGCCTTGCCTTGGCGGCGGAGTCAGGGCGCGCGCGGGCAGGTTTTCTGGCTCTGGCCTTGCTCCTCGCCGCCGGTCGCCCCGCCCCTTGTTTGAATGATTGTTGCCCTTGTTTGGCGGGATAGCCAGGTCAAGCGAGGGTAGGCTACGCCCCGTCGGCTACGGCTTTGTTGGCTACGGCTTCGCTTTGTTGGCTACGCTCCGTAGGCTACGCCCCGCCAATAGGCTACGGCCCTGTAGGCTGGCTGTGTGCGCCCCGCATTTGGCTCGCTACGCGGCCCTGAAGGCTCCGCGCCTTCCGGCAGTCGTGCTCGGGGTCGGGCCTGGCTGACTCTTGAAAAGCGGCACCCGGGGTCGGGTGTATCCTTTCCGGAGTCAGGAGGGGTGTATGTTTTGGGGTGCGCAGGAGGAAGGTTTGTGCCGATTCAGGTCGTGTCTGATGTGATACCCCAGAACAGGGGTCAGAACATACCCCAGAACACACCCCAAAACACACCCCAGACCACACCCCGGATGCCACTTTCCGACAGTCAGGTCCGGGGTCGGGCCCGACTCTCGAAAAGTGACCCTCCGGGGTCGGGTGTCACTTTTGCGGAGGCGGTTCCGGGGTATGTTTTGGAGGGTGCAGGACGTTTTTGCCGAGTTAGCTCGTGTTTCAAACACGGAGCAGGGGTCGGAACAGACCCCGGAACACCCCCCAAGTGATCACTTTTGGGCAGTTGCTGCAGTTCAAATAGTAATCTAACCTGCCTGTGTTTTTCCGTGTGATATGACCAGTTAAAATGGACGAACGAGGACCATGACAACAGCGACCCCGATATCCTTTGTAAAAACATCCGAGCCCCATAGTCAAGAAGGGAAGTCTGCCACACAAATTTACTAGCTTTGGTTGTGGCGCATGACAACGACGAGTTTGGCTTCGTATTGTTATCCTGTTTGGCTAGCTCCGAAGCATCACAGATCTACTAGCATATCACGCCTATTGAAAAGCATGAGAAATTCCGAAACACGACTAGGCAATGCTTCTCATGGGGCTCCGCATGGGAAACGTTTCCAGCTCCAGCATGCAGATTCGCATTACAAATACAACTCTGGGGTGGGGACGTTTGTACTTAGGATACCCGAGTCTCTGCAGTTAGCCTTTTCCCCCGCAAGTTTCGAAGACCACGAGCAGCAGGAAATTTTTCTGGAGCACACCACCGTCATTGAGGCTTTTCAAGAACCGCGTGGTGGTGGTCGGCAAGTTGTGGCGGGCGAGGAACGCTACGCAAATTTGGAAAACAAATTCCAGTTTGCAGTAACAACCTTCTCCAATTGGATTTGGGAAGAGATGTGCCAGAATAGTGGCCCGAAGGGACTGGTGGACGCGAATCCTCCGCACGAAATAAGTGATGATCAAAGGAATACTCCCATGCTGGGAAGAGCACCAGAAATAAACCACCCTGAAGGACAAGCTGCGGTAAGAAATGCATCCCTGTCCGCGCGAGCGCAACTTGGGGTACCGGAGCGCGGCAGCGCAGAGATTCGCCTAAGGAAGGAGCGGCTTGATAGCGCGAAAAGTAGACAGAGAGCCAATACTGATGACACCTTTTGGAACGTCGCGGGCTACGTTGACGAAACGACGTTGACCTTCCACGAGATTAGTGGGGAGAAGTACGTGGATAAACCTCTGTTCGGTGGAAAAAAAGAATTCTTGGCTCGTGAAAAAGACGAAAACCGCAGCCAGCCGACCACGTTCGTTTTTACCGCGCCGTCCGAGCACGTGGCGGCGCAGTGGGTGAAAGTTCTGCGAAAGCGGGTGGAAGAGCTGAAAAGAGAGCAGTTCGGAGACGTGGCAAGAAGTACTGCACCAGCTCCAGCAGCTCAGCGACTAGAGGATGGCCACTTTTTTCCACCACAAAGAACAGGTGAAAACGATTGCCCTATCGACCAAGAGATAGAATACACTCGATACAAGCAGTTTGTAGACCCGAAGAATTACCTGAAATCCTCTCACGAGGAGTTCTTGCAAAACGAGTATTTTGATGCGCCGGACGAGGACGGCAAACAAATAAATGCGGAAGTAGATATCAAATGTAAAAGTGTCTGGGTCTGGAAGAATGCAACTTGTCATGCTAGATCTGAAACATGCAAAATAAAAATCTGTGTTGCGTGATTACCAAAAGTCGTCCAGTTTTGACCAAGTCAGGAGGGAGTTTCTCATGCAGGATAGGCATGAGAGAGATCGCACAGAATTTGTCATGCTCGTTCCTGCATTCCAGACCTCATGGGTCATGGAAAAGCTGCATGACAAATCGCGCATTCTTCCAGACCCAGACACTTTTGCAGTTGATAGTAGAATCGCGGAAGCAAAAGTTCTGGGATGAATTGCAAGAGCAAATCCGGGAGAAGGAGATTCTGTTGCGCTATTCCAAAGCAATCGACCGATTTGTGCAGATCGAAGCGCACATGAAACCGATGTACGGGTCCTACCACACGGTTTCCAACCGGTTTCTCCCCCACAATTTCAAGCAGTACAGCTCTGGGGGACACAGTCTGGGGTTCCGATCGGGCTATGAACTCGGGTACAAGACGAATAGGGAGGGGAAACTGAGCGCTTTGCTCTTTCAGTTTGTCGACGCGGATGTTGAACTACAAAGTGCGGGTACTTCTTCTATGGAAGTAGGAGCGGATCATGTTGAGACAAGAGCACATCAGCCCCTTGTATCAAATGCAAATATGTCTGGGTCTGGAAGGCTGCAAGGTTTGCCATGCACATTTTGTATGACCCGTGATGTCTGCGATGTATGCCCCAGCATCACAAATTTTCTGTGGGTATCTTGATGCGCATTCCGCATGACAAATGCCCTCTCCGCGGAGCAAAAACTGGGCGCCTCTTGCTGCTCATGCAATACAGATTTTTTTACATTCCAAAAGTAGCATCACAAGTTGCATTCTTCCAGACCCAGACATTTTTACAATCCATGCCTTGAGTTGTGGTACAAGGGCAGACTGGAACTGCAGGAAGATAGCGGTATGCATTGCAAAAGTATCGTACTAGTATAAATTGCATTACAAATTTTATCAGAAAGAAAAACTGGATTTGTAATGCTAACTCAGGTAAAAAGGTAGGTCTGTCATGCAAGATTGCAATTAGTACGAGTACGATACTTTTGCAATTCATAAGCGGCTCGCTGCCACAAGCGTGGAAGGACGAGAAAGACAGACAGCGGCTGATATTGCAGAAAAAGTGGGAAGAGGAAAAAGCGCAAATGATGCAGGAAGAAGAGGACAGACGCTTCGAAGACGCCTCCAGCGATCAAGAAGATTATGATAATGCATCGGCTTCTACCAGTTCTGGTGTTCTGGCAGGGATGGCGAAACTCATCAAAAAAGGGCTTCCGCAGATCTTCAAAACGCAGGATAACGCGGGGGGCAAAAAGGGTGAAAGCAACTTTTTAAAGCCGTCGAAATTGCTGAACACAGTGAATGCCGAACTGATTCAGAACCAGCTCGTGTTCAATTTTGAGAACCAATTCGATTTTGATATGAGAAACTATTGGGAGATTCAAAAAGCGAAGCAGCACCCCTTCCGTATCTTTCTGGAGCATGACACCCACGTGGAAATCTTGTCCGGGCGAGCCCGAGACCAGTGCGTTGTGCGCATTTCTGCCTGGGATTACGGGTCACGGATCCAACCGAATAATGATGCGCCAGAAAATTACAGAGACGCGGATAGTGGAGGTGCCGGTGAAGACATTTTCATGGAAGGACAAGCAGGTACAGAGGGCAACCTGCGCGCAAGCACAGTCGGTCAAGGTGAAGCAATTTTCTACCCACCCGTTGAAATCCCGAAAACCGAGCGCGAGCGACGCTCTGCGAGGGCGACGGCGTTCGTGAGTACTGGGCGCGCCCTCGGGAAAACTTCATCTACTAAGGGGGCTTCTTCTGAGCCGCCTCCCAGCAATAAGATCAAGTACGTTTCCTGGGACTTCAAAGCCGTGAACTGCGACCAAGCGAACGTGTGGGAGCAGCAATTGAAGGGCCGGAAGAAGGACAAATGGCAGCACACGACGAACGCTGCTGGTGATAGTCCTCCTGGTTCTACTTCCGAAGCGCAAGCGGGTCCTCAAGCGGATTTGATGCAACAAGCCCTGCTCACCACGGCCGGCGGCGCTCCCAGTGGATCTTTTCGAGCCTCTGGGACCACATCAACATCATCGTCACAACGAGACCAAAAACCGGGGTTCATGTGCCGCATGAAGCAAAAATTTTTTCAAGGCATTCGGTCTTTGAAGCGCGTGGGCGGGTTTTTTAAGAGTTACTGGAGCGAGAAACAGGTCGAGACCGTGACGAACGTTGTGGAGAGAGAAATGGAAAAAGAACAGCAACAAGATGCTGGCCAGAACTTGGAAAATCTGGCGAGTGACGAGTTCTTTTTATCTGAGGTGCGAAAGCAGCAGTACCAAGACCGGGTGGATGCGATGGACCAGATTGGCAATGCGAACTGCGATATCAAATGTAAAAGTGTCTGGGTCTGGAAGATTTTGAGATTTGTCATGCTAGGCTGGCATGACTCTGCACTCTGTATTGCGTGGCCACCAAGTAGAGGCCCTCTTGCCTGTCATACAAAAGCGAAGTTGCTCATGCGAAGTACGCAGCACAGAAGCACGAAAAAACTTGTCATGCTTGGTGGCGCATTACAGGAGAGCACTTATTGTTTAGGGACTTGCATCACAAGTTTCCAGACCCAGACATATTTGCAATGCATATGCGAACAGGATTGCCGCTCGGGCGAGGAGCTCCTGGAAGAAGCTGAATTCGGCGTCATGATGGCAGATCTGATTCACGAGAATAGAGATCAACTGTCGGAGCTAGAAATGGAAGATTTCCAGTATTTAATCCAAGAAGTGAATATTGGTGACCTGAAAGGAGCGGCGCAAAGTGTAGACAAAAAGCTGGGCAGCACAACTAAAGAAGAGTTGTACCAAGAGGCCGCGAGTTACCAGCCGGGGGTGCCGATGTCTTTCGGGCCACAAAGTGCCGCGGATCTTCCGGCGCCAAGCTCCGGAGCGGCTGGGAGAACGTTTGGGCAGCCGGGTGCTGCGGGGGGAGATGCTGGTACAACTGTCTGGTCAGTTTTGCGTTTTCTATTTATGTCGTTCAGAAATTTTTTCTGGGACCGAGAAACAAGATTTGGAACTTTACTATGCGACAGACGAAATAAACCCCAAAGATGATCTGTGCCTCATCAAATTATCCGATTGTCATGCAAAAGCTCGAAAAGGACCTGTGCATAATCTTCTTCAAATCTCAGGCCCCTCCTCCTCTCAACCGCGATCCCAGCGAAGGACCCAGCCGCACATCCGCAGCAACCGAGTCAACTTTGACAATAAAAAATCCATGCAAGATGTGATGAAAAACCTGAAAGAAGCAGCCGACCTGGCGTACCAGCACGCCGCCCCGATGGCGATGGCCTTCGCGACGGGCAGCACGGTCGGCGTGGCGTTCGAGGGGGCCAAATTCGTGGATGCCGGGCTCACGAAATGCGGGGTTCATTGCCCGTTGGAAGACCATTTCAAGTGGGGGAAGGAGATGGGTTATATCGCGGAAGTATTCGGCTTCCAGTCCGTACTGCGAAGCGAGGAGCGGGTCGAGGGGAGCATGGACCACAGGCCCGTGACGCGAATGAAACAGGACTTCTCCAAAGTGATCAATTCCGTAACAAAATTGTATGTGATTTCGAGCTACTGGCCTCCCTGGACAAAGGGCGAGAAGAAAGAGCAAGGGGGAACCGGCAGTGGGCCCGGCGATGGGCAGGCGACCAATGGTACGGCCGCTAACAGTTCTGGCAGTACGGCGCCACCTTCCGTGGAAGTTGGTATTTGAAATGAATGCTGTGAGTATGTTCGTGTGGTTTGCTTCTCAAATTTTCGCACATGACCTTTTCAAACTGCTTCTGCTGTACAACTAACATCTGGTTTGTTAGTGCGCCTTCGCCAGCGAGGGAAAGAACAGGCAAACTTTGAAAAAGTACTGCACTGCGAACATTCATTCAACTTGTCATGCAAAATCTGCAAAACTGAACGCCCCCCCAACACAGGCCTTTTGCCGCAGATCCAGAAAAAACTTACGGTCGACAAGGACGCAATGCACAAAACCCTCCAGCGTGCGGCAAACGGTGACTTTATGTCGCTGCTTTTCCACGACCCGTCTGTTTTACACCAAGTTCGGGAAGAGCTCCCACACCGGGTGATTGTCACCTTGGTCCAGATGACGCAGGCCGTGATTGAGATGGAAGAATTACGGTTAGATCCGACCTACAGCTGGTTTTTCAACAAGTTTTTGACAAAGTTCAAGAACAGTATTCGTGGGTCTGGCGCTGACAATGCCAAGTGCAAAAAGCCTCCAATAAAGGACCCAACTATAGTTCCGAAGAAAGAAGAACCGAAGAAGGAGCAGCAAGTGTCCGTTTTCCAATCCAAGATTTCGCAAGCTGTGGTCGCGATTGGCAAGAAGGTGAAGGAGACGGCGATTGCGGTTGGGGGTTTTTTCCAGAAAGTCGGGAAAAAACTCGGTCTCGGGGACCTGTGGCACTGGCTGAAGACGAGGTTTTGCGAGTTTACGCAGATCGACTTCAACGCGATTTGGGAGTTGCGGAATTATTTGCAGAAAATTCTCGCGGTTCTGTTCGCCTCGGCCAACCCGTATGCGAATCAGGCGAGGTCGATTTTGCTGGAGAATTTAAAAACCTGGATCGACCCCGACCGATTCAATGAGCTCATGCTCGGGAAAAAAGCGAATGCCTGGAAGAAAAAAGCGCAGCAGATGCACTGCGAGATGAGCAATGAGCTGCAGCAAGCGTTGAACAACGTGCGGGATTCCTGTCTCCCAAGTTCGCCCGAGGGCATGCAGGTGATGGCGAGTTATCCAGAGTAAAAACTACGTCCCCGCACCAAAGTCAAAATGGGAAATCTGCTAGACAAATCAACCAGCTGTGGCTGTTGCGCATGACAAGTTTGGCCCTGTAGTGTGGTGCTGTTTAGGTGGTGCAGCAGCATCACAGATCTAGCATATAATGCTGCCCCGAGCATGACAAATTATTCCAAAACACGGCTAAGAAATGCTTCCCATGGGGCGCTCCGCATGAGAAATATTCTCAGCATGCAGATTTGCACTACAACTATGGGGTAGGGACGTTTTTACAAATGATACGAGTGTCGCCGTGGCCATCAACGACGGGTGGGGTTCGATTGCGGACAAAGACAGAGACATGACGGCGAAAGTGAATTTGTTCTTCACCAACGCCGCCCAAGGGGCTGTGTTGGACGAAATTGAGCACGAGATTGTGAGCAAATTGTCCACGAAAATCTTCTCGGAAATCACCAAAAAAGATTCGCGCTTCGGCTTCATTTTTGAAAAGATCCGGGCGAACAAAAAGCACGCCGAGGAACTGATAAATTCCGGATGCGACGTGTGGGAGACGGTTGCGTTTCAATCGTCCGCGTTACGGGATTCGACTCACAAGCAGATCGAGGCCTGGGAGCACCAAATTTTCGAAAAAGTGCAATCAGCGGTGAAAAGTTCGAATAAAATCAAGCACTTGGCGCGGTTTGCGGATGAGGGAGTACAAAAGGATCTGGTCGAGAGAGTCGACCGGATAGTTTCCAAAACGGTTGACAAAGTGATGGAAAAGTTAAAGTACCTGCTCGATACGTATCAAATGCAAATATGTCTGGGTCTGGAAGAGTCATGCTGCTTTTGCATGACACAGAAGGTCTGGCATGGAAGCTCTAGCATCACAGATCTCGAGAAGCTTGAGCAATGCCGAATCCGCATGACAAAGGCCCCACTTTGGTGACAGAGAGTGGGCAGCTTTTGCTGCCTATGCATGGGAGATTTTTCTGTGTTGTGAAATGCGCATCACAAGTTTGCATTCTTCCAGACCCAGACCTATTTGCAATGCATAATACGGATGATAAAATTAAATCCACCGCGGATTTCGCCGAAAAGGAGGAAAATGCCGAGAAAGAACTATGCAAGAAAAAAACTGTGTAAGTGTAAGTCTGTGATGCAGAAAATGCAAGACAGTTACGCTTGTCATGCTCCACATGCATGATAGGCTCGCTTACTACGTGTTTCCCGTCCTATCTACGCATGACAAGTTTTTCCTGTCATGGCAGACAAACTTGTCATGCTGTTTTCCCGAGAGACCTACACTAACACAGTTTTTTTCTTCGATAAGAACGCCGGGAAAAGTACTACAAGGATATCAACTGCAAATATGTCCGAGGCTGGAAAGATGGAACTTGTAATGTGTGTCTTGCATTCCTAGAAAATCTGTGTTGCGTGCGCAGCAGAAGAGCCGCTTCCTTTGTCATGCATGAACGCATATATTGTAGTGCGTGCTAGACATCAGAAAGCGTTTCAAAAACTTGCCACGCTTGGCTGCCACAGCAAGCGTTGCAATCAGCAGCAAATCAGCATCACAGGTTTCCAGACATCCAGGGATATTTGCACTGCATAAAGGAAAAGCTGCAACGACTCCCGGCGCCGATCTCCAAACTCTTAACTAAGGAATCCGACTTATCAAAAGGAAGAATCGCCCCTCCCCATATCGAAAACGAAGTTTGTGATGCTGTATTTGAGTACACAAATCGACTTGTAATGCTAGAAGGCCAAGCGCCGCAGTTCTGGCTTCGTTTGCAGGAAATTTGTCATGCTGTTTCCCACTTCCAGCTGCCTCCTGTCATGCTGAAGATGCAAGACTGTCCCAGCACGCCAAGCAGCACCACTGTCCGTATCTTTTCCCTTCTAGCATGACCAAGCTGACTTGTGACCATAAATCTGCATCACAGATTTTCGTTTTGATATGGGGAGGGGGGACTTTTCTTCTTGATATGACTTCACCGTGGTCGAGGCGACGAAGTGGATTAGCGAGAAGGCGACGGGTCATCAAGTCAACGACGCGATATCCTAAGTAAAAACGTCCCCACCCCATACTCAAGTTGGGAATCTAGCAGCACAAATCTCCAAGTTTTGGGAGCTGTGCATGACAAGTTTCCCTCTGCAGTAACTTGCTGGCTGGCAAGAGAAGCCGCATGAGAAAGCCCCTCTCATCCTGTTTACAGCATTACAAGTTACAAAACTCGATTGGTAATGCGTCTCATGCCGCTGCGCATTACAAATGTTCCTGTCATTGCACATTTGCATTACAACTCTGGAGTGGGGACGTTTTTACATAGGATACGCGACCGAGCTGGCTCATGTCATGCTGCGGTTCTTTGGGCAGGGCATGTCGCCCTGGATGTTTGGCGCCTTGAAGATTGGGTTGTGGGGGGTTGGGACGGCGGTCAGGTTATCAGAGTGAAAAATCCCCCCTCCCCATGTCAAAACGAAGTTTCTGATGCTGGATTTGTTTTACACAAATCAGATTTGTCTTGCCGGCGAGGACTGCAGGCCCATATCAAGCCTGAGTAGACCGGTTTTGGCCTAGGCGCTTCGCATGACAGACGTCTACGCTGTAGGAACAACGGCATGACAAACCGCCTGTAGAATGCGGCGGCTGTCTGTGGGGTTGTCTTCATGCAACACAGAGACGATTTGTGGCCACAAATCAGCAACGCAAATTTTCGAAAACGCACCTTGTCAATACGGGGAGGGGGGATTTCTCCTCGCGATACAGCTGGGGCCCGGGATTGTTCTCGGTGATGAAGGTGACGTTTGTATCCTGAGTAAAAACGTCCCCACGCCAAAGTTGTCATGCAAATCTGCATGCCAAAAAAGTTTGTCATGCGGAGCACCATGAGAGGCATTTTCTAGTCTTGTTTTGGAATTTGTGATCCTAGAATCTGCATGATATACTAGATCTGTGATGCTGCTGAACTACCTAAACAGGATTACACTACGAGGAGAAACTTGTCATGCCAAATGACCAAAGCTGGCTGATTTGTCTAGCAGATTTCCCATCTTGATTCTGGTGTGGGGACGTTTTTACAAATGATCCTTTGCGATCTCGATGTTTTCGAAAAAGGCGAAGCAATTATTGTACGTTTTGGAGGAGGAAAAGGCGGTCCGGATATCCTGTGCAAAAGTATCGTACTCGTATTGCAATCATGCATTACCAATCTTTTTCTGAAGGTAAATCCGCATCACAAATTTCATTTCACATGCACATGCTGAGAAAATTTGTAATGCATTCATACGAGTAGGAGTGCGATACTTTTGCAGTGCATACCGGATGGTCTTGGACAACTTTGAAGACCCGAGATTGTACGTATCGCAAGAAAAAAGCTGTTTCACTGTAAACTTGTGATGCATAAAATGCAACACAGAAGTATTTGTCTTGCTACGCATGCAAGACAATGGATTTTTCGCCGTGTTTTCCCTTAGAAACCTTGCATGGCAAATTTTCTTTGTCATGTAGAACTACAAACTTGTGATGCAAAAACTGCCAAATCCTTACAGTGAAACACTTTTTTCATACGATAGTACGGTGGCTTTTACGATAAGCTTTTTGGCGCTCAAGTTATCGAGGAAGAGGAGTCGGATGACGAAGCGGCACTGGCACCTGCAGGACAAGGCGTTACAACGGCGCCAGCTGTAGGAACTACGCTTACGCAGCCCCTCCTTCCTAACCCTGCTGACGACCCTATTAATCCATCTAATGCTACCGCAGAAGCAGGCGGGAATGCACCATCATCGTCAACATCCGCAGGAGCACCTCCGACAGGAGAGGAACCAAGTTTAATACCTGAGCAAGAGCCAAAAATCGAGGTTAAGCAGCTCGGGCCGTGGGAACACTGGATGCAGGACACCTTTCTGGGTGGCATGAAGCGCACGGCCTTCCGGCTGATCACGTCGCCCTTCTTACTGTTGAAATTAGCGTATGAGAATTTGAAACTGACTCTCCAAACGTTAATCTACATGCAGAAGTGGCTCTTCGGTTCCGAGTTCGCTCGGTTTGAGCACAAGTTCAGCGGGAAGGCGGTGGCGGGGACGACTCGAGATATCTACCGGGATCCGGAAGTGGAAAGGTTGCAGCGAGAAAGAGACGCAGAAAGACAGCGGAGAAGGGAGCAACGAGCTGCGGCTGCTGGTGGAATTGTCGATGAAGAGAACAACGATGAGGAAGACGCTCTCGACGCGGATCTACTCATGCCGCTACAGTCGCAGACCGTATTCGAAGCTTTATCGTGAGGAAAAATCCCCCCTCCCCATATTGAAAGCGCATCCTTCTCAAAATCTGTCATGCAGATTTGTGACCACAAATCCTGTCTGTCTTGCGAGAAAGCAAGTTGAGACAGTCCGCCGCACTATTGAGGCGATTTGTGATGCTGTTAGGCCTACACCGTCGACATTTTTCATGCCGGGAGCCTACGCCAAAACCTCTCGGCTCAGGCTTGGCATATGCCTGCAGTCCTCTACTGCAAGACAAACCTGATTTGTGTACTGAAATCCAGCATCAGAAACTTCGTTTCGATATCGGGAGGGGGAATGATTCCATCTGATGAGCTTGGAAGGAAATCATGTCCGACGCGAAGGACGCAACAAAAGACCTGGAGGAGGACCGACTATCAAATGTAAAATGTCTGGGTCTGGAAGAATGCGAGATCTGTCATGCAGTTTTTGCATGAGCCAGATCGTCTGGCATGCAAGCTCTAGCATCACAGATTTTGACCGGGTATTCCAATGCCTAATCCGCATGACAAATCCCCTCTCTCGGAAACAAAAGGCGCGGCCTTTTGCCAGCCATGCATGACAGATTTTCTCATGATGTAGACTTCGCAGCACAAATTCGAATCCTCCCAGACCCAGACATTTTTGCAGTTGATACCGCCGGGCATTAAGGGAATTGAAGTCCACACGGAAAGACCCGGAGAGAACCGCACTGCAGTAGCGTAAGAGAAAATCCCCCATCCCCATTACTGAAAAGAGATACTTCTGAAATAAATTTTTGATGCTGATTTGCGGACACAAATCGTCTCTGTATTGCGAGAAGGCAAAGCCAGAGACTCCGCCGCGTTTTGCGGGCAATTTGTACTGCTGTATGGCGTGCAGGGGATAAGTCTCCCTTGCTAGGCGCCTACACGGAAAAGGCCCAACTCAGGCTCCGTATCTGCGTGCAGTCCTCTATTGCAAGACAGAGCTGATTTTTGTACACAAATCCTGCGTCACAGATCTCCCATTTGATATGGGGAGGGGGGACTTTTCATTTTGATATGCAGGAAGCCAACGCTTTTGCCAAGTACGTACAGAAATCCGTCATTGGGTCGCAGATGTATCAAGTGCAAAAATGTCTGGGTCTGGAAGAGTGCATGTTTGTCATGCTTGTCTGGCATGACTCTTAAATCTGTCATGCACGTTACCCAAGAGCTCCATTTTATTGTGATGCAGAGACGCAGTTTGTGATGCAGAATAGGCAACACCTAGAAGCGGAGAGACTTGTCATGCTGAGCCAGCAGTTGTGGCCTCATCATGAGACGCCACCCAGCATCACAAGTTTCCAGACCCAGACATATTTGCAGTGCATAAGATGAAGAGATTCGCGTTTTCCGATTTGCTAAACCCGGCAGATAAGTCGTGGCACGATCAGATTATCGTCCCCTTGATAAGCATTGCAATTCTGGCTGGGTCTGGAAACTTCAAACTTGTAATGCTGGTCGTACATTTTTCCTGTGAAATCTGTAATCCATGATCAAGAACCTCCAAAGGCGCAGCCTCTTTTGTCCTACGAAAACGCAGTCTCTCATGCAGGCTGCGCATGAGGAAGTGTTGTGGAAAGTTGTTATGCTGGGCTGCATTCGGAAGTGTTTCTTTCGATCATCCAAGTTTTAGTATCACAAGTTGCCAAGCCCAGTCAAATTTGCGTTTGATGCTTGAGCAACGAGGACGATTTAGCGAACGTGATGATCATCCGGCAATGTATTAACCAGCTGACCTCGACGGTGTTGAACTTCGTGCTGGATGGCACCGGGAATGAGTTTCCGATGCTCTCGTTAGCTTTGAACCAAGTTTTCGATAATATGCAGAAAAATATCGAGGTGAGCCCGAAATTCCAGATTTTCAACTATCAAATGTAAAAATGTCTGGGTCTGGAAAGTTGGAACTTGTAATGCTGGTCTTGCATTCCTGTGAAATCTGTATTGCATGACCAAGAACAGTGGTAGCCTCTTCTGTCATACAAAAACGCAGTTTCTCATGCGGAGTTCGTATGAGAAAGCGTGCTGCAACCTTGTCATGCTTTCCTGCATAAGCAAGTGACCTCCTCTTGCACATTTTAGCATCACAAATTTCCAGACCCAGACATTTTTACAGTTGATATCAACAACAGGAGAACGAAGAAGAAGATCGAGCGACTGCGGTTATCCTGTGCAAAAATGTCCCTACCCCATAGTTAAGTTGGGATCTCTGCAACACAGATCCAGGAGTTTTGGACGCCACGCATGACAAGTTGCAGCCCGTAGTGTAGTGCAGGTTAGCAAGCACAGCCGCATGATTACAAATCGAGATGCGTATCCTGTTTACAGCATTACAAATTCAAAAACACGACTGAAAATGGAAATGCCCATCATCGGGATGCGCATCACAAATGTTCTTGTCATTGCAAATCTGCATGACAACTGTGGGGTGGGGATGTTTTTACATAGGATGGCGGTCCGTCATGATCTATTTCCTCAACAGCCAGTACGGGATCGCCGGCATGCAGGGCGCCATCTATCATAGTGAAAAAAGCCCCCACCCCATATCGGAAACGGAAGATGCGCGAATTTGTGATGCTGTATTGGAGTACACAAATCGACTTGTATTGCTACAAGGCCAAGAGACGAAGCTGCGGCATAAATTGCAGGTAATCTGTCATGCGGTTTCCCACTTGTCTAGTTGCCTCCTGTCATGCTGGAGACGCATAGGTTTATTCCCACGCTAGGCAGCACCACAGTGTCTTCATCTTTTGCCTTCTAGCATCACAAAGCTGATTTGTGGCCACAAATCTGCATCACAGATTTCCGTTTTGATATGGGGAGGGGGCATTTTTCATTGTAATACCAGCGCAAATGGGTTCATCGTGGGTCCGACTTTGTCCGCTTTGGATTACGCGACCCACCAAGCGACGGGGTACACATTCACAAAAACGGTACTATTGAGAGGAAAAATCCCCCCTCCCCATATCGAAAAGGCATGCTTCCGGAAATTTGTCTTGCTGATTTGAGACCACAAATCACGTCTGTCTTGCAAGAAGACAAATGCAGAGGCTTCCCTGCCATTATGGGAGCGGTTTGGCATGCTGTTGGGCCTAGAGGACAGCCGTTTGCAATGCTAAGCAACTAGACCAAAATGTCCCTCCCTAGGCTGCGGATCTGGTTGCGATGCCGTATTGCAAGACAGCGCGTATTTGTGTGATGCAAATCTTGCATCACAGATTTCCCATCTGATATGGGGTGGGGGGATTTTTCCTTTTGATAGGTCCGAGCCGGAATCCGGAACGCCGTTTTAGAGTCAGACACGGTGTCCAAAATCGCACTATGGATTGCAAAAGTGTCTGGGTCTGGAAGATTCTAAACTTGTAATGCTGTCGCTGGATTCTAAAAAAGGCTGTATTGCATGACCAGCGAGAGGACTGCAGCTCCAGTTTGTGCTGCGCGGAGAGGCATAATTTCTCATGCGGTAGAGGCATCACAAAGTCCTCTAAAAAGATGTGATGCTAGGGCATGCATCACAGACGTCATGGGTGACAAACCTGGCAATGACAAACCTGGCAATCTTCCAGACCCATACACTTTTGCAGTTGATACGCACGCTACTTGAACGATGAGCACAAGGGGCGAAAAAGGTTGCTGAAGGAAAGAGCCTTCATGAGCTTTGGGGTCTCTTTCGCGACGTTGTTGCAGGAAACGCCTAATCGCTTAACGGGGGTTTCGCAGATGCTCGGGAGCGGGGACAATTTGGACAACAGTATCTATAAAATCATGCACATTGCGTTCGGCCTGGCAAATCTGCAGAACGGGAAGAATATGAATTTTCCAAAAATGATGGCGGAGATAAGCAGCGGTACTTGTGCGAATCATTTTTTTATTTTTCGCTTCGCTTGTTTGATGAACAGAGACGGATTCGCCTGATGCAAATGTTCATGTGCATGATTGGGGAACAAGCAGCACGACTAGTTGTAAGTAGAAATATGAATGCAAGATAAGCTCAAATAATTTTCCCCGAAAGGACTACGAAGTTACGCACGGCGTAGTACTCGTACATCATCATCATCATCATCATCATCATCATCATCAACAGAATAAGACGAAAAAATCCATTTAATTTCAGCTTTATCGACCGGCACGGAGTCTCAAGCAGCGTCTTTTCAGTCCGGCCAGACGTCCCTCTTCTGCAATATCAAATGTAAAAATGTCTGGGTCTGGAAGAATGCAACTTGTGATGTTGCGTTTGGATGTGTAAAAAATTTGTGTTGCATGAGCAGCAAAAGGATTCTAATTTTTGCTACGCGGAGAGGGCATTTGTCATGCGGAATAGGCATCAAGAATCCCTCAAAAAACCTGTGATGCTAGGGCATGCATCACAGACATCATGGCTCATGCAACCCGTGCATGACAAGTCTCAGAATCTTCCAGACCCAGACATATTTGCATTTGATATGCAATGAAGCGGTGCAATACTTGATGCGCCGCTCCGGAGACGTCATTGAGGCCGGAAAGGGTTTTTACCGACAAGAGCAGAAGGGAACGATGATACGAAACGCGACCCACTACTATTTGGGCACCGAATACGGACGACAGCAGTTTCGCGAGGGTGTGCGCGACTACGCGGTCAGTTGCGGAGGTTGTATCCCACGGAAAATAAAAGCTGTAACAGGTCATGTTTGATGTATATCAAAGTGTATTAAAACCAAATGAGTACGCCTACGCAGGAAAATCTGTCTTCATGGCCAGATCCATAGCAGGCTGCAGCTCCACGTGTAACTACAAGAACGGGTTTTTTCTCTACTAACCTATAATTTCTGCACAATAATACAAACATGACACCTGCCAGCTTTTTTCTGTGGGATAGCCTGCGTGCGCTACTCTGGACATGTTTGTTTCGAAAACAGCCAAGCCTGCCTCATATCAACTGTAAAAATGTCTGGGTCTGGAAGAATGCATGTTTGTCATGCTAAATCTGGATCATGCAACAATCTGTGTTGCATGAGTACCAAAAGCCGTGCATTTTTGACCAAGGTGACAAGGAGTTTCTCATGCAGGATAGGCATGATATTAGAGATCTCGCAGAATCTGCCATGCTAGGCCCTGCATTCCAGACCTCATGCTGGGGCATGGAAAACCTGCATTACAAATCGCGTATTCTTCCAGACATTTTTACATTTGATACCTCATCGACGGGTACAATAATGGGAGAAGCTGCGCCGTCGGGTGTAGGAACCACCCCAAAGAGCAGATGCGGAGAGTATTCTATGATAAGAACCAAAAACTCGCTTTGTTAACAACGTCACTGCTCGGCCCGAGACCGCTTCCACCGGCTAGTAGTACTCTTGCCGCGGCGCCAGAACAGGAAACCATGGACGCCTGCTGGCCAGGCTCTTATGCGGCGTTGCGCGGCGCTGGCTCGAGCTCGTCTTCTTCTTCACACAGCGTCCCTTACCCTGGGTCGGGTGCTACAGCTGGCACTACTACAGGAGCATCATCCACCTCTTCGCCTGCGGGTGGTACAGGACTACACGGCGTTTCATCACCATCATTCCTGCACCGCCGACACGCACCAAAGGACCACGGACAAGATTAAGTTTTGGCCTTCCTTTTCCCTCTGCGCCAGCACATTATACGATGTACAAAACACGAAAGTGATAAAACTGTGACTCACGGGTGTCGATAATGTAGTTATGACCGATATGGATATTGAATAGATGAAGCAGTTGTCTGTTGTACGTACAACATCAATTATGTCGTTGATTTTTCGCCCGAGCGCACTACTACTGGAGAAGCGTTTTTCCGCAGTTGCGTCTCTGGGCGGTCAACGCGCGCAAGCGCTCAAGCATTGCCATCCCCAACTGAAGTAGAAAAGAAGGAGCTCTGCCAGTTCTTCTAGAGTAAAAACGGCACAGTGAGACTTAAGTCGACTGCTCTTCGATAAAAATTTGCGGACATGTAATAGTGTTAGACCCTTATTTGTTCTCACGGGAGGACGGAAAAAAGGACATTTATGCAGCATGTTGTTTCTACTAGAACATGAACGATGAGGAGGCAGCTACTTATGTTGAATTTGACCCTCTACCGCATGTCGACGTTTCGAACATTATGTCCCGCATAGAACGCAAAGAAAGCTCGAGGAATACGAACGGACAACGAAACAGCCGCAGGCGAGCGCGCTGAGCAAAGCGATCAACATGTGTTTTGACAGTACGACGATTTTGGATCTTGAAAGAGGACGACAAAATTCTAACTACTACAGGTAATACAGATGTTTAAGATGGAGGAACTAAGATCATTTTGGCCACAGGAGCTCTCCGTAGCCATTTTAGCTCAAGTATATAAATGTTGTATGATTTTTGAATATTTACTTTTTGAAATCTTCGTGTACAGTTTCACAAAGGGTTTATCTTGGGCCAAGCATATGTTTATTGGGCCAACTGGGTTCTTCAACATCGCGGCCTAAGTTAGCATTCGGACTCTGTATATTTTCGCACTTATCATCGAATCGCGAAGAAATGGAATCGCAATTGTACGGGCAGCATTACAAGTCGCATTTTCGAGCTAGAGCTAGACTATTTGGGTATACATAGGGGGGAATTAGCACTAGAGCCGGGCGGGTAACATAGGGGGGAATTCCCTAGCGCCCGCGAGTTAACCGCCCGGCAGGCCGGCCGGACGGTCATTTAGCTCCCTCGCGGCTTGGACGGTAGAGGGTTTCTGGCTGGGGGCAAACAGCCCCAGAGGTGCTCGCTTTCTCGTTGTCATTGGCCGGTCGGCCGGACGCTTAACTCGCGGGCTAGAGTTGGCAGGCCATTTGATGTTACGCCGTTCTTACAAATTGGGTTCTAGGTAAACTGAAGTTGTGTGGTGAGTGTAACGCCTACACTTTGGGAAAAAAAAATAAAAGCATTGCGAACCCGCACCTAACTGCGGGCCTTTTGGGAATGATTGCGATGCTCTAACCTCTCCACTTCGAAACTAGATCCTTCGAGCGGTGCTCCTCTTTCAATCGAAACCCAGGGCTGTCTTGATAATATTTTCACCTCGTTCGCGCATCTCGCCTTTTTGTGGAATAGTTACGCACGACAAACAACGACCCGTATTCACGAACGATTTTTCTATAGCCCTGGCATCGATTTGTATTCCCAAAAATAGAAAAGCTCAATCTGTGCAAACACGGGTTTGCATAATAGTTGGCCCCGGGGGCTGCTCCCGTGTTGTAAAACGTCCTCACCTCTGCCGCGGTCGCTTACAGAAGCGTCGTGTGAATAGCCACTAGGCCTGGATATTTTCACTTTCGCCTTCACCTTCAACCTCATTTAGATTACATGTCTGCAGCAGAGGCACCATAGTTGTTGTTTCCTTATGGCCACAGTTCAAGCTACCAATGTCGAGATTTGAGGGAGGAAAGTGCTGCTTGTTCGCCTTTCTCGTGAACTCGGCGATACCGGTAATGGCAGCTGTCGCGTCCGGGCTCCACAAAGAAGCATCGTCGCCACACGCAGTAGCCTCCGCGACTATAAATTATGCGAATGGTGGTCGCGATCGGCGGCGTCAGCATCTGGATCGCGTCCACGGGCACCTAGACCTCCGACAATTCGCGGAAGACGCTGCGACGCACAGCCGCCCGCAATCCCCAACGCAGAAAGGACGACTGGACCGGAACGCACAATCAAGGACGACTGGACCGGAAGAACGAGAGGCGACGTACAGCCGCCCGCAATCCCCGACGCACAGCAGCCCGCAATCCCCAATTCGCAGCATGGTGTTGGGATCGTTGCCAATCCACTCGACGGTGCGGGACAAGAATGGGAATAACGACTTTGAAAAACAGAGATCCCACATGCCCCGCAACTGGGCGGACCCAGCGCCCTCGTCTGCGAATTGTGATTATTTTTATATGTTTGGAAGTGGATCGAGTTCGAGGCGAAACAGCGACGAGGACCATGTAGGGAGCGGCGCGGCATCTTCGTCGGCCTTGCTGCCGATGAGCAGAACACCTTCCTCGCCTAGGCCTCCTCGTGAAGTAGATGCGAAACGGGGGCCGCTTAGTAGTATCCTTGTACTGCCAGATGAGCCAGCGGATTTATCTTTACTTGCCCCGTTCAAATTACCTCCAGCGTTTGGGCTTGAAGATGACTCTGACTTTCTCGACGGGCCTGGTGCTGGCGGTTGACACAGATTCGCCAGTACACGCGCTACATTCCCGTGCGTCGAGAACTAAACAACTTCTACGACAAATATAAATTTCGTTGTCGAAAATGACCACTGGGCGGCGTGTTTTATTCTCTTCTACAAAAATTTCCTGTAGAAGTTGATACTTCGACTATGAGCTTTACATAGCACAAGCTACTAGTACGTTCGTTTTCGAAAACAAAGTTCTTTTAGAAAACCAGACACACATACTTTCAAGCTTCTTATCCAGCCACTATCTCTATCCCGTTGTACAAAACTTGTCGATACCGAATTCTTTTGGGATATAAAGTGAGAACGTGTACAGTTTTTGTTTTACCGTACCATGCCAGCCTGTCAAAGATCTAACTTTACAAAAATAGCAACATCATGACGAATTCGTATGAAAGAATAATCTAAAAATGATGTACACTTAGCATATATTGAAAACTACAGAAGTGATGCAAAGAAATCCACAAGTGGCACATGTCGCTCTCCTACAAGTGCATTTGACCTTCTACCACAAGAGCGTGTAAGTGCAGTTTATGTTTTACCGTACCATGCCGGCCTGTGAAAGATCTAACTTTACGAAAATAGCAATAGCGATACGAATTCGCATCCACAAGCACACTGAAGGAACAATCTAAAAATGTTGATGTACAGTCAGCATATATTGAAAACTACAGAAGTGATGCAAAGAAATCCACAAGTCGCATAGAAATCCATCTACAGAATCCACAAGTCATCCACAAGTCATCCACTACAAGTCGCATGATGGAAAGAAATCCATCTACAGACTTTATACTAAGAATTTGACCTTCTACCACATGTCGCTCGACGTTTCAAACATTGTCCCACACAGAACGCAAAGAGAGCTCGCGGAATACGAACGGACAACGAAACAGCCGCCGGCGAGCGTGCTGAGCCACGGGAGGACCAACTTGTGTTCTTTTGACAGTACGACGATTTTGGATTTTGAAAGGGGACATATTACTACAGGTAGTACAGATGTTGACGGGTCGTGAAGTAAGTACAACAACTCCGCTAGAGATTTGTTGTCAAGATGTTCTAAGAATGAACACAGCGATTCTACTTCGATTGAACATACCGGAGCTGTGCTTTTGTGACCGTGTTTTTTTCTACTTTGAAGACCACGATGATGAAACAGAGATCCAGGCGGACAGCTGACGATCCTCAAAGAGTAACCTTTTCACGAACTATTTCCCCGCCCCTCCAGCGCAACTTCACGCGTTTTCTTGTTCCTCTCTTTCACCTCGAGCTCGGATTTTTTTTCTTTGAAGCGCGCCACCACATGATCTTCATTTTGCCCGATCGAGATCGAATTCGAAAGAACTGTTGCGCTGCACGATCGCTGTGCATGCTCCTGGTTTTTGGATCAATCTAGCAGTATGTGACGCAGCACGTAGAACTTCATCCTTCAGCACGCTTCCGATTCGGAAAGTTGCTGTTTTTCGACGTTCCTGAATCAAAGAGTTGGAATTTCCTCCTGATTCATCTCAGCGAACAAGACAAAAAGTAGGAAATTATCGTATTTGCCCTATTTGACGACGATCATAGATCAAAAGTAGAAGACGAAGACAAGTTCGCATTATAGCTTCTTTTTTGACAAGGTTCTGCTGTATCTTTTCGCTGTCACGAGACGGAAAAAGTGCAGATTTCCATTCGCGAGCAGCTGTACTAGTACAGCCCGTAATATTGCCGCGCCAATTTCTAGTCCACCACTGCAAGACACTTAATCCGGTATCATCAAAAACGCGAAGGAGAAAACAAAAGTACCAGTTAACATTCTGTTTCAAAGTTATTTCGCTCCTCTTTTTTCGAATTATTTAAATACTCTCCTGTCTCTACGATTTGCAACAACGAGAAACCCTGCATTTTTCGCTCTAAAAAAAGTGATAATTATTATTGCGCGCATTGTTCTTTTGATACGAGAAAAAAACGTCGCCGAAGCAGTTGTTATTCAACAAACTATTCGACCCTTCCCTTAGAATTTTTCGCCTCTCGACATTGCGGCACAGACGAAATCAAGAACGAAGAAGAAAGTACTCCACCAATTTGCAGGGCTCTACTGCGTCACAACTTCGACAAGCGAGAAACAATCACGTCAAGTGTCAATCCCGCGGCACAGGAGCACCAAAGGTCCAGCACTATGTCTTCCCTAAAACAGGAGAACGAGATGAAGCCCCAGCTGCAGCTGCCCCAGCTGCGGAATTGCAACGAAAAGAACAAGAAGAACAACAATGGAGAACTGGGAGAAGCACAACAACCGCATCAAAGTGAAAAATCCCCCCTCCCCATACTGAAACGGACATTTCTGTTGCTGCATTTGTGTACACAAATCAGCTCTGTATTGCAGTGAGGCACTGCAGGCAAATTTTCAGCCTGCTTAGGGATGTTTTGGTGTAGGTGCTTAGCATAGCAGAGGCCTGCCATGTAGGCGTAAGAGCATTACAAATCGCCTGCATAAGATGGCGGATTCTTTGGATTTGCCCTCCTGCAAGAGACGCAGGATTTGGTCTCAAATCAGCATCGCAAATTTTTGTAAGCATACCCTTTCGGTATGGGGAGGGGGGATTTTTCCTCACAATAAACCGAAGAACGTCCTCTCCCTTCGCGACGATGATCTCCCTGCCGCGATTTTCCTCCCGCACGGCTCGTGGGATGACGACGACGAGTATCAAATGCAAAAATGTCTGGGTCTGGAAGATTCATGCTGTTTTTGCATGACACACAAGGTCTGGCATGGAAGCTCTAGCATCACAGGTTTGGAGAAGCTTCCGCAATGCCGAATCCGCATGAAAAATCCCCCATTTTGGTGACAGAAAGTGGGCAGCTTTTGCTACCTATGCATGAGAGATTTTTCTGTGTTCTGAAATGCGCATCACAAGTTGCATTCTTCCAGACCCAGACATTTTTGCAATGCATAACGAGGAGGAGGATGCGATTCCCACTTTGCCCGCCCTGCCGCGGCGGGTTAACGGCTCGCCGCGGCTGTTCGACGCCGGTGGTGCCGTGACGGAAGTGTTGAATCAGGAGTGTCCCGGGAATATCAACTGTAAAAATGTCTGGGTCTGAAAGATTCTGACACTTGTCATGCACGTTTTGCATGAGCCATGATGTCTGTGATGCATACCCTAGCAATACAGATTTTCTGAGGGCTTCCCGATGCCTATTCCGCATGACAAATGCCTTCTCAGCGGAGCAAAAATTGCCTTCCCTTTGGTACTCATGCAATACAGATTTTTTTTGAATCCAAATGCAGCATCACAAGTTGCATTCTTCCAGACCCAGACATTTTTACATTTGATAGGGAAATTTCCGGTGGTTGGGGACGACGAGCTCGTGTTCATCTCTTCCGAAAATGATGTATCAAATGCAAAAATGTCTGGGTCTGGAAGAGTTGGAACTTGTCATGCGAATTCTGGAATAGGCAAATATTTGTATTGCAGAAGCACCAAAAGCTTCCCATTTCTTGCTACGCAAATAGGGAATTTCTCATGCGGGATAGACATCAGAAGGCCTGCGCAAAACCTGTAATGCTTTTGCGTGCATTAGAGACCAGTTGCGTGATCCAGAAGATGCATGACAAACTCCTGCAATCTTCCAGACCCAGACATTTTTGCATTTGATATGATGGCGGCAACACCGATATGATGAATGTGGTTCCGTTCTCCATCACTACTTCCCTGTTAGCGATGGCGGCCGAGGCCCGGGGAGGTATCCTGAGTAAAAACGTACCCACACCAGAGTTGTAATGCAGATTTGCAATGACAAAGACATTTGTGATGCGCATCCCCATGAGAGCCATTTCCAATCGTGTTTTGGAATTTGTGATGCTGTGAACAGGATCAGCAGGTCGATTTGTGATGCAGCTTTCCTTGCTAACTTGCACTACCTTACGGACTGAAACTTGTCATGCGTGACTCACAAAACTCCTAGGTTTGTGTTGCAAAATCCTCATCCTGACTCTGGTGTGGGTACGTTTTTACTCAGGATAGGAGGAGGAATTTCGTCAGCAGCTGCGGAGAAAACGAGTACGACGGACCTCTCCACCATCGCACCCCTCGGGCGGGAATCCGAATATGCACTACAAATGTCTTTGAGTCTGAATTTGTGATGCGAAAGTCGAAGCGGACAAGGAGATGATCTTGATCTGTTATGCATCGATACGAATTGCCACCTTTTTTTGTGCTGTGAAACTCAGTTTCTTGTCCTGCATCTGAAGACGAATCAGTCTGCAATAAGGCTCGCAAAACTTCTGATGATGTTATGCCGCGCAAGTGGGCGATCTACCATGCGAGTAGCAGGAGCAACACAAGTTTCCAGACCCAGACATACTTGCAGTGCATACCGAATGCAGTTGCGCGAGCAGTTCGAGCTCCGTGTCTTCCTGTTCGCCGGTGACAAAAAAGACCAAGGTGGACGACGGTTGTTGTTGAAAACGACGTTGAATTTCAAGTGCACATGTTGCTGCCTGAAATTAAGAAAATGTAGTTCAAATTTTATGTACCACTTCTTGTAGCCTGACGAGAGGTTCTTTCAATTTTATCAAATTTTGCATCTCTGAAAAAAAAGCACGTTGTGTTTGCGCCAGATCAAAATCTTTTGTTCTTTATCTCACCACATGAATTATAATGCCATGCGTATTTCTTCACTAATCTCTCTGCTCTACTTCAAAAAGTGGGGTACGTTTGCAATCGTCGACTGCAAACGCACATCAATGTATCTTAGTCGTTGGTTCCATGAGTGCTCATTTTCCTCGTATCGGCAGTGCCTCGGGCTTTGTTTATTCCAGCTGTGTAGTTACGCAAGAGGTATATTGTAGGGATACAGACAATTATTTTCAGTTTTGGCGACATGAAATCCTTTTGCTTTTGTGAGCCATAATATTTTGGCGAGCCAGGGAAATCAAATTTATTTCTGAAACTACATGATTTACTTAGCGAAAGATCCCCCTCTTCAAGAGAAGAGAAGGCGGTCTGACGGAGCGGCGACCGCTTCGCTGGTTAATGTCGTTCTTTCACGAATGCAATCACTCAAACAAAGAATCCTGCAGGCACGAAAATACTTCGGAACTCTGAAGCTTTTTGCAAAAAATCCCTCGCCGACCGCTTCGTATGATAGTCCATCCTTATGCAACAGAAGTTTCCTAGAATATCACGAGCGAGAGGCCGGCACAGCAAAGTATATTAGATGAGATATGCAGATAAAAACAGGCTCGCAGCAGCTGACGACGACGAGTAGTAGTATAACGAGAATCGAATAGCTTCGCCCGCTCGGCGTGACAGCGCAAACTTGCGCTAGAATGGGTAGTAGGGTTAGTGGGGGTGGTGGGTGAGGAAGCAAGGAAGGCGGCTCACTCCTGGGGGGAGGGAGACCGGCCCCAACCCGTCCCGCAGGAACGCGGAGCCGCTTGCGCGAACTTTTTTCGCAGAGGCGCAGTGGTACTCGGTAGGGAACACACGCGAAGCCTTCGTTGGGGGATGGCGCCGCAGTTTCCCGGTCGTGGGGAAGACCGCCGCAAGCCCCCCCCCTGTTTGCGCGATTCTGTCCCTGCGTACGTATTGAGGGTCCGACTTCGTACTTTTCCTGCGTACACATCAGAACCACCCAGACAGTAGAGGTCGCGTCTGCAGCAATGAAGGAACTAAAATCGCCCTCTCCTGCTGCCACGAAGAAACTTTTTAGCCCTCTATTGCGCAATACCCCGCGCAGGATAGACGATGGCGATGATGATGATGATGATGATGATAAGACGATGATAAAAAAGCAAACGATCGATTAGAAAAGAAGATACGCATCCAAGGCTGTTAGAAGTTCAAGTTGCGCGGCCGGCCACGCAGTCATGCTGGCTAGCCGGCATGCGAGATCTGCAGTAGGCCAGGCCCAGGAGCAAGAAACGATGATCAAAAAGCTACGCCGGGCACGTATGCCACAGGCGGGGGCGCGGGCAGGTTGCTTCGCCCTCGCGCTGGCGAACCCCTAGGGGCCTTGCTGCGGTTCATACTTACAATCGCCCCACCCTCTCATATCCACACTTCATCCCCGAACAGCGACGGTCTAGCTTTTGCTTTTCTTTTTACCACTGCAACCATTTACATTCATTTAGAGAAAGCCTAGCTTTTGCCCATTGCTATACGAAGCTCTGTCGTTGTGTAGTTGGCGCCATCGCTCCTTTTGGTAAGTCTGCATCATTGGCGCGCCGTCTTCTCCTGCAAGTGCAGCCGCGCATCTAGTAGTAGAAGCCTTATTTGAAACATTCTCCACTCCGCAACCAATGTCGAAGCCTGATTTCCCAAATCACCCGGATGAGAAGGGGCGGAAGGTGGATTTAATTCGGGGCGCCATGTACCACCGGCGCACGGGTTCGGAGAGAGAGGGGCGCGCCGACGGCGCAAACCGTGCGGAATACATCTGGGTCGGGGACTCGAAGGCCGCTAGCGGCCACGTTGTTTGCTGGTTCTTCACGTCGCAGGAACCAAAGGGACAAAAGGAGCCCGGCAGTGCTATGCTTGCGGGCGAAGATTGGTGGCTGATATCATGGCGCCCGGGGAAGTACATCATGGACCTGGACTACCGAGCCTCGGAGAATTTTATAGACGTGGCGGATCGCGCTTTCCGCGAGTTGCGGCCTGACGTGACTCTGCGGCCGAACTATTTCAGAAATATCTAAGGACAGGGCGCCGAGCTAGAGGCTGTAGAGGAGAGCGAGTTTTTGGGAAGTCTCCGCGGCTAGGTTGTCACTCTGTGTCTGTGTTTTCAATTTCAAGACCCAAACCCCAACGCTGATTTTCGATTGCAGTACATTTGTCAAGCGGCACGCTAGCAGCCCCGTGCGCGTGGCCCTCTTGCGCATGTTGAGGAAACGCCGCGCGCATCGAAAGAATGTTTTTCCCTGTGGCTGGAGCTCGAGCGTGTGTTGCGCCACTGTTGTGCATGTGGTGTCATTAGAACGAAGTGGACGCGTTGGCGTCTGTAGCCAATGTTGCCTCCTACGTAGGAAGCTGCTTGTCGATGGGTAGTTGAAATGTGGCGCCTCGATCGGTCTACTTTCGTCTTCCGCTCGGCTTCTTCTTTGCGTTAGGGCGCTGCCACGCGCCACTTGTCGGTCCCTCGGTCGTCGCTTGCGCGGAAAAAAGTCAGGCCGTTCGTGTTTTGGAAGCTGAAAAACAAAAATGAAGCACGGCCCCCGCCTCGCCTTTGAGGAAATGGCGCACGGTGCAGCTTGCTCTTCGCCGCTATCTTCTCGGATAGGAATGATGGCGATGATGATGAAGATGATGATTGAAGAGTCGCGGCTATCTCATGAATGACGACGATGATGGTGATTATTATCCCCGCCCCACGTACATGATGACCATGATGATCAATATGATGATGATGGTGATGAAGTGCGGGGGGCCCTCGCCCCCCCCCGCGCCCCCCCCGCCCATTCGATATGATGACGGTGATGCATCCATCGCGATTTTCAGTGCAGAATATGACTCTAAGACTGCGATGAAGATTTCACGATTGAAATAGTGATGGTATGAAAGTGTTTATAATTTTTTCAAGATGGAGATTATGGATGAGATTGAGATGAAGGCTCTGAGATCGAGATAAGTGCGGGGGGCCCTCGCCCCCCCCCGCACCCCCCCCGCCCATTCGATATGATGATGGTGATGCATTGCGATTTTCAGTGCGAAGTAGGATTTTAAGACTGCGATGAAGATTTTAAGATTGGAATAGTGGTGGTTTGAAAGTGTTTATAATTTTTCCACGATGGAGATTATGAATGAGATGGAGGCGAAGACTCTGCGATCGAGATAAGTGCGGGGGGCCCTCGCCCCCCCCCCCCCCCCCCCCCCCGCCCATTCGATATGATGATGGTGATGCATTGCGATTTTCAGTGCAGAGCATGACTTTAAGACTGCGATGAAGATTTTACGATTGGAATAGTGATGGCATGAAAGTGTGTATAATTTTTCCAAGATGGAGATTATGAATGGGATTGAGATGAAGGCTCTGCGATCGAGATATTGTGTCTGAGATCGAAGATTATGACTTTCGAAAAGGATTTACGACTTTAAGATCGCGATAAGGATTCGGAGATCGAGATGATGGATTGTGATTTTCTAAATGAGATTATGACTTGAAGATCGAGATAGTGGCTCGGTGAATGAGATGATGATTGTAAGATTGATGATGCTCAGATCAAGATTGAATTTTGTGAACTCTGTGAATTCTGTGAATTTTGTGAACTCTCGTGAACTATGTATGATGTGTGACGAAGAAGAACTCAAAAGGTTTAGTGAACTCAAAAGGTGCACTGAACTCAAAAGATGCACTGAACTCAAAAGGTGCACTGAACTCAAAAGGTGCACTGAACTCAAGAGATGCACTGAACTCTTTTGAATTTTTGTTAAAGTTGTAGATATGACTATCAATGATCTGCTGATAAAACAACGTGCTCGAATACAAGAGCGCAAAGTTTATAAACCCCCTATTGTATTTGCTTTACCTGAACAAGTAAGGTAATATCAGTGCGAAAATGCTTGCAACAGCAAGAGGGCACGTTTCGCGATCTTGCAAGATAGATGGCGAAAATTCGGCAACTCGCCCAAGTTTATTTGTAAAAAAAAAAGTATTGAAACCACGATGAAAGCGCCACCTTTTCAAGTGCGAAAACTTCGTCGCGGCTGTTTTCGGAAATGGCAATTGTGCTGCCCGTCTTCTGCATAAAGGAGCGAGCATTGAGTACATTGCGCATGACCAAAGCTGCTGTGCCAGATATTAAAGACCTTTCAAGTAACGACAAGTGAAAGTGATTCAACAAAAGTGAACAAAGCAGTGCTGAGAGTGGGGGTTGGATTTCAACTGCACACGTTGCAGTCTGAAATTGGAAAAACTGTAGTTCAAATTTTATGTGCATTTTTATGCGCTACTTGATGTAGCCGCGTCGTTGAGAGGTAGTTCTTTGAAATTTATCGAATTTTCTATCTCTCAAAAAGGAGCACGTTGCGTTCGCGTCAAGTCAAAAGCAATAAATTACGCCATGCGTAGTTTATTCAAAAAGTGTTGACGCCCGTTTGCAATCGCCGACTGCAAACGAACATCAATGTAAGTACCTTTAGTCGTTGATTCCACGTTTGCTCATTTTCCTCGTATCGGCAGTGCCTCTCACGATTTCTTCCCGGGCTTTGTTTCCAGAGTCTGTGTTGAGGAGGAGGTATATTGCAGGGATACAGACAATTATTTTCAGTTTTGGCGACATAAAATCCTTCATTTACTTTTGTGAGCTGTTTACTATTTTGGCGAGCCAGGAAAATCGAATTATTTAGCTCTGAAACTATATGTTTTACTTAGCAAAGATCCCGCTCTTCAAGAGAAGAGTAGGCGGTCTGACGGGGCGGCGACCGCTTCGCTGGTCAATTTCGTTCTTGCAATAACAAACAATACCATCACTGAAATAAGGAATCCTAGAGGCACGATAATATTTCACAGCTTTGAGGATATCTACAAAGAAACCAACGCCGACCGCTTCGTATGCTCGTCCTTATGTAACCGAAGTTTCTTAGAATATCACGAGCAAGAGGGCGGCACAGCAAAGTACTTATAAATGAGATATGCAGAGAGAAACAGGTTCGCAGTACCCGACGAATAGTATGATCTGCTGATAAAACAACCTGCTCGAAAAATACAACAAGAGCGCAAGACTTATTTAATATTATGACTTTCTGTCTTTGTTTATACCTGGAGTAAGAAAATATCAGTGCGAAAATGCTTGCAACAGCACGTAGGCACGTTTCGCGATCCTGCAAGACAGAGGGCGAAAGTGCGAGGAGCCCCCACCGTACAAGTTTATTTCTAGAAAAAGGAATGTTAAAAGGCACGACGAATTGCATCAAGTCGCTACCTTTTCAAGTACGGAAAATACACCGGGGCTGTTTTCGGAAATGGCAATTGTGCTGCTCGTCTTCTGCATAAAGGAGCGAGCATTGAGTACATTGCGCATAACCAAAGCTGCTGTGCCAGATATTTTTAGAGACCTTTCAAGTAACGACAAGTGAAAGTGATTCAACAAAAGTGAACAAAGCAGTGCTGAGAGTTATACCCTGGTTCTTGAAAATGAAAATGACTTTCCGGAAGAATAACTGGAACTGCGCGGCATCGGTTCGTGGTTTCCTTTTTTGGTTTGTTCATCGGCGAACTGTGTGGATGTTGGTTTTTTCTTGTTGCGACGCACCAATACCACGATGACACCGACAGTATTGCTCATTGTATGTTCGTTGTGTCTTCCTGGGAGAGCAGGATCAGTATTGCCAGCCTGCCTGTCACGATGGTGGTGGTTGGGCGTCGAAGGTCAATTTTGACAGCGGAAGATCATAGAGAAGGCAGAAAGAAAAACTTCTATCTCCTTATTCATTACCGATCCTGCTGTAAGATCATAGCGCAACTAAAGATTTCTGTTCCACCGTACTCATCGAATCTAACTCCCGTGGTACTACTAGATAATCCGGCTAACTGCAGTAACTTGATAATTATCAAATAGAAGACCACATATGAATGTATCGCTCAGGTCTTTATTTAGCACAAAGGTTTTCTTTTTGAGCTAGAAGCTATCGATTATTCTTCTTCATTGTCCGATACCAATATCTCAAAAAACTTTTTATTTTTCAGACCCACATCGAAAACAAAACAGAAAAGGGAAAACAAGATGATCCTCCACGACGACCAACCCACACGACCTAAAAACAAGCAAGTAGACCTTTTGCCGCCGACCGCCCCACCGCCGCCCGTCATGTTAGACCACCAGGCCTCATCACAAAGCAGCATTGAGGAAGCACAAAGCAGCATTGAGGAAGCGGGCAGCGAAAGAGCTAGTAGTACCCCACCTTCGCATGAACAAGATCATGCTCTGCACAATCAGACATCGGAGTCATCGGGCGGTGGTGGCGGCGGTGGTCCCGGCACAATAGCGTCGTATTCACCCGAAGATGCAACTAGTACTACACTTTTTTCGACGAACAATGAAGTGGCCCGCCCCGCTGGAAGAGCTACTGCTGCAGCTCCTCAACAGCACCAGTCCAACTTATCTACTCCCGACATCATGCCCCCGGGGGGAATGGATGAAGAGATTACGACGTCGTTCTCATCTTTCCACAGCTGCACGACGCGGCCGACCCTTACTGAGCACGAGATTCGAACGCTCCTGAGCAGCCCGCTCAACGACTGGGAAAAAAGCAAGCTCTCTGTCGTCGGCGCTAGCCTTGCGGTAAAAATGCGGGCCCGGGTCCGGCGCATGATGGTGGAGCAAAAGGAAGAACGGCCACACGCGACCACAGCAGGGAATGTTCTTCTTGCACCAGTTGCAGTTTCATTGCAAGTAGAGGACAGCATTGGTGGAACGGGCGAAACCCGAGAGCCCGATGCTCCCCCGCCGGCCCGTCCCTTACGACAAACGTTTTACTGGGGTGAAAGGATTAGAATCAAGGGCGATCAGGAGTCGCAAACGCGACTGCGTGCGGATTTTTCTTCCTGGTGCGAAAAACTGGAGACAGACATGCTCCACTGGCTGTACGACCAGGAAATGAAGCACTCCGTGTTCCGCCCCTTGGTGCAGCACCGGGACCTCTTACCATCGGATTGGCACGAAACTTTGTTTTCGAGTGTGCGACTGAATGATCAGAATGATCAGAATCATGCTGAGACGACGACGTCAAATCGAAATCAACCGAACGACACAACGGCAGCATTTACTACCCCGCGACCGGGTAGTGTAACTCTAATCCAGCAACCCTCTATGTCCTGGAACAACAATTTCGTGAACCTAGTTGAGTTGAACCTGTCGAAGTGCAACTTTTCCGAGCTGCCGTTTTTGGAGTTCTGCACGTCGGGCGCGAAGAAGGAGGAGAGGTACCTGAAAAACAATACCTTGAACGAGTGGGAGGAAGGTGGGGACGGACGCTTTCGCCGGGTGCAGAAGGACTACGCTCTGCTGCGAAACGAGAAACTGCTGCACAGCTACATTCCGGCCATTCGGAAGATCAATTTGACGAAAAACAAACTGAGCTGGAAAAGCCTCCTTGGTGTCCCCGTGTGCGACGTTTCGCTAGAAGAAATAAATGCTGACATCACGGGCAATGGCAATTGCCAGAAGACCCACCCGAATCAACAACAAGATGACAACAATGAGAAACCAGGCGGAGAAACATCAAGCCAGGAACTGGCTGATAAAACCCTCCGCCCGTCGAAACTGAATTACTTCCTGACCCATGTCTGTCCGAAGCTACAGGTGTTGGACCTAAGATTCAACCAGCTGCTCGGAGATCCAGAGAAGCTGTCGTACGACAAGCTGGCTGCGGAAATTCCGAGCGAGAAATTTTTCCTCCGGCCCCAGATTTGCGGATCAATTTTTGGGCTGATTGCGGACCAGATTGTCGGGCACGGCTGCGATATGGATCTTGCAAATTCGTGGTTCTTGAGACTCTGGATGAATGCAAAGTTGTATGTTCTTGAGTTTACGATATGAGCTTGTGGACCGTAAATTGAATCTGTGATGCATGTGTTTAAGAGAGCCGTTTGGTTGCTTTAGTAGTTGCAAAAACTACTACACATCTACTTCGCACCAACAAAAATATGAATTTGTCTTGCTGGGCTGTGTATTGTGATCTGTTCTTTTTCTTCATCAATAAGAAAATACTACTAGCATGACAACTTTCATCTACTTCGTGCAGACTCAGATCAACATTTGCTGTCGATATGTGAAGCGGAGAAGGCAATCGTGGAAAGAAAAACGAACCAGCAACGGCGGGAAGAAGGACCACTACCACGATCACCTGCCATAAACGCCGGCGACAACACCCCAAAGGTAGTCCTCCCGGACTGCCCTCCCCGCGCCCTCCAAATCAAGCTCTCCTACTTTGGACAGATGAACGGCCTCCGCCCCTCCGACCGGGATTCGAATTCCCTCCGCGCGCAACTAGAGCCGCTTGCCACGAAGGAATTGAAGCGGCGGCTGATCGAGGACAAGTTTTTCTCTGAGCACGCACTCTTCGAGTTTTTGGTGGACATGCTACGGATGTACGAGGAAAAGTACGAAATGACGCTGACGAGCGAACAAAAGGACCAGCTGCTTTTGTTTGGTTCGGAGCTACTGGAAATCAAGTCCTCCAATTACAAGATCCAACGGTGGAAAACGATCGAAGCACCCGTTCCGCAGAAAAAGATCACCGAAAAGGCGAAAGCGGCCGAACGATCGGCGGTATGCGAAGTCAATGACCAGGCGAAAGAGTGGATCGAGGGTTTCGAGTATGCAAAGAAAAAAGTGTTACAGTTACCCATTGTGTTGCAAAACATGCAAGACAGACGACCTCTGTCATGCGCAAAATGCATGCGTGTCTCGTTTTGTGTGCGTTTTGCCTTATGATCTCTGCATTACAAGTTTTCGGCGTGATGCGAGGCAAATTTGTGATGCTGAATTCACTACAAATGTGTAACTGTAACACTTTTTTCCTTGGATATGGAGCGCTTTGAGGCCATGGAATTGCTGCTGAAGAGCTACATGAGCGAGCTGATTTGGAGAACTCCGGCCGATTTGGAAGCAAGGAGAAGTCAGTTTAATAGTACTTTTTTTCAGGTAGATGTTGAACCAACATCAATATCCTCTTCATCCTCATCCTCATCTTCGGCAAGAAGTGGTGCTACTGGATCAGCAAGCAGTAGAAGTGCCACGACGACTACAGTAAGTGCTCCTGCTGCGCCGTTTCAGCAAGTCAATTCGTTCCTGGAATTTCTTCGTCGCCAGAACCAACAAGACCGTCCAAAAAGCAATAATCCTCGTCATATCTCGCAGTTTTTCGACCACGAGGATGGTGTTGAAGACAATCTGTCTAAAGACGCCGGCGGCCCGAGACGGGACCGTATCTTTCTCCAGGGACCGGCAGATCTTGCGGTTCCCCAGTACCTCTGCGACCAGCTGCTGGAACTACTAATCGACTGGGTTTGCTTCCAGGACCGCTTCCATCCCAACCGGAAACGGGAGCGACCCAGCGTCGACGCGGAACACTACATGATCGTGTCCCACAAAGACGTGAAAATGTCAGAGGCGGAAGAAATCAAATTGTTTATGGCCAACGCGACCCGCCACCTGCGGGACCCAAGCTGTCGGAACAACCTGCACTGTGCGAACAACCGACTGATTGACCTGAAGCGCGACATCTGGGCCTTGGCGGAAATCGTTTTGCGTTCGGCCTTGACCAAGTACAACAACGGCGCGGATTTGGCATTTGTGACGGAGCACTGGGATCAGCTCGCGGTCACCCACAACTTCCAGGGCTCGCCGCACATCGACCACCAGAACTATCCTGAGGAAAAACGTACCCACACCAGAGTCAGGATGGGGATTTTGCAACACAAACCTAGGAGTTTTGGGAGTCACGCATGACAAGTTGCACTCCGCAGTGTAGTGCAGGTCAGCAAGTGCAGCGGCATCACAGACTCATCTGCTCATCCTGTTCACAGCATCACAAATTCCAATACACGATTGGAAATGGCTCTCATGGGGATGAGCATTACAAGTCTTCCTGTCTTTGCCAATCTGCATTACAACTCTGGTGTGGGGACGTTTTTACTCAGGATAAGAACAAGCGAAACTTCTACGCGATATCGGTTGGGAATTTCAAGGGCGGCGAGATTTGCGTCGAGAAGTGCAGCCGGCAAGTCGCGGTAGTGAATACGCGCAACCGGATTGCGAAAATCGACGGCCGGTTTGTGCACTGGGTGGCCGATTGGGTGGAAGGTTGGAACGTATCCCACAGAGAAGATGTAGAACGACGCGCACGATTGCAAAGAAAAGTTTTCGCTATTTTTTGCAGAATTTTTTTGCAGAAAAAATTGTTGCCATGACTTCCATGACTCAATTTTACGACGTCGTGCCGCACGACAACGTGAAAGTATGTCACTGTAGATGAAAACTACAGCATGGAACGTCGACCGCGACTGATATTCTTCGCATTTTTGTGAACTACGCAGTAGGACGAGTAGCTGCATAGATGCCGTCGTGCTACAGCTTTTTCCGCTGTGATAGTCCGAGGACACCACCTCCTATGCGGGCACACAAGAACCCAGGAATACAGATGCTCACAGTTGTCTTGCAGACGGCTCAGCCGCGACGGCCCATGCCAAGAACTTTGTGGCGAAGTGGGGCCCGAAACAAGGATCAGCTGCACCGGGAGAACCCGGTGAAAATAAGGGGACGGCGAAACAAACGGACCAAGCATCCAAGAAATCGTCAAGGAACGATAGTTCTAAAGAGGGAGAATTACAGGAAGAAGAAGATGTAGACGACTGCAATTCCTTCCTCTCCCGGCACCTGAAGCAGCGAACGGCACTTATGAACTGCAAAAGTATCGCATTCGTAGTAATTGCAGTCATGCATATACAAATCTTTTTCTTGAGGTAAATCCGCATTACATTCTCATGCTGAGGAAATTTGTAATGCATCAATACGAGTGCGATGCTTTTGCACTTCATAGCAATGAAAAACCAACGATTTTCCCTGATTTTCTACCAAACCGAGAAGGGTATTCAAGAAAAAACACCATCACAATCACTTTTGCACATTTTTGCAATACAAAAATTTTTGTCATGCGCAAAAATGCATCACAGTCAAGATTTATAGACGATTTCCCTTTGTGTTTTTGCAATACAATAAAAATTTGTCATGCGAGCCAAATTTCTGATGCAAAACCTCCTAAATGTGACGGCGATGGTGTTTTTTTCTTGGATAAAGGGTGGGGCGTACGTACAGCCACGGGGGGCGACGTTTTACGACGAATGAGGAAAAGAAAAAGAGTATAGGAGAAGAGATAGTATGACTTCAAAATTTCAGTTCATTCTTCTTACACCGCAGAATGATCATTCTTGACGAGCCTGCAACTGCTCGTACTGCGTATACAAAGACATCCTCTTACCGAGCGGCTGCTTTCTCTTCAATGAAGAACTCAATGGAAAGCAACATCAGTGCACTTCTTGCTGTGGTCTTATTCATTGTTGTTTTCTGTGTCAGGTGGTGGTTACTTATACTTTTTCCTCACTAGAAGATCGGCTCTCTTACCGGAGCAGTTTTTCTGCCTGTGGGGGCCCAAATTTGACGATAAAGATGATCGGCAACGAAACAAAAGAAGTTCTTCCGTTTTTATACCTGAATTTATGTTCTTCCAGCTGCCAAGGGGCTGCAAAGGAATAAACGAAAACAAGCTATGATGGAGATATGTGGGACCCGGAAAACGAAAACACGCCACACATCTTCATTCCGAGAAGCTGCATCGGCTGTGACAGACTCGCATTCATCTGCGTCTGTTTCAGAACCGTAGTGGAAAAGGTTGAAAAAAAAACAACACGAAAATACAAGGAGTTGTCTCCTCTACCGGGAGAACTCAATAGTTTATTTCTTCCAATGACACGGAGTCAACAAATCACCTGAAACAATACAAGACTATCTACAAGAAAACGACGAAAATGTAAGGCTACTTCAGCGCATTGCTGACGCTACGCTTGGGAAGCGCGAATAAATCAAGAACTTTGATCTTCACAGCGGGAGTTCGAGACGCTTTACTTCTTTCCCGGTTTCTTGATTTTTTTTGTGCTTTTGATTTCTATTTTTTCAGATCAAAGTCATTTTCCGACCCGATCTTCCGTCGTGATTCTCATTTCGAAGCCTGATTCATTTTCGAAACGGAAGAAATCTTCGATAGGGCAATACATTGGTAGTTTGTGTCACAGCAAGGAAAGCTCAAAGTTTCGGTCGTCCCTTGTTGCGGAGGACAGTCTCTGTGTTGCAGCTCGCTTGTGGTCGTCGGTCTCTCATTTATTGCTGTTGAAACATATTCCTTACAGTTTCGAGTTAGCATTGTAGTCGCACTCCGACTAAGGAGCTCCTGATACTTCTCATTGCAAGCACATTACGACAACTTCGACTGAGGATTGAAGATGTTGATGTACCGTCTCACCGAAAACGGGCCCGAGCAGGTCCGTTACCGCATATTCTCGACTTCACGCACGGTCCTGCCGGACAAATATCCTGCACGAGACAATACTCTCCCCATAATTGTCATACCAATTTGCATGCCCAGAATATACCTCATGTGGCCGGGCTGTACTGATCAGGTGTGGTGGGTAGCTCCCGACTGGTTGGTACTTCTATTGGGGCGACTTGCCGTGGTAGCGCTCGGCTTTTGTATGTGGAGGTCGCCGAAAGTGCTTCCTCGCCCACCCCCCGGGGAGGGGATCCTTGACCTGTGGCGCTGGGTGCGGGTGTCCACTACATGATGATGATGATGTGCTTCGCGGTACAGAGTGTTTTCTGATGATGTTGTTGTAGCTGGGGATTTATAATTGATTTGTCGTGCTCTCGTACTCGAAGCTGACGAGATTATATTATGCGGTTGCACTCGGTACCGCAGTAGAAGCACTCCCAAAGTTGTCATGCGTGGCGACCCATCTCAGTCTTAGAAATTGGGTGGTGAAGATTTTCAGCAGGAGAAGAAAGTGAACAACTTCGTTGTCCTGCCGGTGTCGGATCCAAAGTTGTATGCTTTGAAAAGATGTCTGAGACAGGGAATTTGTGATGGTGATTTGCGGATACCCGAAGCTCTTTTAAATGCATGACAAAGTTTCGAAACGAATTCTCATTGTTCCTGGCAAACAGGACAGTAAGTTGCGTTTTATTCCCATGTACAATTGAAAGAAAACCACTAGATTTTTGTCAGTATTCACGCGCAAGCGCCACAAGTTGCATCTGCCCTGAACTGCAGACCTAATTTTTGCAATTTACAACAGGAATCGCGGAACACTGGAGAAAAGCATATCAAATGCAAATATGTCTGGGTCCGGAGGGGTGCAAGGTTTGTCATGCACATTTCGCATGACTCCTGATGTCTGTGATGCATGCCCTAGCATCACAGATTTTCCGCTGTCGCAAAAGTTGGGACTCTTTACCTGATCATGCAATACAGATTTTTGCAGAATCCAAATGCACCATCACAAGTTACATCCTTCCAGACCCAGACACTCTTGCATTTGATAAAGCAACTGGGTGGACGATTTGCAAATGACCGAATCCATCGCCCTCACGCCGGAGCCGGCAACGCCGCGCAGGTGCCTAGTCACACTCGCGTTCGAGCGCTGGGCGCGCCGTACGGAAGAAGCGGCAGCGATCCGGCGCGGATCGCTAGACAAGAACACGCACGATCTCGAGGTGGTCCAGGAGGCCGTGGAGGAGGACGAGGACGTGAAAAAGGACCGCGGCCGCTGCTTATCCGCTGCAGAGAAAGTAGTGTTGCAAGGGTCTGGAAGCTTGCGATGTTGGATTCTTTGCCAAGAATGCAGCCGGGCATAAAGGGCATGAAAGACGCTGCGTCGTGTCTGGCGGGCAACTCTTCAAGATGTTGTGTCCTACTTACTTGCATGACAAGCCTCACAAGTATAAAGCTGAAGGTTATTTGTCGGCCAAGCAATAAAGATCTTTGAAAGAAATCGCCAGACATGGAGAATCTAGCTTCTCCAGACCCCGGCGTTCTGCATTGGATACGCTTCCGTGGCGGAAACCGTGTCAACCCAGGCATCTGATGACGAGGACGTGATGTAACTGTTGTATCCGACAGGAGTGGTCGAGGACCCGAATGCTGCAGCAGAACTGTTTCCATTTTCCATAAAACGTCTCCACTGCCAGCTTTTTTCTGGTGCATAAGCATCCAGCACAAAATTTTTTTTTGTTTTTTTTTTTGCCCACTTTTCAGCTGCTTCACCTCGAAACAACAGTACTCAAGCCACTCCAGATGTTATATTAACAGCACTCAAACATAATGAGGAAACGCTGGCTACCCTAATATGAACCCATCGTTGCCAATAATTGCGCAGCAGGGAAAGAGACATTCGCTTTTTGATTTTGAGTAATGTAAGAAAGAGCACGAAAACTATTGATACTCGCGTCTGTACATCCAGAGAAAGAATCGATAGCAAGAAAATACTCAAAAAACGAAACGGATGAAAAAAAAATGTGCTGAATAAGTGAGTCAGGCAAATAACGAAAAAGACTCCAGGTGTAAGCACTGACAAACTTTCAGTTTACTAGAGAAGTCACAAACTATCGAACTAGAAGATTCTTCCCTCTGGGATACTTCTTCGTACCTCCTAGCGTGGTCCGGCCTCGCTGACCGCCGATAGATACTACTTTCGCCCGTAAATGGGATTTTGGAAGCAGTTTCGGACACTCTGACTTCAGAATTCTAACGCACGGAGCATCAGTCTTGAAAATAAAATAAGCATGGGATAAGGATTTCGCATAGAAGCGAGAGTGTGAAGACTCGGCGTGTCGTGGCAACTTGTTCGTCTCTTGGTTTCCGCGGCATTTTGCGATCTTGTGCGTCATTTCGCGGCCGCAGAACACAAGTCAGGTGTATGAACAATTCGGTAGTGATTTCTTCTTGCGCATTGTTTTAAAAGATCCGAGACACAGACACCTGAAGACGCTCGAAGGCATCTGACGCCGCAGCTGGTAAGCTATCTGCGTGCTGCGAAAAGACTCAGTCAAAGTCTTTGGAAGCGGTCTTGTAGTTGCAGCTTAATACAAAGCCACAGTATGCAGCCCATCGCTATGCCTCTCTGTCTCTAGTCGCTTCGAAATAATTAGACGCAAAATTATGCCTTCGTCTCTTTCCACCCCCGCCTGCGTGGTCCGCCTCCCGACCGCGGAGCGAAACGCAAAAAAGATGCTGGACAAGTGCAAGAAACTCGACCTGAACTTCCGTCCGCACGTCAAGACGCACAAAACGTTGGAGGGCGCTTTATGGCGTTCTCAAACGTTACATTCTCAACTGTTACATGGATTTGTATTGCAAAAACAGCAACAGTGAAAGTGCCAATATTGCAGCTTTCGCATCACAGATTTTCCACAGATCATCATGCTGTTTAGCCCTTCGAAGGTTTGTCATGCTAAGCACCTTGATCAAGTGGAGGCTAATGGCAATTGTGCATGACAAATCCGTGTAACAGTTGAGAATGTAACAGCTGAGACCGCCATACGCTTTGCTGCAAACCGGAGGGAAGAGATCCACGATCATCGTGTCAACGTTGCAGGAATTGGATTTCTACGTGAATAGGCACAACTTCACGGACGTGATCTACGCGATTCCTTTTCCGGTTTCCAAGGTGAAAAGCGAGATTCTGCAGCCGTTTTTGTTTTCAAAATCTTCGAAGGAAGTACTACCAGACAAGGGGGAATCAAGTTCATCACCAAAGAGGCGGAAGAAGGACGAGGTTAATAATACGGAACAGCAAAAAACACCGGAGGAGAAGGTTGTGCACTTCCTAATCGATCACGTGCAGCAAGCGGAGTTTTTGGTGAAAAAAGCGAAGATAACGAAGAAGCTGTCCGTCTATGTTATGGTCGGGGGAAGATCATCTACAGCTTCACAGCAAGAAGCATCATCAAAGAGAAAGAGCGGCAGTACTGTTGCTGCCAAGAAACCAAATCAAGACCACCTCGAACAACAACATCAGCCACTGCAGATGCACCAGGCTGGGTTAAACCCGGAGGGAGAAGAGGCATTGGATCTGATGCGATTTCTACTGGCAAACCCAAAATCCTTCACACTACACGGGATCTACATCCACGCAGCCCCGGCGTACAGCTGTCAAACGCAGAAGGAGTGCGTCGAGGCGTTTGTCGAGGAAGCAACGACTGCCGTGGAGTTTGCCAAGCGGGTGTACGAAACTTGTGACCAATTCGAATTCCCCGAAATCACCATCGGCAGCACGCCCAGCTGCAGTTTCGAGATTCCGAATAGGTATCTACCGCTACAAGGGAAAACATTTTTACCAACGGCGATCAGTCGGATAAATCCGAACTACAAGCCGAAAGTGTTTAAACTGACGGAGCTCCATTGCGGGAACTACCTATTGTGAGGAAAAATTATTCCCCCTCCCCATACCGAAAAGGAAATTTGTGATGCTGATATGTGGTTGCAAATCAGATTTGTCTTGCAGAAAGTGCCTGGCGGTATTTATTTCCAAGCCTGTTCGGGTATGCAGAAGGCTAGCAATTAGGCATAGCAAACAGGTTTGCAGTAGTCGAAAGCTCATGACAGACGGGGTTTAGAATGCGCCACAGGGCTCCTGTTGCCCTGTCGGCAAGACAAAAGTGATTTGTGGCCACAAATCAGCATCACAGATTTCCAGTTTGATATGGGGAGGGGGGGATTTTTCACTTTGATCCTACCTCTTTTTCGACCAGATGCAGGTATCAAATGTAAAAATGTCTGGGTCTGGAAGAATGGAAGGCTTGTCATGCTTGTCTGGCATGACCCATGATGCTTGTAATGCATGACCCAGCATCACAGATTTTTGGAAAGCTTCCTGATGCCACTTCCGCATGACAAATGCCCTCCTCGCCTAGCACAAATGTGGCTCCTCTTGCTGGTCATGCAATACAGATTTTTTTAGAGTCCAAAGTTAGCATCACAAGTTCCAACTTTCCAGACCCAGACATTTTTACATTTGATAGCAGGCGGATTTGATCAAAAGCTGCGACATTTCCGATATTGTGAGGCAAAATCCCTCCTCCCCATATTGGAAACGCATCCGTCTGAAAATTTGTGATGCAGATTTGTGACCACAAATCGCGTCTGTCTTGCAGGAAGGCAAGTTCAGGCTGTGCGCCACGTTATGCAGGCGCTTGGTAATGCTGGAAGGCCAACAGGGCGGCCGTCTACCATGCTAGGCGCCTACACCAAAAGGCCCCTGCCTAGGCTTACGATCCGCGTGCAGTCCTCTACTGCAACACAGACTTGATTTGTGTATCCAAATCCAGCATCAGAAACTTCGTCTCGATATGGGGAGGGGGGATTTTTCCTTTTGATATCTGACGTTGCGTGTTTTGTGAAAGCGACGGTGATATCGATTTACGAAGAGAAACTCCTGATCGACTGCGGTTGGACGGGCATGTCCGCGCAATATGAATCGCAAAAATGTCTGGGTCTGGAAGATTGCAACTTGTCATGCTAAATCTGAATGATGCAGAAATCTGTGTTGCGTGAGTACCAAAAGCTGTCCACTTTTGACCAAGTTGGAACGGAGTTTCTCATGCAGAATAGGCATGGCAGAGACCTCGCAGAGTCTGTCATGCTAAGTCCCGCATTCCAGACCTCATGGGTCATGCAAACCCTGCATGACGTGTCCTAAAATCTTCCAGACCCAGACATTTTTGCGATTGATACGCAGGGGGCGGAAGTGAATTACGGCAGAATTCTGTCGCACCCGGAGTTGAAAATCAAGAGCCTCAAGTATCAAAGTGAAAAATCCCCCCTCCCCATATCAAAGCCGAAATCTGTGATGCGAAATTTGTGTACACAAATCCAATCTGTCTAGCAGTAGAGGACTGCAGGCAGATGCAGCGACTGAGTAGGGGCGTTTTGCTGTAGGCACCTAGCAAGGCAGGCATGTCTTCTGTAGGCGATCCAGCATCACAAAGCGCCTGCGAAACGCGGCTGATTCTCTGGCTTTCCCCTCTGGCAATAAAGGGACGATCTGTGGTCACAAATCAGCATCACAAGTTTTCAGTAGTGCCGCTTTTTGGTATGGGGAGGGGGGATTGTTCCTCACAATATCAAGCAGGAGACGGGGGAAGTGGTGGTGAAGGACGAGGAAGGCGGGGGAAAAAAAGCTCCTAGAAGTATGAAAATAAATCTAGCCGCAAAGTACCCAGTGGGGACCGTGATCACCATCGCGCCGTTCCATTCCTGCGCGGCGTGTCATCAGTATCGAAGTTTGGTTGTCGAGGACGCGAAAGAAAACATCGTTGCAACCTGGGAAAGGTGCAGTGGGCACGGGTGAAGATGTTGAGGGCATACAGGGATAGTGAAATAGAAAATTGGCGATGCGTTACTGTTTCTGACTGAGAAGTGCATCTCCATTCAAGGTGTCATGTCGATGCTCTCATAATTCAACTCATGCTTACCCGACGGACGTATCACTATCATTGCCATGTACAGCCCAATAAAATCTTCGAAACTACTAAATTTTGCGATGATGCGAATCTGGCCCAGTACAAAGAGCTCCTCTTCAAATAAATCTTGATCCTACCTGAAGCGTACTCGAAATCCTGATCCTACTCAGAATCTTGATCATCTTTTCCCAGGCTGCAGATCGTCTCGCTTTCGAGGCCAATCAGTCAAGGACGAAGATCAACCGTGGCAGGCAAGAAAACCGAATTGAAAACTGATCCGGTTCAAAAAAACAACCAGCTCCACAACTGTTTATTTCCAGCATGATCGCTGGCATTTTTTCAAACGAAATCATTTTTCCCTTCCCAAACAGCAACAGCGGTGGGTTTGTTAGCAAACATAAATACTACCTTTTTCTTTCCGCTTGCTTCTTCAATTGTATCCTAAAAATCCGTAAATATCGATTTCAACTTGCCTTGCGATATTAATTCGGACGCCAGGTTCGTGCTCGGCTAGAAATATTTTTCTTGTCTTATGCCTGCGAAGTTCGTTTTTCCTTTAGGCCGTCACTCCAATTGTGATGCATTCGTACACTTCACTCTTGAGCCTATTTTTGCTGTGCCCTTGATATTTTATTCCTGACCCAACGTTGATATTTTTTCCTGAGCAAGTTACACTTCACACTTTGATGTTTTTTTCCCGACCATGCGCTTCACACTTTGATGTTTTTTTCCCGACCATACACTTCGCACTTTGATATTTCTTTCCCGACAATACACTTCACACTTTGATATTTTTTTCCCGACTATACACTTCGCATTTTGATGTTTTTTTCCCCGACCATACACTTCACACTTTGATATTTTTTTCCCGAGCATACACTTCACACTTTGAGATTTTTTCTGCGACCCAACAAAATTTCAGCCAGATTCATCGCAGATTTTTCGTACTAGAGCCCCGCAGTCAACAGTGCAAGTGTTGCTGCGCATTTATTTTGCTCTAAATGATGAAAATGTTGCGACCAGGAGATAGCCTTCGGCAAGGACATTGTGTGCAGCCTCTTCACCAAAGGTCTTCCTCTGCGCGGGCTGTTTTTCGTCGTGGTCCTATCGCAAGGCTAGTACTTGGCGCAAGCCTCTTTCTCAACAACACCCTGTGCACCACCGCTTCTACTGCGAGTCGGTCCTTATTCCTGTCCCCGCACCAGCAGGGAAAGGAGGATAATTCTCAGGCTCCTTCAAGCCGAGTGCTCTTTCCACATGAGCAGCATTTATTCGGGCAGCAGCGTGTCGGGGCGACAGAAATCGATGATCACGACCAGTTCTATCTTCACTATTACAATGAAAAATGCGCCCTCCCCATATCAAAACGGAAATCTGTGATGCAGATTTGTGGTCACAAATCAGCTTTGTGATGCTAGAAGGCAAAAGATGCGGACTGTAGTGCTGTCTAGCGTTGGAAAGCCTTGCAGCTCCAGGATGACAAAAGGCAACTGGAAGCGGGAAACAGCATGACAGATTGCCTGCGATTTAGGCCGCAGCTTCGTCTCTTGGCCTTCTAGCAATACAAGTTGATTTGTGTACTCAAATGCAGCATCACAAATTCGCGCATCTTCCGTTTCCGATATGGGGTGGGGGCTTTTTTCACTTTGATATTCACAGCCGCGTATTCACGCCCCTTTCGCGAACGAAAAGCCAAATTGGCATGCGTATTGAGAGGAAAAATCCCCCCTCCCCACATTGAAAAGGTATGTTTCCAAAAATTTGTCTTGCGGATTTGAGGTCACAAATCACATCTGTCTTGCAAGGAGACAAGGGCAGAACCTTCCGCCCCATATGGAAGCGATTTGTCATGCTGTTGGGCCTAAAGGGGAGTCGTTTGCCATGCTGAACAACTAGAGCAATACGCCCCTACCTAGCCTGGGGATCTGGCCGCAGTGCCTCTCTGCAATACAAAGCGGATTTGTGGCCACAAATCAGCATCACAAGTTTCCGTTTTGATATGGGGAGGGGGGATTTTTCCGTACGATAATGCGCAGCCCCAGTTCTGTTGCAGGCAAAGGTGCTGTCGTGGCGTCGGCGCCGACAGCTAACCGGATGAATTCCATCCAACCAGCTTCATCACGCCCCTTGGACGAAGTAGATCCCTTTTCTTCGACGGTGTTCCTGCAACACCCTAGAACGAAGCAACCGCTCCTCTTGGACCAGATTCTACGGCAGCGTGGGGGAGGTGGACAGGCGACGAGTTGTACAACCGAAATGGATTATGAACATCATGCTGAAGTAGATGAGGACACTTTGCCAAAAATAAACCCCCTGAGCACTGGCTTTAGCCAGCTGTTTTCGTGGCTAAAGCCATACCGCCCGGCCATAGTTCGACGCTGTCGCGGTGGAAGATTGTACTCGGCCTGTACCTGAAGAACCGGAAGCAGAATTCTGCCTGCAGTTGTTGACCAGCCCGAAAAGACAGGTATATGACTACTCTAAACTTAGCGACGTCACCTGTTTCCATGTATAGATTGAGACGCAGGGGCTTCCGTTTTCGTTCAGTGTTGTTGCGTCAGGTCGCCATAATTTTCTCACCACATCATCTAGGAGCGCAACTGCAACTGCAAGCGCTCTCGATCTCGCCTCATCATCAAGCTCCATTTGTTACAGCCTCGCCTAGCGAGCGTTGTCGTTGCGCGTAGGAGCCGGTTTACATTTTATCGCAGTGTCCCGCACTGCCACTGTCTGGCTGTGCCTGTGCATGGTGCCATTGGACTTGATTTCTCCCTTGCCCCGACCAGAAGACTGAATAAAGTCTGGAAAAACTCCCCCTCCCCACACTCACAATGGAAATTTGTGATGGTGATTTGTGACCACAAGTCAGCTTTGTCTTTCATATGAGGCAAATGGGAGCCGTGTGGCGCATTCCACAGCCAAGCTGTCATGCGCTTTTGCTTACTGCGACCATGTCTGTCATGCCTGAGTGCTAGCCTTTGGCATACCAAATCAGGCTTAGGAAATGTGTGCAAGCGCTTGCTGCAATACAGCGCTGATTTGTGTACACAAATCCAGCAACAGAAATTTCCGTTTCAATATAGGGCGGGGGCTTTTTTCACTTTGAGAGCCCGCGGCCGGGCCTCCGAATATAGGACCGAAATGGATTATGAACATCATGCTGAAGTAGATGAGGATGTTGCTGAGAGCCCGCTTTTTAGTACTTTCGCTGCAGGACGAGTCGCTGGAGCAAGCCCGTTGCAGCTGCCTCTGGACGTCGAGCGCGGACTGCTTTTACATCCACGCGGTCCGACCCCCGAAACACCAGCGGGCGGGCCTCCGACTGAGGATGAGTTCGAACTCGCATCGATTTTGAAGAGCATGAATTTAGAATCGAGCGACGAAGAGGTGGAAACTGGTCCACAGGAAGATGAGTATGGCTTTGGTGTGGCGCAACAGCATAACAAGAAGCGCAATTTCCTGGTCCGCCCCGAATTCCAGAACTACCGGGCGACGGAGCAAATTCATCATCCCGGCGTAATAGCTGATACAGGCGGCCGGCTGATACACTCCAACTGTCAGAAAAAATACCGCCGTGAGGACCAGAAACACAAGAAAATAAACAAGCGCACACAATCTCACAACAAGCAGGAGTTATTGACAGACGCGTCTGGCCAGTTTCCGTTCAAGATGCATCGGAGTCCCAAATTGCTCGGGATGGCAGAAGACGATCTTTCCAGCACTGGCGCAGCCACTTCACATGCTGATCTGGCGGGAACGGCATGTGCAACTATGGTCCCGCCAGCACTGTCGTACATGTATTATGGGGACGAGGAGGAGCTCGATAACAACAACTTCGCAGATGAACACGATCACAATTACAACGAAAAAAGAACAAATCCTGGCAGGTTGCAACTCCACAACTACGACGAGGAGCATCACCTTCTTCACACACCGCCCAGTAAAAATCTTCGCCACCCGTTTCTGAAAGGAAGTGCGGTGCAGTCAGGTCATTTCGACAGTATCCGTTGCACCAGAGCAGGAACAGGTGCAGGCGCAGCGCCGTCACCGTACAACTTTGATCACGACGGTGAGGCCATATTGGCTCGTTTAGCCGAGCTGAGAGCGGAGGACGAGGTGGCGCGGCGCAGTCGAGATTTTTGTGCTGGGCCCAGCGTTAGCAAGGAAGCCACCGGAAAGAACCTCGTCGACCCTGCGGACCACAACCGCGAGGACGACCAGCTGCCATTGCAATTACCTCCAACCGCCAAGCGGGCGAAGCAGGGACGACTGCCGGCGGGTCCTGAGGATCAAAACGCAAGTACCACAACCACAGCTGCACCAGGGTTGAAGAACCTGAAGAAAGATGATGAAGCAAGTAAATCCCGGGAGAATCGGAAGCGGAAGCTGGTGCGGAAAAGCGACCGGCAGCACTTTGAAAACGACCACATTCACATTTCAGCCTCCGGCTCTTCTTCTACCGTAGCTGCACCATCGCGGGTTGGTGTCGCTACGGACATGCCTGCGTCCACCTCGGCCCTGACTTCAACGTCTCCGGGAGATGTAGTTGTCATCAACTACCCTAGTAGACGAACAACAGCAGGAGGCGAAAACAACGCTGTTTCTCCGGTCGTCGGCGATGTTTTTCCTAAAAATCCGAGCGGGATTTCTTTTGCTTCTCAAGGCGATTTCTGTCGGGGTGAAAGAGAGGACTTCGCTTCACAGCATTACGATCCGGCTGAGCATAGTGTGATGGTTGAGAGCTGAGAAGGCTAAGAACTAATCGCGATCCAAAGCAAGGAAGCGAACGCGAAGACAAGAGCCAGCAGGAGCAGTGGTTGTACGACTTTTATTAAGTACTTACAGTTACATTACTTTCGAAAATTTACCGCACCACAACCACTCCTGAGATGTTGAGCAGTACTACGTGGGGGTAACAATGACTTCCAAGAAGAATCCGCATCGCACAAAATGACATTTGTGCGACTCCTGTATAATTTTGATGTTTTTTATCTATTGATGTGACTTGCAGCTGTCTACTGGAAAAATCACCTGAAAAACAAAACTTCAACAATTTGCAACTACTTTTTCGTTATGTTTCAAAGCAGTTTCGTTTTTTTTTTCGTGTCCAGTCTCGAATGAGATCACTTATTTTCGCAAGGAACTGTTTCTGTTGTGCGCCCAGCAGGGGGCAAGGGCAACTCTTTTTCCTGTTTGCAACTACTCACCGATAATCCCAACTAGTAAAAGAGTACCGCTCAAATAGGAAAGCGAATGGCAAAGGGTCTATGCCATGTTGGTACCTCTGCCGAGAGGGTCGCATGTGAAGCCTTCTTGGCTACTTGGGATAAAAGACAAGGACATTTCACCAAAGCTAAATGACTGATGCTTCCAAGAAGAAAGGCTGACTTATTTCCGAAAAAGTCTCCACTAGATTTCGGATAGCGCTACAGATAAAAGTAAGACCGGGGTTTTGCCCTTGGACGTTAAATGCAATCGGGGAATAGATACAGGCTACCCTGAAATGGAATACAAATAATGTTTTCCTGTCTCGGTCCACCTAGAAAAAGAAGTTATAGAGCACGTGATGCCTGTGGCCTATCGTTCTTAGAGATACTTATCTTGTTTTCGCGATCCACTGCTTGCTAGATTGATTATAGAACAAAAGACAGCAAGCCACTTTTGATGCACCACGGAGTATAACCTTGAATTTGACGTGTAAAGAAAATTGTGCAGGAGCCGGAACTTTTTTTGATTAAAATCGAGAAGAAATACAAGCCTGTTGTCAGCATATGCTCATGTTCCAACGATAAAATGCTCAACACTCGATCCAGAATGGTAAATTTCCAATGCTATAAAGATCTCAAGACAACAACAAACCAAGATGAACGTCAAGAGATAAACAGCATGAGAAACTACAATCCTCAAATGATAACAGCATTACAGATTTGCTGATGAACATTATTCCCATGGACCCAGTGTTGTACTCCACAGGCCTTGAGTCATATGATTATTTGCATGACCAAACTATTAATTTCCCATTGTCATAAATAAATACTCTGCTATATTTGCATTGCATTCTGGTGGTTTATAGTGTTCAGTATTCGTTTGCTTTGGTTCGGGATTAACCACACCTGTTACCGGAGAAGGCTAGCCAGTTGTAGGACCGCGTAAATAGAACGGTCATCAACCGCCGTGTCGGCGCCCCATCCGTGTTCCTCGTCCCAAATTTCGCCTCTTACAGCTTTGTGGCTTGTTTTTCTGGAGCATTCTTCCATTCCTGCCGCCCTACTTACGGCTTTGGGTAGTATTCCATGTGCAAGGAACGATCTGCTCATCTTTATGTCCGTCCTGTGGTTTTCATCTATTAGTCTTGCTTGTCTACAACTTCTTGGCTCAGTTTGGTTTTAAGAAAAGGGATCATCTGGCTCTGATCTACCGTGGAATGTGATGTCGTTTTTGGTTTGTTTTCTTTTGTTTCGTTCGATCCAGGAGTTGTCGGTCCTTTCGCATATCAAAAGAAAAAATGAACAAAACTATCTATTTAGCGGCCACGACGACTCATAATAAATTTCTTTGGAGATGAACATGAAGTAGAAACATTTTTCAAAAATGTTGCTCCTCCCAAAAGTTACTTTTTTAACGACATTTACCTACATGCCACCTGCTGTGGCAGGGTCTTTGTTCATGTCTTCATTGATACAGGTGCCTGACGTAGAGACCCAAATCTCTTCGTTGTTGTTACATCAAAAACAAGCAAAGCCGCCTCATGGTGGCGAGATTTTACCCCGCATTCCCGAAGAACAGCACCAGGACTTGAATCAAGATCGCCACCGAAGGTCGTCTTCCGGCACTATGTCCCCTGACGTGTTCTTTTGGCGCCCGCTCGGGGAGGACAAGAAGCCGTCTTCTTTTCTTCAGAACCACATCAACTGGTCCACGACTGAGGAAAATTTCAATCCACCTGTCATGAGCGGACCGTCTTCGAATTTTCCAGCGACAACATCTTTGTACTACGATTCTTCAACCTCGTCCCACGAGCAGCAGACATTGTATGACGATTATCCTGAGTAAAAACGTACCCACACCAGAGTTGTAATGCAAATCTGCATGCTGAATATGTTTCTCATGCGGAGCCCCATGAGAAGCATTTTCTAGTCGTGTTTTGCAATTTGTCATGCTCCAATCAGCATGGTATGCTAGATCTGTGATGCTGCTGAGCTAGCTCAAACAGCACTACACTACGAATCCAAATTTGTCATGCAAAACAGACAAAACTTGTGGATTTGTCTAGCCGATTCCCCATCTTGACTATGGTGTGGGTACGTTTTTACTCAGGATAACGATTACCACCAGTCCAGCAATACGAATACCACCAACAGTGGTGGTTTTTTATCACCTTTTCTGCAAGAGGAGCGATCTTTTTTTCCAGGAGCTTCGTCCTCGTCCGGGCTTTTCGAAAGGAAAAACGCAACCTCCTTGTTCCGGCGTTTTGATACTAACGCAGTTGAACAAATGGGCAGCGGCTTGTCGCTGTCTTCGCCGAATTCTACTAGCAGCACTACTCCTGCTTTGTTACACGCCACAGCGCAATCCTCCGACGCCGAGGCAGCTCGTGATGAGACGAATTTGAGTAGAACCAGCCCACCACCTCGTCACCTGATGCTCCCAGGCAGCACGTCCTCCAAACGCCCCCGCTTGAGTGGAGAATTCGCTCCTTATCCGTTTGATGTTTCGGACGGGAGAAAAATGTCTGCGCCGTGGCTTGGTTCTGGAGTGCCGTCGATGAGGAAGCGGTGCAGGAGCCTGTTGGTGGGTAATAATTTCGAGGACCCCCAACTGCCAAAGCGGCCCCGTTGGGGAGATAATGAGATGACAGAGGAAGGAAACAATCCCTGCTTCGGCGTCGAAAGAACGGGCGACCAGATGTTGTCCTCCGACGAAGTACTAAACCATGACCAGCCATCCTCTACTTCCCTCGGCCTCACCGCGGAAGCGCTGCACCGCCACAACGCTGGTCGTCGCGCTGGTACAGCTAGTTCTTATCTCGGCATGCGGATAAACGAACTACAGCCGGAGCACATCATGTGTGACAGACACGATACTAGCTCGTCCTGCTCGAGCGGTCACACACTGCTTGTCGACCCGGAAAACCGAACGCGCTTTCTGCCACTGTTCCGGCCAGCGGGGAATAGTTCTACTTTAGCAGGTTTTTATGCATCACAAACATGTCGGCATCCTCGTGTGGAAGATTCATTTTTTTGTAGGTAGATTTGTAATGCTGAAAACGACCATCGGTAATATTCCTGAGTTCTGTCATGCATTTTCTTGTAGACCTGGACGCACCTCAATTCGTGGGCATTCATCAGCGAGCATGATAATTTTCCAGACGCGCCAGACATTATATTTGCAATGCATGAGAGAGCGGCACCCGATGTCACTGTCAACACGAGTTTCGACGACAAGAGTTCGGACGGCACAGCGGATTTTCAAGAAGAAATGCTTCGCCGGCTGGAAGTGTCCGGGAACGAACAAGGTAAGTCGGCAAATAGCAGCAGCAACATCGTGAAAAGTTGTTGTAACAAAAGCGACAAATGAATTGGTAACTAGCGACAAATGAATTCGGAGAGGTCTTCAACAGTAAAGTACGTATGACAAAACAGTTAGTAGCGTGTATTGGCCTACCACTGGCATTTATTGCTGTGCGGTCGAATGGCGCCATGGCTATATGTGTGTGATTTGGTGTCCGATCTATTGTCGTATGGAAGTACAATTTAGGATTCGAAAACTTATAGCGTGTAATATGTGGTCTGCATCCAGTCCAGAACCGTCACAGAAAAGATGGCTTCGCGGCTGGGATACTTAAAGGGTTTCGTTCAGCAGGACTGCCCTTACCTTGATTTATGATATACTGATTATGCACAACTTTGAGATTATCATTATTTCTTCGTTGTCACGGAAATAAAGGTTCCTAGAAGATAGACGAAGGAGTTGCAGGTTATCTTGAACAAAGCAAATCGGTTCAGGATGATCTGCTGTTCAACCTAAAAGTGCCGTAAACGGAATATACACACGACAATTTCTCTCTTAAAACTAATCAAATGAAATATTTTTTCACAAGCGACAAAGAAGTACTATTAGAAGTATTTTTTAAGCCCGACCTATTCTTTTTCTCCACCAGTAAATAAAGCGCAGGAAGGACTAGAAGAAGAGAAAGAACGTGGTTGCGCATGAAGATGACAACAGGAAGCTGTAATGTAACTATAGTGGGGCTTCCCCGTGAGTACTTCGTTCGCTGTCGGCGACAGAAGTAAAGCACCGCAGCGGGGTGATAGAGATTTAATGGAGTGAATTCGAGGATCTTGCAGCCCTAACTTTTTCCAGAAACTCCATTCATCCTCCAAAGCAACCCATCGTGCGTAGCAAAGAAAATACTTATTTGAAAAACTATACAAGGCGCTGCCGTGACACCGGATGTTGTAGCTGCGCCAAGGGGGCTGCAGCTCGGGCCCCGCGTCGTCACAGCACGCGAAGGCAGTACTTTGTTGTCTGTAGAAGTAGACGCCAAGTGGAATTTTTATGTGGGAGAAAATATAACGATATATCTTTCTATACGAAAATCCATCGAAAAAATATAACGAATATCAAAACAAAAGCCTCCATTGAGGTGGACAGGCACGAGGGACCAGAAACCGACCCGCAAGGAAATCTCATGATCGTGTCTTCCCACTTCCTTCAAATATTCAGCATTCTTTCAAATAAAAAACTTCATTTCCAAACACCAACGCTGTTTAATTACCATGGTTTGCCCTGCAACTCGGCGATTTTTCTGTGTTCGCAAAACGTTATTCTTCACAGGTGGAAGAATAAAACCATCGGGTTTATTCGGAACCCGTAATCAGGATCTGGTAAGGCAGCAACGACGAGATATCTGTCTCAAAATCGATCTCAGTTCATAAGAAGCAAGAGCCTTTCAATGGCGAATGTTGCATGTGATAGTCTTTCGGTCGATAACCAATGTCACGTCAGCCCAGAAGTCCACTTTTCTGAATCAGCAAACTTGGTGACTTGGTAAGCATAACACGGAACAAAGCACAACTGTCTACTCTACTTTGACAAATAAATCCAAATATCCATCTCGCAACATGCCGGCGCAACTATATTAATGGCAGTAGTTCACTTCTAGTAAAGTCTCGGTCTGTCGCCCAATCCTATGTCCCTTGCCCAGCCCTCCACCGCCTCCCTGCACTCGCAGCAGGCGCGCTGCATCAAATGTAGCGTCGCGTTGGAAGTGGTCAATGACCTCCAAACGGGTACTTCATCCATACCCAACGCGGAGCTTTCCGTCATCAAGGAGGATGATTTCGACGTTGTCTTATCCTACACGCAGGGCCAGCAGCAGGCACTGCAACAGGGTCAACATCAGCAGCTGCACAGCAATTTGTCCTCAACCCCCTCGTCGTCCCAAGATAGTGCAGGAGCGGGTGGGTCCTTACAAGATGGAGGAGATAGTGAGCAAAGGCGGAAGCAGAACGCGCGGAACGACAAGGACAAGATTGTTGCAAAGGTGGAAAGGATACTGCTGTTAGCAACGGGGAAGCAAACACTCATCTCTACGACGAACGAGCAAGGTGGAGCAACGGGCTCCCTATCCGCTCTCGGTAGCGCCGCGAACAGTGGTGGCAACTCAACCTCCTCGTCCTCCGGAGCGGCAGCTGGTGGCCAGCAAGCATCCAACTCCGCGCTGGGGGTTTGCGATTTGTGCGTTTCCAAGGTGATCAATGAAGCGAAGAGGCAGGTCCAGGAGGTGAAAGAGAACCGGCGGAAATTGGAAGTGGCGCTGAAGAAGTTAGAAGACCAGGAATCCACTTCGCAGGAGCACAATTTATTTTCGACCCAAACAAGCACAGCGAACTCCAACTCTTCTTCCAGCAGCACAAAAGCAGCGAATTTGACAAAATCGCTGCAGAGCGAGGAAGCGAACCTGAAACAACAGCTCCAATCGTTACAAGCGGAAGAGAGGCAGTTGTTGCAAGAGTCGAAGCAGCTGGATGGGGAAATAGCGAAGCTGCAACAAGAGGAGTTGGAGTTGTACCGGGATAAACTATCAATTGCAAATATGTCTGGCTCTGGAAGACTGCAACTTCGTCATGCTTGTCTGGCATGACTCATAAATCTGTAATGCATGAGCAGGATAATGGCCTCTTGCCTGTCATGCAAAAACGCAATTTGCCATGCGGAAAACGAAACTGTAGTTGAAAAATTTGTCATGCTTGGCTGCGTATTGCAGTCCGCCCACCAGTCACATTTTAGCATCACAAGTTTCCAGACCCAGACATTTTTGCATTTGATATAAACTGTCAAATTACCAAATCGAGTTGTTTGATTTCGACGACAACCGGAAGAAGCTGGAAGCGATCGAGCTTTACACGAAATTAGAGCTGACCCGGTTGAAGCAGAGCTTATGGATTGCAAAAATGTCTGGGTCTGGAAGATTAGAACTTGTCATGCTCAATCTGAATGATGCAAAAATCTGTGTTGCGTGAGTGCCAAAAGCTGTCCGCTTTCGACCAAGTTGAGAGGGAGATTATCATGCAGGAAAGGCATGATAGAGACCCCAAAGAATCTGTCATGCTGGGTCTCGCATTCCAGACCTCATGGGTCATGGAAAACCTGCATCACAAATCTTGCATTCTTCCAGACCCAGACATTTTTACATTTGATAGAGCTCAGTACTGAACGACGCGTTTCACATTACCTGCGGCTTCTCCGCTATCCCACGAAAAAACTGTTTCACTGTGATGATTTTGCAAGATCTGCATCACAAGTTTGCTACACATGACAGTGAAAACCTGTCATGCGCGCTTCCCAAGGGAAAACACGCTTGAAAATCCAATGCCTTGCAGGTGTAGCAAGACAAATAGTTCTGCGCTCCATGTTCTGCATCACAAGTTCACAGTGAAACAGTTTTTTCTTGCGATATCCGCGGCAGACGACGGGTATTCTTCAAGTGCTGGGCGGGGCGGCTATCTTCATCCGGAAGGAGCGAGTAATTATTCCAGTGCGAACACAACTTCCGACATGCTGTCGATACAGCAATCGGCGCAGCAGTTCGGAAAAATCAATGGTTTCAGGTTGGGCCGATTACCAGAAGTGGACGTCAGTTGGGACGAGATAAATTCCGCATGGGGATTTGTTTGCCTTTTGCTCGACACGTTAGTGCGGAAGTTGCGAATACCCGAAGGGGAGCTGAGCTACCGCTTGCAGCCGTGCGGAAACACGAGCTCGGTTGTGGAGTATAATCTAAAGATGATATAATTCACCATATTTGATGTTGCAGAAGCTCCTCTTCCCTCAACTTGCATTTTTTTCATCTTCAGGAAGTTAATTTTTTTCAAAAGAAGCATGACATCGAAATCTTACTCTTTTACCTCAAAATGATCCAGCTGCGCGAGTGGTCAGACGCTCGAACTCTACGGCTCGGAGGGTTCATTTACACGTTTCTACTCAGCGCGTCGCTTTGACCAGGCCATGGTTGGTTTTCTCATCACAACCAAAGAAGTGGCCGAGTGGCTGCACGCGCGGGACAAAAACGTCAGATTACCATTCAAAATCGAGCCCGACGGGAGCAAGATAGGGGGCTTCAAAATCAGTCTGCAGTTCAACGAGCTCGAAAGATGGACGAAAGCGCTGAAGTTTCTGCTAATCAACCTGAAGTGGACCATCGCTTTTCTGGAGTCCAGCGGCCACAGAGAACTTGACGAGGCAGAGCTCACCGAACCAAACCAGTAGCGGTTTGGAGGTGGTGGATATTGAAGAACTCAACCGCTGGTATAAAACAACGACGAACATCTTCGACAAAAGCGACACACAGGATAAAATGCCACTATCCAGTGAAGAAAGCATTAGAAATCGATTTGAATGTCGATCAGCAGATGAGGTGTTGATGTGACACACGCACACATAACAGAAAATTACATTGGTAAATAGTGGGCGTCGTCAGGAAATAGGTGAACAAATCTTGTAGCGCGAATCGGTCAAATCTCTTTTTCTCTAAGTGTGTCTACTTGTTTTAGGGCAGGGTATTTTGTTTCAAATTGCGACTGAGTCGGTTAAACAGTTGAAAAGATCAAGCCTCGGTCGACAGACCTGCGAAGGAGAACAATGCACAAGCAGTACTTATTAAAGTGGGGTCGTGTACTGTCGTTGACGCTTCTGTGTCGGTGTGGGGGTCTGTTTGTCGTCGTAAGTATTGTGGGGAATCGTACTTGCTCCTGCTGTGTCTATACGATTGTTTGTTAGCCATGCATCGAGGGCAGGTCACGACCTGATGAAGATTGACCGCATCTTCGCATTTTAGGACGGGGAGAGCAGGACTAGACTTGTTTATTGTTTGGACCGAGAATTACCATGTCCAAACGTATTATCCCCACAAGTGGTGCCAAACCACCCGGCACCATGTTGTCCAGTGCGGCACAACGTCGACTGAGCCCCACCGGCGCTTCGGCGGTTGCCGGCCGTGCGACTCCGCAGCTGAAATCGGACCGGATTAAAACCAGTGCGGCCACGACGGGCGCAATGCCAACTTCCACAAGGCCGGGACGGGGTGGGGCTGCTAGAACATCTCCGGGTTCCTCCGCGCGCGGCGTCGCGACGAGCCAGCCGGTTGTTTCCTCTGCAACAATCAGAACTGCAAAGAGAACTGCAACTGCGGCGCCGGGGGGCGGACCAACGTCGAGCAGTAGTTCTTCCTTTACTAGACCACGAACAATCGCAGGCCCTGCTGGAACAACAAGCTCCTCCAGGACTACCGGTAGCAATAGTCAGAGAAGCAGACCCGGAGGTCGTGTGGGACTTTCGAAGAAGAAGCCACCAGCAAATCGCGGAAATCCAAATCAGCAGCAGCGGTCAGGAGCCGGTAATATTAAATCCGCGTCTACAGAAGACGAACAGCTTCCAGCAGATCTTATAAAATACACCACTACGCTGTTGAAAAACCGCGGGCGGCCGACCCGCGACCCGCCGTACCTTCCGCAAAGTCCGCAGTATGTGGCCCCGAGTTTAAGCAGTTTGGAGTTGTTTGTGCCGAAAGAGATTGACATGATCAAGGCACTGAACGCGAATAAACAAGGGTCGAAGGATATCAAAATGAAAAATCCCCCCTCCCCATACTAAAAAGGTATACTCCTGAAAATTTGTGATGCTGATTTGTGACCACAAATCGTCTCTGTATTGCACGAAGGCAACTCCAGAAACTCCGCTGCGTTGTGCACGCAATTTGTAATGCTGTATCGCCTATAGAGGATGTGCCTGCCTTGCTAGGTGCCTACACCAAAACGCCCCTCCTCAGGCTGTGCGCCTGGCTGCAGTCCTCTACTGCAACACAGAGCCGATGTGTGTACACAAATCCCGCATCACAGATTTCCATTTTGATATGGGGTGGGGGGATTTTTTATTTTGATAAAGGAGGGACAGATGCTTCCGTCGCAAATGCCAACGGTCGGAATAACCTTGTTCAAGGATACGACGACCCCTGCGCAAGATCTGTATCCAGAAAAAAAACTGTGTAAGTGTAACTTTTTTGGAAGAGCAGCACTGCATTACAGGGATTCGCTTTGCATTACAGGGAAAACCTGCCATGTGCAGCTAGTACGTGGAAACACGTATGATAGCAGCCTATGACGCCCATCCAGCATGACAAGTGTAACAGTTTTGCAATTTCTGCATCACAGACTTACACTCACATAGTCTTTTTCTTGCATAATCTGAAAAAGCCGTTTACGGCGAAGTCGAGAAGGAGACCAGGGTCGGATGACGTTGGGCGAGGGAAGGATATGCGGGTACTTCTATTTTGTTGTTTCATCTGGATGACAAATGTTTTTAATACGGCTCTACCTTGTCGGTCAGATTTATTTCAGAAGCTGTTTTTGCAACACAAATTTCCTTTCTCGTGAAGTTTTTCCAACATCACAAATTACCACAGCATCTCCGCGAGTCCATGCGCAACATGTCCATGTCTCCATCCAGAAGTTTTACCCCATGCAAGACGATGTAGTTTTCGACTCAACAGGATTTGTCATGCGACCACTAAACTTGTTTGCAAAAGATACGCATGCCATACGAAATCTAGATTTAGTATTGTGCATTACAAACTACTTGCTCCATGGAAAGCTCAAGCTCATTTCTTGCCTCCATACTCCTAAAATCCGGTAGCGAGCCGAAGCACTCTCCGCCCTCCAGTCCCGGCGTCAGCCCGGTCCGAGCCCAACTGGCCGCCGCGCAAAGCATTTCCAGCCTGCGGACCAAAATGATCAACAACTCACCACGGAACATCGCGGGTTTGGTTTTCGGCGGAAATAATACAACAGCCAACGCGACTTCTGCTCTCGCACCATCGCAAAACGCCGGCTTAATATCTCTGCAGCCGCAGCAGATCTTCCCACTATCGAATTTGGATCAGAATTTAGACCAGGACTTGGAGCAAATGGATGTTGACAAAAAGTCGTCAAAAGCGAGTCTTGATCCGAATGGGTTCTTGAAACTTTTCGAGCCACCTCCCAGAACCAGCCTGTTGCAAATGAGTCAGCAGAGATCGCACTCGCCGCCGGGGCAGGGGATTTCGTCTACTACAATAAATCAGCAGGGTTTTAATAACCTTGCTGGTGCAGCGGGAACAAGTGGGACAGCAGCTGCCAGTGTCCTCCCGCAGGTTCAGGTTCAGCCGGTACCATTGGGATCCATTTCACTGGAAGCGATGCGGGGAGGGTTAACCAATATGGTGCCGCAACAGCAGCAGAGTGGACAATCGCAACCGCCGCAGACTTCTTACACGATCCCAGTGCCGCAATTTTTGACCCCGGTAAATCTGGCGAATTTGCAACCTATGGTTGGTTTGCAGCAGCTACCGAACACTACTACGGTTGCTCCTCCAGAGCAGCAGATGGAACAACCAGTGGCAACATCGAAGCCCTCTTCTAATCGGTCTGCAGGGTCGTCCGCGCACAGCGGGACAACGGGCCAGCAGTTTGTGAAAGCGAAGCCGCCAGTGTCGCCCGGTGAGGAGCCGATAGGGACGCGTGGATCTCCAGAACAACAAGTAGGAACTGGAGCTGCTGCAACAGGAGCAGCAGCAACAGCAAGCCAAGGTCCTCTACCCCCAGCTGCAACTTCTACCGAACAGAAAAGGACGAATGTTTTGAAGCTGAAACCCGAAAACGTGATCCCGGTCGATCCAACTCTGTGGCTTTCCTCCAACACGCTCGCGGCCCGTCCGCCGGTGGATAGTAACCAATTTCCGATCCGCGGCCGCGAGCTCGTGCGGCCGCTGGGGCTCAGGCAGGGAAACGCACTTTCCAGCGACCAGCTAAAGCAGAACATCGACGAGAAGCTCGACAGGATCTACCGGTCCCGAAGTCCGGAATTGCAGAATCTCCGGTCCTTTGAACTGCAAAAGTATCGTACTATACTCGTATAAATGCATTACAAATTTCCCCAGCATGAGAAAAAAATAAAATTTGTCATGCGGATTTACCTTAAGAAAAAAATTTGTAATGCATGACTGCAATTACTACGAGTGCGATACTTTTGCACAGGATAAGTCCAGTTTGAAGAATTTACGCGGTGTCGTGGATTTCCGAGAGGGCGGGAACACGAAACTGGTGAATTTGTCGCCGCGACCGCAGGGCACAGATCATGCGGTGTCGCTGCCGAAGAGGTTGTTGCCGACCTCGCCCAAAGTCGCACTGGTGGCGTCGCCACGGGCGTGTGCAGCGGTGCTAGGACCTGCAGCAGCTGCTCTTGGGTACCAGTACGGAGGAGGTGTTGCGCCACAGCCTCCGAATAGCTCTCTCCCAACGCCCAATGTTGATCCGAGAAACAACCAATCACAGCCATCCCCGGCACAGCAGCAGCAGCAGCAAACACAAGAACCCGTGCCGGTGTTGCACCAGCCGATCGCTTTGGAGCCGGTGGAACTCCGGATATCGAAGTCGGATAGCAAGGCAAGTTCCGTTAGCTCGCCGTTTCTCGAGGCACCACCGTTGTTGCAGAGCAGTTTGACGGTGAAAACAGTGATGCCGGCTAGGAAGACCAAAAAAGTCGAGGGCGAGTTGGTATTATATATAGGATTTTGTGATAAGAGTTTTTTGATTATTTTGAAGATTACTTATGATTGTACTATACGCCATGATTTGTGATATTGTCATGTTTGCGCTCATGGGTACAGAATTCTACAAGAACTCCATCAAATCATATACCTCCGAACAGGCTTCACCAAAAGAGCAGGACGTCGCACCGCCGAAAAAACCAAACCACGAGCGGCTTTCACACATCGTTGCGGTTTCGGAACATATTGAGCAAATCGAGGTCCTGTACCGCCATGCGTCGGAAGCGATGTTGGAAGGTCAACCGACCAATCGGGTTAGTCAGAAACACGCGGAGGTTGTTGACAGTCTGGTTTCCAGCCTGGAGCCGGCGCTAGACAAAGCAGAGGCTGAGTTACAACAGCTGAGAGCAGAGCAACAAAACCAGAAGAAAGCCGAAGATCGGGCAGCAATGGTCAGTGAAGATGACGACGACAGTCATTCGAAGGGACATCAAAGCCAGTCTTCAAAGGAGCTGCCACAGGATGTTGCTCCAGCCGCAGTACCACTACCCGGCGCAGAAGTAGACCAGGCGACGTCCAACAATCCGTCACCGACGTCTCCTCACAGTAACAACCCGGCCATCCCGAGAAAGAGGAGGGCCCGAGGAACAGCTCATGCGGTCAGTAAAGAGCACTTGGCCCTGGCCAAGGCGATGGCGGGGGATCTGGAGAAAATTCACTTCCAGAGCGAAGCGCTGCAGCACGCGATCACGCACGGCGAACTACAGGACATCCACGATGCGGCGGAGCAAAATGGTGTAGTAGCAGCAGCAGCTGCTGCTGCTGCCCAGAACAACAATGCCGCGACTAGCAAAACCTCCGTCGCCACCCCGACGCTGTACTACGAAGACCACGTCGTGGATGGGGCCACTGGAAGTTTGTTGCTGGACCAGGAAATCAGCCGCATTGAAGAAATGGAGCAGGACAACATATCACGTTCGAAGCATGGTAAACCCCTCGCAGCTGCCTCCTATAATTCCGGAACGACACCACCAGGGATGATCGATAGGCAGCCTACTCCCACCAGCACGACTGGTGGTCCCCAGCCGTATGGATTGCAAAAGTGTCTGGGTCTGGAAGGTTGCAAGACTTGTCATGCAGGTTTTCCATGAGGCGCGAGGTCTGTCATACATGACCTAGCATGACAGATTCTGTGCGACCTCTATCATGCCTCGCCTGCATGAGAAATTGCCTCTCAACTTGGTCAAGAGTGGACAGCTTTTGCTAATCCTGCAACACAGATTTTTGCACGATCCAGAAATTGCATGACAAGTTCCAATTCTTCCAGACCCAGACATATTTGCAATGCATAAGCCGGATGCGAACGCGATCAACAGTCTGACGCGGTCCGCTGCGCACCAGTATAACCCGCTCAGCCGTTACAATACTCAAATCGGTTACAATAGAATATGGAAATCTGTCATGCAAGAAGTGCATGATCTACCCTACTCCCACAGGATTGCGCATGACAAGTTCTGGAGCTCCAACCCGAACTGGAATCTGGCGAAATTTGTATTGCAGAAAGTGAAACGCTGTGCGGGTCTGTCATGCTCATCATGCAATACAAAATCCAGATTCTATTGTAACGTTTGAGATGGTAACCGATTTGAGCGGGTCATAACAAGCATCCGGACTTTTTCCAAAATTACGCGGTCGAATTTTTGCAGTCGGAGCAAAAGATCGAGCATTTTGGGAACTACTGTTTCCAATTGTTGTACTTAGTAGCGAAGGCGAAGTTCGGGAATAATGATTATGAGACACAACAAGAATATCACCAGCAATCGAATTCTTCTTCCAGCAGCAGTACTTTCTCATCGGCGAAGAAGTTCCCGAGAATACTGGCGGAGAAGGCCACTGGGCTGGTGTTAGAGCGGTATTACAGCAATGACGGGTGGACTTCGAGCAATAGTAAAAATAAAACGCATCCTTACCTTGGAGCTGCTGCTCCCAAACGAACAAAGCCAACTTCCTCTTCCAAAATGTTAAACCATCGAATAGAATCCCTCCCGGAGCTGGAATTCTTCACACGCAAGTGCTTCCGGCAGCTACGCTACGACACGATATGGATTGCAAAAATGTCTGGGTCTGGAAGATTGCAACTTGTCATGCTAAATCCGAATCATGCAAAAATCTGTGTTGCATGAGTGCCAAAAGCTGTCCACCTTCGATCAAGTCTGGAGGGAGTTTCTCATGCAGGATAGGCATGAGAGAGATCGCACAGAATCTGTCATGCTAGGTCCTGCATTCCAGACCTCCTGGGTCATGGAAAACCTGCATGACAAATCGCGCATTCTTCCAGACCCAGACATTTTTACATTTGATACACGAGCCCAGAGGAGGAATTCCAAACGTACGAAATGACGCATCTGCGGTCACCTCTATCCACGTTGGAAGACCACGATGATGCAAATAACGCATCAAGTGACGATCCAACCGCACGGAAAAACAACCGAAATATCCACGATTTCTTCGAGAAGTTCGAGTTGATAGTATCAGAATGAAAAATGCCCCCACCCCCGAACTTGAAAGCATTTGTATTGCAAACCTTTCCAAATGAAACATTCGCCCTCTTGCACCTATCAGCATCACAGGTTTCCAATCGTGAATAGCGAAAATTTGTATTGCAAAAGACCCCAGCAAGAGCGGCGCTTGTCATGCAAGCGATGCGATACACGACTAGACTCTGCATCAGAAAGATTCATACTCCTTTCATGCATGACAAAAGGGTTTCATTTGGAAACTTCGCATCACAAATTTTTGCCATTTGAGGGGTGGGGGGCACTTTTCACTGTAATAGATAGCAAGAGACGAATTGTCGGTGGACTTCAAGTGCTACGAAAAGGTATCCTGTGCAAAAGTATCGTATTCGTATTACAATCATGCATTACAAATCCCTTTCTTAAGCCAAATCTGCATTACAAATTTTATTTCTCATGCTGCAGAAACTTGTATTGTATTTATACGAATACGATACTTTTGCAATGCATAAAAGGGCTACGTCAGCAACACGAATCGGTTCCTGCGGATGAAGCGGAGGTGCAAGCGGATCAACAAAAATCTGAAAACCGCGGAGAAGCCGTGGGATCAGGTTCGGGCGGAGATGAGCATTGTCGCGAATTTCGTGAAGCATCCGAATTTAGTGCAGGTGTTGGACTTTTTCGAGGACTACCAGTATTTTTACCTTGTGTACGAAAACTACGGAAATGGGAATTACGGTAGCAGTTCCTCTTCTACCATGAAAACGACGAGTCACCCGTCGCAAAACCAACAATCCTCCTCCGCTTCCATCTCAGAACCGCTGCTGGAAAACCTGGCCAAGGTGTTTCAGTCGGGGGGCACAATTAAAGAAGAATCGGTGTACCGGATTATTGACAAAATCTTGAAGACGCTGGACTACGTGAGGAATGATTCCTTCAACCTGCCCCACGGGAAAATCACGGTGGACAATGTTTTTGTCCGGAACGGGAAGCAGATTTTGCTAGTCAACTACGGCCTAGAGTATTTGATGGGGTTGACGCCGAGTGAAGATGCCCTGTACAGTAGTAAACCTGCGACCTGCGAGTCCTTTTCACCAGCATCGAGAGCTACTTCCGTCGACTTTGACGACGTTGCATCGCTGATGAGCCTGTTATTGACGGGCGAGGAGGTGTCTAGTGAACAATCAGACCATATCAAAGTGAAAAAAGCCCCCACCCCATATCGGAAACGGAAGATGCCCGAATTTGTGATGCTGTATTTGAGTACACAAATCGATTTGTATTGCAAGAAGGCCAAGAGACGAAGCTGCGGCCTAAATTGCAGGTGATCTGTCATGCTGTTTCCCACTTCCAGTTGCCTCCTGTCATCCTGGAGCTGCAAGCCTTTCCCACGCTAGACAGCACTACAGTCCGCATCTTTTGCCTTCTAGAATCACAAAGCTGATTTGTGACCACAAATCTGCATCACAGATTTCCGTTTTGATATGGAGAGGGGCCATTTTTCATTGTAATAGACCATCATCCGGACGGTGGGCAAGGAACTACATCAACGTGGGCTTGGTCCATGTATTCGCCACACGCGTTATCGAAAAGAAAAATCCCCCCTCCCCATATCGAAACGAAATTTCTGATGCTGGATTTGTGTACACAAATCCGAGCTGTCTTGCTGGAGAGCATTGCAGGCCCATACTAAGTGTGAGTAGAGAGGTTTTGGCCTAGGCCCTTAGCATGAAAAATATCCGCGCTGTAGGTCCAACAGCAGGACAAACCGCCTGCACAATGCGGCGGAGCCTGCGGAGTTGCCTTCTTGCAAGACAGACGCGATTTGTGGCCACAAATCAGCGTCACAAATTTCAAAAAGTATACCTTTGCAGTATGGGGAGGGGGGATTTTTCCTTATGATACGCGTTCGATTTCTACGCGCTGTTAGCCTTTGGCTCGCCGTCTTGGGAAGAAATCCGGTCGCATCCCTGGTTGAGCTCTGCGACGAATGCGGAAAAGGGAACAACGGTATAGTGAACCAGGTGATTTTATTCAAAGCGACTTAAAGCGGCTTCAACATCTCTTTTTCGAAACAAAAGAAAAAAAATTGATTTCTTGTTGCATTCGATCACTGACAGGTGTTGAAGCTTCTTGTCATGGTGCATGATCGCAGCAGAAGCCCTCAATACCTCCCTCACAAACACACACACACACACACACACACACACACACACACAACAGGTCCCGAGAGACGTGATCACCAAGCTGGTGAAGAGTCACAAGCAGAAATCCAGCTACCAAAACTGCCTGTTCGAGCTTTTTCTCCACGCTTCCAACCCGAAGATTGGGCCCCAACTGCTGCAAGCAGACAGCTTTTTCAAGCAACACGACGAGGAGAATAAGGGGCGGGTTTCGGTGGACGTGATTGGCTACGTGTTGAGCAACTTGCTGCACTTCGATTCGGTTTTGGCGTTGAAGGCGGAAAGGGTATCCTGAGAAAAAAATGTTGCAGTTACACACTCTGATGCATGTCCAGCAAGACGAGCAACCTCTGTCATGCAGGAAATGCTTGCCGGCCTCATTGTACGCGTGTTTTCCCTTGTAGTCTGCGCATTACAAGTTTTCTTTGCTATGCAGAGCAACTTTGTGATGCTGGAATTACATTACAAATGTGTAACTGTAACACTTCTTTCCTTGGATAAAAGGTCTGCTTGGAGTATTACGGCGGCCGGGCAAACGGAGACTTGGTGGCATACACACCGTATTGAGTTGTGGTTTTATTTTCTGTTGCCTGTTGCATGACAAAAAATGGAAGTTTCTCAACATCTATTGACATGAAACTAATGAAACTCTGCATGACAACCTGAACATTCCAGGTTCCTGACCGAGCTCCTCCGCATCGGGGTGGAAAACGCGCTGCAAGAGCTGTGGAAAATCTTCCAGCACTACACCAGGCAAGCCAACCAGGACTACACCTCCACAAACGAGATTCCGATTGCTTTTGCTACCGAATATTTGCTGAAAGCAGTGCAGATGAACCAGGTAGCCGTGTCGGGTGTAATGACCTCCAGTTCAACATCTTCTCCGGCAGGAACATCCTCTACAAACAGTGGTGCGTGCTCTTGGTTCGGAAGTTTGGATTTTTTGGTGAACGAGGTCGGCATTGTTCGCCAGGGCATCGAGAATCAGCAGAGGTTGGTTAGCGGTGACGCGGATGTTGACAGCGTGGTTATTGGGAGTGAGGTTACTACAATCGAAGACTTGTTTGACCAGATCTTCAACGCACGCTTTCGTCAGGCGTGAGGGGAGGTGGAGTTAGCAAAGGAGAACTTGACGACGGGAAGAAGTGGAAAAGAAAGATAAAAATACACTTTGACTTAGGGCTGCTCTAGACCTTCATCAATCTTCATGGGCTAGATGTCGGAAATTCCGAACGCACTTGCTTTCACCAACTGCATAATTTCTTGTACGATTCTTCACCACTACAGCTGCATTTTTCAGAAAGAATTCGCGAAACTTCGTTTCGTTTCTATCTACAAATTGTTGTTCCGCAAAAACGTCAGATATCCATGTACCATATAGAAAAGCTGACTTCCTCTTCATTTTTACAGTCTACCTACTACCTACAGATCCGCGAGAGTGCGGCTTATTCTCTTTTACTCTTTTGATATCGACGCGCATTCATCAGAGCGCAACCGCCATTCGGGTGGAAATTGTTGTGTCATCGTGTTGACTTGTCGCTCGGAACTCAGTACGAGGACTACGATTTCCTGTATATAGAAAAACTTTCCATATTCATGATCAAAGAACAGCATTGGAATTTTCATGTTCATTATTCTTCTGAGGACATTCAATTATATTACATCTATGTGCTATGTTTCATCTGGTTTCCGTTTGTGTAGTTTATGGGCGCAATTAGCGAACCACCTGAGATGAAAATCTGACGAAGGTATGATATTGACGAAGACGCGATGCCGCATCGCAATCCAATAGTTATTGAAATTGATCAACGCAAGACACCAGAGGTCCGCACTTTCGCGATAGATAGCGGAATGCGAAGCCAATGTGCAAATGCTCGCCAGAAAATGTTGTACAATACCGGTAGCGTTCATTTCCGAACCTAGCAAAACGCGAAAACAATTTGGCAAATTTTTGGACAAGTTGCGTAGTTCCAAAAGTCTTCATATAGACGGAGCTACATGAGTATTGGAAACAGCTCCCCGTGTTCTAAGGATGTTCGGCGACAGGTCCGTTGCGTCGCAGCGTTTTTGAAATCCCCACCGAGAAGAAGCTCTTTCGCTCGAAAATTTGGGGCCAGCTTAACCTGCCGAGCAGGCAGCCCCGCCCTCAGTCCTTTTGGGCTGGAAGGTGGCGGGGCGGCTGCGCATGTGCCGGCAGGCGGTTCCCGGCCGCACGGAAGGGGGGGCGAGGCGGTGCCCTGCTCGTCCTTGGCCGGGGCCATAGTGTTCGCCCAGCTACCCACGAGCCGCCTTGGCGAAGCGAAGGAAACGCCGCGCGCCGGCCGGCAGCGGAATGCTGTAGGAGAAACAGCAGGCGGCGGGGGCCTGGGGCCGCGTGTTGCCCCTTTGTTTGATTGCGTGCCGCGGCCCCGTTCGCCGGCCCCAAGTAGCCGCCGGCATTGCCGGGGCATGGGGGGCCAGCGGCGCCCGGGTATCAGGTCGCCAACAACGGACCCGGAATCCCGGGCCGCCCCTCGGGGTAGGGTCGCGCCGGCGCGCGTGGGCGAACGCAACGGCGCAACTCGCTGACGCCGTCAAGGAGATTCTACTTGGGCGGCCGGCGCGTTGGTTTTGTTGGTTTTGTTTTCTTTGCCAATTGGTTGGGCCGGGCGGGCCGGCGGGGGCCCGCCTCTATCTCAAGTTGGCCCGCCCCGCGCACGCGCGCGGACGGAGGGCCCGCGCCCGACAAGCTGCCGGCGTGGCTCTTTGTTCGTTGGGCCGGCGTGTCGGTGTCGCGCGCCGCCGTTGGTTCGCCTGCGCCCGCGCCCCCGCGAGCCCGCGCACATGCAGCGTTGAATCATTGGCGACCAAGCCCCCGCAGCCTGTGGCGCGCTTTGGGCCATAGCTTGCGGCAGGCCCGGCCAGGGCGCGCGGGCTGGCGGCCGGGGCGGCGTCACGTGCCATGCCTGCGACGTGGGGATGTGCCCATTAATGCGTGGCACAGAAGGAGAAGGCGCGTTGCCTTTGGAAGGCAAGTGCCGCCAGCCAGTCAGAGCCAGACAGTCAGTGGGGCAGGCGTCGCGCTCCTTAGCTTCCATGTTTGTTTCCTGTGTAGCCGAAGCCGCTTGTGTGTTGCATGAATGTGTGCAAACCCTCCAGCCGCTGGCAACTCGAGCAGCCAGCCAGCCAAAGTCGCATTCAGGTCTATGCGCTTGCACTGCGCAGCGAGATGTAATGACCCTCGGAGTCACCAGACCTCCACGGGGCGGGTGCGCGCCGCTGTCTGTTCTGAGTCTTCGCAGGGAGAGCCTTGTCGTTTTCTCTGTCAATTCTTTCCCCGAGCGAGGTGTCTGTGTTTTGCGCAGCGCACAGCGAAGGAAGAGCGCCTCGAGGAGATGCCACGCACGCGCAGAGGGAGTACCTTTGAGAAATGAACACGCAGAACACAAAAGCGTCGCGCAATTCTCTTGAGCGACAGTTGGGCCATGGGGGTGGCACGGGGATCACTTCGGCAGAGCGTCGGGAAAGAGATGCCGCAAAATAATCATCATGCCGACTACTAGCACGAATTCCGCGCCCCCCGATCCGGGGTCTCGGTCAGGCCCTTCGACTGCGTCCGGAAGCGCGTACAACCCCGCGGACCGGAAAATGGGTCCCACCACTGACACTAACCGGGCCACGGACCAGAACGTGGGGCAGGCGGCGGGTGGCCGGATTTTGAAGCTGGAATACCAAGGTATAGTGTAATGGAAAATACAAAACTACATCTTTTCACGACCAAAGGAGTTCGAGCTTATCACAGACCTAAACATCATCTCCTTTTTTGCTCATGCACCTCTGATGGCAGAACGTTTTCTTTGTTCGACCTAGACCGAACCGTCCAACAAATGTTAAATCTCGACAGGCAACTGCTACAACTGGTTCGACCTGGAAACCACGGAGGCGGTGTACCACCGGGATTTTATCTCGATTCTGAAGACGAACATCCAGAACTACTTCGAAGTGCCCGTCCCCGAGCAGCTTTTGTTCGACCAATCTGGCACGCTGCTTGTTCTCGAGCAGGACATCCGCAGTGCCATCAGCGGCCCGCGAAGGCAAATTGAACGTGAAGGGGACCATGACAAACCACAGCCAAAATCCGATGTGTTTCTCAAATTGCTCGACCTGCGCGAGGTGCGCCAGAACCCGGAACTGTTCAAGCAAATCCAGTACCATCTGCAAAAGCATTGTACCCGTACACATTGCTGTCTGCCATGACAGATCTGCGTGGTTGCCTAAACCCGCATGACAAATTCCTGTTTTCCTTTTATACGAAATTTGTCATGCAATTTGTACTCGTGCGAGGCTTTTGCAATGCATATCCAGGGTCGGTTAACGGCGATTTCCTCCACCGTGGGTCGGATATCAAAATGAAAAATCCCCCCTCCCCATATCAAAACGGAAATTTGTGATGCTGATTTGTGACCACAAATCAGCTTTGTATTGCAGAGAGGCACTGCGGCCAGATCCCCAGGCTAGGTAGCGGCGTATGGGTCTAGTAGTTCAGCATGGCAAACGGCCCCCCTTTAGGCCCAACAGCGTGACAAATCGCTTCCATAATGGTGCGGAAGCTTCTGCCCTTGTCTTCTTGCAAGACAGACGTGATTTGTGACCTCAAATCCGCAACGCAAATTTTTGGAAACACACCTTCTCAATATGGGGGGGGGGAATGTTTCCTCTCAATATCGGATACAGAAAAACTTGAGCTACATACCGCCGAATCTGACTGGTGGAGCGAGTGACGCCGATCTTCTTGGGGGAGCGGCAGGCCAACAACAGCGGCAAACGATCGGGCTGACAACCTTGTTTGGACCACCGGGAGGGGAGTTGATTCCTGGTGTGGAGGGAACGGCGCAACCTGCAGCTGGTCGATTCAGTAATGATTTCTATTTTGATGTGGTCGAGGACTCTTTGTTCGAACAACATGCATGACAGGTTTATGAAAGCAATGCTTCTCCTTTGTGCAGGAGCAGGTTTCCATGCGAAATACAGCAAAAGCACAAGCAGCGTACAAACCCTGAACACCAAAACTCCCCAGCCCGGACGACCGACGTGAGACACCGAAAGTCGCGTCCTTCGCTGCTCCCACAGGTTTCATTACAGCCACTCGTGTTGGTAGACAAAGAGCAATCTGCAGCACTAACTGCTGGCCTGGCAACGATTTCTCAACAGCAAATCCAGCAGCCGCGCCAACTGCAACCTGACGTATTTTCTCAAGCTTCTACCAACCTCGCCAACAATCCAAATGTCCAGCAAATCCGGCGGGCGTTTGAGCTGGCTGGCACGTGGCGCCGCCTGCAGAGGACCTTGGTGAGATTGAAGAGGACCGCGGTCAATCCGAATCTCCCTTCAATTGAGTTTGACCAAATGAGGGACGAACTGATCGCCGTTTCCGAAAGGATCCGGACTCTGGTGGAGCAGGCGATCAAGCCAAATTATGCAGGAGGTGACTTTGGTCTCCAAAACCGCCTGACGCTGATCGGCGCTGCGTCGGCGAATCCGTTGGCTTTGAAGCCAACGTCACACGCTTTGCGGGACTTCGTGACTGTGATGAAGCAACAAGCTGGAGCTGCTTCTGGTGCGTCGGCGGGGATGTTGAGCTCAGCGTCTTCCGGCGCGGCTATTAACGATCCAAACCTGTCCTGGTTGCAGGAGTCGAAGCTGTTTGACCTGATCGTCGGAATCCTGCAAGTGTTCGAGCAAACGAACAGTGTGCCGAAAGAGCAACAGGAAGAGGCCTTGGTCAGATTCGCCATTGCGCAAGCGGATGCGGGGAATGTGGAGTTCTTCGCAAGTAGCGGGACGAGAGCCACTGCTGGCTCGCCGCTCGGCGCGGGAGTCGGAACGCTGGGTCTGACCAACCCGTTTGCTGGCACCGCTGAAAATCCCAGTTCCTCCTCGCAACAGGTACGGCTTTGCACGAGAAGAAAGGTTAGCCAAGAACCCATGAGCTGTTAGGGGCTTCATTGTTTACCTATTTCTGCATGACAAACTCCTATTTCATGATCTGCATGACAAACATAAATCGATCCGAAAAAACCTCAGATTGGCATCCAGCCCATTCAACCCCAGTGGCCACAGTGGTCGGGCTTTGGCCGGAAAAGCATCCCTTCGGGCGCGAAGGAGGAGGACACGATCGACCAGTCCAGGGAGCAATCGGCAACGCAGAACATCACCATTCGCGAATCTTCACCCGGACGAGGAGGTGGACTTAGCAAAACAGCTGGGCAGCTGGTGCTACAACCAGGAATGAACAAACTTGGCTCCTCAACGCTCGTATTGGACCCATTGAATGGATCCTCGACCGTTCTGATGAACGGAGCAGGAAATGCAGCTGCTAGCAGTTTAATACAGCCAGGACCTGCTTCCCAGAGTAGTACAAGACGTAGTTCCGTGATTCGCTCACCCCTGGACACGCTAAACGCCACGATACCGCTGAACAATCAGAGCAGTCTAGCCGTGGGAGAAAAAGTGCCAACATTTGATGGTGGAAACGAAAACCTGCAAGACGACCGCCTGCTGAGCAGCTTCATCTTGCCGAACAAGAAGCCCACGACGTTCTCTCCCGCAACGGTTGCTCCTGCTGTAACAAGTTCTGGACCACTACAACCGGGAGCTGCAACTACTGCCGCCTTTTCCCGTGGCGCCTCGGCTCTGAATCTGCAAATTGGCGGGTCCAGTCCGTCTTCGGCGAAGCTGCAAAGGCATCAGGGTACTTCTTCTAGTAGACAACCTTCCCCAACAGGACTACAGCCTGGCAGAACCGCTGCATCTTCTCCGCCAATTATGAGCAAATCCTTCATTCCGGGTATTCTGCAACAAAACGCGAAAAATCGAGTGAAGCCAATACCGCGAAAAATCGAGGTTTTTCTGTCTCGCGTGAACAACCCAAATCAGAAGTACGGGCTGGTGAATGTGCCGAATTTCGCCGACCACAACTCCCCCCCCGGGTTTTTCAACGGCTCCAGGTCGAGTTCAAATCCGTTGCAGAATGGCAGTTTGTTGGTAAAGTTCGTGGACCAGTACGGATTGCTGTACCAGTGGAATTTGGAGCAGGAAAGATTGGCTGGACAAAAAGCTGCATCAGGCTCAGCATCTGATCAACAGCTCAACACCGTATCAAAAGAAAAAAGCATCCTCGCACTGGTAGAATATATAAATCGCATGACAATGAATCCGACCAGCATGAAAAATGGAATTTGTAATGCTGGTTAGATTACAAAGATAGATCTGTCATGGACCATTGCCATTACTACGAGTGCGATGCTTTTGCAATGCATACACCGTCGACGTTGGCGATTTGATCCTGTCCGTCAACAACCAAACCACGGTGTTTGGCATGCGGTCGGAACTGCAGAAAGCGGATGAGGTCCGGCTCGTGGTGGTGAAGGGCGACAGCGATAGCGGTGTTGCTGGGATAGCAACAGCAGCCTCTGGTCCGCGGGGCCAACAACACAGTTCTTCTCTAAATTCCAGCATGCAACGCGGCGGCAGTCCAGTACTAGTACGGAATCCACAAGCGGGCGTTGGAACATCGGTGCCGCTGCTATCTTCCACAATCAGAAGCAGCGGTCGTGCGTCGCCTGTGACGCCGTTACTCCCGCAGGACAATAGGCGAAGTCCAGAAATGTCAAATGCTGCAACTTCTGCTGCAATGGCATCAACGGAGGAGGCCTATTTGCGGGCCCGCGTGGAAGAGCTAGAGAACGCTTTGCTAGAGAAGATGGGCCTCAAGTCAACGCAGAGCAGCAAGCAATCCGCTGGTGTTCTCAACGCGAACATATTCGACGCGAACCAAACACCAAACTTCGCGACCAACGCAACCAGCGAAACCGACGAGCAGTTGTCGCGGACCGTTTTGCTGCAGCCGGGCCAGGAGGTGGAGATCATAAAATCCCCGACAAGGAATAACCCGAAGTACGAGCGGCTGTTGCTGAAGGCCCCAGGGATTGACGGTGGGGTAAATCCAATGGACCCTTACGGAAAAATGAACGCGATTTTGGAAACTTCGGCTGACCAAACGAAACAAGAACTGCGGACGAATGAAGGATTGTCTCCTACTTCAGCTCTGAGTCGGGCATCCGGTCTAGGTGCGGGCATAAGTGCTGGAGGGAGTAGCGCAAGTGCAAATGCTGCGGGTGGGAGCATGGCAGCTGCAAGTGGAGAGGTTGTGCAACAAGCGAACGCAGCGACGACAGCCGAGGTGGAGGACAGACTCATGTCTGCAGCGGTGGCTGCAGGAACGAGCTACACGAACGCGTCGTCCTACGACAGCTATTATAGTGGAGCCGCTGGCGTAGTTCAAGGCGGCAACAACTACGACGACGCATTTTACGATTCCTACGACGCGACAGCAGAACAGTTCCTGCAAAACCAGAGCAAGAGCTACTCTTATGGAACAAATGACATGCGAACCACAACCACCCGTGGTCGAGGTCTGATTTGCAGAAAAATAAGTAGACCCGCCGTCTTTTGTATGAGAGCTACAAGGGTGCGTCCGCATGCTGCCATGCGGTAGCCTGTGATTATGTCGCGTTCAAAAAATGAAAAACAACCTAGCGGCCATGGTGCGAGAGTAAGTACGTGCATTCATGTTCCATAATTCCGCGTATTCAGAAGAACAAAGACCGTCGATGGCAGAACAAAGATCCCCCGGCAGCCGAATGGGCAGTAGCAGAAACTCGAAAACCACGCCAGCTGTGTTTGAATCTTCTCTCCCCGAAGATGCCGTCGTCTTGCCCGAGGAGGGTCAATACTCTCTCGATGGCGGAGGTGGAGGTGGTGGTGCTGCTGCTGCTTCTGCTGCTGCTGCACAGAGTGACTACTATTCAGCAGCGACTGCTTCTGCCGGAAACACCACTAGAAAAACCGCCTCAACAGCCACGAGAACCTCTGTCTCCGCTGCTCAGCCGTCACGCGCTTCTCTCGCGAAAGCTGCAGCGCTTCCGACGAGTTCGTCTTCAACACAAAGAATCGTGCCGGGCCCCCGCTCGAGCGTGACCGTGGGGGGCACGGGATCGATGTTGCCGGCCACCCAGCCACCGCCACGGAGAAAAAGCTCCCCCTCCGGCTCGGTCTCGCCGAAATCGCAGTCCGCCGTGCCGAAAACGCGCAACAGCGTCAGAGCGGGAATCGGAGGAAGTGCGGCCAGTATGTCGTCAGCCTTCAATAACAGCAACTCGAAGGGGACTGATAATTGGAACGACTATTACAACCAAGATTACGGCAACGGATCCGCCACGCAAAATAACCTTGCAAGCGGCTATAATCCGGCGAAAAAGCAGGCTTCGATGTTGAAACAGGGAGAAATTATCGACACCTACCAGCAGGACACGTACAGAACTAGTAGTGGAAGGCCTTCCAGCATCGGCCGGAACAGCAGGGTATCTTCCACAAGCGGTGGAGTGACAGCGACTGCTGGTGGTGCGCAGCAGCAGGTCGTTGTGAGAAAGTCCCGATCTTCCTCCCCAGTCTCCCCGAATGGCGGCGCAACCAACCTACCACAGCAGCGCCCTTCCGCCCGTCGCACCAGTTCTCCCTCAATGATGTCTGCCGGTAACGATAGCGGGGTTTTCGCGAAGGCAAAGCCGCGCGTGTCCATTGGAGGAACGACAGTGGTGCCAGTTGGTGCAGGTAGTGCTTCATCTGCAAAAGCGGCTAGTTCGGCGGTGCGGCGGAGTGTTTCGCCAGGAGCTACTACCACAGCATCGGCGGCGGCAAAGGCGGGTGCTAGAAATAGAAGTAGTTCCTACAACTACTACGACGAGCCCGGGGCAACGGATGCGACCACTAGCAGCTACAATTACAGCAACTACACCTACTACGCGGAGCCGCAAGGCAACAGCTCCAGTAACCAGCAGAGAAGGGTTAGCTTCGGCGATACGGAGCGGAAAAGTGGCCGAGCGAGTGTTGTAAGTGGCGGTGGAATTCGGTACCGGGTTGTCGATCCAAAAGACCCCGTGGACATTGCTGTAGAGAAAGCAGTGGGGAGGTTGCCGCCGACCTTGAAGCTCAGTAAAATTTTTATGAACTAAATTTGTTCCGCGAAGCTGTTGCTGTTGTTCACGCAACATCTTTACAAAATGTTGCAATCTGTCATGCATTAAAGATGTTCCGGAGCAAAATAAATCACAACATTATGCAAGAACTCGCTCTTCTTCCTGAAAAGCCTTACACCTTGAACCTCAACACAGGCCCCACTCAAGGTGACCAGTCGAAGTTGAAGCTGGTTCGGCTGAAAACCATGATCTACAAGCTGGGGGACCGAAAATTCTTCTGCAACTTGGTGAACGGCAAACTGCAGGTACGGCTGGGCGGGACGCACGTCGACTTTGAGGAGTTTGTACTGAAGACGATCGAGTTTGACTTACACAAAGACGACTCCTTCGAGCTGCAAATGCCGAATCCGTACGCCTAGGAGACATCATGATGTTGTTACACAGCAGTAATTTTTATCTTGTAGATGAAGTTCGCAGAAGTGGAAGACGACGTGGTTGCGGTCGTGTTTGGTGCGCCTTCTTTTGTCGCCGGTGCCCGTTTGTATTTTTACAAACGCCCCCCTAAAGCGCGCAGCAGCTTGCGGGAAAGCTTTCTTCGGAAGAACGATCATTGCTTGAAGCTTAACTCTTGCGCTTCTCTCGATTTGCAGAGTCCCGTGGGGGCTACGTCCTACAAGTTGGCCGTTTGTTTTTTACAAACGGCCGTTTGTAAACGAGGAAAAACGCGCTCTGCCATCGGGATTGTGTTTTTACTGCGATTTGGGCAATTTTTCGCGTACACTGCGAATTTTTTGAGATTTCCTGGATCCTCGTCGTGTCTGGTGCGCCTTCTTTTGCCACCGGTGCCCGTTTGTATTTTTACAAACGCCCCTCTAAATCGCGCAGGAGCATGCGGGATAGCTTTCTCCGGAAGAATGATCATTGCTTGAAGCTTAACTCTTGCGCTTCTCTCGATTTGCAGAGTCCCGTACGGGCTACGTCCTACAAGTTAGCCGTTTGCTTTTTACAAACGGCCGTTTGTAAACGAGGAAAAACGCGCTCTGCCATCGGGATTGTCTTTTTACTGCGATTTGGGCAATTTTTCGCGCACACTGCGAATTTTTTGAGATTTCCTGGATTATCGTCGTGTTTGGTGCGCCCTCTTTTGCCACCGGTACCCGTTTGTATTCTTACAAACGCCCCCCTAAATCGCGCAGGAGCATGCGGGATAGCTTTCTCCGGAAGAATGACCATTCCTTGAATCTTAGCTCTTGCATTTCTCTCGATTTGCAGAGTCCCGTGGGGGCTACGTCGTACAAGTTGGCCGTTTGTGTTTTACAAACGGCCGTTTGTAAACGACGCAAAGAGCACTCTGCCATCGAGATTTACTTTTTTTCCCGATTTCGGGAATCTCTTGCATGAACTGCGATTTTTTTTAGGATTTCCTGGATTCTCGCCGTGTTTGGTGCAACTTCTTTTGCCGCCGGTGCCCGTTTGTATTTTTACGAACGCCCCCCCGAAGCACGCAGTAGCATGCGGGAGAGCTTTCTTCGGAAGAATGATCATTGCTTGAACCTTAGCTCTTGCATTTCTCTCGATTTGCAGAGTCCCGTGGGGGCGACGTCGTGCAAGTTGGCCGCTTGTGTTTTACAAACGGCCGTTTGTAAACGACGCAAAGAGCGCTCTGCCATCGATATTGACTTTTTTTCCCGATTTGGGGAATTTCTTGCATGAGCTGCGATTTTTTTAAGATTTCCTGGATTCTCGACGTGTTTGGTGCACCTTCTTTTACCGCCGGTGCCCGTTTGTATTTTTACAAACGCCCCCCTAAAGCACGCAGTAGCATGCGGGATAGCTTTCTTCGTAAGAATGATCATTGCTTGAACCTTAGCTCTTGCATTTCTCTCGATTTGCAGAGTCCCGTGCGGGCTACGTCGTACAAATTGGCCGTTTGTGTTTTACAAACGCCCGTTTGTAAACGACGCAAAGAGCACTTTGCCATCGAGATTTACTTTTTTTCCCGATTTGGGGAATTTCTTGCCTGAACTGCGATTTTTTTAAGATTTCCTGGATTCTCGCCGTGTTTGGTGCACCTTCTTTTGCCGCCGGTCCCCGTTTGTATTTTTACAAACGCCCCCCTAAAGCACGCAGTAGCATGCGGGACAGCTTTCTTCGGAAGAATGATCATTGCTTGAACCTTAGCTCTTGCATTTCTCTCGATTTGCGCAGTCCCGTGGGGGCTACGTCGTACAAGCTGGCCGCTTGTGTTTTACAAACGGCCGTTTGTAAACGACGCAAAGAGCACTCTGCCATCGAGATTCACTTTTTTTCCCGATTTGGGGAATTTCTTGCATGAACTGCGATTTTTTTAAGATTTCCTGGATTCTCGACGTGTTTGGTGCGCCTTCTTTTGTCGCCGGTGACCGTTTGTATTTTTACAAACGCCCCCCTAAAGCACGCAGGAGCATGCGGGATAGCTTTCTTCGGAAGAATGGTCATTGCTTGAACCTTAGCTCTTGCATTTATCTCGGTTTGCGCAGTCCCGTGGGGGCTACGTCGTACAAGTTGGCCGCTTGTGTTTTACAAACGGCCGTTTGTTAACGACGCAAAGAGCACTCCACCACCGGCATTGTGTATCTTTTGCGATTTTGGAAATTTCTCGCGTGAACTGCAAGTGTTTTGATATTTCCTGGAATCCCGCTGTGTTTCTTGCGCCTTCTTGCGCCGCCGGTGCCCGTTTGTATTTTTACAAACGCCCCCCTGAAGTGCGCAGCAGCATCGAGAATAGCTTTCTCTGGGAGGGTGATCATCGCTTGAGCTTCAACTCTTGCACTTGTCTCGATTTGCAGAGTCCCATTGGGGCTACGTCTTACAAGTCAGCCGCTTGTGTTTTACAAACGGCCGTTTGTAAGCGACGCAAAACGCGGTCTGCCACCAGGATTCGGACTTCGTACCAATCTTTTTTCCTACTCATGCGCACACTCCATCTACGAGGCTGGTGTGGATAGGGTTTCAGGATTTAGGGTCCCTATTTTGATTTTACCTAGATTAAGTTCGCAGAAGTGAGAGACAAGTAAGTAGGGTTTTCAAAGCCAAGACAATTAGTTATGATTCAAACTGGAAGGAACAATGTATGGTATAAGTTACAGGAGTTAATTTGAAAGCTTGAAATCGCAGTTGTGATTTTTTCAAGGCCATTAGCTAAACAACAGCATTTTTGTAGGAAGTATTGAAGCTACGAAAGTTGAGGACTTATTACTTACTCATGCCAAGGATCATCGTATTCAAAGGACGAAGAAAAAATGTTTCTCAAAAACTCGGGGTGTTTGGATTTAATTTTCGCAAAGAACGGGATTGGATTTCATTTGCCTAGAACGACAAGCTGGGCAACCACGCGTGTAGACAAGAAGTAGAGGATTTTCTTGCTTGTGACTATGTTGACAGTACCACCACGACGTGTCGCGCAAAAGTAATGTTGGTAGTCGCGTTTCTTTATGCAAAATGAAATTTGCAGAAAATGCCCGAAAGATAGAAACGCTCATGATTCGCGCAACATGTGAAGACAAAACAAGCAGGTATTGTTTCACCATCTTCCTCTATTTTTCGCACTGATCGTCGAATTCTTTGGCTCAGTGGTTACTCCGCGCGCGCACCGGTCCGACCACAAAATTTCAGTCAGTCGTATAGCATTGTCGTGTTCTTTTTGGCCATGTTTTTTTTTGACCGATTGCCGTGCGCAGTCGCCTCGGGATCGTGCTTTGGACACATGTCTTTTTTCCGCTGTGTCCGCAGAGAAAAGGATCGCTCAGCCTAAATGTGTTTTTTTTTCCGGTGCTACTGGCAACAAGAAGATCGTCACATTGAGGGTTTGTTTTTGTGATCACATGCCTACACGTTCCGAGTTCAACAAGCTCTTTTTTTGATTTTTTTTCGGTTCACACAGTTTTCAACGCCGCTCTTCGTTCTCTTTTACAGCACGATTGTTTTGCTTTGACGTTGTAGTCTGTGGCACAGCCAGCTCCCGATCTACACCTTCTTTTACGATCAAAAACTACATCGGAGAAGAGTCTCGGTCCTCCGAAGCGATCCTACCTGTCGGTATAATTGTCACGTGCTAAGACTAGTACAGGTTCATCGCGACAGATTTGACTTCAAGCCCACCTTATATGTTACAAGCGGTCGAAAAGCAGAGTTTATCGGAAAAATCATACGAAGAACAAACTACTTACGTCATGACGCAGCCTTTCTCTTCGCTTGACCATTTTTTTGGGAAGATGGACGACAGCGGTCTTGAGGAGGATGACTCCGATTGCTATCCCCTCTCGCCTACGAATATCGAAGTGATCAATATGAAGATCAATGTGCAGGAAGGAAAAAGCTACTTTTCCGAGTGCAAAAAGCGGAAAAAGCGCAACGAACGGAACATGGTGCAAGAACAGCCTCCGGACGAATATTATCTGCCCGTCCGGGAGGTTTTGGTGAAGATTTTGAAGGAGTTGCCGCGCGCCAAGAAATTTTCCTCCGTCGTGGAAACTTTGAAAGAATTGATGCGGATCCGGGGGTATCGAATGCAAATGTTCTTTCTGGATCTGGAAACTTGTCTTGCATTTTTTGCAGCTGAAAGGAAACCTGAAATGCACACAGAGCATGACAAACTCTACTGCGAAGAGGACTTCTACAATCTACATGCGTAATCTGCATCAGAAATGTCCTACCGAAAGCAATAAAGCGCCTATGTTTTGCTTTCTATGCAGCACGGATTTTTGCCTGTTCCCGCATCAGCATCACAGATTTGCATTCTTCCAGATCCAGATATACTTGCAATGCATAGGGGCGTGGCGGCGGTGGTGGAACTGCTGAAAACGCTGTTTCAGATCTACTGGCAGGGACGCGATTTCGAGGCGGAAAGGAAGGCCGCGATCGAGAAAGCGGAGCGCGAAAGAATCTGGAAGTACAAGGTGCATATCAGATGCGAATATAGTATCTGGATCTGGAGTAGCACAGAGTTTGTCGTGCTTGGTTGCCAGGAGAGAAATGAAACTTGTCATGCCTGTTGTGATACAACAGCCTCGCGCGCCTCTTTGTCATGCAATGAAGCGATTTCTCATGCGGGATACGGAAGACACAGCAACTCAAAAACTTGTCACGCATGGCCCCAAAGAGGAGAGTGCGTACCATCAACACAATAACATCACAAGTTTATTCCGGACCCGGATCGATATTTGCATTCCATAGTGAACACGAAGCACGTGTTTTGTGCGGAGAAGAAGAAAGCCGTTGCGGAAGTATGAGTGGGGAAAATGTAGCTTGGTATGCTGAATCTATCATGCATGAAAACATGAAGAGACTTCCTTGAGAAAGACCTGATTCAGGCCAGCAGCAGTTTTGCATACTCCAGCTCTGGGGCCTCCTAGAGGCGAGCAAGGGATGAATTGTGGGGGCGAGAAATGAAGCCAAATTGCATGACAAACCCGCTAAGCATACCATAGCTTAATTTTCCCGCATGATAAAAATGGCATGAGGCGTACGGTGATGGCGCTGCGGTGCTATCTCAGATCGAGATCTGCGGAGCGGTCTGAGCGAACACCGAAGTGGATAAAACTGGAATGGCGCTTTCGTTTGTGGTACATCTTTTCGCAATGTATATGTATTTATCGGTGTGCATGTTGTCACTGCCGGAGAATCATGCGATTTCGATTGATCGCAACATCAAAGATGTGTATGAAGGGATAGAAAAGTTCTTTCGGATTCTTCACCAAAAATCAAATCAGACCGCGCACGCGGGACGGAAGGACCAGGATGATTTTAAGGTTCAACGAGAATCTAGACGACAAGATGAAACCTTGCGAGAACATAGTACTTAAGCGGAACAAGAAAGCGGAACAGGCGGAAGAATGTAGTCATCGATACGATGAAAGCGAAGAAAAAAGACACACAACTAGCGACACTTTCGAAGAAATAATCTTAATCACTCTCAGGAATTCTATAGCTTATTGTTAGAGAAAAAGCGATTGCAACAAGTTACTTTTTACTTCTCAAGAAGACCGTGAAGAAATAAACTCAACGGTCGCAGAAGATTTAGAATACGAAAAATTTGGAAAACAAAGGAGCGCAGTTTTGATCACACGACAACTCAACTTTGGAACAGAACAACTTGTCTGCGGGATAGAAGAGAACTGAAAACTTCCACCAACAGCTAAGGGAGGTGGAGCGTAGTTTTTTTCTAAAGGGCAAATATTAGATATCACAAAGATAGTTTTTGAAAACGTAAGAAGAGACCGGGTGAGAGCCGGGTAAGAATAGAATGGGACAGATGAGTCATTTGTTATTTGATCAACAAAGGAAATCCAGTACCCACATGAACTCTTTCCTTCGTACTAAAACTAAAATGCTGCAATGGCATTTTGAATTGAAGAACGACGAAGATGAACTTCTTTTTGTCATGCGATCCCCACGCATGATAGTAAAACTTCCTTCCCAAAAGATGGTGTCTATCTCGGCTTATAATTGATGCAGAGTTCTTTTTTTATTGTGGCTGCGCTAGCAGAGCTCCTAATTGGACCGTTCGGTCACGTCCATGTTCGAGATCTTTTTCGTCGCGTGTGCTTTCCATACCGACGTGCCCATGGAATCACATTACCCATCGGTCTTCAATTCTTTTATAGAACCCTCTTTCGGTGGCATTATTTGCTTTCGGTTCAAAAACGATTGCGTCTTTGATGACAGCAGCAAGTACTTATGCGGCAGACGCTGCAACAACAAACGAGAAGTAGACAGAACTGTTGGTGCAGAAGATCAAGATAGCAGGCTCATCAGCATTAAGAAGAGGATCCAGCATGTCTGCATAGAAATTGATCAACATTTGCATTCACAGATCTTCCGATCCATCCACCGGGATCTTCCAAAGCTCGACTTTAGAGTCAGGTGGCGCAAGACAGTGGATCAAGAATATCCGATCCAACTACAAGTATATTTTTCTATATAGGTGCATCAAGCTGCTCGCCCTGGAGGGCAAGCGAAGATCTCAAGCAGGGCCGATTTCTCCACATTCCTTATCAGCGACCACCAATTTATTTTTGATTTTCACTCACACTCAAACTTCATTACATATTCGCGAAAACGCCCTTTTTCAAGAAAAACCTCCACTGACGATGGGTCTCGTTAGCCTCTTCAAGCGCATGCTTCTCGGGAAGCCGGAAGTACTTAAGTCTAATTCGATTTCGCATAACAAATTGTCATATCACGATCCTTCTAGACCTAGAGGTGGACTTTTCCAGGTTTCGATGTTTCGATAAGACAAGGGTGACACTTCCGACAATCCAATTTCGCAAAAAATTCAGGTTCCGGCAGACCAGAACCCGCAGGCGGTGGACCGGCGTGAGAAATACTGGACCGAGGAGGCAGTGAAGGAGTATGAGGCACTCCTTGCGGCGCATCGGCAGCAGAACGGCGGCGCCAAGATGGTGGACTACGCAACTCTGATGGCCGAAATCAAGAAAGGCAAGAAGTACCCCGTTCTCAAGGCGGCTGGTTTCAACAAAAAACAGCTGAAAAGGAAAACCAGCAAGCTGAACCAGAAAGAAGCCCGGCTGGCCTACAATGCACTGGTGGCGAAGAAATCTTCGAGGACTATGAAAAAAGTCAAGAAGTGAGCTCACCCGCCGGTAAAGACCGGCTAGATGCAGCTGGCTGGAACGGCCCTTGGAGCATTCAGCTTTCAAATACATTGACGTCAGACGCACCCACTTCCGATTGACTACGATTATGCTCTTGCCCTCTCGTTTTCGTGTGAGATACTACGCATACACAAAATGTTTTCCTGCTGTTTCGTAACACACAGAGTCCGCTAAAGAACATACAAATTATTTGATGAAAGCTCGACACGCAATCCCAATCGGCAGATCTTGTCTCAGGATAAATCCAGCACACAGACGTTGAATCCAGTGCGCGTTCCGGTGCAAAGTGGTAACTTCAGTAGTTGCTTTGTGTGCCACGCAAAAAAGAAGGACGGAAGTCTCCACGCTGATCCTCTCATCCATAAAATCCTAAAACCCTACAGCTGCTTTTGGTGTTGAAAAAATGCTCGCTCGTATTACGTAACTCGTTCCTTCAATAAGCTAGCCGTTGTGTGATTGCCACCTTCTTTTCCACTGAAAGAGCACAAATGTATTTGCAACAAAGTCCGGTCTTTCAGATGAGCCACTTGTGAGTACATCTTTTTGTCTCTTGAGTAGTAGAAGTAGACTATGCACCAAAAATGTAAGGCGCTCTTCTTTCATCAGTGTTTTGCATGACTGGGTGCTGTTTCAGCCTCGCCAATAGTACGTACCTCAACGATTGATAGACAAAAGCTCCGCTTCCTGCATCGGACAACTAGAAGCCGGACGATCATACATCAGTTGTGCAGGAAATAAAGTGTCGCTCGTACTACCAGAACAATCCGAATCATGTCAATGTTGTCGCCGACGTCTACAGTGCCCGTAACTCTTCTGGATCTTTTGCAGTCGGGAAGAAAAGCATCTGAGTGGAGCAGTAGCTATGTGTTGAGACATCTCATTTTTACGAAAAGTCACAAGCTAGCAGTAAGAAGTCCAACACTTTGCTGTTCTGTTTTTCCGGTTCATTGAAACCTCGCGGCAAATCCAAGATGAAATGTTTCTACCAGAAGCGAGGATGATCAAGATCAAAATTTGCTTGCCGTGCCTTTTCGAATACCAGAGCAATGCCATCTTTCCAGTTTTTGAATCTTTCGAGCTACGCATCTACCTGTCTTGCGCTCTTTTTGCCCATTTTTTTTTTTAGAAGAACTGATGCGCGCTTTTCTGATCCGATTGCTGTGGAGCTTCTTCTAAAGAACTACAAATATCCTTTTCCTATTCCTCACTTCTGGCACCGAAACCAGAAAAATGACCACAGGTAACTGCTGGTAGATATCTTCCACCTTGCTCGTTCTTTTCCCTGCACGTTCCTTCCTGCTTGCAATATTTATTGACTCATCAAAAGAGTTTAGTTGTGCTCCCTCTCAATTTCGGAACGGCGACACCACGCATTATCTCTGACTTTTCTACAAAGGAAAGTACATTGCTGAGTTCGTGCCCTGCCACACAGCCTTATGTAAATACAACTTCATTTTGTACACAGTTTGTTCGTTGCGCTACGTCTATGTCGGGTGTGGATCTCGATATTTTCAAAACTACGACACACGTTAAGAACAGGAATCGCGTCGCAATTTTCGACGACGCCAAGAACGAGTACTATTTCATGCACTCTTATTGCTAAAAGTCCACGCCGGACTTACTTAAGTGGAGCTAGACCACAGCGATCGGTGGCGACCATTGCCGATCAAAATCAAAATGCAACTTTCAACCGGAACTAAAACCACTCGATACCCTGGCGCTTTGGCGCTCTGGGTAATTTTCATCTACGCCAGCACCTTTTCTCCTATCAGAGTTTTGGGCCGGCGAAAACTACGCAGCGGCAACTTCTCGCCCGTGCAAGGATCCTCTCCGGTGCACCGTTTCGCGCCTTCCTCTCCGACCCTGCGGGAGCAGCCGTATCCGCACCTGCCCGGCGGACTGGAAGCCTTTGCGCTGGGGCCCGGCCACGGCACAACCTCTTCCACCACCTCCTCGAGAGCACGCAGTAACAATGCCGGGTCAAACCAAACCCTGGCAGGCGGTAGCTTGCGGAAGCAGGCTGGCGGGTCTGCGGAAGGGAGGGATGACGAGGAGGTTCTGCAAACAGGTTCTGCAGAAAATTTTGAGGACCCTTCTCCTCCATCTGGCGTAAATAAAAAGACCAATATGAGATACAAGCATTTCCTGGCAAAAGACAGCCCGACTGCGGGTGGTGCGAAACAAGGCAGCAAGAAGCAGACCGCGACGCCGCCCTCGATGTTTGTCCACAAGCTGCTCGCCACGTCCACAGTCGCGGCTTTAGTCGGCCGCAGATCAACCCCCGGTGGCGGCGCCCGGGTGATGAGCGCGCAGAACCGGCGGAGCAAACATCGTGGGGGAGGAACAACATCCAATGTTGGCACGCACCCGGCTTCTTCCACCTTTTCGCCAAATAAAGCAGTGATCCGGAAATGCGCCGAGAAATCTACAACTTCCGGAGGCTCTGCTGACAAGCTCGCTGGGAGTGGGAAGACTACAAGTGCAGCCTTCGGAGCGTCGTCTTCTACCACTGGAGCAGCTTCTAGCAGCACGGCTGCAGGAGGTGCAGGCACTTCTACGACCCGTCGATCCACTGGCGCTGCGCTGCAGGCAGAAGTGGTGGAGGAATCTATCGCGGGAACGGACGCGGACCCGGAAATTAGAATGGGTGATCTTACTGCGCAAAACTTTCGCAAAGGGTCGCGGGAAGAGCAACGACAGGATGATGTTGACAACTCTCCATCAGCTTCACCGTCTGAATCATATCAGCGGCCGCTGATGAGCCCCGAAGAGCAGCGAAAACTGAACGACTGGCGCCGGCGGCTGCGCAGCGCTGTCAAGCGGACCTTGCTGTTCGTTCAGCGGCTGGTAACATTGAGCCGCGCGGAGAAAGCGACCATGTTCGGGACCAAGGATCAGTACTACTACGAAGCCCGGCTCGGCTACGTCGCGTTTAAGCGGTTCTTCTTGAAGCAAGTCCTCCGTCCGCTGGGGTATTTGACGAAGGGCGGGCCAAATGGCTTTTTCGGCAGGTTGTCATCGGTGCCTGCGGAGGGGGAGGAAAACGGGCGGAGCGGGCTTGCGGAGTGGGAGAAGGAGCTGTTGTCGGAAGAGGAGAGAATGAAATTAGAAGAGGAACAGTTGCAGCGAAAATTTAACTTCGACGCCCGACCCCGGGTTCTGCCCCCGCTACTACTGTCCTTGCTGATCCAAGCGGATCCGCACTCCATCGTGTCCCTGCAAACCGCCGGCAGCAGCCACCCCGAGCTGGTCAGCCTGTTTCAAACCTTGCAGGCTTACTACATGCTCCTGAACGCCTTGCATTTTTCCACCAGCTTCGAAAACGTGAATTTGTTCGGCCAAGACACGTCCCGCGGTCCCTTCGGGGAAACGCTCGAGGGCGGCAAACTCGGAGACAGCGGTTTCGAATCGTCGCAAAGGCGACCAGATGCCACGATGGGACCGATATCGCAGAAGGAGAACTTCATCCTGGCGCTGCGCAAGACTAATCCGGAGCTCAGCGAGGAAGACCTGCTCGCCAAGGCTTTGCTGGACGAGATCAAAACCGAAGCGGGGGTCAACTGCAGTGACGACGACAGTATCAAATGCAAATGTGTCTGGGTCTGGAAATCTGTGATGCTGGGTGGCGTATCATGCGGAGGCCACAAGTGCTGGCTCAGCATGACAAGTTTCTGAGCTTCTAGGTGTTGCCTATATTGCATGATACACTGCGTTTCTGCGTGACAGAAAAATGATGCTCTTGGGTAACCTGCATGACAGATTTGAGAGTCATGCCAGACAGGCATGACAAAGTTTGTCATGACAACCATGCTTCCTTCCAGACCCAGACACGTTTGCATTTGATAGACAGTGAGACCACCCTGTTGGGTTCCGACAACCTGAGCCGGAGCCTGTGCCGCGCGTTTTTGGCCCTGGAGAACGAATTGAAATCGCAGCAGCTGAAAGAGGCCGGGCCCATGCGGTCGAACCCGTTTTTGGAGGGGCGGTTCGCGCCCGTCGACGAGGAGGTCACCGTGATGGGGCGGACCGGACAATTCGAGATCACGGGCACCATTCCGAAGGACCTGAAGGGGCTGTACTGCCGCGTGGGGCCGAATGCCGTTTGCTCCACGGACGCACGGATGCATCACTTATTCGACGGGGATGGAATGGTGCACTATTTGGAAATTGACAACGGCGAGGTGGTGTTATACGGGAACCGCCTTTTGGAAACGCCGAAGCTGAAAACGGAGGTTTTGACCAACGGGGAACTGCTGTATCTCCGCCTGGGGGAGATGCGGGGCGGGATTGGCGTATCAAGAAAAAAAATCCCCCCTCTATATATCAGAACGGAAATCTGTAATGCAGATTTGTGGTCACAAATCAGATTTGTCATGCTAGAAGGTAAAAGATGCGGACTGTAGTGCTGGTTTGTGTGGGAACAAAGCCTTGCAGCTTCAGCATGACAGGAGGCAGGTGGAAGTGCAAAACAGCATGACAAATTGCCTGCAGACGAGGCCACGACTACGGCTCTTTGCGTTCTAGCATTACAAATGGATTTGTGTACTCAGATACAGCATCACAAATTTCGTTTTCGATATGGGGAGGGAAGATTTCTCCTTTTGATACGGCGTTGCGCGACTGTTGCTCCACGAAATGCTCTTGAAATCCCTACTTGGCGTCTTGGAGTCCGACCCGCTGCGTGCCGGCACGGCGAACACCGCCATGGCGTACCACAAGGGGAAAATTTTCGCGCTGTACGAAACGAACTTGCCCTTCGAAGTGGCTTACAGCGAGTCTGAAAAGCGGGAGGACCGGAAAAATGAACTATCGGCGGACGATGGTTCTTTGGAGAGAGAAACCCCCCAGCAGTCCATCCTAACTCAGGACCAGCCACTGGACACACTGGAACCGCTGAAACGCAATCCTTCCTCCTTAACCTCGATCGCCACGACGGCTTCCCTGCTCGACCAAGCAGAAGCAGCGGGGCTTCCGGTGGACCAAGAGTTTTTGGACCGGCTGGAAGAGTTATCGTGGAAGAGCACAATCGGGAACATATTCATGCTATTTGTCATGCAAAATCGCTTTTACGTAAAACGAATATCGGTTTCTATTTGCAGCTTTCGAAGCCGAATGTTGTCATGGGATTTCCCTGCAGTATGCATTTCTGCGATAGTGGTCTTGCATGACAAAAATATGCTCTATGCCACTGCTCTTCTTCAGGATACGAATCAGATGTGGAATTCGAGATCTTCGAGGAGGAGGACGAAGATTATCCTATTTGAAAACGTCCACACCCTGTGCTTGTCTTTGTCATGCCAAATTGCATGCCCCGAGCGAGCTGTCATGCGCAGTCCACCCATGAGCAGCACTCTGCAGAAGTGCTCATCGTATACATTTTGTCATGCTCCAATCAGAATGAGAAAAAGGGGCAGTGATGCGGCGGCACCATAGGGTCTTGGTGACGATTTTCCACGGGACTAACATGCCGACACCATGATCGACCAGGAAATTGCGGATTTGCGGAAATTGCTGTTGCAGACCGGATATCAAATGTAAAAATGTCTGGGTCTGGAAGAATGCAACTTGTGATGCTGAATTTGGATTCCAAAAAAATCTGTATTGCATGAGCAGCAAAGGGAATGCAATTTTTGGTACGCGGAGAGGGCATTTGTCATGCAGAATAGGCATCGCGAAACCCTCAAAAAATCTGTGATGCTAGGGCGTGCATCCCAGACATCATGGCCAATGCAAAACATGCATGACAAATCTCAGAATCTTTCAGACCCAGACATTTTTACATTTCATACCAGAGTAGAGCAAGAAACCAACGCGGGTGGTGGAAATGAAGCGGACGATAACTCTGATTTCGACCAGAAAATCTTCAACACAACCCTGACGAGCAAGGGAAAAGCAGAAAAGACCGCGACTTCTTCGGAACCGCCCAACACTCCGCGGACAAGTTCCAAATCCAAATCAAGCACTAGATTCCTCGCTCCGGTGGAAGAGGAAAGGGGTGATTTTGGGGTAGAAAATGAGACCAAGAGCAGAGAGTTTTCAGCCGACTCGAAGACAGTTGCCGCTTCTTACACCGGTGAGGACTTATTGGATGAAAAGACGAAGATTAGAAGCCTCTCCGGGCGACAATTCGGCGACCGTACTTTCCTTCCCGACAACGAGATTCCGGAGTTTCCGCTCGCGGTGGATGCCCCGTTTCCGGAGAGGACTCGGGACGAGAAATTCCAGAGGCCGGTGGTTGATGCGAACGAAACGACAACCACTGTCCGGCCCAAAGAGTTGTTTTCCATCGGGTTCCACGACTTTGCGACGGGGAGGAAAATGGTGAAGACGAGCAGTGACAGTGCAGGAAAGAGTGGTGATGCAGCAGGTGTTGAATCCTCAGTGAACGAGGAAATTCAGAACCCGCCCTCCCAGCTCAACCACGCGATGCACGCGCATCCGAAGATTGATCCGGACACCAATGACATGTACGTTTTCGCCTACCACATCACCGCGCCACCGTACCTGTCCTACTCCGTGATCAGTGGCGAGACCGGGAAAATTGTCAAGACCGTGGATGTATGCATTACAAAATGATCGTACTGGTATAAGTCGCATGATAAATTTTTGCATGAAGAAAACTCAAGTTTGTCATGCTGATTCAGGAAGAAAACAAGATTTGTCATGCATGATTGCGATTAATACGAGTGCGACACTTGTTTTTTCGCTGCATATGACGTCGGCGAGGACGAAGCGGTTGTGAATAAGCCGGTGATGATGCACGACTCGCTGATCACGAAGAATTTTGTCGTTTTCCCCTACCTCCCGCTGTTCTTCGACGGCCAGAAGTGTGCCGAGGGCAAGTCGCCCTACCAGTTCGACAACGGTTGCAACGCGTATTACGGCGTTTTACCGAAATCCGCGGACTCGGCAGGGAAGAACAATGAGAACATTCGCTGGTTCAAGATCCCCGGCGCGCACCAGGTGTTCCACTTTGTGAACGCGTGGGAAGAGCTGGATGCGGACGGAAAAGCCGTCATCGTCGCCTACGGGTGCGCGTTTCACCAGAATTTCAATCTGGACCTCGGCCTGGAGCTCGGTGGGAGCAAGAAAGGGAAGGACAAGGAGCAGGGAGGAGCCGGTGCTGGCGCATCAAAGACCACTACACAAGAAGATGACAAGCCGCCGAATGGCAAGCCGACCCCGTTTGTGCCGCAGTTGACGAAATTCGTATTTCATCTGGACAAAGCAGAAGGTGAGGAAAACGTCAGCATGGAGATTTTACCACTGTACTTCAGCGAAACGGGCCTTGCGAGATCTTTTCCCTTCCCCGCGACAACCAAAGAAGAGCAAACCGCCGCGTTGGGCGAGATTATCCGCCCGGGTTTGATGGGGGTGGAGTTCCCACGCATCAACGAAAGATTCACCGGAAAGAAAAACCGGTACTTCTACGGCGCGACCACCTTTCCCGCGGCTGACCGGGCCACCGGTGCGACGGAGAAGCAGGTCAACTCGCCCGCCACGAAGGCGCGACGCGCGAAGAAACCGGCCGCGGGGTTTGATTTTGAAGGTTTCGTGAAATACGACCTGGAAGAACAAACCGCGGTCGCGTTTTACAAACTGCCGGACTGGCCAAACCAGCGGTGCGGGGAGATGTACTTCGAGCCGAAGTTTCGGGATGGTAAAGGTGCAGTTGCTGCAGGTCCTCAGGGTTCTTCACCAGCGGATTTTCAGGCAGAGGACGACGGCTACGTTATGGGATTCGTGCACTCGTTGGACGGAATATGCAATGTAAATTTCCCGTACATGTACAAAATGCATGACAAATTTTGCTAAGTTGCAGTGTACAACTTGTCATGCTAGACTAGGATTGAAGGCAAATTTTGTCATGCAGAGACAGCATTTGTACGTGTACAGGAAATTTACTGTGGATAGGGAAAGGAGAACGAGTTCATGATTTGGGACGTGTATGCAAAGAAAAAACCGTTTCACTGTAAACTTGTAATGCAGAAAATGCATCTGAAAAGTGTTTCTCTTGCTACACATGCAAGACAATGGATTTTTAGCTGTGTTTTCCCATAGGAGTCTCGCATGGCAAATTTTCCCTGTGATGTAGAACTACAAACCTGTGATGCAAAACTTGCAAGATCATTACAGTGAAACACTTTTTTCGTACGATAACGTGTCGGGGGAGTTCATTGCGAAAAACCCCGATTCCTACAAAGACCCGATATCAAATGTAAAAGTGTCTGGGTCTGGAAGATTCTGAGATTTGTCATGCATGTTTTGCGTGACCCAGGATGTCTGTAATGCACGACCGCGCATCACAGATTTTGAGCTGGCTTCCTGATGCCTACTCCGCATGACAAACGAACTCCCTGCGTAGCACAAACTAGACTCCTCTTGCTGGTCGTGCAATACAGATTTCTCTAGAGTCCAAAGTTAGCATCACAAGTTCCAATCTTCCAGTCCCAGACATTTTTACACTTGATACCCGATCACCCGCATCAAAATTCCCGTCCGGATGCCCAGCGGTTTCCACTCACTTTTCATCGACTCGCTGAAGTTGCAGGAACACAAGTCACACGTGACAAAAAATTTGCTCCAGCCGCAGGGTGAAGGACAAGGAGGAGCGCCGGAAGAGCAGGGAAACACACCTACAAAGCTGAAATCCATGATATCGTACGAAAAACGTGTCTCACTGTAAGCACTTTGCAAGTCTTGCATCACAAGTTTGGTGTCTACATGATGAAGAAAATTTGCCATGCGAGGTTCCTCAGGAAAAACACGTCTGGAATTCCAATGTCTTGCATGTGTAGCAACACAGACACTTCTGCAATACACTTTCTGCATCACAAGTTTTTGACAGTGAAACAGTTTTTTCTCACGATACATGAACCTGTTGAAGTACTACAAAACCTTCCAGAGACTCGAGCAGCGGAACATGGAAGAGTGCGCGGTTTTTTCATCGAGTACGGATAGCGAGGACGTATGCACTGCAAATACGTCTAGGTCTTGAAAAGTGCAACTTGTCATGCTGCATTTGGATTCTAGAAAAATCTGTGTTGCATCAGCAGCAAAAGGAATCCACTTTTTGCTACTTACGCGGACGGGGCATTTGTCATGCGGAATGGGCATAAAGATGCCTTAAGAAAATTTGTGATGCTAAACATACATCACAGATGTCATGGCCCATGCAAAACGTGCATGACAAAGCTCTACGTTCCAGACCCAGACATATTTGCAATGCATAGGACAGTGGGGAAGGCGACGAGGCGGCGCGGACTGGTGGGGTCCGGAGAGATGAAAAGCGGGAGAAACAACCGGGTGCCGACCCCGATGTGGACATGGGGGAGTAGAGGGTTGTTTGGAGCTTTCATCTCGGTGCCTGGTCTAAATCTGCACACTCAGGAACACGCTGACGTCTCAAGAAACCCAGAAAATTGAAGCTGCCTTTAGTATCGCAGTCGTAAGAACTTTCTATCTGATCTTTTGTTTTTCATCTAGCACTTCTTGTTTTGAATGCAATTGCCACGCAAAATCTCTTTGTGACTACTTTCTCTGAAATTATCGATTGCTTAAACCGAATCTGATCCTTCTATTGTTAACTATTTTCGCTATCTGAAAACCATGTGTTTATCGCTTTACTTCACCAGCAACTAGTCTCTGATTGACTCGTATTTCGCTGGTAGCAAATTATTTCTTTGTTCCTAGAATTTCAACAGTGAGGATGATCTGCCTCACGCATAATGCTGACTACTTTCTATGTGGCAGGACTAGCCACAAAAGAAAAATGTAAAGACCGATTGAACTTCGAAGCTTATTTTGGCCTCTATTTGATCTGAAACTGATAAGCTAGCGTATGTAAAAAGTACTCTGCTTCTTCTGAAACGAAACTTTTGATGTCATGACTCATTAAAGGTATGAAGTACCGCCCGGACTTTTGAGGATGTTATTTTATTTTGAGAATATAGCAGTTTTTACGACTACAATTTCTACCAAGAGCAGAATGCTCTTTACTTTGCGGCTGAGTCTAGGGTCTCCTATACAACGAGATAAACTGAAGACACATCAACAGCCACAGTAACTCTACTAGACAACACCAACATGAAGAGAATTTCGTATTGTTTTTGTCTTGCAATTTTTGCAATTACAGATGAGATCGAGTACGAGAATGAACGACGAAGAAATGTTTAGCGCGAGCTAGGTTTCTCGAGAAGTTTTTGCTTGTCGAAGGCTTTTTGAATCGAAGACAACCATAGAAGAATTTCAAATTCATATGTTGGAATTGATGTTGGCGTTGAACTATCAATAGAGTCCTCGTTTTTATTCATTGCCGGGTGGGTCGTGCGTACCTTTCTCGCGGGAAACTTAAATACCGTCGCATCGGTACATTTTTCCATGTTCGACGATCCGTGGGTGTTGCGCGTGTCATATATTTCAAAGATAGAGTGAAAAATCTCCTTCAATTTTTCTCCACGTTCTCGAGCAAGCTCCTTCTTCCCGCACGAAATTTTAATGAAAGTGATGCAATTAGGTACGTCTATTCTTCCACACTATGGTGGTAGAGATGAGAGAAACAGAGAGAGAGAGAGTGGAAAACAATTACTGAGCGTCTCAGCCATGCGATAGAATATTAAAGTGCGCACCACATAAACATGCTAGCCGCCGGCGAGGGCGACATCACCCCAGATTACGCCAGCATGGCATCGGCTCCCAGTGTCCAAGACATGACCCTGGAACTCGGTCGGAAGCAGATGTCAGACAAGGATTTTTGTGCGTCAGCAGCACCAATGTCTCCAGTGACTTCAGCATCGGGCTTGCAGCTCTACAGGTTCGTTGTTGCTCTTGCATGTTATTCTGGATTGATTTGATTCATTGGGCGTGTTTCGTTGTTGGGGAATTGAAAATGATTTTTCGGAGCATCAATGTTGTTCTGAAAATACAACATCAGCGCCACAACCTCCGGCGGGCTGGACAAGGTTTATGGGGACAAAGCTTTGTCTCGCTTAGCGACACGCGTTGTAACATCAAGGGCGAACCTGGATTCGGCGCTGCAATCATCAAGGTCCGTTTTTGATTTTCGAAAAGGGTGTTCATGTCTATCACTACCACTGTGGTATCTGGTGTGATTTGATGCATTTCAACATAGGAAATTTTTCTAAGTACCAACATCAAATCAGGTTCAGGGGGGCAACCTCTTGCGAGAAGTCCGGTATGCATGTCGGCGAAGATTACTGCTTGGCAGCACCAGGAAGATGCAGGGCGAACAATGATTCGGCGCTGCACCGATCAAGGTCCGTTTTTGATTTCCGACAAGGGTCATGTCCATCACTACAACTCCGGTTTCTCGTGTGATTTTCTTGCTTTTGATAGGAGTTCTATCTTTCTAAGCCCCAACATCAAATCAGGTTCAGGGGAGCAAGGTCTTGCGAGGGGTACGGCATGCACCTCGGAAAGCAAAACTGCTTGGAACCTCTAAAAACTGGCGACCGGAAGGTGACTATGGAAGCCTTTATGTTGGGGAGAACTTGCGTGATTTCCAAACACCTCAACTGCTTTGTGGAGAAGGACGTGTCGATTGAAATTGCAGACCGAGGCAACGCAGGAGCCTGCAAGCGAACGAAGGAGAAACTGCAGAAAGGACAGCCTCGCTTTGTCATATACAGTACTCACTTTTTCACGCGTGTTGCTGTTGGGGTTGGCATGTCTTAAATGCGGCGAATCTTCGATATGCATGATGTGCCAAAAGCGGAGAATTCGAAGTAAGGCGCGTGATGAACGAAAAGCTGCAGGTGCCACGTGCCTAATGTTCGCGGCAGATAGCATTCTTGCAGCTGGACCACATTATTCAACAACGACAACCATCACTCAGGTATTCCGAAAAAGCCCGAGTGTGGTGGAAATGGTTCGCGATTTTTCCTGAGCATGCAGGGCGCCAGCGCGCTATCGCCGGTTCTACGACAATACGTCGCGGACAACAAACTGAAAGAGCCGGCCAACCTCAATGCCATTCTCGCTGGATTTTCCTCTCTTCCAGCGGACATTCAAGTCGAGGTGACGCAAGCGCTTGGGTTTTCTGCAGCGTCCACCTCCGCGAATTCTAAGCTGGACAAAAGCAGCATAGCTCGGCAAAAATCAAGTGACGAAAACGCATCCGCACAAAAAGAAAAAGGTAAAGCAGCAAATCGCGCGGCCAAAGAACAGACTCTGAACAAGCAGCAGACCACGAGTACGAGTAAAAATGCAAAAGGCAGGGAGGCTAAAACCACCGTAAAACCTCCACCGTCGAGAAAAGCGAAACAGACATCGAATAATGGAGCGTCAAGTACAAAGAAGAAAACTCCAGTTGCAAAAACTTCAGCCAAATAGTTCGTGACCGTCATGCGTCTGCGCATCAAATCTGGAAAAATTTTCATCGATCATAACGTTAAGGTTAACGAGAAGTAGTACATTTATTTGTTGCTTTTTCGCGAAGCGAGGCATGAGGCCCACCAATGAATTCGGCCTTGCGACTCTGAGGTGTTGTTCTGAACAATTCGCAGGAGTCCGACATATCGTTGCTAGGAGTTAATAATCGCATGAAGGCGTCATATAAATGTGCCACTCTTGATGTGAAGGCTAATGTCCGCTCCCGAGAGTAGAAAGACAAATGAACAAAGAAGTCGAGCGTCCCTATAGGAACGAGCGTCCTTCGTTCCTATCTACCGGCTGGCTTTGCTGCAACTAGATTGAACCCGAAAATTCAAGGTTCAGGGGAGCAAGGTCTTGCGAGGGGTACGGCATGCACCTCGGCAAAGGTTGCGGCTCGGCGACGGCAGAAACAGCAGAAGCGATTGACCCGACACTGCAGCTGGAATCAAGGTCCGTTCTTGATCTCCCATGCGTCGTGTCATGTCTATCACCACTTACAGCTTCTATCGATAGCGTGATCATGATTTTCTTGCGTTTCATGGAAGCGTCGAACCTCGATATTTACAACAACAGGACATTGCGCGTCGGTGACAGCATGATGGACGCCTCCGCGGAGGACACACGCCTACACTTAGCACCTGCTTCAAAGCGCGAAAAAATCCGGGTAAAGCACCTGCGCAGGAGACAACAGCGCAAGGGTAACCACCTGAAGACCATTAAAACCGCATGCGCGTTTCCCGTCATCCTCCGCAACGGCGTGCAGGTCGTAGGCGACGAAGGAATCCAGGAGCTGGTATTACAGCAGGACGGGGCGTTCCTTACGGACGATCGAGAGGGGGAGGAGCAGTTCTATTCTGCGTAAAACTGTCCCCATCCCAGGTTTGTCATGATGCAGATTCGGAACTACTGAAACACTTGTAATGCGCATTTCACCCCACTTCGAGTCGTGTTTTGGCATTTGTAATGCTGTAAACAGGAAACGGTTGTGTCTTTGTGATGCGGCTGCCCTTGCTAGCCAGCACTACACTGCATCGGAAATCTGTCATGCGCGACTCCCAAGACTTGTACATTTGTGCTGCAGATTTCGTATCATCTTGACTCTGGGGTGGGGACGTTTTTACACAGGATAAGCTGCAGTTGCAAACTAACCAGGATATCACCAAGCCGAAAAATTTATTCCGGGGCACAATCCTCCCACCCCACACTCACAGCCACATGAGATTTGTCGTGCATGATTTGTGTACTTACTTTACGAGTCGGCTCGTATTGCTAGAAGGCAAAGGCACACACTCGCGGTCAATGCAGTTTCTGCCTGTCATAATGAAAACGCAGGGCTTTTCCCTATCAGACAGCACTGCAGCCCGCAGCTCTTCCCTTCTGGCATGACAACTTGATTTGCGACCACCAGTCATGCTACTTATGCAAGTTTCCTTTGAGTGAGTACGTGGCAGTGGGGGCTTTTTAACTGCGATGAAAATTTGCAAAGAAACAATTCCCCAGTAAATCCATCCAGACGGAACAAGGGACTAACGGAGAAACGCTGTCGGCCGTGGACCTTTCGTTTCTCGAGCAGTACACTGGAAACCGTCAGGCTTTAGCGACATCGTCAGTGGACGAGAACGGAAAGAGGTTGTTAATCGCCCAGTACATCACGGACACCGAACTGATAGTCCACAATTTTCCGGCGGAGTGGAAGGAAATTCAGGTAGAATGAATGTTGGTGATTTTTAGCACAGGATGCAAGTAAGACAGGGTTTTTTCTGCATGCTTTGGTTTTTCTGAATTGCACTGTAGCCCAAAGTTGTCTGTGCACCCGTGATCTTCTGAAACAATCGCTGTGTCTGGAATAAAAATCATGAAAAAAAAAACAAATTTATCAGTTTCATGTCGACAAGATCGTGCGGAACCCGGATTTAGCCACCATTCCGAAGCCTGTGCTCGCCGTATCAGATGCAAAATCCGGCGTACGAAACGAGGCTGCATGATACCAACCATAGCGTGCTTGTCTGCTCCTGCAGTATCAACACTGATTGCCTGCGCAAGATAAGTAGAATTACCGCATGTCATGAAGAAAGTACTAAGATCGTGCCTTTTTTCCAGAAGCGAACTGTCACGCTAGTTTTTCAGTTTTGATTCTTTTCGGAGCGCTTTTGCATCTTATACCCACAGTTCGTGCTGAATTTCCGGCACCTAGACACCAACGGGTCGGATTCTTTGGATTCCTCCGACGGTTTGGAAACTAAACAATTTTTAGAAGACGCGCAAGAAGTCATGCAACACCTCGACGAAAAACAAGCTTCCTCCTCTACTTCTCCTCCTGCCTCAAATACACTGGAAAAACCGGCATTAGGCGAAGCTACGGATGGCGCTAAAGAAGTACACAAACAATCGCGGCCCGGCAAAAATGAACAAGAGAGCGCCGTGAGTCCGCCCGGCAGCAAAGATGTTAGCGGCACCGAGGACATCTTCACTTTGCGAATGACATTTGAGGACTATTGTTCCTCCTGTTTGAAATATGCAGCGAAAGTAAAGTCATCACAATCGCAGATAGCCCAGAACTCGTGCTATTCTGAAGCAATGACTGTAGTTTGGAAAAAAATGATTCAAAATGTTGCAACGAGGATCGAAAATGTTTTTGATTGCAGCTCATGGATGGTTTGCATGAAAACAAAACGACTGTGATGCGTTTTTTTTGTCGCATATCAGGTTCTTGAAGGAGGTGGCGATACAAGAAAACCGGGATGTGGCGATGGAGATTTCCAATAGGGATAATGGTGAGGAACAGTCGATCGGTAAGGGTTCTGTCGCGGAGCAGGAACAGCCGTCGGAGTTGCCGCGCAGCACGTTTTATCCCCTGCACATATGTCTGGGCCTGGAAAGTTGTAAGACTAGTCTGCGAATGATGAGCGCACGGCAGTATGTAGCCACGGACGACGAATTTGTGGGCTGCTACGTTTTGCGTATTTTGCACGAGAGACTCCGTTTTTGCATGACAGAAAAGATGCGCTTTTGGGGCACATGCATCACAGAGTTCAGATTCATGCGAAACAAGCATGACAAGCCGGGAGGGCGGGACCCGCACTGGCAACAGGCGCTATCCAACGAACCAACCAACCGACCACGTTTTGCAGTCTTGCAGACCTAGACATATTTGATTTGCATACGTTTGTGGAGCGGAATCCTAACCAATCGCAGCGACCGTCGGGCTGGAGGAGGTTCGGGCACTGGGTGCGAAACGTTTGCTCCCGCAGTCCGAGAGAACCAGAGGAAAAACAAGACCTTTTAGAGGCAGACGAAGCGTCGAGCAGTCACAGACGCACCGTCCAAAATACCGCATACGACTTGTGGCGCGGCCCTTATTCCTGTGAATCTTGGGCGAGCACTCGTGACGCCAGAATCATTTTCGCACAAAGAAAGCTAAGCAAAGCAGCTTTCCTGCGGTCTCCGCCAGGCATGAAAACAGATGATTTTCACTGCTACCTTGTTTGAGATTAGATTGTATCACTTGTTGGCGGAGCAAGAGGGGCAGCGCGGCAGTCCTCTCGGATAAAATGCGCTGCGCGATTTTTTCTGGTGTCACGAGTTGTCACTGATTTTTCACGTCATCCTATTTCGAGCCAAGAGGACACGGTATGTCAGCGTTATTTTCTTGATTTATATTTCAGACGAACTAGCATTAGCGGCTCGGAGGGTACTACGTTTTCCTTCCAGCATATGGTACTTCACACCACAAGCATAAACAGACTCCGGCCGCAGAGCCGGTGATTCATTCTAAACCGATTGAACCGCGGGAAAAGTTGAAACGATGAGGTTTTTGGGCCTTCTTTCATCTATTTCTCTTGAATAAAAATAGAATCTGCTCGTCTAGGTCTTTCATAAGGCTTTGTATCTGCTCGCTGCTTACTGGACTGAATTAATACCTTTTTCATCCAAAAACTACCACAGAGGATGGTGTGCACGGATTGGGAGCAGCGTACAATTGCGGACAACCTTGCAAGACGTTCTGAGATAGACGCAAACGGGTTATTAAACAATATCCAACACTGCCAAGACCAACCAAAGCTGGAAAGAGCCCCATTTTTTGGCCAAGGTGCCTATAATTCAAAACCACTAAAAGAAACAGCATGCGGAGAGGTCCATCGTATCGTAAATGAAAATAAAGACGTCTTTGGTAACCGCCTTACCAAATTGTCCGTGGTTGAACGCTCGATCAACTACCTAGAAGGAGCTGTCGGCTTCGCAGTGTATAATATCAACCGAAGACCAAAGGCGACGGAGATAGTAGCCTGGGATTTGATACTGAAGTTCAGAGACTGGGCTAATGAGCGCTGCCCCTCGCTCACTCCGTAGGAACTATAAAGGATATTTTACGCAACCATGGTAGGTCGAAAACTCTTCGCTTCTTGAGGGTTCTCTGCCTCAGGGACAGCCATCCGCACGCCCCTTTCCCGTGCAGGATCAATGATCGCGATCATGGTGTTGCGAATGAAATTGCCCTGCCATGATGTTCTGCTTCGTAGGGAATTCCTTGATGTTTTAATACGAGGGGCGCTGAAAAAACAGGAATGACGAAGGGAGAGAGAGAGAGAGACAAGAAGGCGAGTGCACTAGTATTGCTTTGATTGCAATTGTGTACTTACTCGACGGAGAAACTTTGAGTTAAAACCTACTTTTTTATTGCGATCTAAAAGTGTTCTTTTCCCAGCCACTGTTGCGCTCACCTTGGTACGAGGCTCCACTTGCAATTCGTTTCGTTCTACTTCCATGCAGAAGCTTCGATACCTTGTATCCCATGCTTTGTTATCTTTGGATGCTTTTATCACGCCGTCTGTCCGCGCAACGAAATTTTGTCTTCGCTAGAATATGAATGGTTGTTGCAATGGCGGACGCAATTTGGACTTGAAGAACTGATCTTGAGCGCACTCGTCCACGTAGACTACGTGAGCACAGAGTAAGAAAGGCGTTACTATCAGACAGAGATACCGAAAAGTGCCATTGTTGGTTGCGGCGGTAGCGATCCCGTAGAGATTCAAGATGGACCCGCAATCGCAGCAGTTCGCCCAGTCCCTCGTGGTCTGTGAGGTTTCCTGTATGTATTTGGACACCAACATCGTCACCGTCAAGAAGGCTACAGCTACTCCACTTTGTGACGCGCTTCTCTCGACGCCCGCGACATCTTCCTCTTCTCAGGCCAGTCCTGGGAAGTACGGGTCTTTGGCTTCTGTCGTCGACCCTCGCGGGCTGTACTACCGGCTGGGCGCTGTGGTGAACAAAACGCCGAGGGACGGCGTAATCGCGGCACCGAGAAAGGTAAGGAATCGAAAAGTTGAACTAAATGCACATATAGCATGAATACTGCGACTGCATCTTCATTGTGCATATTCGTGACAGAAGCGCACATTTGTGTTCAAAGGGAATCAAAAGAAAAACGAGATCCTGGTAAGATAATGAAATACTGAACCCAAAAACACAGGTCGTCCCATATGACGTTGTCACTGTCGGTGGAGAGGCGCAGGGGCAAAAAAAAACCTACGGCGGCACCAAATCCCCATACTCATCTTCGTATCAACCAAGTAAATCCGAGACAATAGCAATTTTGGTAGCCTCTTGTGGTCGAGGTCTTGTTTAAGTGCACTTGCAGTAGGAATGCATGCTGAAATATTTGAAAAAGGCATGAAAATTGTACCTCTCAGGCTGCTATGAAGGTTTTGACCTAAATCTCTGGCCACAAAAGACCCCCTATTCTCTCATAGGCTTTTCCCGTGCATACTTCAAAGTCCGGCGGGCGCAAGCACTTCGTCATTTTGCCGGTTGACTTCGAGGGAAAGAGCAATTGCAGCGTTGCAAAAAAACCCGTTGTTGCTTTTCCACCGCCCTCCGACGCCACCTCCGCAGAGGTCTTTCTCAACGTCAGTACCAATATCGACGCGTTCCGCCTGAACGACTACGTGATTCGGCAGAAGCAGCTGTGCCAGGTGAAAACCATTGACCGGAAGGAGGACCCGTTTTCCTTGGAACTCCTCGTTCTGCCGGATAAGCACACGACTAGCAGTACGATGTCGGAGAACGTTTCTTCAACAGCTCCGTCGGACCCGACAAGTGGAGTCCGGCACGTGAACTGCGAGTTGTACCACGTGGCGAAGATTCCGCACCACGACGGGGAAAATTTGAAGCGCAAGTTCGCGGAGGGAATTGTGCGCAACGAGAATCTGTCGTACGAACCGAAACTGTTGCCGATCCAGGAAAACACCAAGTACAACCTAGCCGGGACGACAAGTAGTTCATCAAGGAACTATAATCCCCACAACGCGTTCACCTCCAGTTCGCACCAACGCGGCGTCACCATGCCGGGAGACCAGAACTTTCACTTCGGCCGGACCAACTTCAGCAGCGGGCATGGTGGTAGTTATCGGTCGCAGAATGGAGGTGCTCTTGGTCCTGCTTCGCAGCAGCAGTACAACGGGAGTTTCAATCATTCTGGTCGCGCAGGAGCGGGCTCTAGCAACTACGTTCGCGGCTACAATACCATGTACGGAGGCCAGCAGCAAAACCGTTCCTTCGGCGGCGTCAGCTTTGGGCGTGGCAACGGCTCGTACGACAACGGCTTCAATCGGTCCAGCTCGCGCCTGAATGTCGGCCCGTCGGATCGTCCCTCGTACCTGGCCGGCAGAAATTCCTCGCAGGGGGAAGTGGGAAATGGTGCGAGTGGTCAGCATCTTCGAAGTGGGGGCTCGCAGCTAGCAAACCCATTGGATCGTTTGCGGGGCCACAGCAAACAGCAGGAGAGTAGTAGCTACTTTGCGATCCGATCGTATGGTGGACCTGGGTCGGGTTACACGAAAAATTCGCTCGGCGGCGCGGGAAAGGACCGGCCGTCTGGAAATCAACACTTGCTGCAACCGCAGGTATTGATATGGTGATGTATTCAGAGGCAATTAGATCGTGAGCAGTTATTACGTCAAAGGTCGTTGCAAATTGAGCCTATGTGTGCAATTCCCGCAGACTTAATTCCATGCTTCGTCGCAGCAAACAATCGCATGAAATGAAACAAAACCTTCTCGAAAAACAGCCCTACCACTACCAAAAAGCCGCGCACAACCAGCCGAGTGGACAGCAATTAGCACCAGACCCGCAATTCACCCAAAAGTCTTCTTCCTCCTCCAACTTTTACCCGCAAGACAAGACCAATCCAAACGCCCAGTATCAGCCACCTCCGAGGCGGTTTTATTCCGAAAACAACGACCCGGATTACCAAAACAGGGACCAGAACACGACCTATAATTCCGACGAAGACAAGGAGAATAAGTCGCAGATCAAGCACTTGTTGCAGGAAAAAGCGATGGAGGGTCTGCTGCAGGCGAAGACCCTGACGACAAAAGCTGCCGGCGTCGGGGTAGAAAATCTCATCTATGGGGCCGAGCAGGTCAAGCAAGCGGTCACGGTGGGCGCGCCGCTGGTCAAATCCGCCGTCAAATCGGGATCGGAGCAAACGGCGATGGTTTTGGGAGAGCTGGTGAAAGCGGGAACAGATTTTGTTGCGAATCAGTTCGCAGAACAAGAGAAGGTCAAGAATAGTCCAGGTATGGGTGTAGGTGTTTGGAAATATGCGATGGAACGGAGGAAAACTTCGCTTGTTTTTTTGTCATCACGCGTGAACAGGCAGGCTGCACTGTCTTTTAATGAACACCAGATCTACGCTTCTTGAAATATCCAAACAGATGTCTTCTCCGAGCTCAGCGACAAGTCTCATTTTCCGCCTTTGACCGCGTTTCACTCCCTCGAGGGTTCACCCTGCGCGAGCGACCGAAATCGCCGCGATTCTTTTCTCTCCGCCTACGAGTCGCTCGGTGGCTTGGAATCGAACGGCGACCGGGGGAGCAAGTACGCTAGAAGTTCTCAGGCAAGCAAGAAGATTTCCCTGGTTCCGGGGAATTTATTAGGACCAACGGCCGCGAGTGCAGATGCGGCTCGAATGCAGTCGAGTAGTTCATCTTCATCTTCCGGCCAAAACATTGATCTTCCCACAGCAGAAACAACATTGGCGGCAGATAAAGACCCGAATGACGAACTCATGGATGTAGACACTGATGCGGCGAAGGAAAAACAAGAAGGGGAATCAAACGCGGAGAGGACGCAAATACCGAGTACGGCATTTCCGCCTCCTGGTCCCACCGCAGCACATCCTCTAGTATCGCCACCGGACGCAGGAGAAAGGGACAAAACCACGCAGGTCGAAGATGTTTTCGACATCCCAGGCACACCACTCGAAGACGCGCCGATGGTTCGCTTTGAGGAGCGGCAAGTCCTCCAGAAAGCGGCGCAGGGCGTACTATCGAGTACCGAGGAAGCGGGAGCTGGAGTTGCCGAAACTGGGAGTATTGTCGCTGGAGCGAGTGTAGCTGCGGCAGAACTAGCGGACGCTGCGAACAACAGCGAAGGAGTTGTTAGGCAAAAAGTACATAAAAAAAATACAACCGCACTGGAGGAACAAGTTGGTCCGACCGCGAAGCCAGCGCTGCAGCAAGACCAGCTCGTCATACTGGAGCCGGCACCTGGTGCGACTGTGAAAGACGTTTCTCTAGTACACCCGCCTGTAGTGTCCAGCGGCGGAAAAGAAGAAACAAAGGAAGAAAAAATCGTCGGTGACGTAGAGATGCAGGTCGCAGATGTTGAGGTGGAAGAGGACCGTCCTGTAGGAGAAGACGTGCAGGAAGCAGAGGATGATCCGGACGCGATGGACGTGGAGGACTTTTCACAGGAGAAACAAGCACCTTCACAAGAATCTGCAAAAGAAAGAAAAGTAGGATCCAAGGGAATTAATGATCAGGTGGAAAACAAGGTAGCTGCGGCACATCAACTCCTTCCAGCATCGTCCGGCACGGCAGTCGATGCTCCCCTACTACAACCACCTGCCGCTGTCCAGCCGGAGCAGAGCATCCCGACCTTGGAAAAGAACAACAAGAGAGACGCGATGGAGCAGTGTGGCGCGAAGATGGAAGGTATGGATTGTAAAAATGTCTGGGTCTGGAAGATTGCAACTTGTCATGCTGTTTTTGCGACTCTACATCAGTTTGTATTGCATGACCAGCAAGAGGGGTGCGGTTTTTGCTACACGGACGGGGCATTTCTCATGCGGAAGGTACATCAGGAAGCCCTCTAAAAGTCTGCGATGCTAGGCCAAGCATTACGGGCATCATGGGTCATGAGAAATATGCATGACAAATCTTGCATTCTTCCAGACCCAGACACTTTTGCATTTGATAGAAGGCGCGAAGAACTTGAAAAGGGCGAAAACTGGAGCTGGTGGGACGACGGTATCGATGAAGAAAAGCGGAACCACGAAGAGTAGTGCTAGTTCGAAGAAGGCCACTGTGACGGAAGAAGAACCGGCGCAAGGAGATCTGGACTATACTAGCGGGATTTCCCTCGACCAGCAAGACAACATCGAGCCGGACCAAGGTCCGACCAAGCCTGCGCCAAAGATGAAAGTAGCTCCTGCGATGAAAAAAGCCACTTCTTCTGCGGGGGGTGGTAAATCAAAGACCGGGACGAAAGGCGCCGTCAAAGTAGAGGATTTTGAGCAGGAACTGATAGAGGAAAATAAAGAGCCGCAAGGAGCAACGACCGCCATGAAATCCTCGTCCTCCAAAGCCATGAAACAGACTGCAGAAACACCAGCTGCGAACAACAAGTCCAGCGGGGCTTCTTCTTCTACGACTTCGATGAAGCAGGAAGGAGCAGGAAAAGCAATGAAGGCTTCTGCTGCCGCGATGAAACAACAACCAGCCGCCAAATCGTCGGGAGCAAAGAAAGAAAATGGTGGCAGTAGTAGTTCTGCGAATGGTGCACAATCTTCATTTATCAAATGCAAATATGGCTGGGTCTGGAAATTTGTGATGCTGTTTGGCGAATCATGTGGACGCCTTCATTGACAGCCAAGCATGAGAAGTTTTGGAGTTGCTATAGTCTTGTCTATCTGCATGACAAACTGCGTTTCTGCATGACAGAGAAGTGTGGCTTTTGGGTGGCGTGCATGACAGACTTGAGAGCCATGCCCGACTAGCATGACAAACCTCGCAATCTCCCAGACCCAGACATATTTGCAGTTGATATCATCGTCGTCCATTGTGGCTGCAATGAAGAAAACCGCCACGACTGCAGCTGCATCGTCTTCTTCCTCGACAGCTGCGAAAATGAATACCAAAGCTGCAGCAGGCTCAAAGCCGTCGGACTCGAAGAAGTCGTCTGCGAAGAAAACCGGCACGCAACCTTCCGCGAAGAAGTCCGCTATGAAGGCAGCCCCAGCCCCTGCGAAAGCAGCGATGAAGTCGGCAAAAAGTACAACTACTGCCGCGACGCCGAAAGTAGCGAAAGCCAAGCCTAAAGCGAAAGTGGCGGCTGCGAAAGCGAAAGCGGGCGCAAAGGGCGGGAAAGGCAACACGGCAGGAACGGGGGGAAAGGCAGCGGCGATGAAAACCGCGATGAAAGGCAAAGCAGCTGCGCAACCGATGAAGAAGACACCCGTCATGAAATCGCTCGGGAAGAAGAAAAAGTAGCTGGCTTGGTGTTCTCTGCCACTCGTCCCACCGGGCAGCAGTTCGCCTTCCTTTCCGCGAAAAACGAAAAAATTTTGCTGTGAATATTTTTTTCAAAAAAAAAAAACGTCGGATATTAGAGTGGTGACGCTTCATCTTACCGTGACTCCGACGTACGAGGAAACAGCGTTCGCTGTGTATCACCCCAACACGTAATGGAAATAAGTATTAATGAGTAGCAGCTTAGAACTACGGAAGCGATATTTGATTACAACAAGCTCAATCACACTTACACGAAAAGTTAATGCAAGTCGCAAACTGCAAGTTTATCTCACACACAAATTGTCCTGTACCCCCGAAACCCGGGACTTCTGGTGGAGGCGCTTCCTAGCTTTACATTAGCCTGCGTTTTATCCTCCGGAGATTGTAAAAACTGCAAAATCAGTTATGAATGTAGCGAAATTGTTAGCGTAGCCGCGTCAGTTGTAGAACAAGCAAATTCTAAGTATCACAGAAAAAGAAACACTTTTTGCCGGCGGAAGATATGTATTCGGTTGGTCGAAAGAGGCTAGAGAGTCGCTCTCAAAAAGAATTCTAACACCAACTGCCTGCGCGTGTCCCGCCGCAGGAGTAGTGCCGACTCATTCCACCTGAGGACGCTTTTTTGTGTTCCTCCCATAGTCCTGCCATTCCATCTTTGTGCGCACATTGTTCTTCGAGCGAAGCGACATTTCTTGCAAACTCTTTCTTTTCCGTATCTGATGTGAGTATGGCGCCAGAGACGCAAAATTGCTTTGACAATTATGTACTATGAAGTAGTGCGACAAAAAAGAACGCGCGAAAAAAAGACCATTTCTGAACCGTGACCTATTACAGTGCTACATGCAAACATTATTTTTCAATCAGCACAGGAGAGTGATCTCCAAAAGGAATCAAATGAACAAAAATTCGTAGCAGTAGGAGTAGTTCGGAGCATATCCTTCTAGCTGCACAAGCAGTGGGATTAGTGTACTGACTACTTCGGCTACTTTTCAACTTCGTTTTAAATAAGTATCCACGCACAATTCTGTAGTAGTCCCTAGCCCGACCTTTGGAAAACTGAGGAAAAATTTGCATGGAATTGGTTCTCGAAGCCCTGGTGGAGCTTGATGTCTATAATTTTTGATGGAGTCGTCCTAGGCCGACTCGACGATTTACTTCTTCAAGGTTTCAAGCTCACGGGATACAAAAGGGCAGCAGGAAGTTTGCTCCAATATAATTTGTTTCCAGTAATACAAGCTCGGCAGTTTTCCAAAGATTGTGGGACACAGCCACACTAGTTTTTCCTCTCCACAAATTCGATTGCAGTAGAACGAAAGGATCAAGTCGTCGCGTTTGCACTTTTAAAGTGGCAGTACGACCTTTCAAAAAGGTTGGAAGCTAGAAACTATCCCCAGCAAAAAGGAATAATCACCAGTGGCGACGGGTCGGGCGAGCCAACGCGACCGTGTGGCGATGCAGCAAAGAGAGGCCTTTTCTGCTGCACGCAACAAGGCTGGGATGGATCCGGGTTTGACGAAGGTGTATTGCGGGGCGGGGAATACGTTGTTGGAGGTAAGAAGACGTTCTAGTGTTTTGATGCCTACAGCATGACAACTCAAGATGCGAGTTCAAAAACATATGCATATTTTTGATTGAAGAAAAGCATGACAAATTCATTTTCAAAATAGGACCACGATGACGTTTTGACGGAGGATGGAGTGCAGGCTTCGAAATCGATGTACGACAGGAAAAATTAGAATTCGGGGAAATAGAGGCGAGAAATTCGTTCCTATTGCATGATGATATAGCGAAGGATATTTGCTGCATAGTACCCTCAAAGCGTAAAACAAGAATGATTTGCCGAACTGAGATAGACCTTGCCAATTTCCAGCATTGCTTGTTTTTCCTCCATACTTTGCCGTGGAAATTCACAACGAAAACCGGCCCCAAAGGACCGCCGCCGGGCTTGGATCTGGAAACCGTAACCTTGGAAAAATTTTGTGTCTACATGTTGAAATTGAGTGTGTTGCTTGTGCTGTGCCTGCTGTGCAGAAGGACGGAATGTATAGCCCACTTTTTATGCGGAAGAAGTGAGTACCATCGTCTGCATGTTGACATCGAAATAGATGACAGAATGGCATTTCAATTTTGACCCGACACAAGATTTCGTCCGGATACGCCGAGGAAGAAGAAATGTGGTTCCACGCTGACGAAAAACCTGGCGCGACGATTAGCCTTCCGAATTTGGTATCAACCAGAAAAATGATGTTTCTTCCTTCCGAATTTCTCCGAGCGTTACATGCTGTGGTGAACACAGCCGCCGTCATTGATAACTTTTTTAAGATCAAAGGATCATTGCATGAAAGAACTAAACGCCTTATGGCATCTAGATTGTCCAAGCTCTACAGCGCTTGTCAGACGGTAGCTCAAGTTCTTCCCCTTCTCTATGTACTACGCCAGCAATAAGTTGTCCTTCTTTTGGTAAATTCGGCCCCTCTCATTTTGCAAGCCCATACCCGGAGTCCGTGAACGCCAACCCGATCGTGAATCTGCGCAAACGTTCGTCTGGAGAAGCGTTCGGCCGTCACCGCGATCGCCTGATGACTCGTAGCCAGGTATAAAGGGAGTATGAAAAAGTGAGGTTTTGTTTGTTTTGTGTGACTTTGCATGTGCCTTTAAACGACGACCGTGCTTGTTTGTAATGCACACATATGATGAAGTTGTAGAACTTGTAGATGAACTTAAAACACGACAAATCAGGACGGAAACTCCGACACGTCTTCTACCGGAAACCACGACACTGACGAGGACGATTTGGAGGCCCACGACATCATGCACTAGGGAATTGAACGCACCGTCACTGTTGATTTTGTGTTGCTGTACCAGGCATGATGAGGATACCGTAGTGAAGTTGTGATGCGTGAAGACTAGTAGTCTATTGTTTAGCGACCACTATAGCAACACAAAGTCTACTTTTTTCCCTCCACACTCGAGAAACCAAGGACATCCAAGTCGCGGACATGAAACAAATGCAAACTTCTATCGCAAGAAAAAGCTGTTTTACTGTAAGCTTGTGATGCATAGAATGGAACGCAGACGCATTCGTCTTGCTACGCATGCAAAGCATTTGGCTTTTAAATGTGTTGTCCCCTATTAAGCATGCATGACAAGTTTTCCTTGTCATGAAAGAGATGAACAAATTTGTGCGTAATACAAAAATTGCAAAATCCTTACAGTAAAACGCTTTTTTCCTACGATAAGTTCCGCCGGCGAAACGGATCCGTCTGGATGGCACTTGCTGCTTCTGTCCACGGAAAACGAGCAGAAAAAGAAAGCAAACTGGAACAAATCGGCAACTGGTACTTCGAACCTGCACCCAACCACCGTCGCTGGTGGCAAGAAGGGTAGTGTTGCCGGTGGGAAGGGCGGTGCCGAGCGGAGCCCGGCGTTGAACACGAACGGCACAACAGCGCAGAAGATGAATAACAACCAAAACCACAAGAACGGCTCCTCGAAAACGACTGCAAACGGTGATCACCAAGCGGCGACGCTGAAAAACGGAAAGACATCGGGGAAGAATGGCCAACATCGGCACGCGTCGACTGCGGGCACGGCTGGCGAACGGAACCACGGCAACCGCAAGGGGTTTCTGGCGCACGGGAACAGCTCTAACACGACCTCCAACGGAATGATGAATAACAAACCCTCCACGGCAAATGGAGCTGCGTCGCAGAATAGCAAGAACCAGCATCAGAAAGTGAACAAGCACTCGGCCCTGCCGATCACCGATGCGAAGACCGCCAAGCGCATGACAGAGGAGAAACTGTTTGACGACGACGCTGACTACTCGCAGAAGCTGCTGATCCATGACGAACAGCAGGTGGGTGGGAAGCACGAGAAAGGAGAGGGGGACCACGGAAATAACAATCCGAACAACCAGATGATCACGTTGCCCAACCTATCCTATGTAAAAACGTCCCCACCCCAGAGTTGTCATGCAAATGCGCAATGACAGGAACATTTGTAATGCGCAGCTCCATGATGAGAGGCATTTCCAGTCGTGTTTTGGAATTTGTAATGCTGTAAAGAGCATGAGAAAATGGCTTTCTCATGCGGCGTCACTTGCCAACCAGCATTACACTGCAGAGGGAAATTTGTCGTGCACAGCTCCCAAAACTTGGAGACTTGTGTTGCTAGATTCCCAACTTGACTAGGGGGTGGGGACGTTTTTCCTTTCGATACAACCCATTCGGCATCACCGGGAGTACCACTTTTGCGGCGCTCCAGGAGGGCGACATGACCACCCCGTTCGCGGTGCAGACCCCCAGTCCGGCGTTTTTTGCGGCGCAGATGCAAGGGTTTCTGCAGCAGCCGGAAGGCGTGGTGACGCAGGCAGGCGCAGGCGTCATGAATCCGGGTACGGGAGGTATTCTGCAGTATGGATTGACGTCGTTTTTTTGCTCCCGAATTCCTTGTACTTAGCACCTTATTGCATTTACCAGTAATTCTACCAGACAATTATCTCTGATACCACAATTACATCGCTATTCGCTAATATCAAAATCCTTATCAGCTCCGTTTCAGCAACCCGGTGCCGCTCCGGCCGCGTTTATGGACCCATTTTACGGACCCACCGGTTTTTTCCAGCCAATCGGCGCTTCCGAGCTGCTGCAGATCGGGAACTTCCCGATGATGGCCGGAGGAGGCAACCTGGCCTACGGTCCCTCCGCGATGGGGTTCGGTGCGGACTTTGCCGCGATGCAGATGCCGATGGCGATGCCCGGTATGCCGTTTGGGTTTCACCCCGCGCAGATGGGCGTGCCCGTGAACCAGGTACCGATGGGCACTATGCCGACTGTTCCGACGAACGCGGGCGCGCAGACTGCGAATCCGCAGAAACCTTCCTCCCGTGCTGACGGAAGTCAGAATATGGAGTCGCATTCGTGAAGATTTGCGTTCATTCGGCTAGGGAACGGGCAAAGCGGTTGTTTGTCATGCTCAACCATGATGCTCCTTCCAAATCCATTTAAACGCGCCTTTGGTGTTTTGATGAGGCCAGCATCAGGATTAGCATTTCTGATAAACGTTTTTGCTTTGTCGACCTAGTCCCCTTGATCGTTTCCATTTTCCCTCCTCATACCAGAAGCACTGCCCGCCCCGACAACCGGCGGCTCCGCTCCGCAGCATGACTCCTCGATGAAGATGATCGCGGACGAAATCCAGTCCATGGCGAAACAGCTGGAACACACCAAGGACACGACCCCGGCCGGGAAGGAAATTTTGCAGAAGTGCAAGGATTTGCTGAAGAAAGCCCAAACTGCCGACGAGGCGATCAAGATCGCGGAATCGAACATGGAGCCATTGCAGGTACTGCTGGGCGAGCATCAACAAAGCGTGTTCGACACCGCGAATTTGACGTCGTCGTATCGTGAGAAAAAACTGTCTCAGTCTAAAATTGTGATGCACAACTTCCTTGAGAAGATTTTTTGTCATGCTGAACATGCAAGAAGGTCGTCTTTCCTATGTGTTTTCCCTGGTGTCTGACGCATCGCAGGTTTTCCGTTTCATGCTGAGTCTGCAAAGGTTTGAGACAGATGGTTTTTTCTTGCGATACCTCGGAGCAGTTGTTCAATCTGGGAGCGGTATCGAAGAGAAAAAAGCTCGGGTGCCACATTTGTAATGCATAGAATCAATTATTCACAGAAAGATTTCTCAAGGGGATCGCGCATAGCACGCCGTTTAAGATACGCAATACAGATTTTCCTGTGTCTTGATTTTTGCATTGCAAATGAGTATCATGCGCTAGCTTTTTTCTTTGGGATAAGTGGGTGGAGATCCCTCGATGCAGATGCTATTCAACAAAAGAACGTTGTAGGTGTAACTTTTTTGCAGAAACAGCATTACAAATCTGTCTGGCATGGCAACAAAAACCTGTCACGCACAGATAGTACGTGAAAATGCACTTGAATGGGCCCTGCCATGCATGTCCCGCATGTTGCGCATCACAAAGTTACACCTAAAGTTGTTTTTTTGTTGGATAGATGCCGAACGCGGACCAGTACTTTGCTGCCTTCGACTACCAAAAGAAAAAAGTGCTACAATCACACATTGTGTTACGAGACAAGAAGTAAGAGAGACAAGTTCTGTCATGCCGGATAAGTAAGTATCCACCTCAGAAAACTCGGTTTAGTATGCGTGTTTTTCCTTATGATCTCTGCATTACAGGTTTTCTCCGTCATGATACCAAGCCACTTTGTGTTGCTAAAGTTACAACAAGTGTGTAAAAACTCGAACACTTTTTTCGTACCATATCGACAAGGAACATGCCAAGACGCTGTTGGAGTTCGACTACCCGGCGCCGCACGCCCCACCGAACCGTCCGCCGCCGCCCCCGCCGCCGGGCGGTTTCAAGAAGAAGCGGTTGTCGGACCAGATCTCTTGCGCAGAGCAGGATGTGGAGATGAATTATCGGCGCACCTCGATCAACGAGGAAACGGTGTCGCTGGCCAGTCCGGACCTGGAGAACATGGAGAAAAACCTGCTACTAAACCAGCAACTGGAGAAGGAATTCGTCACTGCGAGTCCGGTATCAAATGCAAAAATGTCTGGGTCTGGAAGGTTACAAGGTTTGTCATGCATATTTTGCATGACCCAGGATTGTCTGTAATGCGTGATCTAGCATCACATATTTTTAGAGGCCTTCCTGATGCCTATCCCGCATGACAAATGCCCTCCCTGCGTAGCACAAACTGGGCGTCTCGTCTTGCTGGCCATGCAATACAGATTTTTTTAGGAGTCCAAAGTTAGCATCACAAGTTCCAACCTTACAGACCCAGACATATTTGCAATGCATATCCGGAAGAGAGGAACGTGGAAATTGCGGGCTTGAGCAATAATTTCCCGCAAGCTGGTGGTCATCAGCAACGTGCTGCTGTCGCGGGGAACAGTATGGCGGGACAAGGTAATAACTCTTCAACTCATTTTGGTAAAGGTTTGTCGTTTGAAATTTGTCATGCGCTAGTTTCGTGCATCGATAGATTTAGATCGGAAGATGAGGATTGGTTCTCTGTGAGCCCAGTCCTACGTTCTCTTTGTTATCCAAATTCGTAATTCGTGAAAAACGACTTTTCGGCTCTCCAGACACGACCGGAATGTTTAATCAAGCCCCGATGGACCTGGCCGCTTTGTACCATCCGCCACTGTACTACTTTGCTCCGTACTGCGACCCGTTTCAGGTTCCGCCGCCGGGATTGGGAATGGGATTGTATTTCTTGCTGTTGGTTTAGGTTTTTACTCTACAATGAGTACCATTCTAAAAAATCGATCTTGTCATGCATATATTGCAAAAAAAATTTGAAAACTCCTTCACGGAGCAATGGGAAGAATCATCCGACTTTCAGGCTCCACCCAGCGAGCGCTCCTGCCACCTCGTTTCCGTTCTTGAATGCCGCGGGTGTGGTGCCCCCGACGGCCTTCAACCCGGCCGGTGCTGCTTTTGGCACTGCTCCGGCAGGGATGTACGGAGTTGGCGCTCAAGCGGCCCCAGGTGCCCCCGGAAGTAACATGTCTTCCGCGCAGCAGCCGAAACAAGCGACATTGGCTCAACAACATCTGGCTTCCACTTCCCACCAAGAACCAGCTTCCGCAGCTACGGATCATCTCCATCAACACCAGCAGTTTATGGCGAGCCAGCTGCCAGGTGCAACAGGTACAACGATGAACGGAAACAATGACAGCAGCATGAGCGGCAATCCTTTCCATGGATCTGTGGGGCTGACCAACAACGCGACTACTGCTGGCACGATGAACTACGGAAATTTGCACAACACCACTTCTGGTTCCATCGGCACGATGGGCTTGACCAAATCTGGTTTGGCAAACTACAACGCGAACCACTATCACCAGCACAACTCCCACAACATGTTGCACGGTCAGCACGCGAACGGCTATGGATCGACGAGCACCTCCGCCGGGTTGGAAAAGCAACAAAGTATTCATTTGGGCGGGCCGAACTCGAACAATCGCTCGACGGCCACCGCGAGCGGAATGTTAAGCGGAGGACCGTCTGCGGCCCCGCAGAGCGCTTCCGCAATGGCGATCGGGATGTTGAACAATGCGGGACAGCATCAGCATCTCAGCTCGCAAATGCACATGCCATCGTCGACGAACAACAATAATTACGCCAGCAAGGATAGCATGACTATGCAGCAGCAGCAGGGTGGCAGCAAGTTACCCAACGGGAACGGTTCTCCGACGCAGCGCATGGAGCAGCAGCTGGCTGCCCAAGATCGTGGTGCCAGTGCGCAGCAATTGGTGCAGGAAAAGTGGTACGAGGTGAAGCGGCGCAACTACCAGAACGACCCGGGTCCGGGTGTACCAGCCGAGCCGCACATGTTCATCGATCCGACCAAGCCTCGGAAGCAGTACTTTTTCTGTTTTATAGGATGCTCTCGACTGCCCTCCTCACGTCTGATAGATCGGAGTGTACTGAAGCGTTGCGACCCTGACGGGAGGTGACATTTTTTGTCATGGACAATAATAAATCATTTCTTTGCGACAAATGAAACAAATCGTATCAGGTTCGAGGATTATTATTACGACACGAAGCAGGATTTCATTGACTACCCCAAAACCTTCGACTACATCATCAAGCACTACTCGAAGCGGATTAACTCCTACGGGATCGACGAGAAGCTGCTGAACGACGTGATTGTGCAGTTGATGAAGCCCCTGGAAACCGACCGCCCGTTCGAGGCCTTCAACCTGGTGTGGCATTTTCTGAAGTGGTTGCGCCAGATGCAGGTGGAGATCAAAACCAAACTGTTCACCCTCATCATTCGCAGCTTCGAAAAGTGCCATGAACCGGCCAAGTACGTGGGGGCCATGCTGGACATCTACAAGCGCTTGCCGGCGCGGAACTCGTACTGGCTTGTTTGCTGCATAATTCTCGGCAGTTGTACTTGGGATGAAAAAACGACGACTACATTGTATGGGATTTTTCTGTTGTGACGTCGAATTTGTCTTGATAGTGAGGAAAGTAGCAGTCTCTTTCCCAAACAAAATTTAGGACTTTGCAAAAAATAAATGTACACAAAACTATCCAGCCATGCTACCGCCGCGATGATCAAGGCACATGGTGTAGCGCAGGATGTGGGACAGTGCGTGGAGTACCTGAAACAGTACAAGATGTTGCCGAAGCACGATTCTTATCAACTGCAAATTTGTCTGTGTCTGGAGGGTTGCAGCTTGTGATGCTGTTTTTGGATTCCAAAAAAATCTGTATTGCATGACAACCAAGAGGCGCCCAGTTTGTGCCACTCGTGGACGGCATTTCTCATGCGGAATAGGCATTAGGAAGCCCCCTAAAAATCTGTGACGCTATGGCATGCATTACACACATCATGGGCCACGCAAAATATGCATGACAAACATGGCGATCTTCCAGACCCAGATATATTTGCATTTGATAACTCTAACAAGCGCTTCAACTTTGTCGTGTACCAGGCCGCTTTGGACGCTTCTATTCTGCACCTGCGGAACGTACTTTTTTTACTTGCGGTTATTTCTCCTGTGCTGTAATGGACAGCGACAGAAACATCTCGTGAGCGAGAAAAGCTTGCAGATTGATAGATGAGTACTTATGACAAAACGCGATCAATATACTCCTTAATGAAAAATACAGAAACACCGTCGCTTGGAGGCCATGGCGCGGTTATTCATCTACGAGGAGTATGTGTCACAGTGCGATTATCAAAAAGAATGCCGGTGATCGTTCTTGCTTTATCGCAAGAACACTTATTTCTGTTTCACCATGCATGCTTTTTTGTCATGCGAACGCGAAGCATCTGATTTGAGTGGCAGTGACCTACAGGCATGACAAAAAGAAGTGGGATGTGTGTTGTAGCGCTAAATCAAAACGATTCTCTACCCCTGGATACCCCCGAGCCGATGAGCCGGCGAAAGATCGACCCGACGCGCAACCCCCGGCAGACGCACCCGCACTTGTACTACAACTACCATTCTTCGGACCAGTGACCACCAAGGTTAAGAAAACTTGTAAAAATAGTATACTTTGTAAGAAAGAAGTTGCAAGATAGTTGTTTTCATGCTGCTCATACAAACTGTCCATGTTTCGGAGCTCTCGTCGCTGCAGCCATGAATATCTGTGCGCACTTCGGCTTCTATTCATGCTTCTGAGAGTCTTGTAGCATCATGTTGATAGTGCATTTGTGAGCAATGAATAATATTCGAAGAATCTGGTGCAACAATTGCTTATTGGGGTAAAGTTTCAACGTTCTACATGCAATATTTGACTTTTTTTGTCCTGAGAAAGTGGCTCAGGATAGTAACCTTTATTTGTTTGTTTCATAAAGATTTTCTCATTTCGCAATTTCAAGTTCAACAGCAGTCAAGGAAATTTTGTTTGTCAAACAAGTAATTAATTAATAGCTACTAACTAATTATCCTTTATCTACAGCGATATGGTTTTTCCGGTTTAGCTTTGCAAAGCATCCAATTAATAATTTGCAATGTTTCTACATGATCTTTTTTTGATACCTAATGACAAAAGCAGATGGTGGAGCTATTCTCAATTGAGGTCGTGCTAGATCTTTGCATTTGTGTTTCGGCAATCTAAGTGTGATGCGCATGCACGCTAGGTTCCATGAACACCCTAAAAATCTCTGGTTTTCGCAAAATGCGGTCCTAGTTGTCGAATGTCAGTCGTGATAGCGAAGCATCATTTTTCTCAAGGCACGTGCGCGTGCTGGAAATTTTATAAAGACTTATTTCTCCCAGTACTAGACTTTACCAATATTTCCATCCTCACATTTTTCACTGACCATATTCACGCATGAGAATTCTCGCAAGAGCATAGCAAGCTTCAGTTTGCAGTATACGTCATGTCTACTCTTCATACTTTAATTCTAAACGGATTTGTTGCACAGGAAGTTTCCGGATGTCAACAGGCGTCAGAGCATTCTTTTCTAGATTCGGCAGCGGAGCAGGAGGAAAATCCTTTTTGCTGCACTAGCAGGGAAAGCCGCAAGATTCGTGAACACATTGAGTGTCCAGTTGCTTTCTCCGCGGCGAAGCAAAGACGCAATCGTTACAACATCCAGAGTTTCACTTTTTCACCATTTTTCGTTCTGGAGAATGGAGTGGCACACATTTATCTTCATTTAAATGCACCATCGCCTGAAGTCGAGGGGCATGCAAATACCTCTCGCCGGTGGGTTTCAAAATTATCAGCATCTGTGACCATGGAATCCATCGTCGTCTCGATATTTCATGGCATCTCTAATTTGCATCCGCATTATTTTCAGGCCTAAGAAATTGGGTCTAATTAGTTTTCGAGGAATTGCGTTGGGTAGAAAGAAATTTCATGCCCACGCTAGTTCTATTGTTGCTGCGAAAAACAAAGTCTTGCATTGCAGCACATTTCTCTGTTGTCTGTCAAAAGCAAAATCGCCCTCGAGCCAATTCCTCTGTTTCCCTTCTTTTCTCTGTGCTACCGTACTTTACCAAGTAATAGTAGTATTCAAGAACAAGATGCAATTTTGTTTTTTCGAACGCTATGATCAAGCGTATGTTTTATTTGCTTTTCGCAGAGTCACTGCACAAACGGAGTGCCACAAAAGAAATGCTGTGGGTACGGACTTTTGTTGTAATCCTGCAGCTGCACTTCTAGTATACACGATCACTTTACACTTGCCATCATTTTCTATTTTACCCGCAGACGGAACAAAATTGCTTTTTCTGAGCACGAGTATCTCGCTTCACCAAGTTAGTTTGAATAATTACAGGGGTAAGTACGCAACAAAAACTACAAACAGCATTTTGATCTATTTTTGAGACGAATATTTATTCATGGATGAAGCCAGTACTTAGAAATATTTCAAGAATAATTGAGGACGAGGATGCGGTATTTCGAGACACGATTGTAGTCTGCGATGCCGTGTGTAATTAGAATCCGTCAAGCAAAGCTGCTCCATTGGACAGAAATTTATCGCGCTCCCACTTTGGTACGAGGATGAGAGGACAAGTATTGAAGTAAACTACTTGGTGATACGTGCAGCACGAAAAAACACAAGGAGCAAATTGCCTCAAGTACGAGACTGTCTCAAACAATCATAATCTTCAACTTCGGCTTGAAACTGGTAATTTTTCCGAAAATGCAGCATAGTTTTTTTACATGATGGATAAAAATACAACTCGCAAGGCAAACAGACACCTTCGTCGGTAAGATCCGCGCAAGGAGGTCGTCCTGTTGCGGTGGGTGCCAGTACGAAAGTTCTTGTCTCTGATTTCTGATCTGCAGTGTTCCTGCTTCTATTGTGGTTTTCTGGTTTACGTGTCCGGAGCATTGCAACTGCAATGTGGAAAGAACAGCTGCGGTCGCAACTCGTTTTTTCGGCTTCCCTCTGCCCCTGCTTACTTAGACGAACGATTGCTCGCGCAGCGCACTTCTCACCGAGGAAGCCAGCGGGTCGTGGCACTTTTCTTTGAGTCAAAATATGATGATAGTACGTTGTGGCCACTCGTAAGTAATTGATACGGCTGCTTCTATAGCTCATGTGCCAATAAAGCTCCGCTCGCTCCCACTCGTGGTGCAGGATGGCGCTGAGTAACGGACTTTCCATCTTCCACCAGAAGGTCCTGAAAGAGCAGGATGTCAGCTCGATTTGCAGTGACCTGCAGCGGGACGAGACTTTCTGGCTGGCGAAGAAGCACGCCCAGGAGAAGCTGCTGGCGCAGGTGTACAGGCACGAGCCTTTTCGTGGAAATTGGTTTTCAGCAAGCAGTTCGGGGGCGGAGGCAGCGAATCCGAAGCAGAAACCCGAAGACAATTCCTCCGGCGATGTCACCATGGCAGAGATAAAGAAAATGGACTCGCAGGCACTGGTCGCACCCGCACTGCCGCTGATTCGAAACAAGGTGCGGAATTTCACGTACACCAAAATGATGCGGCTCAACAAGGACCGCCACGTGTACCGGAACATCTTTTGCCCGGAATATCCGATCCCACCAAGTATGGGGTGAGAAAGAACTACCCTTCGCAGTAGTTGGAGCGTCTGTGTGGTCTTTTTCTATGTAGGAAAGTTGCGAATAGTAAGTACCGGGCGATTTCCCTCTACGGGAAGCATTTGTCAATAATCGTGCAAAAATAACGAGGTTGTAAGCCTTCTAGTTCTACATACAAGTATAACTATTTTCGCGACTCGAATTCTTGCGTTGGGCCTTTATTTTCTCTGATATCGATCGGGAATAATTCCATACTGCATCCCTGCAGCCTGAACGTGATCGAAATTCTGTACCAGCAGTGGAGCGAAACCCTACTGCGGGAGCTGAAGGCGCTTGCGCAGGAGCAAAAGCAGCCGTTCTTCCGCGATTTGACCATTGCGAGCACCAGCAGCGCCGATGTGAAGCCCGGAAACAATTCGTCGTTCCTGAACAACAGCAATTTATCCGATCGAACGTCTGATCAGCAGACCCCGAGTTCTGTGATGGAGAACGTGAACGCGATTTCGCAGATGTCCAAAACCGACGACCTGCCGCCAACCCTGAAGGCGCAGACGGTTGCGAACCTGTTTTCCTCGACGGACGACCAAGAAGTCTGCGTCAAGACGCGGTACGTCGCGGAGCTCAAAGACTTGTTTCACATGCTGACGAACCGCGGGCCGCCGCATACCGATCTGCACTGGCTGCACCTGCCGGCGCAGCTGTACGTACCGTCGTTCTCGGATTTGAGGAAAAACTTCGCGGAACTAATGCCCGGAACGAATTGTGCTGATGAAGCAGGCAATTTGAGCAGCTCCATGGCCGCGAGTAGGATAAATCCGCTGATAAATCTTGGGGCAGACGATTTCCCGGTAAAGTTCTTGAATGTTTGCTTGTTGTGTCGCACGATAATTCTTTCTGTTGGAAACTACAGGAATGTGTCATGCACTGGTTGCAAGAAGTGATGGCTTTATCTCAAAAAAAAAAATCAAATCAAACCTCAGTACCGTAATCCATTGTTTAGCGATTTGGATGACGAGATCGCGGCCTGTGCCGGGGGCGGCGGAAGCGGTCTCTCAAAACTGCAGCAGGAAAATGAGTACATCGAGAACGCCATATCGCAGAAGTACGCGGAGGCTCAGGAGCTGCTTCATCCGACGGAAAGCAGCGCAAATCAGGGCGGGCTGTCCTCCCCAAGCAAAAAATCCTCGTCCTCAAGCTATCGAAGAAAAAAAAGGGTTTTGAGTCAGAATTGGAATCGTGTAGTGCTGTCTAGAAGCCAAAGTAACAGTGACGTGTAGAAGTAGATGCATCCCATGGATCCTGTTACTGGGTCGGTTCTGTGAAGACCACTCAAATAAATCTCTTGCCTTGGCTCAAACCCCTTCGTCCTAATACCCGCTCGAAGCCTTCGTCCGGCACAAGTTCACAACCAGCGACGAGCAACTACGCTGTTGACTTCCTCAAATTCTCCCGCACTGGTTGTCCCGCGGGCCTGCGCTACAAGCTTTGGAAGAACGCCCTGTTGCCGATTCCGGAAGAGTTCACGCGGAAGAAAAACTGGGTGAAAAACATCGCGCGATCCTTGCTGAAGCACACGGAGTGGGTGGTCGACGACGTGCTGAAGCTGGACGTCAGTGAGAACGGCGGATCCGACCCGCATTTTTTTCCCTTTGACGAGCTGATGGAAAATTTGGTGAAAGTCCTAACCCGCGACCCGTCTGTGTTCGACGACTGTGTGGTGACGCCCCAAATTCCGTTCCTGGCACCGACGACGCATCTGTTGCCTTGCTACAAGCCGGAAAGCTTCAGCAATTCGGCGAGCAGTTACGCAGCCTCCTCCTCGTCCACGGGCAGTTTTCACCACACATCAACTTCTTCCAACTACCGCGAGAAATCCAAAGTGGAACAGGAACAGAGCAAGCTGCAAAAAATCCCCCCCTCCGGTATCGTGCCGTTCCAGGGGTTTTCCGCGTACGCGGCGCCGTTCTGCTACCTGTCGATGAAGATGGAGGACGTGTACCCGCTGTACCAGGCCTTCTACTGTCGGCCCTGAACGAAATAACCTATGGCCAGCAAAGCTTAGACGTTTTATGCCGTGCGTGTCGCTCCATGCGGATGAGCATGAGTGGCGTGGCGCCGGCCAGGTGGCAGCGGTGAAAATCCTTCCAGACGACCGTCTTGGGCGATTGGGCCTTGAGTAAGCGACCCCCTTCTGTCTCGCGCACCACCAGAATGCGCGTTGCGCCTCTTCCCCGGATCGCGTCGCTGCTCGTTGCGCGCTAGCATTGCGCAACAGAAAGCCAGGAGAGTCTGGCACACCAAAATTGCTCCGGGCCACTGGCTCAAGCTGTGCTGCGCAGGAGGGGCGGCGGCTGTAAGTCGCCTGAGTGCTTAGGGCCATTGGGGCCGAAGTCGCATCCTGCTCTGCGGGGGTGAAGGGATCAGTGTAGAGGCGTGCAGCGCAGGCGGGCGCAGTGTCAAGTAAAGGCAATCGCTTCTCCTTGTGTGTAGGAGTTGGTGGGGAAGGCGGAGGAAAAGGCGGGTAGGAAGTAGCGGCTTCGCCGAGGACGCGCACTTTTTGACTAGGTGGCGACGGCGAGGACGCGCACTTTCTTTCTTGCCCACGGGGGCCTGGTAGGCAACTCGCGGGGGAGACCGTGCAGAAGCGGACCTGTTGCGCTTCACCCATGCGTTGCCTGCTTGTTTCCGCGGCGCGCGGGCGTTTGAGCCGGGTTTGGTATCCTGGCGGGCACAAGGGGGGGCCTGCCCGTCTTCGTGCCGTGCCTCGTTTTCGGCCCGGGCCCGAGACAGCTGCGTGCGGCGCAGCTGTGGCTACAGCTTTTCGAAGCCTCGCGAGCCATCTTTGCGAAGTGGCAGCCCGCGTCTTTTCGAGTGTTCCTCCAGCGCCAGAAACCGCAAAAGCCCGGCGCGGGCCCAGTTGAAAAGCTGGGCACCGCATCAGCCGCCGCACCTCCGCGCGGCCCTCGGCGTAGGGAGAACCGTTTAGCTTGGTCGGCGTCGGGCCGACGGGGGCGCAGCGCTAGCTTAAGTAGTTAGGGTTGTGCAGTGGCCTGGCGCGATATGCCAAACAGTCACCACCTGGGAGAAGAGTCAACACGCGACAGATGACCGCCTGATAGCTCTAGCACTTGGAAAGTTGGAATGCGGAAGTGCCCTGCTGCCCATAGCGAAACCAGTTTTATTTTGTTTGGGGGCGTTTATTGTGTTATATCGTGTACCCGCTGTACCAGGCCTTCTACTGTCGGCACTTGTGCAAGCTCCACACCATCAGCATGGAGCGCGGGACGTTGCTCCCACTGCTTTCTCTGTTCGAAACGCTGTTTTGCTTCGCCTGCCCCTTCGCGGCGCACAACCTGATGAAAATCGGGAGCGCGAGCTGTACTGCAGGGCAAGGTGGGCAGCATGGGGCACACAACAGCAGCACCGCAAGCAATTCGCGGAACAACCCAAACGTTACGCACGCACCAACGGCTGCCGAACTCCACCAAGCCTCCGCACTGGCGCTGAAAATCGTGCTTCCTTGGATAGTGAAGGGCTTCGTGGGATTTTTGCACACGGACGAGGTGTTGTACCTGTGGGATCGGGTATGCAAATGAGGAAAAATTTGGGTGTATTTTCGACATGATCATTCTGTGATGCAGAGCGGAGTCATCTGTCATGGAAATGTTGCCTTGTGGAAATCTTTGCTCTAGCGGCAAGAGCACTGTGAAGAGTAGACCCTCTGAAAGCATAATGAGGGAGGTGCTCGCCGACCTTCTCGTACTACAGCGACTGACTCGATGAAGTGAACAACGCATGACAAATTCTCCTTCCATAGCTCGTTCTCGGGTACGAATCAACGGAAATCTTCGCGGTACTCGCAGCTGCAATCTTCGCTTTCAAGGAGAAACTCATTGTGAATGCAAAGTCTCTGGAAGACATCGAAGTCATTTTCGCCGACGTCAGTCATTTGAAGGTTCTGCCGTTGATACAAAACTTCTTGTGGCCGGACGAGTAGAGTAGATCGCTGTCCTCTATACGAGTACTTATCATCTGTTCTTACACGCATTTGCCAAGTTGTCTTTTGTTCTGTGGTTCTTGTTGACTCAAAAGACCCAGTCCAGAGTCGTGTAGAAACACGCATCAGTTGGTGTGCAAAGCTCTGCGCACTGCCACGTGTAATGGTTCTACAAGCGGTCTGATTTTGTGTTCCTTAGACATCACTAGTCTGGCACAACGAACTGCTTTCGCCATGCGAAGCGACTTCTCAAACCCCCGGGCACACCTTAGATATAGTAAAGGTGCGCAAGCACATTCTCGCAAGGGCGACCGATTTTTTTTTTTGCAGATAGATCGAATTTCAGCTTGACGCTTTTGCCAAAAATGTACACTTTTGTGGCTTCGGAGCCTCTTTAGCGAGGAAAAACAAAATGACGGCGTATTTGCTCCGTCTCGTAGTCGCCTCTTGGCAGTGCTGGCAGGTCAGTACTTTTCTGGCCCATATCGTGGTCTTTGCTTCCGCCGAGGAATTTTCCGCGATGCCAACTCCTGCACTACGTGCAGACTTGTTCATTAAAAATCCCGCCCAAGGAGGGGAGCAAACAGCTCAAGGAAAAGCATTATTGGCTTTTGAGCAACTGGCCCGACAGTATGAGCGCGACTATCCGCGAACGAATTTGACAAAGGTGTATGTCGGCACTAGGAAGAACAGCGCGAATATTCGCGGTCTGTTTGCCAGGGTGAAGATCGAAAAGAACGACATTATTGCCGTTATCCCGCAAGATTTGCTGTTTCCTTGCCCCGCACGGAGCGTGCCGTCCTGCGTTCACGGTTTTGCGGAAACGCTCCTGGCAGCAGACGAGCTACGAAAAAACACACCTGACGCCGCGGGGGAGCATACGACAGCAGCGGATGGAGATACGCTCTCGGTGCTCGGACATGAAGAGAAGTGCTTCGACATTGAAGACACCGGTGGCGTCACCTCAACATCTGCAGTGCCCACTGAAGATCCCCAGAAGACAAATGGTACGGCGCAAATGAATTCCACGCAACCGCCGGCACTGATCGCCTCGTCTGCCTGCAAACGTAAATCAGCTACGAAGCAAGACAAAACCTCGTTTCTGGACTACGCGAACTTTTTACCATCGCTGGAAGAGTTTCAAGGCCTGTGGCGGCTTCCCGAGTCGATCCTGAAGAACATCCAGTCCTTCTCGGTCACTTTTGCGCAGGCGCTCGATCGACAGAAGAACATGGCGAGGCAGAAATACGAAAAGCAAGACGCCTCTTCTTCTGTGGCGGGACCCCGACCGCATTCGGAGCGGCAAGACATTCCGATGCCGGACGACGCACTGTTGCGTACGACGAGAACTGTTTTGCCCCATTTTCGTAGTAGTTTGTCCGAGTCTTCCGTCTTTGCCTGCCCATGTACGGCATGCAACGCCTGAAATCTGGAGACGTAGGGGCCTACGAATCAGTATGGAGCAGCGCATGTGTGAGGATGAATGACTATGCTGCAAATTGTCAACCTCTCCGAAAAACTTGTTCCGTAGACCACTTCTGTATGGCAGACGTCAGCACTTCATTCTTAGAAGGGCCAAACTTTTCTTTTGCATACAACGCGCTCACATCCTCCTAGACCAGCGCGCCATCCCGATGTTTTCCGAGCGCAACAAAGTCGCCATCATCCCCTTCATCGACATGGCCAATCATGACCTCCATCACACCAATGCGGAGTGGGCGGGTTTCGAGGCGACGAGGAGTAATCCGATCGGTGCCGAGGCCGCGCGGGCAACGCAAACCATATTGCCTGGGGAGGAGATACTGTTCAACTACTTTGCACCGAAAACGTTCACTGAGCAGCAGCGAATCAAGGCGGGACTGCAACTGAGTAGAAAGCTAATAACGCCGGAATCCTTCCAAAGCGGCAACTCCGGATCGCAAAACACCGAGAACGAGTTACTTGCCACGACGTTCAGCTTCTGCGATCCTGCATTGACCGGCAAAACCGATGTAGGATTGACCAGAAGCCGGTGTGAAGCCTGGCGACAGCGAATGGAACCGTATCGGAAAATGCTGGAGACCCGCTTCTGGCCACAGCTGAATTTGATTAAGTGTCTGCATGCAGATCTGTGTGCGCATGCAGAACTCTTTTAGCAGCTGACTTGTTTGTCTGCAGATTCTGAGAAGACCAGTTTTTCAGTCGAAGCACTGCAGTCCTAGGGAAAAATTATAGTGAGCGTGCGCTTTGTTGTTACAAGCGTCGGATCTTTTGCACTGTAGAAAAATTCCAAGATACTTGCAAAACACAAATAGTATCAACTCCCCACGTCGAAAAGCGTGTTTATTTTCCTGCTCCGAAACAAGTGTCTTGCTGAGGACCTCTTTGTGGGCAACGTCAGAATCTTTCAAAGTTTCCTCGTTGGGGGCCACTGTTTTGCCCTCCGGTTTTTCGTAGAACACCTCATTTCGGCGGCTACTCGCACCGCTTCCCTGTTTTCGTCTGATTGTTCGTGGGGCGTACGCTTCTGATTGTTCGTGGGGCGTACGCTTCTGGAAGAACCCACTTGCCACAAACTCGTCTTCAGAACATAGACAGTACTGAAGTCGCAGACACAGGCTGTAGATATCACACGACCTGCATTTGAGTACAGGCACGCCAATAAACAATGAAAAAATTTCTCGAAAGCATCACTATTGCGATCCAGATTCAGAATCTCTTTGCGTTGTTTCTCCTCTACAATAAGCATCGGGACAGATTGTTGTTGTTGTTGGTAATGGATACACGGAATCCGGGCGAAGGTTTTCTTCTCACGTGTGTGCTAGCGCTATTTCAATAAAAATACCAGTTAGAGTGAGCCACTTTGAGCTCTTTCTTGAGAAAAACAGAACTTCCTGGTAGAACGAAAATGAAAAAGCTTTGCTGCTAAAAAAGTTGAAATCGACAGGGAAAGTCTAAATGTTGAAAAGCCTTGCTTGGTAGTTGAAAGCTAAACGAGAAAACAGAGGAAGGTTCGCGAAAGAGAAAAGTAAAAGCGGTCGCAGAGACTAACAAACGTGTTTTTGAGAAAAGATGCCTCTGTGGAAAGAGATTCCTGACTTAAAGTGCTGCTGTTGTCGAAAGTTTTGTTTTTTGTTTTTACTTTTTTTGAAGGTTTGCTACTGCCCACCTGGCTGTGGGTTACGTGTGCTGCAGAGCCTCGAAAGGTCTGTCTTACGCCGAAACTCAAGTTTTTTCTTTGTTACTTTTGATGAAAGGATCAGTATTCTTTTTTGAATGTGAAAGCGTTGCTTTGAGAAAACAGAAAAACGACCGAGAAGTGCGCGACCAGTAGTTTTTATTTTAGCCTGCCGAGGGGCTCGAAGTAGAACTATCTGTTGTGAAAATAGTAGCAGATTGTTGTGAAAATAGTAGAGGCGTCTGCATTTTTCCGCCTGCAAAAATCCGACATTCACCCACTTTTGAATTTGTCGCATTGATTCACGATCATCACTCGATCAGTTCTCATTCTCAAGTTCTCATCCTCGATTGAATTCTCCATATCCAGTCCTCGGGCAGGGTTTGGGGGTATCGGCGGACTCAGGGCGTCTTTTGTGTCGGGTCTTGCTTTCGAAGATCAGTGGGCCAGGGTTTGGGGTTAACGAACCCCACAGAAGCCAACCAAGCAAATCAATGGACTCAGGTCGTGTTTCGGCACAAGTCCCGTACTATGGGACTTGTCGGGCAGGGTTTGGGGATATCGGCGGACTCAGAGCGTGTTCTGCCTCAGGTCTTGCTTTCGAAGATCAGTGGGCCAGGGTTTGGGGTTAAGGAACCCCACGGAAGCCAATCAGGCAAATCAATGGACTCCGGTCGTGTTTCGGCATAAGTCCCGTACTATGGGACTTGTCGGGCAGGGTTTGGGGGTATCGGCGGACTCAGGGCGTGTCTCGCGTCCGGCCTTGCTTTCGAGGATCAGTGGGCCAGGGTTTGGGGTTTACGAACCCCACAGAAGCCAATCAAGCAAATCAATGGACTCGGGTCGTGTTTTGGCACCAGTCCCGAACTATGGGACTTGTCGGGCAGGGTTTGGGGATATCGGCGGACTCAGAGTGTGTTTTGCCTCAGGCCTTGCTTTCGAAGATCAGTGGGCAAGGGTTTCGGGTTAAGGAACCCCACGGAAGCCAATCTGGCAAATCAATGGAGTCCGGTCGTGTTTCGGCACAAGTCCCGCACTACGGGACTTGTCGGGCAGGGTTTGGTGATATCGGCGGGCTCAGTGCGTGTTTTGCCTGGAGTCTCGCTTTCGGAGATCAGTGGCCCAGGGTGTGTGGTTAAGGAACCCCACGGAAGCCAATCTGGCAAATCAATGGAGTCCGGTCGTGTTTCGGCACAAGTCCCGCACTACGGGACTTGTCGGGCAGGGTTTGGTGATATCGGCGGGCTCAGTGCGTGTTTTGCCTGGAGTCTCGCTTTCGGAGATCAGTGGCCCAGGGTGTGTGGTTAAGGAACCCCACGGAAGCCAATCTGGCAAATCAATGGAGTCCGGTCGTGTTTCGGCACAAGTCCCGCACTACGGGACTTGTCGGGCAGGGTTTGGTGATATCGGCGGGCTCAGCGCGTGTTTTGCCTGGAGTCTCGCTTTCGGAGATCAGTGGCCCAGGGTGTGTGGTTAAGGAACCCCACAGAAGCCAATCAAGCAAATCAATGGACTCCGCTCGTGTTTCGGCACAAGTCCCGCACTACGGGACTTGTCGGGCAGGGTTTGGTGATATCGGCGGGCTCAGCGCGTGCTTTGCCTGGAGTCTCGCTTTCGGAGATCAGTGGCCCAGGGTGTGTGGTTAAGGAACCCCACAGAAGCCAATCAAGCAAATCAATGGACTCCGCTCGTGTTTCGGCACAAGTCCCGCACTACGGGACTTGTCGGGCAGGGTTTGGTGATATCGGCGGGCTCAGCGCGTGCTTTGCCTGGAGTCTCGCTTTCGGAGATCAGTGGCCCAGGGTGTGTGGTTAAGGAACCCCACAGAAGCCAATCAAGCAAATCAATGGACTCCGCTCGTGTTTCGGCACAAGTCCCGCACTACGGGACTTGTCGGGCAGGGTTTGGTGATATCGGCGGGCTCAGCGCGTGCTTTGCCTGGAGTCTCGCTTTCGGAGATCAGTGGCCCAGGGTGTGTGGTTAAGGAACCCCACAGAAGCCAATCAAGCAAATCAATGGACTCCGCTCGTGTTTCGGCACAAGTCCCGCACTACGGGACTTGTCGGGCAGGGTTTGGTGATATCGGCGGGCTCAGCGCGTGCTTTGCCTGGAGTCTCGCTTTCGGAGATCAGTGGCCCAGGGTGTGTGGTTAAGGAACCCCACAGAAGCCAATCAAGCAAATCAATGGACTCCGCTCGTGTTTCGGCACAAGTCCCGCACTACGGGACTTGTCGGGCAGGGTTTGGTGATATCGGCGGGCTCAGCGCGTGCTTTGCCTGGAGTCTCGCTTTCGGAGATCAGTGGCCCAGGGTGTGTGGTTAAGGAACCCCACAGAAGCCAATCAAGCAAATCAATGGACTCCGCTCGTGTTTCGGCACAAGTCCCGCACTACGGGACTTGTCGGGCAGGGTTTGGTGATATCGGCGGGCTCAGCGCGTGCTTTGCCTGGAGTCTCGCTTTCGGAGATCAGTGGCCCAGGGTGTGTGGTTAAGGAACCCCACAGAAGCCAATCAAGCAAATCAATGGACTCCGCTCGTGTTTCGGCACAAGTCCCGCACTACGGGACTTGTCGGGCAGGGTTTGGTGATATCGGCGGGCTCAGCGCGTGCTTTGCCTGGAGTCTCGCTTTCGGAGATCAGTGGCCCAGGGTGTGTGGTTAAGGAACCCCACAGAAGCCAATCAAGCAAATCAATGGACTCCGCTCGTGTTTCGGCACAAGTCCCGCACTACGGGACTTGTCGGGCAGGGTTTGGTGATATCGGCGGGCTCAGCGCGTGCTTTGCCTGGAGTCTCGCTTTCGGAGATCAGTGGCCCAGGGTGTGTGGTTAAGGAACCCCACAGAAGCCAATCAAGCAAATCAATGGACTCCGCTCGTGTTTCGGCACAAGTCCCGCACTACGGGACTTGTCGGGCAGGGTTTGGTGATATCGGCGGGCTCAGCGCGTGCTTTGCCTGGAGTCTCGCTTTCGGAGATCAGTGGCCCAGGGTGTGTGGTTAAGGAACCCCACAGAAGCCAATCAAGCAAATCAATGGACTCCGCTCGTGTTTCGGCACAAGTCCCGCACTACGGGACTTGTCGGGCAGGGTTTGGTGATATCGGCGGGCTCAGCGCGTGCTTTGCCTGGAGTCTCGCTTTCGGAGATCAGTGGCCCAGGGTGTGTGGTTAAGGAACCCCACAGAAGCCAATCAAGCAAATCAATGGACTCCGCTCGTGTTTCGGCACAAGTCCCGCACTACGGGACTTGTCGGGCAGGGTTTGGTGATATCGGCGGGCTCAGCGCGTGCTTTGCCTGGAGTCTCGCTTTCGGAGATCAGTGGCCCAGGGTTTGTGGTTAAGGAACCCCACAGAAGCCAATCAAGCAAATCAATGGACTCCGGTCGTGTTTCGGCACAAGTCCCGCACTACGGGACTTGTCGGGCACGGTTTGGGGTTATCGGCGGACTGAGAGCGTGTTTTGTCTCAGGTCTCGCTTTCGAAGATCAGCGGGCCAGGGTTTGGGGTTCAGGAACCCCATTGAAGCCAATGAAGCAAATCAATGGACTCAGGTCGTGTGTCGGCACAAGTCCCGCACTACGGGATTTGTCGGGCAGGGTTTGGGGATATCGGCGGACTCAGAGCGTGTCTCGCCTGGGGTCTGGCTTTCGGAGATCATTGGGCCCGGGTTTGGGGTTAAGGAACCCCACGGAAGCCAATCAAGCAAATCAATGGACACGGGTCGTGTTTCGGCACAAGGCCCGTACTACGGGACTTGTCGGGCAGGATTTGGGGATATCGGCGGACTCAGAGCGTGTCTCGCCTCAGGTCTCTCTTTCGAAGATCAGTGGGCCAGGGTTTGGGGTTAAGGAACCCCATTGAAGCCAATCAGGCAAATCAATGGACTCCGGTCGTGTTTCGGCACAAGTCCCGTACTACGGGACTTGTCGGGCAGGGTTTGGGGGTGCCGGCGGTGTCAGAGCGTGTTTTGCCTCGGGTCTCGTTTTCGAAGATCAGTGGGCCAGGGTTTGGGGTTCAGGAACCCCACAGAAGCCAACCAGGCAAGTCAGTGGACTCAGGTCGTGTTCCGGAACAAGTCCCGTACTACGGGACTTGTCGGGCAGGGGGGGCGGACTCAGAGCGTGTCTTGCCTGGGGTCTGGCTTTCGGATTTAGGGTTAGGGTTTAGGTTTTAGGGTTTTAGGGTTTTAGGGTTTTAGGGTTTT